TTCATATAGTTTTTAAATTCGAACTTAAAGTTTAATATTCTAAAAGATTTTGGTAAATCATATAATCAAGATTATAATTTCAAAGAGTCCAACCGAAAAAAATATCCCCTCCCCACCTTTTTAAAAAGCTTAAGGAAAAAGTGAATATTTACTTTGGACAGGTCATTTTTACCTCAATTGATTAAACATTAACCTTCAAATTTGATCTTAGATTTGTACCCACTAACAATTGATTTATTTTTAATAAAAACACTGGAGATAATAATTTAGATGATTTAGTCATCTATTGGTATCCAAATTATGATTAGGACTTGGTTCTTCAGATTTCAATTGAGTGTAATGAAATATCAGTACCATTTTATACTAAGGATCCACCATATTTTATTCAGTCTTAAAATAACAATTATAAGTTGCTTGTTGACATCAACATTCTAATGTCAATTAGGTGAGTTTCTAAATTAGACAACTGGAGGGTGTATGATTAGTGATAAATTTCAAAATTAATATTAAGTAACTAGAAAAGCCCTAAATTGCAGTTACAAAGACGATACGTAAATTAGATTGATAGAATCTTCAATGATTGAATTAAGACTATATTATTGGAGAACCTATAACAATAGTTAAAATATTGAGTATTGCCATCACTTCCCTAAAAATTGTTAATGTGGATGGAAACCAGGAGATAAATCTTGTATTGTAGGACATATTGGCGCGTTGTGTGAATAGTGTGATCTCTATAATACAAGAGGTTAAGGGTCATTCTATTTATGTTCTGCTTATTAATGTTTAAATTGCAACATAACTATTTATAATATACTTTCGATCACTTTTGTAATCTTATGGACATTATTGTCTACTTTAAATTCTGCTAGCAGTACTTCAAGAAATAGTTACAGAATTTATAGCTAGGCTAAGATTAAGATTATTTGGGGTTAAATTTCCAATCAAAAAAATATCAACAGCTATACTAATAAAACTTTTGACCAACTACTTTTAAATAATTTCTACTCTCTTTACATTTTTATTAGTATTTCCAACTGATTTATCAGCTATTATTAATAGTTGAGCTAATCCTATTGAATCTATAGCTTTTTCTCTTGATTGCTACTTAATTTCAATTACTGATATATTAATTATATATTTCAGAGTTATCTGGAGTTTAATCATGGCTTTATCATATATTCTAATATCTATTGGATTATGTGCTTTAGCAATTGCACTCAAAATAATTCACCATGATTTTTCATTTATTACTATATCACTAATTTATTTGTTTATCTATTTCTAACCAAATTTAATTGGACAAATTATTTCTTTGTTATCCTATAGAATAATTTCAAATGAATTTTAGATTTCAAGCAATGTGTCTAAAAAGGATTATTGATTTTGATATTCCTTTGTTAATCATAGCATTACAATTCCAAGTATCCTTTAGTATGGAGTTTATAAAAATAGGCAAAAACTTGACAAAACAACCACTCGCAAGACTTGGGGATATCTATATCATGAGAATATCAAAAAAGCTTATTTTGGGAAACAATTAAAATAATTTAAAAAAAGGAGCTAATAATATTGGCTCAAATTTATTATGAAGATTAAATTACTATCAAAGCATCTTTAATTTTTATGTTGTTATTTCCTTATAGTCACTTTGCCAAATCTATTAATCCTTATATGACTAAGTAATTGAATATCTTAGATTAACAATCAATCATTATTTGTGCCATTTCAATAGTCTTAACATATCTACATAAACTTAATTCTGCATTCCAATAACAATTCTAATTATTTTCTATACATTATTAACAATTATTTAAATTTTATTATTTTTTGCCTAAAACACAATATATTAAAAAAACCCTCATTATAAATGCATGGTTTATTATTCAAATCAACATAACAATTAGATTTTTCGTATATATTTTCACAACTCAGAGATACATATTTCTAATCTATCCTTTAGTACAAATATTAATAAATTCATTACATAATTAATGTGTATTTAATTCTTATGGAGCATTTTCACATATGATCAATTATAATTTGCCATTCCACCAAAAATAACTTAATCATTGATATCCCTTAAGTAACTTTCTTTTAACATATTATCCTCGCATTTCGTTTCAATTCTACAACCACCTTCAAATTTTGGTACACAATTTCCATTTTATAATTAATTCAAACATTAAGTATATGTATTAAATGACAATGAAGCATTATCACAAGTTCTATGTTTACACCCTGTAGTTTCATCTGGAGACTTAGTACGTGTATCCATATACTATGTACATTAATCGCGCCCAATATTTGATGAACCTGCATTTTTACATGTCTTGGGTACAGAATCATATCTATTCCAATGACTTAGGGTTCCATATATATTTTTATTGCAAGCTTCTTATATTATGGCTGCTCCACACTTTTTATTCAATACATAACCTTTTCCATTTGTTATAAAGTACCCAAATATTCTTGACTTTTTTTATTTGTTGTATAAGTATTCAAGGCATTCTCACATATTTTGTCAAACGCATTATTTTCCTGTGCAAAAACTATCATTGCCAATAGTATCTTTTTTACAAGCATCCTTTATTTAATTTTTTCAAGATAATAATCTATCAATGCATCCATCCTCATATTTTATTGTACAAGATGAAAGGAAATCTTGGCATTCTTAATCAGTTTTTAAATTCTATGAAGCTATTTTATCTAAGCATTTTCCATCTACCCAAAAACAAATTTGATTATTTTTTTTATTATAGATGCAGTTTATTTAATCATCATAATCATAACAATTATTTCTTTCTTCAACACATCCTCCTCCAATCTAAACTGTACATTTTGAAATTTGAGCTCTACATTAAGAATTATAGTCTAATATTTATGGTAATTTTGAAAATTCATCTGCGTCTTAATATTTTGCTTAGTGGAATTCCAATAACATTATTAACCTACTGAATTTTTAATACATGAAAATTGGACTTAAATAGCTTTATTTCAACATAATTACCTTTAAAATACCGATTTATGAATGAACTTGTTATCTTTTTTGATACCTTGTAGAACATTTATTGTATTCAAATAATTTTATCTATAAATGAAGTTATAAATATTAACTGGAATTAAACTGGAGAAAATTTATAATATTTTTGATTTGATGATAAAAATGAATAAAATAAACTTCCATTTGAAAAATCATTCATGCAAATAATATTCACATGGCCTGTATTTCTATGTTACCTATAATAGCATTCTAATGTTCTAGTAAATATTGGATAAAAAACTGATCCATTATTTAATGCAAGGCATGTAGCGTTTCGATCCTCTATATTTGCAATTAAAGCATATTCAAGAGATGTAGAGTTTAATTATCCTAACATCAAAATAGGCTCTTCCAAATTGTTAATAAGTAAATCAGTAATGTTGTAAACACCTATAATATAGGTATTTTCGTATTTAAATTGTTAAAGTAGAAAGCCATTAGAATATACAGCACTTAGAATTTGCACAAAATCATCACCTACATAAACTTGGATAGTGGTTTTTAAATTTAATAATAGTAAGTAGTTTTAAGAAAACCTATACACTAATAATGATCCTAAACCTTAAGTACTAGTGAAAGGATGTATATTTATTTGTCTATTATTTTCAATATCAAAATTTAAGCACAAATTTAATGATCCCAACTTAACTGTTAAGTATTACCTAAACTTTTATTAAAAGTTAGATAATTATATAAGACATCAAATTCATAAAAATACAAAATAAGAACTAAATTTTACTAATTCATATCTAAACTAGAATTAAATAGAGCTACTGAAAAATCTTAAAAATTTAAATTATCATTATGTAACTGCATAGTTTTGTTTAACGGATTCAATAAATACAAACCTTAGTCATATGTATCTTTAGAGCCTAAAATAAATTTAAGAGTGGCTGTATTACTAATTTTCTTTATATTAGTAAATTTCTAAGGTATTTACAATAAGCTTCTAATTATTGTACTTCCATAAGAGTCAAAATAAATGCTTAGCCAATATTGGAAAAAATAAAGGATTAGAGTATATTAAGCGGCGTCGTTTTGACATATCGAAGTTAAAGTTAAATTATAAGATGTTGATTTCAAGCACTCAGTAAAATTTTAATCAGCATAATTGTATGATTTAAGTTATACAAAATACTAAATAGAAATATCGATTACACTATTGTTTCACAGAACAAAAAATTAATTATTTACTTCAGTTACTAATGTGGATGTATAATCAGTTTTTGGGATAAAGTAACCAAAATTAGTTAAATTGCATAAATCTTTTGTAAAATCTTTTTAATCAAATTAATGAGCTTTATCAATATGATCAACATCAGAACTATTAGGAAAATAACAAAGACTTGCCTGCCTATCAAGGATTATATTCATGTGAAAGTTCGATCATTTACATTTAAATCTTTATTGACAAATCTTTGATTATTGTAGTTTTTGGTTAGAAATAAGTAAAGCTTTGATTTGATGTAGTTTAATTAGCAGTTAAATTTAACAAAGAAGTAACAGTACAATTATAAATCATTTATGGGTAAAATCTAGAGATTAATTTACTTTAAACTCAAAACTTTGGTAAATTAATAATTAATTGATAAAGTTTTCTAAATACAGAAAAAATCCTCTCTAATTTTTAGATTATATCTCAATTTCCTTCCTAAAATCTGTGCAATACAATTTTGATGATAAATTGAGATAATATAAACTCATATGTTAAGGTAAGTAAGGATTGTAAACATACACTGTGTAATTTGAAAATTGAACATAAAAAAACAAGTTATCTGATAGTATTTATAGTTAATTATTATAATCTACACTTGTCATATTTCTCATAAAAAAAGGAAATTTCAAATTTTGTATACTCCAAACTTAGAAACAAAGATCTTAGTCTTTATTACAAATATAAGATAAAATTAAATTTTGATNGAGATGTAGAGTTTAATTATCCTAACATCAAAATAGGCTCTTCCAAATTGTTAATAAGTAAATCAGTAATGTTGTAAACACCTATAATATAGGTATTTTCGTATTTAAATTGTTAAAGTAGAAAGCCATTAGAATATACAGCACTTAGAATTTGCACAAAATCATCACCTACATAAACTTGGATAGTGGTTTTTAAATTTAATAATAGTAAGTAGTTTTAAGAAAACCTATACACTAATAATGATCCTAAACCTTAAGTACTAGTGAAAGGATGTATATTTATTTGTCTATTATTTTCAATATCAAAATTTAAGCACAAATTTAATGATCCCAACTTAACTGTTAAGTATTACCTAAACTTTTATTAAAAGTTAGATAATTATATAAGACATCAAATTCATAAAAATACAAAATAAGAACTAAATTTTACTAATTCATATCTAAACTAGAATTAAATAGAGCTACTGAAAAATCTTAAAAATTTAAATTATCATTATGTAACTGCATAGTTTTGTTTAACGGATTCAATAAATACAAACCTTAGTCATATGTATCTTTAGAGCCTAAAATAAATTTAAGAGTGGCTGTATTACTAATTTTCTTTATATTAGTAAATTTCTAAGGTATTTACAATAAGCTTCTAATTATTGTACTTCCATAAGAGTCAAAATAAATGCTTAGCCAATATTGGAAAAAATAAAGGATTAGAGTATATTAAGCGGCGTCGTTTTGACATATCGAAGTTAAAGTTAAATTATAAGATGTTGATTTCAAGCACTCAGTAAAATTTTAATCAGCATAATTGTATGATTTAAGTTATACAAAATACTAAATAGAAATATCGATTACACTATTGTTTCACAGAACAAAAAATTAATTATTTACTTCAGTTACTAATGTGGATGTATAATCAGTTTTTGGGATAAAGTAACCAAAATTAGTTAAATTGCATAAATCTTTTGTAAAATCTTTTTAATCAAATTAATGAGCTTTATCAATATGATCAACATCAGAACTATTAGGAAAATAACAAAGACTTGCCTGCCTATCAAGGATTATATTCATGTGAAAGTTCGATCATTTACATTTAAATCTTTATTGACAAATCTTTGATTATTGTAGTTTTTGGTTAGAAATAAGTAAAGCTTTGATTTGATGTAGTTTAATTAGCAGTTAAATTTAACAAAGAAGTAACAGTACAATTATAAATCATTTATGGGTAAAATCTAGAGATTAATTTACTTTAAACTCAAAACTTTGGTAAATTAATAATTAATTGATAAAGTTTTCTAAATACAGAAAAAATCCTCTCTAATTTTTAGATTATATCTCAATTTCCTTCCTAAAATCTGTGCAATACAATTTTGATGATAAATTGAGATAATATAAACTCATATGTTAAGGTAAGTAAGGATTGTAAACATACAGCGTGTAATTTATAAATTGAACATAATAGAACAAATTATCTGATAGTATTTATAGATAATTCTTATAATCTACACTGATCATATTTCTCATAAAAAATGGCTATTTAAAATTTTGTATGCTCCAGACTTAGAAACAAAGATCAAACCATAAATTACAAATATGGGATAAGCCTAATTATTGATTGATAATGTTTATTTATTTAATTTTGAATTTAACCTCTATAATTGAAATTGGTATTGGCATATTACTGTAACAAATAGAAATAATTATGACATTATTAATATTAATGATAAATAAAGTTGAAGATAATGACTAAGTATTTACAGCTATTTAAATAGGATTAAATTTTAGTTAACTGTCTGCATTAAATAATTTATTAATCATAGTTTCTTTAATGATTACTAAATCAGTAAAATCCAAAGTCATGATTTAAATTCTGGATTTATAATCAAAGTTATCAAATTATTAAATGTAATTAAAAATTATTAAAATTATTATTCAAACCTAAACTCTGAGGAGAAGTAAAGGGATTTGTCATAACTAGACTATATATGAAGCTAGATTGTATAATCATCACTAACTCCGATTATTAAATTGTGGTCTTTTAGGATATAAGCAACTTATAATTACTGATCCTAAATAGAAATATTAGTATCTATCAAAGTCTTATAAGAATTTTCCTCTATATATAATTCAAAGATTTATATTGATTCATTTGTAACNGTTGATTTCAAGCACTCAGTAAAATTTTAATCAGCATAATTGTATGATTTAAGTTATACAAAATACTAAATAGAAATATCGATTACACTATTGTTTCACAGAACAAAAAATTAATTATTTACTTCAGTTACTAATGTGGATGTATAATCAGTTTTTGGGATAAAGTAACCAAAATTAGTTAAATTGCATAAATCTTTTGTAAAATCTTTTTAATCAAATTAATGAGCTTTATCAATATGATCAACATCAGAACTATTAGGAAAATAACAAAGACTTGCCTGCCTATCAAGGATTATATTCATGTGAAAGTTCGATCATTTACATTTAAATCTTTATTGACAAATCTTTGATTATTGTAGTTTTTGGTTAGAAATAAGTAAAGCTTTGATTTGATGTAGTTTAATTAGCAGTTAAATTTAACAAAGAAGTAACAGTACAATTATAAATCATTTATGGGTAAAATCTAGAGATTAATTTACTTTAAACTCAAAACTTTGGTAAATTAATAATTAATTGATAAAGTTTTCTAAATACAGAAAAAATCCTCTCTAATTTTTAGATTATATCTCAATTTCCTTCCTAAAATCTGTGCAATACAATTTTGATGATAAATTGAGATAATATAAACTCATATGTTAAGGTAAGTAAGGATTGTAAACATACAGCGTGTAATTTATAAATTGAACATAATAGAACAAATTATCTGATAGTATTTATAGATAATTCTTATAATCTACACTGATCATATTTCTCATAAAAAATGGCTATTTAAAATTTTGTATGCTCCAGACTTAGAAACAAAGATCAAACCATAAATTACAAATATGGGATAAGCCTAATTATTGATTGATAATGTTTATTTATTTAATTTTGAATTTAACCTCTATAATTGAAATTGGTATTGGCATATTACTGTAACAAATAGAAATAATTATGACATTATTAATATTAATGATAAATAAAGTTGAAGATAATGACTAAGTATTTACAGCTATTTAAATAGGATTAAATTTTAGTTAACTGTCTGCATTAAATAATTTATTAATCATAGTTTCTTTAATGATTACTAAATCAGTAAAATCCAAAGTCATGATTTAAATTCTGGATTTATAATCAAAGTTATCAAATTATTAAATGTAATTAAAAATTATTAAAATTATTATTCAAACCTAAACTCTGAGGAGAAGTAAAGGGATTTGTCATAACTAGACTATATATGAAGCTAGATTGTATAATCATCACTAACTCCGATTATTAAATTGTGGTCTTTTAGGATATAAGCAACTTATAATTACTGATCCTAAATAGAAATATTAGTATCTATCAAAGTCTTATAAGAATTTTCCTCTATATATAATTCAAAGATTTATATTGATTCATTTGTAACTCCTCTCCCATAGCCGCTGTATAATTAGGCCAAGTTAAATGATTGATTTTATCTTCACCAATCCATCCTCATATGTTGTTTGATTATAACATCCAAATTATTTATTATCTGTATTCACTGTATATTAGAGTAATTTGCCTGAATAGCCTACAAAGATTTATTCATTTTTTTCATCGTCACTAATCTATTGATACTGAGGGAAATTTTTATTGAAAATTACATAAATATTTTTATCATTCTAATTTACAATTTTAATAGATATAAACATTTTATAAATGCTGGTGAAAGTTAGATTATATAATTTAGCATAAATTGTAATATCATAAGTAATTCTTTAAACTTATGAATCTGTTAAATTAATTTATAATTATGGTATTTTCAATTCGTAGACAATAATTTATGTGTTAAATGTAAATAGATAGTTATCATTAGTATTTAAATATATTTAAGTGTTGTTATTAATTAAAATATAGTCAATAGAGTAGTATTATTACTATTTATGAAGAGTAAGCTACATTTCTGATTAAATTACTACAAATTCATTATTCAAAAAAGATTAAATCAATTTTGATTGCTTAATATCAGAAGTGATATAATTTGATGAATAATTCAATGTATTTAATCATCCTAAGTATTCTATTGTATTTATCTTTCCTATATAATTGATATCATAGCCATTAGTCACAATTTAATCACATTAAGAATAAACTTAAGAGTTATAATAAACTTAAAAATTATCAGCATCTTCTTGCAACCATAAGTATGCTGTTTATTCAAAATTATTAGTCTAATTAATGATAAATGATTGATTTTTAAAGTAGATATATATATGGGTTTTCTCTTAATGGAATGCCAATCTGTGTAAATTTATTTTAGTAAACTGTTAAATTGTTAAAATGAGATGAGAATAATGTTTTGATGGATATATTTTGATAATATTAAACATAGATTAGGAAATTTTTTGATTCATTATAAATTCCTTGCATTTATGATCTAATAGGCTTATTTGCTGGAATTGAATAAACGATTTGAAAACTAGTATTCATTAGTTATAATAAATAAAAATGTTCTTCAGCATAACAATCAAGAAAGAAATCTAAATTCGAAAAAAAAATGATATTATAGCATTTATATTTTTCTTCAATCTTAGCTACTTATCCATACTGTTAAATATTTAAGTTTTTCCATTCGTATAGTCTTACATCATTTTCTTTGGTTATTGTTGCAAAATGAGTTTGATTAGATGATACTGATATAAATTCTAATTTGATGATTCTAATAAATACCATATCCGTTTATATTTGTTATTTCATTAACAGCATTTGTTATTTAAACATTTGGTACAGTAGATTCTAATGATAAATTAATTATTCATAATCATTATAAATGACATTTTTCTTTAATAATAAGTTAATAGGATATTCAAAATACTCTCCTTTCGTTGGGTATAAAGTCATTTCCTAGAATCTCCATAAGCAAATTTCAACAACAAAAATTAAAATGAAAACATTATTTTCTATTATTAATAATACAAATTAGAAATGGCTTTTATCAATAAAATTATCTATTGATGAGGCCATATAGTTGTCTTAGTATTAATTATTTTTTTCGTCTCCCTATATATATTATTTGTATTTATATTAATAATATGTGTAATATTTAAATAACCTAGTAAAATTTCTTTATATTTACAACAATAATTCATGTTTTATAAGAGAAAAGTGGAGCAATATGAGAGTTTATAATAATATTTATTTTTATAAATAATCAAAATGATTTTGATATAATTTAATTATGATATATAAAATATCCATTTATACAAATCTTATTATTTAATAGTATTTTGTTATTTTGACAATCTCATTTATTATTTACTCATTTTTAATCTTAAATTTATTAAAATTAACTGATTTTAACAAATCTTCCTTTTCATAAATCTATTTATTTTTTTATTCTTGATTATGTCTATGTTTCAAATAAAATTTTATTGCCATTATAAAATATAAAAATTTGATATCTTATAAATATATCTTAAACTTCCAGCTCTTAGTTGATGACTTCTAACTTATCAACTTCAGCTTTTTGATTCTTTCATTATATCGTTTTAAGTGATAGTACTTAAAGTAAATAACTAAAGCAAATATTATCGATATTATTCTTAATTTTGTATATTTCAATTCTTACACTTAATTATTCTATATAATGTTCTTTTTCGATAGCTTTTAAATTACTTTGCACTGACACTAATATCGAAACCAAAGTCCTAAAATAATATTTACTATTTTTTACCATATACTCACGAATTTTATAGTTATTGCGTTTTCTCTTTCTCTAAGCATGATCCACAAGAATATTTCTAACTAACATAATATTGTCCATCTCCTCTTTTATCATAAAAATCACATTATTCTCATAATGCCCCAATATGTCCTAAAGAAACAAGAATTGTCACCTTCCTCCCAACCACCTAAGCAATTTCTAAAAATTTAAACAATAACTCTCTAAATTGAAGCACTGAAGTAACAAAGAGTGATTATAAGTAATATTCACCCAGAACTTATTGTAATTAGCAATCAAGATATTAATTTAGTCACAGAAATTTAATATTTTCACTTTAATTGATTCTTCTATAGTTTCATAATATTCATATTATTATCAAACTATAACTGTAGAGGCTATTTTTAATAATTTAGCTCAACAACACTGATATCAATTAGTCCAATTCCTCTAATTTTATCCAACTCTGATATTTCTCTATGATCAAATGAAATATAAATAAAACAAAAGTTATAAGTGTTTAATTTAAAATCCTTAGTAATGAATGATAAATAATTCTTTGATATTATAATTGTATTAATTTAGATTTTTGACCTTTTGTGAATAGAGTTTAAATGGAATAAATGGATTATTATTATTAAAATTAATCAACATTTAGTAGAAGGCTCTTATATTGATTTTCCAATAATCTATTGATAGTTATTATATTAGGTACAATTATAACAGTTTAATTCAAGGGGACATTAATAAAATTTATTTGATATTCTTTCTGCATAGTATCCACTCTTACATTCAAGACAAATATGACCAACTACCCACCATTAAGCATTCTCTTTGAAATAAGTTCAACAATTTTCAATATATCCAGGACATTGTTCACTAAATTATTTTAGCCGTCTCATGTTTATTATAATCTTATTTATTAAACTGAATTATAATGATGAACAGAGAATATTTTTATCATCATCAAAAATCATAGTTATCTTTTCGTCACTAGGAGTTATATACTACATTTCCCAAATCAAATAGTTATAGATACCTTTGATCAATAACCGCGTCACAAAAATATTCAACATATGAAAAATAACATGTCACTTCTCTCATTGACAGATATATTATGAATCAAGTATACATCAATTGCCGTATCACATCTCTTGCAAGTAGTATAACATCATCCCAATCATATCTAAGTGTAAAATAGAGATCGAGTGTATTAATTTAATAATTGTAGAATAAAGTAAAAATGTGTAAGCTCAAAAGTTTTGTAGTATTTTTTTGATATTTTATTATAGTATTTTCTAAAAAAATTATAGAAATTACTACAAGGAAGACAATTTCCATTATCTAATGCATAGTGATCAATACAAGACTGGCATTATAGAGAATTTCATTCATAATTATAATTACAAGTCAAACAATTAGAAAGTCAATAATAGTATTGACCATCATGTAGATACATACCATCTTTTATTTTTAGAAAACTTCCATCTACAGATGCCAGTAAATAACTAATATTAGTTAATATACAATCTTCATTTGATTAATAGTAATTAGGCTTACATTTGACATAAATAATTATCCTAAATGTTAAGACTGTGTTTGAAAACAATTGATAGAGTCGAATTCCAATTTTCAAAAGTCTAAGTAATCTGGATAAAGTGAGAACTCTCTATTTTGATTAATCAAATAAAAATCATAATCCTAATGATCTCTTTGTTTATATTTAAAAGCATTATGTTCTGTTTCTTCCTCTGATATTAAGTTAAATTTGCAAATTGGTTTTAAATACCAAGTTAATGGATTATATACAATCTAAACATAATCTGTCTAAAAAATTAGATTATGGACTGAATATATTTTTAATGCTAGAGACATTCATGGCAGCCTGGTTAAGTAGCTATTACAGAATAGATGAAGGATATAGCCAAAATGATAGCCAAGACTATTTAAGAAGATTGTGAAGCATACCTTCCAAAATAAAAAACTCAATTTCCAGTTTGAGACATTAAATACATGCATATTATTATTATATATTTCTAATAAATGTACCATTTTATTCAGTCATTTGAACCACTTTCATTTGGATATACCAAATATCCAAATTTACAAGATGAAATTCCTCGAGGGAATCCTTCTTGTTTATATACTGATGAATAATAGTATTCAAATGATTTTAAGTGTATATTAATCCTTCGATTTTGGGGGCAGAATTTAACATTTTGACTCTTTTTATTAACGAATGGTGTGCAAAATAGGTATGAGGGAGTAGATTTAAACTGGTTTTGGCACTGGTCTATAACCGTACATAGCAACCGATAAGTCTGCGGCTGAACCCTAAGCTGGCGGGTCTCCATCGTATATAGTCGTAGTGATTAGGAAGCAACGTCAGAAAACTTTTCTTCTGTTTTAAAATAGGAACGTTAACAATGAATTTCAATATGAAAATTTCCATTTTATAATTATTATTATCTATTTTGCAATTAAATTGCCATTATTTACTTTACATAAACTAAAACTCAAGTTTATTATTATAATTTACTTTCTCCTCTTATTTATTAGGAAGAATTTAGGACGTAATTTAATTTTTTTATTATTTTTTAAATTTATCCTTTCTTTTATCTCACTAGAAACTGAAGCGTGAGCATTTAAATTATATAAATAACAACTAGATAATTATAGTTTCTTTTTTTATTTATTTACTAGTTAATTTTTAAACATAGTATTTATAAACTTCATTCATATTGTAAAATTACTAAAATTATATTTTTTTCTTGTTATTTTAAGAACACGTTTAGAGCCTGTGAATTACCTTAGTTATAATGGAAAATTTATAGCTCCATTATGGATGAAAAGTTCTATTCATTTAGCTTTTTCTCCCTTCTTTTACTTCAGTTCTTGGGCTGTTGATTTGGTTTCAATCTATTTGTTATCCATGAAATCTCTATTAATAATTTTTGATTCTCTTTATTTAATGGAAGATTTCACTTTTAAGCAGATGTTTCTTTTGTATTCGATTATATCAAAATTGTCATTTCAGAAATATTCAAAAGTAGTTTATAATAGATGAAGTAAATTTACTTTAAAGATAATTATTTTAAAAGTCTATATTAGATAATTATAACAATAAAAAAAAACAAGATTGAAAAATAGGATTAGAACATGAAAAGAGAAATTTAAAAAAAAATCAAAAGAATAAATTTTAAGAAAAGAATAATATTATGAATATAAAATATAAACTTGATTATGAAAATAAATAAGGTGTAGAAAGTATGTTTTCACCATTTACTTAGAATAAAAATCTGAATTAATAATGAAATGAGTTAGTAGGAAAAAAAAGCTAATCAATTAAAAGTTGAAAAATATAAATTTAAAGATATTGGAAATAATCAGGATTTTCTGTAGTGTAAGGGATTAAATTGAAAATAATGAGATCATCTGTTCCTTCATTAAAAATTCAATTAAAATAATTATAATTCAAATAACCATTTTTTATAATGTAAAAAACATCATTTCTTTCTTAAGGCTTTGCAATTATAAATAATTATCTTTTTTTTAGATAAACCTGAAACAAACAATGCAACAGCAATATTCTTTTCATCAATACTTAACTTCCAAGTGTATGTGTTTTTGAGCTTCTTTATTTTTGTAATTCATTCCCTTTTGATATTTCTACTTACATCTTATTAAGATTAATTCAAGACTCTCAAAAGACATTTTATTATTTGAATTTTTCATTCTGAAAATTATAGTAAGTTAGGTAATTATATACCATTTTACATAGTTTTCAAAATTGTGAAATTTAAAATATAGTATTCGAAAAGGTGATATCTTTGCGTCAGGCCAATTTAAGATAGTGTGTTTTAGAGGTTTTCAGTTTTTTTCCACTAGTATAGTTTCTAATTGGTGAATATCCTGCCCTATTAGGACAGCAGATTAAGAAACATTTTGATGTATATTTAGCAGAGATTAAGTATTTAATGTCATTTCAATAATTTCGAAATATTAAAATACAACTATTTGGTGGTATGATTATTAATACTTTTGGAATTATAGGTTCAGAAACATTTTTTGGATTAATTTTGAGGTAGTTGAATAAAGTAGAAAATATTCATGAGTGTTATGTTGTGTACCTGTTATTTATAAGAATTTTCTTTTTATGGGGATTTATATTTTTAGGATATTTGAATCAAGCAGTTTTCTAGCTGAAAGTTAATAAGTCAAAAAATTATTTAAATGGAATGATAATTCACTTGCTTTTGGTAACATTAATAAAAGAATTAAAGGATTTGTTATCTATTAGCAGGTTAGGATCAATTGTAGGTTCGATTATAGATCCTTATGCTTCCTTAAACAATGATTTGTCTCAAAGCTTGCTAATATGTTTTTAAATAGCATGATTGAGTTTTATGATTATCATTATTCCCAATCAAATTGATAGATGGAACGATCTAAGAGAAAATACAACAGACACTTAATTGGATAGTGTAGATATTAAGAAAATTAAGCATTTTCCAATTTTATAGAACATTATTCAGCAAAAATTTTAATAGATTTGCTTAAAATCCAGCTAATATATTTTTAGTATCCCTTATTATCTCTCTTCAATTTTAAGTATAAAATCATTCGAGCGTTGTATATAAAGAGAAAATATAACAATTAGATTTGGTTAGTCTGAGGAAACAATTTTTAAACTATGGGCCTTTAACAACAAACAAAATGAGATTAATTAATATTACATTAAAAGTTTGCATTTGTGATTAAATGAAACTTTGAAGATTTAAGAATCTTGGTAAATTAAAATGAAGAATCAGCATAAAAGATAAAAAATCAAAAAAAATGAAGGATCACTAAGAAAGCCATATTAGAAAATTAACCAAGATATTGAAAGCATTAAAAAGATTATAAAGAAACTTTAAGTTTCGGGCTAATCTATAAACCAATAAGCTTCCATGGCAAGATTGCATATTAAGAAATTTAAAATTACAAAAAAAAATAATTTTAATTGACTTGATATTAGTACATATATAAACTACAATTAATTAATAATATAGAAATGAAAGGTATATTGCGGGTTAATTTGCTTGGTTTAAATTCAAAAAAAATGAATTTTAATTTATTTGACATATACTAACTTGGATTATAAAAATTGTAATGGATTCTTATTTAAATATATTTTCTGCAATCTTGCCACTCATACCATTTAAATTTCCATCTCACAAACTTATTTGGCATAGTTTATTCTCTTAAAATATGACTTTAAAGTAATTTTGAATTATTGCCTTATTTGTTCTAAAATTCTTTCTAATTTAAAATATCATATATTTATACTTTTTATTCATTTTAGTCCTTTAAAATATATTATATAAATATTAACAATTTTGTTAAATGCGTATGAAAGGATGCGTCGAGATTTAATATAAATTTACTTTTAAATAACATATTTAGAGTTATCTTAAAAAATAATTTATATTACTAATTACTCATTAACATTCTCTTATTCTGGACGTTGATATAATATTAAGGTATATTTACAAAGAAAATAAAATAGTTTAAATAATTTATTATAATAACATATTTTATAATATAAACCCATAAAATTATTTCTCGAAATCTTAAATTTTATAAAACTTTGTTTCTTTGAATAATTGGATCACTAAAAGTGATCCTAAAAACCTCAGAAAAGTAAAAAAATGATACCTAACAATATCAAATCAAAAAAAAGGCCCTAAAAAAAAATTCAAAAANAAGTATAAAATCATTCGAGCGTTGTATATAAAGAGAAAATATAACAATTAGATTTGGTTAGTCTGAGGAAACAATTTTTAAACTATGGGCCTTTAACAACAAACAAAATGAGATTAATTAATATTACATTAAAAGTTTGCATTTGTGATTAAATGAAACTTTGAAGATTTAAGAATCTTGGTAAATTAAAATGAAGAATCAGCATAAAAGATAAAAAATCAAAAAAAATGAAGGATCACTAAGAAAGCCATATTAGAAAATTAACCAAGATATTGAAAGCATTAAAAAGATTATAAAGAAACTTTAAGTTTCGGGCTAATCTATAAACCAATAAGCTTCCATGGCAAGATTGCATATTAAGAAATTTAAAATTACAAAAAAAAATAATTTTAATTGACTTGATATTAGTACATATATAAACTACAATTAATTAATAATATAGAAATGAAAGGTATATTGCGGGTTAATTTGCTTGGTTTAAATTCAAAAAAAATGAATTTTAATTTATTTGACATATACTAACTTGGATTATAAAAATTGTAATGGATTCTTATTTAAATATATTTTCTGCAATCTTGCCACTCATACCATTTAAATTTCCATCTCACAAACTTATTTGGCATAGTTTATTCTCTTAAAATATGACTTTAAAGTAATTTTGAATTATTGCCTTATTTGTTCTAAAATTCTTTCTAATTTAAAATATCATATATTTATACTTTTTATTCATTTTAGTCCTTTAAAATATATTATATAAATATTAACAATTTTGTTAAATGCGTATGAAAGGATGCGTCGAGATTTAATATAAATTTACTTTTAAATAACATATTTAGAGTTATCTTAAAAAATAATTTATATTACTAATTACTCATTAACATTCTCTTATTCTGGACGTTGATATAATATTAAGGTATATTTACAAAGAAAATAAAATAGTTTAAATAATTTATTATAATAACATATTTTATAATATAAACCCATAAAATTATTTCTCGAAATCTTAAATTTTATAAAACTTTGTTTCTTTGAATAATTGGATCACTAAAAGTGATCCTAAAAACCTCAGAAAAGTAAAAAAATGATACCTAACAATATCAAATCAAAAAAAAGGCCCTAAAAAAAAATTCAAAAAAAAAAATTGGGCTGAAAAAAAATAAAAACAAAAAAAAACCCTAAAAATTATTTTTCTCTAATGCTTTATAGAATTTCATTCAAAACCAGCTTATTTAAGCAAATTAGGTTGTTTATTTTTATTGTATAAATTAAAAAACAATACACTCCCAGTAATTCTGGAAAGTAAATAATAATATAATTTTAAATGAAAAAATGGCTGTTAGAAATGATATTTACAATCCACTTATTCATTTAAGATCATAGAGATTTTGGTAACATAATTTATATTTTGAAGACATTAAATTTTAGGTTCGCTTCATTCTCCTTTTTATGAGAAGATATCTCCTTAATTGGATTTGAGTAAAATGTATTTATAATGATAATAAAAATATCTACTCAAAATTTCATAAAAATTTATAATATTTTTTAAAGATAAGCCCATATGTAGTTCCTAAAATTATAGATGTTATATGAGCTGGTCTACAATTTTATTGATCATCCATTAAAAATTCTTCACTTTCATATATTAAATACAAAAATGGAAAAATTGCAAAAGGAAGTTTTTTCTAAGGTAATGCAATATATGTACTTTTATCATATAGTCAGGTTAAAGTACAACAAATGAAAAGATATATGCTAAAGGTGTGCAAGCTCCAGTTGTCTTTGGTGAAATCATTGAAATTCCCAATTATTCATTTCGATATTTTTCATAGTAATACGTTACAGCACTACTTAGCTTAATAATTAAATATATATACTAAACTATTTATTAAGTACAATCCTATCATTCCTTTGTAATTCATATAATAACCATTTAAATATAATCCACATACTAAAGCAGGTGCATATGTCAAAAAGGATTATGTTGTTTGATGAGATGAAGGAGCCAATAAAATAGGGTATAGAAGATCTTTTGTATATTCACTTATAGAGGTATGTTTAAATATTTTGGAATATGGCATTACTTACCATAAGTGATAGAAAAATAATGTTCCTGCACAAAGTAAAACAGGAAATTGCTTACTTGTTAAATAATAATTTTTAGCTTTAGCAGATTGTTCTATTTTGATAGTTTTCTGAATAAACTTTGGATCATTAATTATTTGAAGTTTTTGTCTTGCATAAATATATCTATCACTGCTTAAGAAATCGTCTTTTTTTTCTTTAATCTATTTACAAAAATTTTTTGCTATTTTTGTTAAAGTATTCATAATTAATTTTATAAAAATATTCAAATAAAGAATTTCAAAGATCAATATAATTATTCTCAAAGTATAAATCTGATTTCTAGATGTCAGTTTCTATAGTTATTGGCTCATCAATAGTAAAAAGCTAAAAATCTTCATCATTTAAGAGATGAAAATCATCTTTTAAATTTAAATATAGACTTTTTGAATTATCCTTATTGATAGTTTCTTACCGTACCATAGAACTTTAGTTGTTATTTTATTCATTTAAATTGATATTTGCAATATCATGAATTTAAATATGATCTTTGGATTCATTTCTTGATATCTCCTATAAATTTAATTATTCTTAAATTAATTTTGGTGATTGGATACTACTTCCTTTAGAAAACTATTTGAGTTTGATTCCAACTTTATGAGCTAATTTGATTTTATCAATATTATAATTTGATTATATTAAAAATTGCAATTTTGCCAAGGTGAATAAAATATTTGTTATACTTAACTTTTTTGCTGCAACACGTTAAACTTTATTGTAAAACATTATATATTCTTCTTTGTTAATTACAATATTATTGTATTTAACTTCAACAATTTTGCCATACCAATTTTAATATTATTTGATATTACAAAATTCAGGATAATACATTTAAATAACTTTTTAAATTGATTCTTTCTCTAATTAATGTTCATTCAAAAAAATGAATAAATATGATAACACTAATATAATTGAAACAATAGATCCTATATCAGCCAAAACTTCAGAAATTTTAGGATATTCAATATACTATTCTTATATTACTTCACTTAAACTATAGGCCATAACTAAGTAGGTTACTCTTCCAAATATATTGTAAAAGCTATCAGGACTAGTATTTTATGATATTATTATAGTATCCATTGGAAACTCTTTGTTAGAATTAGAAGGAAATAAAAATCCATCATCAACTTGTGTTTTAGATAATCTTATTTAATTTTAGAAATATAATGTTGTATTATTAGTAAGAATTGCTAAGAATTGTTTTTTTACATTTTATATATGTTTTTATTTTGAGTTATATTCTTTTACATAATGATTCAATATTAATGCATGACTTTTTTGATTTAAATAAGTATTTACTAAAGTTTAATTTGCACATTTCTATCCATTCATTAAATATTATTCCATACATGTTCCAAAGGATAATAAATACTCAATTTATGGATCATCATTTGAATTGTTTAGATTTAAATTCAATTCTATGTTCTCCAAAATAACTTCGTGAATATCATTTCTCTCTGATTTTGAATTGTAGTCTATTGGATATGAATCTACAAGTTATTAATTAGCAAATTTAGAAAGTATAGGCTGTAAAATAATGTTTCCTGGGTCAAATGGATCAATTTAGTCAACTTTTTAATTTTTTCTAATGTAAAAAGAGGACATCATTTCATCAATTTTATAGTATTTTTTGTCATAAGAAGTTTAAATATAAGTAATTTTTGGTAATAATTAATTGGATTGCCATTAGATAATTTGATACAAAAAGTATGCAAGACTTGATCCATATAAAATAAAAGTAGCAATTCCCCCTAGAACCGACTTATATTCAGGGTGGATGTCTACAATCGGTGGTCTATATATAGCTCCAAATCTATCAATTTTTTACAACCCTTTGACAAATTGATCGATCATAATAGTTATTTCAATTATAATGAAATCAAAAATATATAAATGTTTCAATAAGGATATAAATTATATAAGTATTACTAATAAGGTTATTGCTTAGAATCATTTGAATGTAATAATTATTCTTAAGTAAAATATACTAATTAAGTTATGAATCTGTTTATTAAAAACAAGAATACTATTATTATTATTATAGATTAATAGTATGGCTGTTACTGGTTATTCTATCTTATCTCACCCTTTAGATTTATGAGAAGTTGGTGATTAATAAATAAAAAAACAAAAGATTTCCTTATTATAAAGAACTGAAGAATATCATTTTTTATCCAATATATCTTTAAAAAAAGACAAAAATTCAGATTTCTTTAAAGTTATTCCATAAAATATTGGTTTCTATTAATATATTGTAAATTTAAGATCAATTGATATGTTAATTTTAACTAGATTTTGAGATTGATCACACTTTTTGGAGTTTCCAATATTGCATTATGTATAATTAATAATATTAAATCAGTAGGAGTTTAAAATATGAATTAAAATAAGATTGATGCAGAGAGTTCTTTAACATTCGATCCATTTCGCATACCAGCCAGCATCAATTAGGCAAAAATTCATTAGGTAAGCACAATTTCTAATTAGAAAGCTTCCATGTGTGGAGAGAATGAGGAAAAATCAGATCATTGCCCTTGTTGCGGATAACATATATAATAGAGGGAAATTTAATTATGTTAAAATAGATTAGATTTGGCATTTTTGGGTCAAGGTATACCTCTATTTTTTGAGATGACTCAATAATTGACATTAATGGTTTTTATTTTATTTACAATGTTTGGAATACCATCTTTAATAAATAATATAGAAAATCATGATTGTATTGCAGAAGACAATAAGTTTTATTAAATTTCATTAAATGGATTATGTGAATCAAATTGTCCATAAAATTCGACTGATTTTATTTTAATTACAAAATTGACTCACTCAAATGAATGCAAAACTATATGTGTTAAAATTAAAGATATTTGTTTAGAAACATCAGTAATATAGATGTCATTTGCAAACAAGTAATTTGATGAGACATCTAAATTTGTCTAATCTATTCTAGTTTTATGTAGTATATTAGTGTTTAAGTTTGCTATGATTAGAATTAGAATATCTTAAAGAAATACAGCAAGAATTTGTGATTAAGAATTTGTTTCTCCTTCAGATTTTACTGCTATGTTGACAAACTTACCTAGAAATGAATATAATGAAGCAGAATTAAAGGATGCATTGTTAGATTTTTGTTATTAATTTGACAATAAAGGGCAATATGAAATAGTTAAAATAATAATAGCATATGATATTACATCATTTGTTGAATTTAGTAGGGAAAAAATGACTTTGGAAAAGAAAATAGAAAAAATAGAAAATTATAATAAGTAATATCATCGATATCCACGTTCCTTAAAAACCAATTAACTAAATGATATCAAACAAAGAATTGTATTCCTTGATGAAAAATTAACAAAAATTGAAAATGAAGTGGAGTAATAGTAATATGCACATTAAACTTAAGTTGCATTTGTGACTTTCTAAACTAAAGAATGTAAATATAAATTCTATAATTAGAATTGCAATCAGTTTTGGATTAGACAAAACTATCATATTGGGAAGAGTTATGGATTCGATTCAAATATTATTTCATTAATCGATAAGATTAAAGAGGTTTCTATTTTAAAAATAGAATTATAATATTTTGTAGAGCTCCTGAACCAAATGATGTCTTTTGGGAAAATTGTGGATTTAATTTCTAGTATTAATTATAAAAAAGAATATTGAATTTCTTTATAACAATATTCATTTTAGGAGCTTCGTTCACTATTCTTTTAGGTTTGAATATTTTATAAAGTCAAAACCTATCATCTTATGATGATGCTATAATGATATTTGTAACTCTGGTTATTTCATTAATAATAACAATTATAAATTAGATCATATATCATGTTATCAAATTACTAGGATAATCAGAAAAACATTTTACCAAAACACATCATGATGTTTCAGTTGCAACTAAATTGGCAATAGTTTAATTTTTTAATTCTGGAATCTTTACTAAAGTTATTAATATTTTAGTATATAATTTTGAAAATGATAAACCTGACAATTATGCAGCAACATATGCATATTCTAGATAAGGAGGAGTAATTTCAGATGCATTTTTTTTATTAATTGTTAATTCATTCTTTGTTCCTATTTTTGCTTATTTGGATCCACTATACTATACCTTTATAAATTATATTAGTAATATTACTTTAAAGTTGATAATACTCTTAATCAAATAGAAGCTAATAAAATATTTGAAGGACCATCTGTACTTTTGTATGAGCATTATTCTTATATTTGTTTATCCCTATGGATTTCCTTACTATTTGCTCCTTTATTACCAATATCTTTATTATTTTGCAGTTCAGGATTACTAATATACTATTGGATATAAAAATATTTATTATTAAGGAGAAATTCAAAACCTCCTTTTTAAAGTTTTCATTTAAATAGAGAAATGATGAATTTATTTGAATTAAGTCCTATTATTTTGGCAGTTGGCTAATTTTGGGCTGATTATACTTTTAGTTCTGGTTCAGTTATATTGACAATCAATTTTATTAGTTTAGGATTCTCTTGTTTAGAATTAATCACTCCAGCAACAAGAATCAGTAAATTATTTGATAAAAAGAGTAATCTATATACTGAAAAAGATAGATATTCAGATGTTTATTTAAAATTACCAACAGATTATGATAGAACAAATCCATTAACATAATAAAATGCAATTTTAGAATTCATTAAAGCAAAAACTTTAACTGATTGTAATTACCAATAACCTTAAGTTATGGATACAAAAACAGCATTATATAAATATGTTCATTTGGGAGGAAGTCAGTTTATGAAAAATACTATTTCATTAAAACTTAAAGTTTCTTTTATGAGAAAAATAAAACTTATAAGAAAGGCTCGTTAGGTTGCAGCTATGGCTTAATAGTAATAAGATGAAGAGATTTCTTAAGATTAACAAGAACCTATCTATACATAAACACCTGAATATATAATTGTTAATCAAAATATAAGTTTGAGGTAAAATTCATTTGTTAACTCTACTCATAATGAAAATAATAATAAATTCTAAGATGCTCATATCTACAATTTCTCTAAATTTTTAAATCCCAATAAATTTGAAAATTGAGAATACTTATTCTACATTTTTGATAACTTTTTTATATATATTATTTATATTTTTAAAAATATAATCATTAATATTCTAATATTTTATTGTATTTATAAATTTACTTGAAGAAATAGAATTACTTCTATTTTTATATTTATAAATGTATTAGGAATAAATTAAACTTATTTAGTTTCTTTTAAAACCTAAAAAATTGGATGTTAATAACTTTCTTATATTTATCTTCTTTAATATTTTTATTTCTTATAAAATCTTTGATGTAGACTTTTTAAATCTTAGTTTATTTGAAATCACTTTAATGTAGATCAACATTACATATAATTTTACTATCTTTCGTAAAAAACTTGATGTTTATTATATATTCCTAAAGCACAGCTTTGGTGATAATATTTAGATATATCATTAAATCCAGTAATGCTGTTTTCTAGCTAATAATTGGAATGAATTTTATATCTAATAAATAGTACTATTTGATGAAGTTAATGGATGTTAAAGTTTAATTTTTCCAAAATACACAATTTAATTCATAAATTATTAATGAGTGATATTAAAGAAATAGAAGTGGAAAAGAAATTCATCGAAGAGTATTTTAAATAAATCAGTACTTCTGATATTGATACTATTAAAAGGTATCTCTTGTATGTAAAATAACGCAAGAGGGGTAATGAAAATGAGAAGGTTCCCATTAGAACATTTATAAATGTAATTTCTGAGGGAAAAGGTAAGAAGGCCATTCATTTTGGTGCATCTAGAGGAGACTTAGATGTGTTTAAATTTTTGGTCAAAAAGGGAGCAGATGTTAATTTGTTGGATGATGAAAAGAATAATCCATTTATGATTGCTGTTCAACATAATCATTTATCTATTGTACAATATTTAATTGATTTCCATCATGTTGATGTGAATTACTCTAGAAATACAATTACAGCTCTTCATTTGGCTGCTTAATAAGGTGCTATTCCAATGATTGAATTATTACTTTCAGCAGGAGCCAATATCAATGCATTGTCCAATTTTGGAACTCCAGTTTCATTTGCAGTGGCATATTAATAAAATTGGAGTGCTCTCCATTTAATAAAGAAAGGAGCAGACTTAAATATTGTTTAAAATGGAATGCCTTCTTTATTACATTTATTAATTGACTAAAATAATCAAGAATTATTTAATACAATATTTGAAGAATTTCCTGATAAAATTGATGTTAATATCAAAGACCCAGATGGATGGTCAGCTTTACATTTATGTGCAGAGAAAGGATTATTAAAATTTTCATAAACATTGATTAAATATGGGGCTGATATTAATTATGAAAATTAAAAGTAAACTCCTTTAGACTTAGCAGTATAAAATGAAAAATGGGATTGTGTTGAATATTATAGAGAATTTGCTTTGAGAAAAGAACCTTAAATTCCACCTTCTCTAGTGTAGCTGACAGATGCATAAGTTAAGGATATATATAATGAGATTAATGTTGAAAAAGTGGAAGCTAACAAATTATTATAAGCTGAAAAATATGAATAAGCAGTTATTAAATATACTGAAATAATTGAGAAATCAAAATAGATTGTTGATTAATATAGAGATGAAATTGTGAAGATTTACACTAATTTAGCAAATGCTTAATTGAAATTATCAAAATATAAGGATATTTTAACAATTTGTAAATAGGCTAGAAATGTTAAGAAAGATTGGGTTAAGATCTACTATTATGAAGGTTAAGCTTATGAAGGATTGAATGAATTTGGAGAGGCAGCAGCATCCTATTTTGAAGCATTAAAGATTTAATAGGAGCCAGGAATGAAAGCATTATTTGATTAAGCTATCAAGAGAGGCAAGGAATTACATAAATAAAAATGATCACAAATACATTTCCAATATTTCCTATAAATTTTCTTTATTTATTGGTTTTTCTAGGTAATCAACCATCCCAGATAATTGTGCTTAATATTTTGTCTGCATATCACTAAAAGCTGAACAAGCTACTATAGTAATTTAAGGTTATAAATATTTGATTTATCTTGTTGTTTCAAATCCATCCATTTATGGCATATTAATATCCATCAAAATTAAATGATATTAACATTTTTAATTTAATCTTGATTCCACTTATTAAATAGCTTAATATCCATTTTATGCTATATCACTCTCAAAACCAAGCATTTTAATCATTATTTTAAGTGGGAATAAATTTGCTGGTTCATCATCTACTAATAACAATTTAACAAATTAACATTCTGGTGAACTCATTGAGGGAAATCTTGCTCTTTATCCAGGTAAATGATTAGGTTTTGGATCCTCAGCAATTGTTCTATCATCTTCTTCCATAATCATAATATTATCATCTTTGATATTTGATGGAAAGAATATTTAAGGTTATGGTCTCTGGAATGATTTATTAGGACTTAATCTTTTGATTTATGATGGACAACTTTTAGGATTAGATGCAATACTGGAAAGAGGATGAGCAAGATTTGATTTCTAATGAAGGAATACTTTCTTATCTATCATTTTTATTGATTTTGATTCAAATTAACTTGTTGGTGATTCTAATACTTAATATTTCCAAATATAAAACCAAAACTTAGTTCCATCTCCTAATTTTGATTTAAATTTTAAATATTCTTTATGAGCTTATTTGAAAGATGATAGATGTTTAATTAAGTAATTTGAATTTAATAATCCTAAACCTAATCCAGCTGCACCTTCTGAAAGTTTAGAAGTTAAAATTAAATCATTTCCTAACATTTATTCTATATTGGAGGCAACACTTTCTGAAATTCCTATACCTGAATCTAAAACAGAGAATTTGATTCTTTTGTCATCTTCTTTTTCTGCTGTTACATATATATGTCCATCTTAATTAGTGTATTTGATAGCATTTTAGATAAGATTTTAGAGTATTTATTTAATTCTTTATTCATCTTATTTGAAATTGACAGTAACTTTATTCACTAAATATAGGGAAATCTTTTTTTATTATGCTTATTATTTAAATAAGGTTTAGAGTTCAGAAAAGATTTCATCAATATTCACATCATCAATTTCTAATTGAAATGTTTTACTACGTAATTAATGAAAGTCTTTTAAATCTTTTACCATATTATTCATAATCACTACACAATTATAAATAGAATCAAATTGTTCTTTCATAGATGGGAATTAAGCCAATCCATTTTATGCATTTAAAGCAATTTAATTTAATAATGTTCCAAATTCATGACTAAAAGATTGAAATAATTTATTCATTAATGCATAACATGAATTTTTCTTTATATATTTTGAAAATTCTTTAATTTCTTCAAACTTTAATATGATTACATCTCTTTCAAAATGCAATTTTATCTAATAATATTCTAATAATATAAAATTAGTTTTAATTATTAATATATCTGTTGTCTTTTGTAAAATTTAACATTTGCTTATTAGTTAACGTAGACTAATTCCTTTAATTTTTTAATTCAAGTTTCTTTGAGTTTATTTATCTACTTTAAGTATTTTCATATGATCTAATAGATTGTCTTCAGATACTTCATCTTTAATTAAAATGTCTTTGAGTTCATTGGTAAATGATCTTACATCAAGGGTTGTTGAATTTTCAAGTACAATAGCTTTATATGATATAAAATTAATGTCCTCCAATAGAACAAGTGATTTTATAGTATTTGGCATCCGAGAAGTAAGTAAAGAACCTTTACTTGATTGTTTTTATAGTTTCTACTCTTTGATAGCCCAAGAAAAATAAGTGACAATTAAAACAGTGAATACACTCATCAAATAAGATTGGACTTCATTATTTTATGAATATATACAGATTAGGGTTACATGGACTATGATAATTTCCAATACTACTTGAGCAAGCAAGAATATTAATATGCCATCTTTTTTAGTCATTTTACATAAAAAGTATGAATCCGACAAGTGATTAAAGCACCATGAATTGATCATTTTGTTTGGCAAAAACACTCACGATATTGATTGCAAATTGAGCATAAATATTTAAGTTACTATATTTTGTTAATAGTACTATTTAAAATAGACTAATAGCTAAGCTAATTAGAAGCAAAATAAGATTCAAAAGGGGAGCTCTAGTGCATTCTAAAGTTGCATAAATGAGTTGCAGAATGTACATTCCAATAATGGCTTATTTTTTATGTTTAATCATTATATAATTAAATTCAAGTGATTCAACAACTTCTAGAGTTCTAACTTTGTAACAGGTTTATTAATATAGTATTTCATTCCAACAGAATAACACTTAGTTTTAGTTTCGACATCACTAAAGGCAGTACATGCAACAATAATATTATCATTATCAAATTTTAGAATTTATTCTGTAGCCTAAAAGCCATCCATAATAGGCATATTAACATCCATAAAAATCACATCGAATTTTTCATTAGCTTTATTATATAAAAATATATTATACATTCTTACATTTTATTTAATGCTTCTAATCCATTAAAAGCAGAAGTGCATTTAATATTAAATTGATTAAGTAAAATCTTCAAACTAATAATGTTAATCATTTCATCATCAACAATTAAAATATGAGGTTATTCTCTAATTGTTTTGACACTTGTTATGTCAACAACAGAAGCTCCAAAAGTAGGTGATTTTTTTTAACCTTCCCTTTTTCTAATTTGAGGAGATTATTTCATTCTTTCAATAATTTCATTTTCTTATTTTAATTCCTATTCTACATAATCAATAATGTAATTTGGTGAGAATGAAGCTGATAATAAACCTGATTTTTTAGTCATTGTTAATAATATATGATTTTCAACAGGTTTATGTTTATTTGTAATTTGTAAGTCTATCACTGATTAACGAGAATCGAAATATCCATTTTCATTAAATAATATTCCAGATTTTGCAGAAGATATATCACAACTTGTATAAAATATTTCAAAAGGTTGATTCTTTACTCGAAAAGAAACTCTTATACCTTTTTCTAATCTTACATATTTTAGACCTCCACCTGCTAATACTGATAAATTAGATAATTTTAAAGCAATTTATTGAGATAGATAACAACCTAAACCAAATCCAGCAGTATGTTAAGAAATCTTTTCTTCTGATTTAAATTCATTTTCTAAAGCTTAATTTAGATTGTTAAATGTTTCTTAGCTCATTCCGAAACCACTGTCTTCTACTGAAAATATAGTGTATCCTGATTGTTCAGTTACATTAATCTTTATTCCCCCTGAAACAGTAAACTTTTAAGCATTTGCAATTAGATTACTCAATACTTATTTACATCTTCGTCCATCAAAGAATTTAGACTTCTCTTCTAATATAATTTAATATGTTATATTTAGACCCTTTTCTTCTATTTATTTTTAATAGAATCCTATAACTTCTTAAAGTAAGGCTTCTACATCAACAAGTGCAAATTACAATTAAAATTTCTTATTTAATATATCACTATAGTCTACCATGTCTTATACAAAATGATGCATTATCTATCCTGTTGATTTAATTGGTTAGAAGAATCCTATTTAATTTGGGAATCGATCTATTGCTACTTAAGATAATGCCAAGAGATAATTTAATAATGTTCCAAATTCATGAGAAAATGTTTTGAATAACTAGAATAAAATTTAACTGAGATATTTCTTTTTAATAAAGGTATCCCTTTCATTAACTTAGATGAATTGAATTTCAAATTAATTTTTATAATGAACCAAAATTAAGTATTTCTAGAATGATGAATGATTATAATCCAATACTTAAACATTTATTTCTGATCTTTTATTTATTATTCTTTTTAATAATTATAATAAGGATTCTTCTCTCCATTTTCCTAATTTCTTTTCAGAATTAGTATCTATATTTGTTATACTAATTTCTTATAATAATTTATTAGGATCTTCATAATTCAATTGATTTAGAATATCATTCATCTTTGAGTTAGAATAAATTATTGCTAAGAAATCATCAAGAATTATTTCTGGATTCCTTACTTATCTTTAAGTTTACTATGGTTAAGTTTACTATTGCTAAGATATAATTTATTCAGTTTCCATTTTTATTGATGGTTGCTCTTTTTGTTTTTCAACTATTTTTCTTGGATTTTAATTAAAGAAAACTTGAACTTAAAATCCAATAAAGAAAAATGCTGAAATAGATGTACGTATGATATCTAATACTTCCAATTTAGTACTTAATACACCTATTAAAATAAAATAACCTAATTATTATCAAAGTAATACTTGAAAATTCAAGGTTATTAAATATATTACTCTATGATTTTATAAATTATCTCATTATACATTGATATATCGCAGTGATAGCTAAAAGCTTAGGATTTTTAAATATTGAAAATATTAATGATGCTTAGATTATTAACAACAATCTGATTATGTATTAATATTGGTTTCTCAAAGTTAAAGCAATTAGAATTGCATCAATACATATAGATATGCTCAAAAAGACATATTCAATAATTTATTCGCATTCCCAAAATTCTAATATGCTAGATGAAACATTGGCGAAAATTAGCAATATCATTATTAAAATTATATAGGTATTTTTTATAATCTATGATGTTCACTGGCTTATTAAAGAATATACATCTTGTAATCACATAAAAATGCTATTTACTATGAATATCTATATAAATTATGATAACATTAATCTGACTAAAATTTTCATAAGCAAAAATACTTAAAAATTATTATATATTATTTGAAAGTCTGTTTAAGCATTATGATGTAATATTTTTTACAAAAAATTGAAAATATATATATAGAATTAATATAGTGATCTCATTTTATAATATAATATTATCAATCAATCTTTGATTAGATGTTTTTTTTCTTTAATTCATCAATTTATAATTTGATCCATGGAGGTAAAACTGCCTTCTATTTAACCTTTATTATATCTTAAGCATCTAGTAAGGCAGCTTAAATTCCTCCCTTTAAGAGTACAAGACGTTTAATTCGTTATTTAAGTAAATAATCCATAATTTCTTTTACATTTTATTTTTCTGAATCACATATTACTACTATATAATAGATATTTTATTCTTCAACCAGTCCTCTAAGTTCAAAATAGTTTAATAATTGAATATTATTAATTTTCTTTTTATCATAATATGCAAATAAGGAACCAGATATACATGCCTATTCATAATCCTTAGCACTTCTCATATCTAAAGATAAAACATTAAAGGATGATTTTTATTCTCTTAACAATTATTAAAAATCATGAATTGAGATAGAAAATGTTAATTGCTCTTATAATTATTTAAATGTTAATGGATGTTCCCAAGGTCTTTCTTATAAATATTCATTTTCTTCTTTCATTTAATTACAAATTTCTTCATCCTAATGTGTGAGAATGAAAAATGTTTTATGTAATTAAGTTGAAAATCTAAGAGAATTTTATAAACAATTATCTAATTAAATATTATTCTAAAGATTCTTAAGACAACTAAGCATCCCTTCACTATCTTTAATTTCAAAGGTTGATTTGAGTTCTAACATAATTTAACATGCTAATAGAATTTCAAATGATTCATCTGAAATTAAGAAATAATCATATATTTTCATCACATTCTCCAAGTTGAATTCCCTGGCATAAAAAGTACTAAACCATGAAACAATATGAGTTTCACACTTAAAATCAGTTTCTTTCAGATGATTACTTAATCCTGGATCAAAATATTAGAGTGTCCAATTATATAGTAATATCTTCTCTTATAATTTTTATCCAAAATATTCACTTATTTCTACTTATTCTTCTTCTGGAGGTAAATTGACAATTCTTTTCTTGTAAATCTCATTTAAACATATTGTACTAAGTTCAGAATCATAATTAAAAGCTTCTAAGAGAATATAAGAAATAGAATCCATTCCTTATATATAACAATTAGAAACAGATTAATTTATAAATCCTCTTATTGTAATTCTTATTGCATCTTAAGTTCTTTTACTATATTTTTATCTATTTAAGTCTTTTTCAAGTTAAATTACATCCTTCTCTTTTGAAGCATTCAAATATTCACATAATTCAAGTGTTAATTGTACAATTTATCTTTAGGCTTCTAAGGATTCAAAACCTAGAGCTCTTGGCCAAAATGCTTTTCTTATGTTTTACCAAATTAAACCAGAACCTCCCATAAAATGAATAACTTTAGAAATGAAAGTTTAAAATGCTTTTTCAGATGCTTAGGAAATCAATTTCAATAATAATACTTATGCCATATAAGTTGGCTCTTAAGGAGCAAGTACTTATTCTTACATATCTTCACTTTTTTATTCTTGTTTTTTAAACCATTTTCTAAATAAAAATTATTATTTCTTAGGTTATATAACTTGATTTTCTTCTTATTATTAAGGATTTGCAATTTTGGTAAGAGTAGCAATCAATTCTTCTAGTGTGCAATTATTGGGACAATTTTAAATGATTTAAGTAATTTGACTATTGATTTCAGATTTCAATTCACCAATAGGATAAATACCTTCCTTAAGATCACTGATATAAATTATTTCTTCCATAGAAAAAAATTGATCTGCCCAATCTAAGTTGAAAAATTTATTCTTTACAAATTAGAAAAATACTGCTAAAGACATTTGATTTGATTATTTAGGTTAAATTTCAATTTACTTATGTTCATAGAATAAAGGATTTGAAAGTAATTCTTTAATTGAACTTCTTTCATCTTCTTCCCTTAACATCTATTGGATGAGATCTCTTAAAGACCAACTATATTTAGAGTTTTTAAGAATATCTTAATAATTATTAGTATTATCCTTTTTGAATTCAAAATAAATGCATTATAATAAAATGATTCCTAATGAATAAACAGATGCTTTAGGTGCATTAATTTCTTAACTTAAATGTTTATTGAAATCATCACAATCATTGAGTTCAATATCTAAATACTTATATAATTCAGGTGCCAAATATAATTTGTCTTCTGATTCCAAAAATTATCTTTGATTTTGATGAACCATTTACTCCATATAATTGATGATCTTCCATTTTTTGATTATGTAAGAGGGACTCAAGTATAATATGTTAATATTTGATAAACCATTAAGTATTGCATATGCCAATTATACAATTTCATCTTCATTCATTGGAGCATTATTCTAATGTCTTAATTTAATATAATCCATAAGAGTTTCTGGATGTGTTTCACTAATAAATGTAATAGTTTCATTTTCTGTAGAAAGTACATAGTATTTGCTGAGATATTATGAATTTGGTGGATTTGATATGATTTCAACAAGATTTTGCATATAATCTTCAAATTATTGTATATGATTAGTATTTTAGCATTAATCAAATTGGTCTTCTTCATAGTATGAAGAATTGAGTTATTACACTTGTCTGACTATTTTATTAGTATAACATTGAATGTATTGTTCTGATTGATTTCTTTCACTTGGATTAGAAAATGATTTAAGACTAGGAGTTTTTAACATTAATGAATGAATATTTTAGTTAATAAATATATATAATTAGTTGAAATATATTCACATGATTTGACAGGCTTTTGACCTTGATTTAATTAGGAGTTGTTTATTATGCTATCAAATTATTAGATTTTATTACTACAATGTTAGTATTGGTGATATTGAGTTCATAATTTTAATTAGAATTAGAAAAGTGATTATCTTGGAATTGGCAACTATTAATATTGACCTTGAATCCTATTTAATATTTTCAGACTTACTTTTATCATTTAATTCTCCTTAATGTGAAAGATTCAAGGCATTGCAATTAGAATAGAATGCACTTTTAGAAATCTGGAGATTAATTGGATAATATGATAAATTACTATTAAGGAAAATACCATGTATTCGATTAGAACTAATAGTAGAATTTATAATAGTAATAATAAAAGGATTGATAGTATTTTAATCTGCTATTTTGGTAGTACTGATATCAATATCCATTCCTATTGTATTGTCTTAGATATTGATTTCATCTATTTCCATACATACTACTTCTCTTATCATTAATGCAGTTTATTCCATACTAGACATAATATTCTATTTAAGAGAGATTGGTTTAATTTGTTTAACTAATTAACAGACTTCAACCACATTCTATAGAAATATTCCAATTCTACATTTTGTGATAGTATTTTTAAATAATTATAATTTGTCAACTACAATATTATTCATTTTAATTGCATAATCCATAGATCTAAAAAAAACATTCTTTTCTATTAATATTGATTTATTCTAGATATTATCAAGAGAAATAGAAGTTTATTAATTTTTAAATTCATTATCTATAATTCTAATTTCTACATTCTTACTATTTGTTATGATGACTGAACTACCTTCTATAATTGAATTTATTATCTCCATAGCAAATTCTCCAAGGTTATTTGCATGAATCAAAATTGATTATTATTATTAACAATCATTTTGTATTATTATTGAATGATTAATACTTAATTTTGTTGCATTACCTTCACAACCAATTAATACCTAAAATCCATTTAATTTAGTGTCATTAATGATTAAGGAGTTATCAAATTGAATAAACATCCCTCTATTTTAGAAGTTCTCAACACTACATGCCATAATCATTAAGTTTCTACAATGCACTTTAATGCATGGAGTTATTTACTAAACTTCTATTTGAAATCCTTAAATACTACATTCTTCATCAAAAATAGAATCTATCGTTATCCCTTCAAATACCATACATCCACCCTTAAATTGAATCACAGAATCAATTCCACTTAATTTCAACACTTATGAAATTACTACTTCCCTATTTATTATTATTTTCTTCCTCTTTACTTCAACTCTATCTGATATTAGTAATTATTGAAATGTATCCCAATCCATTTCTTCATATGTTGGTGTATCCACAGTTTAATTAGTTGAACTTAATGATTCCCTTCTATATTCATTAAGTATAACATTTTCATTCATTTTATAATATAATGAATATCAATCACCAAATCAATTTTTACTTTGCCAATCGTCAATATACATTAGTTTGGTAAGATCTCGATCAAAATATCATAAATGAAGTTATCTTCTTTGTTTTAAATGACATTTCCTCAAAAAATAAATTGAATCACTTAACATTCACTGATACCAATTCTACACCAATTCAATAATCACTTACACTCTTTATTTAATTACAACATATCTTCATCAATATATCTAACACTAATAATATACCTCCCATTAATGAAATATAAGAATGGGAATTTTAGAACCTCTATTAGATAAATCCAAATCAACTTATAATCTAAAAATTTAAGAATAAGCGTAAATTAGAAAGTGTAAACTATCAGATGTAAACAATAATTAATCTAAATCAACAATTCCGAGAGACTAGCTAAAACATTAAAGATAATAACAACATGATCAATCAAAAATAAAGTATAGAAAGAAGTGCCAATTCTTATCCAATCACCAAAATATAATCTACAAACATCTAGTAATTAAATAAACTTCAAACTCAATTAAAATCTTACACCATAGAAGAAGTATAATTCTCAATTATTTTTAAGGTTTAATAACACAATACATAGAAAGATGCTTGGATTGTTTTATAGGATAATATCTATGATGTGTCGTATTATATTGAAAAACATCCTGGTGGTAGAGAATAGATTCTAAGAGGAGTTGGAAAGGATGCTACTTTTCTGTTTCTTTAACATCATCCTTGGATTAACTTTCATTATATTCTTGAAAAATTTTAAGTTGGTTATTTAGTAAAATGAGTATTTATAATAACAAAATATATAGATTAAAATTTTCAATTCCATAAATTATTTAATATATTGAATTTATTAGAATTAGAATTAGAATGAAAATGATTATTCATTCTCTTTTTCATATTAATTTTTATATCTAAATTAAACAGAACATTTATTTCTTTAATTCCATTTATTTTAAATATATATGTCTGAAATTATTAATGTACTTCTAAGAAGATAAATTAGTCTTTGATTTGTATTTACAATTGAATCAACTTACCAATATGTTAAGAAGAATAAACTCATATTTTAAAGAAGGATAAATTCATACACAAAACTATTAGCATATTGTAAATCATATATCAATCCAATTTCTATTAAATTCACTTTAGATACAAATATCTCAAAAATTCATTAGTTTATCTGATATTTTGTTGTTGATCTTACCTCAAATTTAAAGAAAACAATAATTGAATAGATTTTTCAATTACATTTAAAAAAAAAACTTAATATTACGTTTCATTCAATTATAATTTTAGTGTTATTTATCACTTAATAATAATAACATAATATTTGTAAGCATTATATAATTTGATCATATTTTACAACTATTAATTTATAATGATAATTTTGTACAATAACTTCAGAATATCAAATCAGTTAAATACTCAAGAATGAAATTATCCAATTTTATTAATAATAAGATATAAATAATTAGTTATTCCCATTTTAATAATATAAACAGATGGGAAATAGAATTAAACTGAACAAATATTTAAATTGAGAATAACAAAAATATACTTAATTTTATATATATATATATATATTTGTATTGATTGAAGCATTCATAGGATTAATAAATTAATTTTCTGTTAAGTAATGGACCTGAGTGTAAGATTTAATAAAATGTATAATAAATTTGACCTTTATATGAACAAGAGTCCATTCAAATATATAAGTTCTAATGGTATAGTTTAAACATAACTAAACTATAAGTCCATTTATAATATAAGTATAAAAATTATATTAAATATGATATTGGCTATTTTATACAGTAGCATTTGGTTGTGCAATACAATCTACGAAATGATGCTTGGAATTGAGTACAATATTTATATGATAGAGACAGCTATTTTATCATGGTATCGAGTTGGGGATTGTTCTATGTTTCCTCATATTCCAATATCTACAAAAATCTAGACAATCTATAAGCTACCTGATTCCAATTCTTCTATTATCCCTCAATATTTCAAGTAACCATTAAATTTAATATAGTTATTAACTAAGAAATGAATAATGAAAAACTATTTTTATTTTTGCTTCCACCATTATTATACGACCATTTAAATAAGGATGAAACAAAGAAATCTTATTTTATCATTTTCAAATCTCTTCATCTCATCATAATGGGTATTTGGAAGGTGTTAGATAATGTGAATAAAGGTTAACCAATAATAATAACATTTATATTATTATTGTTTACATTCTATCTGTAAAAATAATATGATCAACAAATCAAAAGAAATGAAGGGGGTCTTGAAGACACCATAAATATCAAAACTATAACAGAAACAGATCGAATATGGGAATCATAAAATAGTCTTGTAAGTATAATCAAATTAGATGGTAAATTAAATATGATGATGAGTAATACAAGAGCATAAGATTTATTGAAAAACATAAATATTTAGGAACTCTTAAATAGTCCTTTATTATCAGTGGACAGGTAGACCAAATTATTAATGCAGGAGTAATTCAGTTGTAAATTTCCATCCATTCAAGATTTAAAAGAAGTATAACAACATTATTCATTAAATGAATTACTGGACTAACTCTAGTAATTACAGAAATTCCCTTATGAATTTGAAGTTTTCAACATAAGAGGATATAATGATCTTCATTTAAAAGTGTTTTATTTTGAACCAAAGTCTTTTACAATATTGTTACAAAATATGGAAGAATACAATTTATAAATTAAGAAAGTATTTACCCAAACTACTATGCAACAATTATTTAAAAGTTTTAGCCATGAATACAATACATCTTTAAATTATATATTAGCATTAGCATAGGTAGCTGAATGTCATGAAGAAGTACCACCAAATATCAAAGAATAATTCTTTAAACCTATATTGGTTAATGGGAAAGTTATGCATAGTATGGTTTTAGATATGATGGATTATAATAGTATTTTAGGAAAGACATTCAGTTTATAAGTGGCAGTTTTCAATATTTAAGAATTAATATTGGAAGTTATTTCACTTTTTAAAGATTAAATATCCAAAAAGAATCTAGAAATCAAAATTGAATTCAATTCTAAAATAACATAGATTCTATCTGATCGAAATAGAATTAAACAAATTTTGATTAATTTAGTATCAAATGCATAAAAGTTTACACTTTAAGGATCAATATCCCTAAAAGTTGAAACCTCTTTTTCTAATAAGAATTAACCATGTGTAGTTTTCCATGTTGAAGATACTGGTATAGGAATGACAAAATCAGAATAAGATCGATTGACATTATTATTATAATAAGGAGTGCCTTCAATATAAAAAATATCAAAAAATACAGCTGGATTTGGATTAGGACTCTTTATCAGTAATAAAATAGCAGAAGCTTTATCATAATAGAGATTCGAAAAAGGAGGTGGACTCAGATTCGAAACATAAACAGGAAAAGGATTTCATTGTTGGTTTTCTGTGTATCCATAAACTGTTAGTCCTAGTGTTAAACCCAACAATCCAAAAAGTCCATTGATAATGCTTAATAAAAAGATTATTATAGATACAAGATAAACTGAGGTTAATGCTGGGATAGAGACATACAAAAGAGGACTTATGAGATCCAAATTCTCTCATCTATTGGGTTGTAATGGATAGATAAATGATGGAAATCAAATAAGATAAAGAAGACCACATAGTTAAATACGTTTTGTATAAGAACTTATTGATGCTGTATCAATGGATACAATTAATAATGAATGTTCAGTAGAAGATTATTAAACAAGAGTCAAATATATTAAATCTTAATAATATTAATAATAATAATAATCATTTTTATTGAGAAGCAATTAATCATTAGTTGAATGTCGTTGTCCCAATATTCTTATAGTAGATGATGAATAGATTAATATATTAGCATTATCAATTTTATTAGAATAGCTTGGTTTAAGTTCTGATTAAGTTTTTAATGGACAGGAATGTGTTGATTTGATATACTAAAGATAAAAGAAAAGTATTGATAAAATACATATTATTAGCATATTGTGCGAAATGTAGTGATAAATAGTACTAATTAATATTTATGGATATCAACATGCCTCTTCTTGATGGATGGGAAGCATCAAGGTAAATTAAAAAACGGTTTTCAATTGCCATAATAGCTTGTACTGCTTTTACTGATAATGAAACAAAAGAATAATGTTATCAAAATGGAATAGATTATTATTTATCTAAACCAGTAAAAAAGGAATCACTAATTTAAGTGTTGCAATATTACCGTATACTTTGACTTAACAAATCTTTTTTATATTTATATAATAATAATATATTACCAGATTAAAGAATTATTTTCAATTTATAAACTATATAAAAATGACGTAAATTTTAATTTAATATTATATTAACAATTATTATTGTGTCATTTTAGACTAATTATTAATAAAATAGAAATAAAAATATTATATGCTCAAAAACTTTGGAGAATTCTTAAGAAGAATTGATTAATTTGGAGCCAATTATAAACCTAGTTATGCCTATGGAGAAGTTCAATACAGAACATCTTTGGGAGGATTACTATCAATTATTTTATATGGATTAAGTTTGGCTTATTTAATATATGAAATGGTGTTGTGGAAGTCTGGGAGAATACTTCCAAAAATTACATCCTTGAATACAGAAATTGAAACTTATTAATTATCTTTTGATAAAGTAGTTTCCTTTTGTTTGAGAAGACACAAGAGTATTACAGATTAAATTGACCCTTTTGATCCTAATCATGTAGTTTTAATACCAATGCTATATGAAATAATAGATGACGAACTCTAGGATCCATTACCGTTATTTTCAACAAAGAAATCGGATAAACATGGAACTACATTGATAGAACTCAAAGATATTTAATTGTCAAATAATCAACATTAATCAATAAAATATCCAAATAAGGAGTATATGCTTATTTTATAATAATGTGTTTAAACTATATTACCTTTAGGATGGTGTTGCGCAGATGATGATATAATTAAGAGATTCTTTAATTAAAGATAGAATTAATTGTCCATCTAGACATTTTTTAATTAATTTAATACTTCCACAAGATAATTAGACTTAGTCGAGTAAGATTATTATGCTTCTATTGACAATAAAACTACATATTTTAGTCAAATAACTATCTGTACATCAAATGTATCAATAGACACTGGATTTATATTGGAGAGTTTGGAAATTATGGAATTTCCTAGTTCAACTTAATAATATATTCAGTAGATGGATTTAGATTATTTTACTCACACTTTTCATAAGGAAGTGTATGTTGTATTTGAATTTTAGTTGGGAACCTTGTAATAGACAGTGGTGATTGAATATCCAAAAATCTCTGAAGTATTAGCAAATATTGGATCTATAATATCTTTCTTTTTATTCTTCTCTCATTTTGCTTACATCATAAATGAGAAGAATTTAGAATCAAAGGTAGTTAGAACTCTAATTGAAATGTATTATCCTTAAATGAAATAAATTACTTTTGAGAAAAATTTCTTTGGCAAAGTGATCAATATCAGATATCAAAATTAATTAATAGCAATTTCATTTTTAAAATCTTATAAAAAATTGTTAAGAATTGCCTCTGCAAAATTATGTTTAACCAATACTTTATATGAAATCTCTAGATTATAATTCATAATAAGGGCAATATGTGATAAGGAAGTATTTAGAAACTGTCATGAAATTGGAATAATATTAAAATCTTTAGAAATAGAAACTAACTCAATAAAAATTGATAATAATCAAAATATTGATAACAATTAAGAACTTAAATAAGATATCATTGATAATAATTCAATTGATGATTAGAATCATAATATACTCAAAATTGTAATTCTATATTTTCTAATTATTTAGATACCATAAACTTTGGTAGATGTATCATAATCCATTGTATAATTCTAAAAATTAAATCAATCTCAAAGTCTATTTTTGGGAAAGAATATGCAACCTCAAGAATCAATAGATGCTGAATTGAAATTGACTGATGAAGATTTTTATATCCTCATGTAAGAATAGTAGAAAATAAAGGATTTCAACATAGTTGAATTGTATGATACTATGACACCTAAAGCTAAATCTTAAATTCATAAACCTAATTGATAAAATTGATTATGTAAATTTATATCCTTCTTATATTACTCAAAATACATAGTTTTAATAATATATTAAATACAATTATAGAATATTAATGATTATGATATTATATAATAATATAATATCAAAACTCATTCATTAATTAATTTGACAAAATCAATATTTGTATCCTGCTACATAAGTACCAACCACTTTACTTTAAGGAGCCTGACTTCTGAAAACATTGGCATCCATAGTGCTATTTCTTTATTAAGGTTTGATTTGACTTTAACCAACATTGACTCGAGAATTCAATCTAGAATAATCATCTAAATTCCCATAATTATATTAGATATTTGAAGAGTTATAAATACTAGACTGACTCATCAATTCCACTTTTTAGGTGAATGTTTATAAAATCAATTTTGCTAATTATGATTTAAATATTACGTTTTACTCTTATAATTTAAGAATACACTTTTTTTTATTCACACTATGGACACTTTAGAAATTTAATAGAACAACAAACACCTATTTTATGTAATGTACAATCAACTTCTTATCTTAAATTATATTCTGAAAAGTTAGTAAAACACATTGTGCATTCACCTTATTCAATATATTCTTTTTAAATCTAGTTATCTTAATTTTACTATAAAAGATTATCATTAGCTGATTAAGAATTATGCTATTTTTCATTTTGATCTAATAATTATTATTATTGGTAACTAATAAATCTTGAAGGATATTTCTCCACTTTTTAAGATTAAATTGATTATTATTATTATTATTATTATTATTATTATTATTATTATTGTTATTGAAGAGTTTAAGATTCTTTAAGTTCTTTTTCCTCTTTTTCTTTCTAGGATTATTCTTCAAATTTCATTCTCTCTTCAATCAAACTTATTTATTATTGATAATAAAATGTTTCAAAATCTCTTCCATATTTATTATTACATAAAGGACATGTAAAAATTTAATGATTTGGCTAATTCTATATTAACTTTTAAACATGTTAATGAATACAAGTAAAACAAATGAAATGCTTACACTTTTTATCATTATATAAACTAGAATAAGTAGTTTCATTGCTACATTTACTACATTTTGGTAATTATTATTTTTAAGTTTAAACAACCTTTTAATTTTTATATTTATCCTCTTCTAATTACTCCCTTTAAGAAAATAAAAAATCATCAATTATTTTATCACAACCATCAACTACACACTTTTATCCTTTTTATGTAATTCGTTATTTAAAGCAATCTATACAAAATCTATGGTTGCATTACTTATTAATATATAGTTAGTTTGTAGATGTATGATAACAATAATGACATTATTATTATGTTTAATCAATAAATTTATTATATTTAACTTAAATGGATTTTTAATTCTTATCTAAATCTTCTGTAATAGATTCATAATCTTTTGGATTATCATTAGTAAATTATTATGATTTCTATAAACTAAGTTATTAATTCTTTTGTTATTTTTGTACTTCTATCTTAAGTTCATCATTTAAATATTAATCAATATCTTTTATCATTATTTTTTCTCTACAACCATAAAGACAATTAGCAATCAAGTTTTAATTTCCCTTTTTTACTTTATCAGTCAAACATTTTTTGCAAAATATGTGAAGACAATAACAATTTATAAAATAATCATTAACTATTCTGGAGCATAATTAGCATTTTTAATTTGGTTGATTAATATACTAAATCAAAGGACTTGTTTATTTAATTAAATAAAAACCTTCCAGGTGCTATATAATGAATATTTTTGACTTACTAGCATAACCTAAGGAATACTGTCCAATTAAAAGTACTTAAATTGAAAAACATTTTGCTATGCTATCTATTGTTAATTTTTCATTATTAATAGAGTATTTTAAATCTTACAGATCACAAAATTCTTCTAAAAGTTATTGTCCTTTTTAATTATTGTTATCAATATTTTAGAGAAAATTGAAAAATTCTTTTGTATTAATATTTTTAATTCTCAGATTATAAATTTATTAAGCTATTTGTTAATTGTATTCTTTTTTATAACTTCTTTTTGGTTTAGCCAATTATTCAATTGCTTATGATTTATTATTTGCAATAAAATAATCTAACAAAGCAATAAAAAATGTTGCTATTAGATTTTTTCCTAGATATTGCCATTATTAAAATTATTTAAGTTCTTAAAACTATTGTTTATTAATCTATGGAATTAATCCTACTTCATATATTCCAAGCTTCATTTAATATTATAAATAACATTTTATAATATAATTAATTTTATTATGATATTTCATCATATTTGAGCAGAATTAATAAAATATCATCCAGGTTCATTAAAAACTATTAAACCTATGATTACAAGTATAAATTACAAGGGGATATTAAATTTTCATAAAATTCAAGAATTATAAATTTTAATGTTTAAGATTAAGAAATAAGAATTAAGGATATTTATTAAAATGAATAGCATTTTAAGAATATTGAATGATGTAGTGTCTTATTTTGATATCTATTTTGTTTTATAAAATATTATATAGAAATTTCCAAATTCTGATTTGATAAGAGTAGGTGATTCATGAGTGAGTTGAGAATATTTATGAAGACAAGTGTATTTGATAAGGAAAGATAAATAAATATAATTTATGGCAACAAAGGAACACAGTCTTTATAAATTAGTAAGCAAAGATTAAGCTGAAGCATTTGCATGGTCTTTTGAGGGTCCAAATACAGAGGCAGTCCTCTATCCATTTTAATTCCCTCCCCTTAGACCAGATGAAGTTAGAATTCAATAGACATATTTTGGTTTATGCTATACAGATTGTAAATTGTATGATTTATTTTTAAGGTCATCTTGTTAATTAAGATTGGTTCCCAATTAGTTATCCAAGTGTTCCTGGACATGAAATCTTAGGTCATATAGTATAAAAAGGAGACTAAGTAACACAATTTTAAATTGGTGACTTGGTTGGAGCAGGATTTATAAGAGATAGTTGTGGAAAATGCAAATAATGTATTTTAGGAAATGATTAATTGTGTGGATAAGTTGGTAATGAACATTTAATTCCATTACCAAAATTCGGTGGATTTGCTACTCATGTCTAATTACCAGCAAAATGGACATTCCCAATTCCAAATACAATTCCATAACATCTTGCACCTCCTCTTTTGTGTGCAGGTATTACAGTATATGCTCCACTTAAAAGACATTTTGGAGCCAATAAAAATGTTGGTATCTTAGGAATAGGTGGTCTTGGACATTTAGCAATTAAATTTTCTGCTGCTTTAGGCATGAGAACAACAGCTATTTCTACATCAGCAGATAAAGAAGAAGAGGCAAGATCATATGGTGCTACTGATTTCATTTGTACTAAGAATCAAGAATAGATGGTTAAATCATAAGGAAAATTTGATATGATTTTAAGTTGTGCTAGTGCTAATACAGTTGATGAATTTATAGCTTATACAAATTTACTTAAAAATGGAGGTGATTTTGTTATGGTTGGTATCCCTGCACTTACAAAGGTTGAACTCCAATTACCATTTTTTGCTATGGTTGTAAGATAAATTTCTTTTGTTGGATCTCTAGTTGGATCAAGACAAGTATATTTAAATATTAAGGTTTTTAGGAAAACTATGAAATGATTGAGTTTGCCAATAAACATAAGATATATCCTACTTGTGAGTAATTCGAGTTTGAAAATTTCAAAGGTGCTTATGATAAATTGTTAAATGGAAGACCCAAATATAGATGTGTTGTCAAAGTTGGCAATGCTCCAGAAACACTCAAGTAATGAGAGTATTATATAAAGAATCAATTTAAATTGTTATATTTCTCTTTTTTTTAGAATATACATATGAATTTATAATATATAAATAAATAAACAAATAATCAATTCTTTTTAATTTTTAATGAACATATAATATCCTTTAATTAAATCAGTCTCTATTTCAATTCAATAAAAAACTATTAGAATAGAAAGATCAATTAAACTAATATTGAAAACCCAATAAAAAATAATATTACCCATCCTATGAAATACTTTTGATCAAATGAGAATAGATTACTTACATCATGAATAGCCAGTAAAACTGTAATAAAAATGATAATGAAAATACAAGAGTCAGGTACGGCTGTTTATATAAGTATACTTCTATTTTCAAATGGATTTTAATAAATAATTAATGCTAAATTTAAGAAGCATGTTAAACAACATAATGATGTTTACAATAAAGGCACAGCATAAAAATATATTGTAAAAAATATAAACAAAGCTTTTCTCATTAAATTAACATAACAATAATTCCTAGCCAATTATTATTTAGTATTGATTCCTTCATATAATGAAGAATAATAACTTGAAAAGATTTTATTTTCATATAAAATTTCATGTTAAGAACAAACAAAAGAATATAATTTAAATACCAAATAAATAAAAATAATACCAACCACAGCTAAAATAATATTCAATTAGATGATAGTATATTCTTAATTGCAATTATATTATAATTAAAGAACACAAGCTAAACAAATATCCAAAAATACTAATCCAATTATTTATAGCAATCTAGCTCTAAAATTCTCTATAAAACTTAGAAGTTCTTTATAAATAGCATTTATTAGAGATGGCATTTTCTTTGGTTATATATCTAGTATTTTTGTTGGCAACTTCTGTGGAGAAATTATTTCAACACTCTATTTGAGTTGATTCACTGAAAAAATTTCAATTTTATGTGATTTTATAGAATTTGGTTCATATTTATTTTTAATAATTTATACTATTCCACTTGCACAGATATAGGCTAAAATTGCAAGTAAAATTAGTCCACAAAATAACTAAATATTATTTAGAAATAATGGATTCACATCTTTTTCAGCAAATTTAGGAGGTGCTTCAAAATAATAAGGATCATCTGGTGAATTTAATGAAATAATATCAGGAATATTAATTATATCACCCCATTAAAGTTAATTAAAAAATAATTTAACATTTAAAGGATAATCCACATTAAGAAAGTAAAAATTATTAATCCAAGTCAAAATATCGAGAATTGTCCAGAAGAAATTGAATCCACCTAAAAGAATAGTTAAAGGTCCAATTAATTAAAGTAGGAATGTGAATGTTGAAGAAGCTGCTACTATGCTTTAAGCTTGTGCTTTTTAATCTTCATTATAATACACCAATCTTCTTGGAGTTATAATAATCTCTCTTGTATCTTCTTCAAGAATTCTTGTAACATTTTCCTTTAATGGAACTAATAAATGAATAAGATTAGATTCTAATATTGTTTTAAAGAATTTAAATTATATTTAACAACCCTAACTTATTGATGTGTAATCTTCTTTTATTGTAATATTATATAAGAATTCATTTGATTAAAATTATTCTATCCAAATTTATAATTTATCACAAAGACCTTCTATCTTTATATCCTCAAAATTCAAATCAAAATCATTAGCAGTAGTTGAATTAGAATAAGTAAAAGTAACTTATTTTTTAGGTGGCAAAATACATACACCATCTTTACAAATGAATTCTTTTTCAATTTCACATTTAGAATTGCATCCATCTTTATCAGTCTGATTACCGTCATCACATTATTCTTTACCTGCTATAATATTGTCTCCACATTTAGTAACACATGATTTTAATTGTTTATCTAAATATAACCCAGATATATTATCACATTTCTTACAACCATCAGTTATGCATTTAGTGCAATTATTTGGAGTATTTTCACATTCCTCACATTTTTCTGAACATTAATTACATGAATTATCTTTAAGAAAATAACCAATTTTACATTTTAAACATTCTATTTTGTTAATGTTTAATTTACAATCATCACAATTTTCTTAGCATTTATAACAATAACTTTATTATGATTTATCTTCTTCACATTTATAAGAAGGATCAATTTTACAGAATGTACAACCATCTCTAACAACATCATTTTTGTCATCACATAATTCTTCACCATTTTTTATACCATCTCCACATTTTGTTTCACATTTCTGTCCATTTAAATAATAACCAACTTAGCATTCAAAACATTCACCTTTCAAACAATTTGAACACATTTTATCACACTAATATTTACATTCATAACATCCATCATAAGGAATATTATTCTAATCTTCACATTATTCACTGCCTAACACAATTCCATCTCCACATCTAGTTATACAATCATTAGTGAAACTATCATAATACAATCCTATCAAACCTTCACATTATTTTAGTTCTTCACAAGTTCCCTTTGATTATACTAGTACTAGAGAAGATTCGCATTATATACATTTTCCAAATTAACAATTTAAACATTCCATTTGACATTGATATTTGCATTAAAAACAACCATCATATCTCAATTCATTACCATCATCACATACTTCATCACTTGCCTATATTTTATCTCCACAAACAGAATTACATGAATTACTTACAATATCCAAATAGAATCCTTCTTAACAATGAGTACACACTCCATAAGCACACTTTTTACAATATTGAGGACATTAGTATTTACAATTTAAACAAGAATCTAATGAGTACTAACTACCATCATCACACTCCTCTTCTTATACTATTATACCATCACCGCATTTAGGAATACATTTATTGCCATAATATCCTTATTCACATTCTATACATTACTATAGTAAGCATTTTTTACAATTTCTCGAGCATTTGTTCATATTATACTCTATAATACAATTATTGGTTATCAAATCTAAGTATCCAAACTAACATTATATACATTAGTTATTATTTAACAATTTACAATCTGGCTATTCATAAATTACAAGCAAAGGAGGAGTTGGTTTACATGAATTATTTTATTAATCTAATTCAAAATAATTTTAACAAGATAAACATATTCCATTTTAACATTCATTACAAAATTGAGCACATTAGAATTTACATTAAAAACATCCATCATAATTAATTGAATTTCCGTCATCGCATTCTTCATTTCCTACTACAATTAAATCTCCACAATTAGATTCACAATAGAATAAACCTAATTTCCATCCTTCTTTACATTTAAAACAAACACCATCAATACAACTAATACAATTAGGATCACAAGTTTTTTCACAATAATTATTACAACTGTCATCATTAATTAGATTCTAATCATCACACTATTCTAAATCTTCAATTATACCATTTCCACATGTTTAATTACAGCTGAAATCATACTCACAATCAATTTTTACGCATTAATAATATTCATTCAAATAATAACCACTGCTACAAAATTAACATACTCCTTATAAACAATTAAGACAAGTTTCTTAGCATTTTGATAAACATTTATTTTCAATTAAATTAAACTCTTAAGAACACTGGAAGCATTCACCCTATATACATTCAATACAATTATCAACACATTCATATTTGCACTAATAACAACCATCAAACTATTGCATATTCTAATCGTCACAATCTTCCCATCCAGTTATGTATCCATCACCACAGGATGATTCACAAAATAATAAATCTTAATTGAAGTAAAAACCTGTTGAGCATTCCTATATTAAAATACAGTTATTATTTTCTAAATAATATTATTATGAACATTATAAGCATAAGCCATTATTACAATAAACACAACCTTCTTGACATTTAGAAACACAATCACCATACTCATTTAATTAATATTCATTCTCACAAATTAAACATTATCCCATTAAGTTTAGCTTACATTCAGGTGTGCATTAAGTATCATTCTCTTAACCATAACAAATACCATCTTAAAGAAAGTAATTTTTTTCACATTCTTAACATTAACCCATTATACAATTAATACATTATTAATTACAAGAGTATTTACAATAATAACAACCATCATATTGTAAATGATTATTATCTTCACAGTCCTCATCATGAGCTACAATTCCATCTCCACAATGAGATTCACAGATGTTGGAATATTAGTTAAAATAATATCCATGTTAACATTCATAACAAAGATTTAAAAAATATAATTAGCATAACTTTGGAGCTTCATACATACAACTTAAGCAATCCTGATCATTAATTTCGCATTATTCATCATGTGAGAGTATTCCATCTCCACAAAAGGAAATACATTAAAAGTTTTCATCCAAATAATATCCGCTCTAACAAGTTATACAATTGTTTTCATCACATTATTTGCAGTATTCAAAACATTGATTGCAATATAAATCTGGAGATACCTTAAGATAATATTAACAAAAAGTTAAAGGTATAACATTTAATTTACACTTCTATTCAACTTTATCAAAGTATGCATAATTTTCACATTTGACACAAATCTAGTCAATTTAAATCTAGCAGTTATCAATTACAATAGTATTCTCTAGAGTTTTAATACAATATTATTGATTCAAAGAAAAATAATAACCATCTTTACATTGTTAACATATACCAAATTGACATAAATGGCAATTGATATCACAAGTAAATTTACAAGATTTACAGTTGATTTAAGATACTTAAGAATTTAAAACATCACATTATTCATCATTTTAGTAAATTCCGTCTCCACATATAGGATAACATTTAAATGATTATAATTGATAACCATCTTAACAATGATAACAAAGTCCTTAAATACAATTGAGACATGAATGTTAACAAGTAAATTAACAGAAATGACATCCATCACCTATAATAAAATTGGCATCATCACATTATTCATCATCTGTAATTATCATATCACCACATATTGAATAACATAAATTATCAATTCTATCATAACCTGGTTTACATTAGAGACAACCAAGTCCACTATTATCACAATTTAAACAAGAAGATTAACACTTTGGAATACAATTTTAACATCCTTTATATGGTAATACAAAACTATCTTCACATTTCTCAACTGTTAATTTAATTGAATCTCCACATATTGGAATACATATTTAATTAGAAGATAAATAATATTCAGGAGCACAAATTTCACATTTATTATTAATACAACTAGTACAAATAGATGATAATTAACATTAAAATTAACATGAACTACTACAACCATCATAATTAATTGTATTACCATCATCACATTATTCTGAATAGAATCCATAAGGATCGGTTACTACTAGTCCATCTCCACAAATATTTTTACAATAATAAGAATTAGGAACAAAACCAGGGAATTCACAACTTAAACAAGTTTTAGTAGTATAATCACATGATGAACAACCAATTCTACAGAAATATTTACAATCTTTGCAACCATCTGTATCACTTGAATTTCCATCTTCACATTATTCATTTCCAACAATTTACATATCTCCACATCTTTCTTTACATAACCAAGGAATAATTGTTGGATCAATAAACCATCCTGCAGTAGCACATTCAAAACATTAACCTTTAATACATTAAGTACATGAAGGCTAACATTAATATTTACAATTATAACATCCATCATATTATATAGTATTACCATCTTCACATTCTTCAATTCCAGTAATATATCCATCACCACAAATATCAGGACATGGTAAAATAGTATATTAATTACATGTTAAACAATGAATTGGACATTAATATTAACAATTATAACATAAATCATCTAAAATATTATTATTATCTTCACATTATTCATATCCTTTTATTTATTAATCTCCACAAATAGGTTAACATTCACCAGATATTAATTAAAATCCATTATCACAAGAATTACATATAATTGTATGCCATATCTATTAATTATTATTACATAATTTATAACATTTATTTAAAGATATATCTTCTATATTTGGACAATCTATTAATAATAATAAATAATTTAATTACTTATACAAATATTATTTAATTCATAATAACCAGATATACATTAACATTATAATCCTATTAATATTCTATTTAATGATATATCACATGTTAAACAACCATCTATTGTTGTTCTAAAACATGTTTAACATGATGAATGACAATAAGAACATGTTTATATTGATTCTTAATAATATGATCCTGATGGACATCTACAAGTTGATCCTATAATTTCAATATTAATAATATTGTTGCAATTAATACAATCATTAGAAGTAGGTCCATTACATGTATTACAAAATTAATGACATATTTAACATTATGGATTTGATATAATAGAATAATATCCATCTATACAATTACATTATCCATTTTATAATTATCTATTATTAGTAATTAAACATTCTATACAATAAGTTGAACTTAAACATTAATTACATTCTAATGGACAATCAAAACATTAATTAGATTGTTCATATTAATTGATTTTACAAATACATCCTAATTTACTTAATGTATAAGTAGATTAACATGTTTAACAATCTATTAAAGATTTACATGTTAAACAAGATAATTTANACATTATTCTGAATAGAATCCATAAGGATCGGTTACTACTAGTCCATCTCCACAAATATTTTTACAATAATAAGAATTAGGAACAAAACCAGGGAATTCACAACTTAAACAAGTTTTAGTAGTATAATCACATGATGAACAACCAATTCTACAGAAATATTTACAATCTTTGCAACCATCTGTATCACTTGAATTTCCATCTTCACATTATTCATTTCCAACAATTTACATATCTCCACATCTTTCTTTACATAACCAAGGAATAATTGTTGGATCAATAAACCATCCTGCAGTAGCACATTCAAAACATTAACCTTTAATACATTAAGTACATTAAGGCTAACATTAATATTTACAATTATAACATCCATCATATTATATAGTATTACCATCTTCACATTCTTCAATTCCAGTAATATATCCATCACCACAAATATCAGGACAAGGTAAAATAGTATATTAATTACATGTTAAACAATGAATTGGACATTAATATTAACAATTATAACATAAATCATCTAAAATATTATTATTATCTTCACATTATTCATATCCTTTTATTTATTAATCTCCACAAATAGGTTAACATTCACCAGATATTAATTAAAATCCATTATCACAAGAATTACATATAATTGTATGCCATATATATTAATTATTATTGCATAATTTATAACATTTATTTAAAGATATATCTTCTATATTTGGACAATCTATTAATAATTATAAATAATTTAATTACTTATACAAATATTATTTAATTCATAATAACCAGATATACATTAACATTATAATCCTATTAATATTCTATTTAATGATATATCACATGTTAAACAACCATCTATTGTTGTTCTAAAACATGTTTAACATGATGAATGACAATAAGAACATGTTTATATTGATTCTTAATAATATGATCCTGATGGACATCTACAAGTTGATCCTATAATTTCAATATTAATAATATTGTTGCAATTAATACAATCATTAGAAGTAGGTCCATTACATGTATTACAAAATTAATGACATATTTAACATTATGGATTTGATATAATAGAATAATATCCATCTATACAATTACATTATCCATTTTATAATTATCTATTATTAGTAATTAAACATTCTATACAATAAGTTGAACTTAAACATTAATTACATTCTAATGGACAATCAAAACATTAATTAGATTGTTCATATTAATTGATTTTACAAATACATCCTAATTTACTTAATGTATAAGTAGATTAACATGTTTAACAATCTATTAAAGATTTACATGTTAAACAAGATAATTTACAATCTAAACATCTAACTGAATCTTAATCATAATATTAATTAATTTAACATTCTAATTATGAAAATTTAATAATATTTGGATCATAAGTACTATTCCATAATTAACATGTATTTTAATCAGAACATTATAAACAATAAGGTTAACATTTATGAATAGCTATATAATAATTATAAAATCCACAGTAAGCATTAATAGGTTCATTATTAGGTCCATAACATTCCCATTAAATAGTTAATGTATTTGTATTATGTATTATTTTTGAATATACTCTATCGTATTTTGATCCATCAGAATTAGATGATTAATAACTAAGGATTGATTTAGAAACTGGAGTATTATTTTCAATTGTATATATAAATTACCCATCTGAAGGGAATGATGGTCCATAAAGAATATAAAAGCCAATTGTAATACTATGATGTGGATCAATGATATTATGAACTCTTGAGAATTTAGCTTAAGCCCAAACAAAAGGACCTCCAAATACTCTATATGATTGCCAATATGAATAATAAATATCTAATCCTTTTAAAAAATTAGTTCCATTTTGAGATATCAAAGTATATTATGAATATTATTCAGGATCTGTGGCTTTATTTGTATATTCTTAAATTAAATATTAAGAGTCTAAATATATATATATATGTTACATGGAGTTTCATCATCATAATCTTAACAATAAGAACCATTTAAATTTTAATACGGGCCTGAGCAACCACTAATGCAGCTACCACTTCGATAATAAAAATATCCAGAGATACAAGTCTTACATTTGAATGATACTTCACATAATTAACAATATTAANAACATGTTTATATTGATTCTTAATAATATGATCCTGATGGACATCTACAAGTTGATCCTATAATTTCAATATTAATAATATTGTTGCAATTAATACAATCATTAGAAGTAGGTCCATTACATGTATTACAAAATTAATGACATATTTAACATTATGGATTTGATATAATAGAATAATATCCATCTATACAATTACATTATCCATTTTATAATTATCTATTATTAGTAATTAAACATTCTATACAATAAGTTGAACTTAAACATTAATTACATTCTAATGGACAATCAAAACATTAATTAGATTGTTCATATTAATTGATTTTACAAATACATCCTAATTTACTTAATGTATAAGTAGATTAACATGTTTAACAATCTATTAAAGATTTACATGTTAAACAAGATAATTTACAATCTAAACATCTAACTTAATCTTAATCATAATATTAATTAATTTAACATTCTAATTATGAAAATTTAATAATATTTGGATCATAAGTACTATTCCATAATTAACATGTATTTTAATCAGAACATTATAAACAATAAGGTTAACATTTATGAATAGCTATATAATAATTATAAAATCCACAGTAAGCATTAATAGGTTCATTATTAGGTCCATAACATTCCCATTAAATAGTTAATGTATTTGTATTATGTATTATTTTTGAATATACTCTATCGTATTTTGATCCATCAGAATTAGATGATTAATAACTAAGGATTGATTTAGAAACTGGAGTATTATTTTCAATTGTATATATAAATTACCCATCTGAAGGGAATGATGGTCCATAAAGAATATAAAAGCCAATTGTAATACTATGATGTGGATCAATGATATTATGAACTCTTGAGAATTTAGCTTAAGCCCAAACAAAAGGACCTCCAAATACTCTATATGATTGCCAATATGAATAATAAATATCTAATCCTTTTAAAAAATTAGTTCCATTTTGAGATATCAAAGTATATTATGAATATTATTCAGGATCTGTGGCTTTATTTGTATATTCTTAAATTAAATATTAAGAGTCTAAATATATATATATATGTTACATGGAGTTTCATCATCATAATCTTAACAATAAGAACCATTTAAATTTTAATACGGGCCTGAGCAACCACTAATGCAGCTACCACTTCGATAATAAAAATATCCAGAGATACAAGTCTTACATTTGAATGATACTTCACATAATTAACAATATTAAGCACAATATCCTGAGGTAATTTAGAATGAAACCATTCCCCATCCTGTGGTATTATCTCTAGGGTATTTTAATTGAATATTTACGTATAATTCCCAACGGCAGAAAAGAGAAATGGATATTTAGGAATGTCAAGATATGTAATTAAATCATATCTCTTAATCGAGGAATAATTCATATATGAGCCTTATAAAAGGGTATCATAGAGTTAAATCTTGTGGGTTTGAATTCCAGAGTCATTTCTATAAATAGATCCAAAATAAGTATTATTAATCTTAAATGATATTCCACAATTAATTGGGGTTTCATTAAATGTAAGTATTGAAATTTTGATACCAATTAAATAAGTGGCATAAGGATAATTAGAAATTTTGTTGAAAAATCTATATATACCAGAGTTAAACTTAAATACTCCATAGTTATATTAATTATAAGTTATGATTTTTGGAGATGTATCTATGTGCTGTGGGTCATATATTAATGACCATTTCATATTTTCAGAGGAAGTTGGAGAGTACTCAATACTAGCTTATTCTAATGAATAAACTATAATAATAAAAATAATAATATATACTTTGATAATATTAACAAAATCCATTTGAATATAATGGAGAGTAGATATCACAAATATTTTTGCATCCTGTTTATTTCTAATAATATAAATTTGATGGGCATGGTGGACAAATGTTATTTGTATGTTGTCCATAATAGCATCCAGTGCATTGATTGAATTTTGGACCTGTACATTAAATGCAAGAAGGATAGCATTATAGACTTGATATGATAAAATTCCTAATTGAAACTTACCCTGTATTTGTATTTGAGATATTTAATTGAGCTTGCCCTGAAGTTGAGCTTGTTGATTCAATTGTAAAATTAACAGTTCTGACGTCAGCAGAAATATTATCACAAAATTAAGATGTTAATAGATAATTTGCAGGTGACGTATAGGTATATGAGTATGAAAATTATCCGAAAACAATGGTAATAATTTGAGATGACCACGTACCTTGAAAAAATAAGTCCACTGATACAAAATACCCATTCCTGTAGGTATATGAAGAATATTATTTTGCTAATGTATATGTTTGATTTAGAGTAATGTAACTTGTTGGAGGAGTTGTACATGTGATAAAATTAGCAGTTGTAGTACTTATTGTCGAAACAAAGTATCCTGAATATATAAATGCTATAGATGTTCCAGTTGTATAGGTATATTTCTCATTTTAGTCTAAGAAACTAAATTAAGCTTGCCATTATGAATTAGTTATTTAAATCAAGCAAGCAAGGACAAAATTGATTAACAATGTCATTAATTAAATAAAAGAAAATAATTTATAATAAGATGTATTAAAAAGATAAGAAAATGAAAAGTTTAGAATTATCAAATCATTTCGATTATCTTTCCTTTCTATAGAGTTAGTTTTAAATTATTATAGTATTTAAATAGAGGTTAATAAAAATAAAATATATCACTTTTAGAATTGGTATAGGATTTGCGATTAATTTTATAAAAAATGAATTAGAATTCAGTGTAAATAATTATATCATTATCAAATTTGATATGTATATCTGAGATTGAATAAAAATTTATAGGAAAATGAGTAATAAAAATTTCATTAGAATGAGTTGCAATATGATTGCTATGAATGGTTAACATATTACTAGAATTTATTTAACATCCCTATTTAAATTATATACCTCTTTTTACAAAATTTTGAATGTGTACTATGTTTAATGACAAAAAAATCTAAAAACATTCTTGAAATATTATTGTATAATATAAAAACATGATTAAATTAAATTCTAATATCTGAATCAGATATATAAATCTTAATTAAATTTAAAAAATATTTTATGGACCGTCTTAACCCATCTTCAAAAGATTGTATAGTTCCACTAATTGAAGAAAATTCCCCTTGTATTTGTAATTAATAATATTTTATAAATAGAAACAAACAAACCAGAGATTGATGCTCACTTTTTATTACCACAATTTTCATAAATGATGTAGAATCCCGATTTCTTCCTTTAATCTGTTTAATTAGAGTAATTAAAACAGATGTAATCATCATTCTATTCATAAATGAATAATATCCCACTAATTACAGAAGAACCTAGAGTTATGGATTTATTTACATAATAACTTTTATAACAATAGCTTATGATAAATGCAGCATTATTAAACTAATTCTAAGTAAATTGATAACTAAATAGGGTGTTGAAAATATCAATTACAGTCAAACTAAAGATCTCGTGGATAATAAAATAAAAAGAAAACATATAAAAAAATCACATAATCCATTGTTTAATAATGGTATATTCCATTTTTATATTTAAGGTCATTGGAGTGCATAGGAACATTAAGTCTATTTAACATTTTTATAATAACATAGAGATGTGATGGAAAGTTCTGAGTTAAAGAAAACTAATAAAATTTTTAAACTTATGTCTGACATAATTAAGTCTAGATCTCCATCACAATGTCGTTCTCATCATTAAAAATTTAATCCATATTCCAAATATTTAGTTAATGTAATTTGTATTTGATAAATTAGAATAATATTGTTAGAAGAAAAATGAAAGAATAAATGTTGAGTGATCCTCAATAACAAAAACAATCATAATAAGAGAATGACAATATATAACAATAGTCTTAGGATTCAAATTAGAAAATATAGTTCTAATAGTAAGATTCTAATTAAAAAATTGAATTTTAATAATAATTATTGGAATCGAATGTGAGAGATGATCAATAATAACTGAGTGGCTAAGAATGATTGTTTAACTCTTTAGATAATTATAAAAAAGAAAACATTTTATTAAAAATTAATTATTTTATTTAAAAAAATGAAGAAGCTTTAATAAGCAACTTTGTATTAAAATAGAAACAAACTTTATAATTACGTTGTTAAATGTAATAGTTAATATTTGATTCCAACTTCTTCTAGAGATTCAAAATTGAAATAAATTTTTTAATAATATATATATAAATGAAAGAATTTTGAGAATCCTATTATTATGATTCTTACTTCACTTATTTTCTTAATTTATGATCTAAAAATATGAAATCTTAAATAAAACATTCATTCGAGTTAGTTAAGTTTGATTATAATACGAAATGCTTTTATTTTTATGAAATTATGAAATAAACTAAAAAAAGATTAAGTTATATAAAAAATCAAAAGCCTGCAAACATAGAATGGATATTAAATCTTCTTGATTAGATACCTAAGTATCAATTATAATAAAGCAACCTTAAATCAGCAACCTAAATTTAACTATAAGGATTATAAGATTGTGATTAAATACTCAAATCAGAACTTTATTCTTTTAACACTAAGACAAATAAATTTTAGTAAATAACATTTTCACTTTACCCTAATATGCTTATTAATAATTATGGAGAATTCCTTATATTATCTACTTGCATAATGATTAAGAAGATTATTTAATATAAGGAATTTATAGCTTAAGGTGTTTTGCTATATAATCATCACGGAAATCTATTTATATTTTATGAATCTTACGTTTAACAATTAAATGTATATATATTGTTATTCTTAGTGGGAAAAATAATTAAAAAGATTTTGTAAACAACAAAATTTTTCTTAAAAATACACCATCAAAGAAAAATTATCCATTCCAAATCATTTTGTTTGTGTAAAAAATAAAAATAGTAAGATATTATTAAATAATAATAGATCGAATATACACAGTACAAATGATAAGATTTACACATTTAAACGAGTAAAATTATGAACAATTGATGAATGAAATAAATATTTTGATGTGTTTTAAATAGAGTGGTTTAAATTAATTTCATGCATTGTTTGAAGATGGAGAAATACTATATATTTTGTATGATTATTGGATAGGAGATACATTATTTAAATAATTATAATAAGGATTACTACTAACAACGCAATAAATTTCTTAAATTATATATCAATTAATAAAAGTGTGTAGATTTTTAACTATAAATAATCTTTATCATGCTGCAATCTTACCAACTAATATTATCTTATTGAGAAACAATAACAATGCTCAACAATAAACTAAAATTACATTATTTAATTTTAGTTTTAGAGATGGAAACCAAGTTCCTTCTATAATTTAAAAATTACCAAATGCTTGGATACCTCCCGAATTTTAATGTCTTAATGTCAAATAAGATCTTGCATAAATTGATTTATATTAAATTGGAGTCTTGCTTTATTACTTAACAATATTTCTACCTGAAAAAGGAATCAAGCAAGGGCCTTTTAATAAAACTATAGATAATTTTTAAATCTAATATGCATGGCTTAAAGGATTATAAAATAAAAATCCTATTCCATACTCATATTCCTTAATAGACTTTTTATGCTAGTTATTGGATCCAAATCCTCAAACAAGAATAACTTATTCAGTTGCAATTTGCCATTAATGGTTAATTAATTAAAAGCATTAATAAAATCCAATAGAAAAGGAAAATATTAAAATTTTAGCATCTTTAAGAACTATCTTAGAACTCAGAGAATAAAACTCGAATGATTATGCATCATCTTAACGGTTCGATCAAAAATTAGAGTAACATATTACAAGCTCTTCTGAAGAAGAAGATTAAGAATAGACTGTGGATAATAATCTACATAGAATCTCCAAGGAAAGAAATTGTATTCCTCATTATATTAATCTGATAAACATTATTACACCTTGTAAGCATCCTTCTAGAAAATCTGTTAACGATTAAATTCATTTTGTTTGATTTCACTCTATATTTATATTCAGTTTTATATCTAAATTCTAATATTTAAGATGAAAGAGTCAATCACATTATAAAGTCTGTTATTATATAAAATATATCATATTTTCTCTAAAATCAAGTTTAATTATTTTACTAATTTAAAAGTAAGTATTAATTAATTTAATATCAATACATAAATTCTAGATAATATACGTTAGCATTTAGTAATTGTTGCATTAAAGTAAATATTTGACATTAGATAGTCAATATCGAAGATGATTATTAAACCAAAATATCAATGAATCAGATAAATTATAGAACACATTTGGATGATCATATAAAAGAGAATAATCCAGTTGATGAACTCAAATAATCAAATAAAAATTACTACAACTATCCAAATTAGCATCAAAAGAGGTAAGAATTTTGAAAATCATAAAATCATTGTATTATATATATTTACTAGCTAAAGTTGAAGATTAATTTTATAAAGTTTATTTAGAATTGACATTTATTAAAAAAGCTAAGTTAAATAAATAATTCTATATATTTTCATAAGTTCTTAAAGATATTTAATATGAAAATGATAAAAAATATTATCCATTACATATTTTGATATTTAAATACATCATCTACAACAATTAAATAAATAAACAAACACTTTTATTATACCTCATAAATTCCTTGTTGCATATTACTTCATTTATTAATCTTGGATCTTTTCCACTACTAAGACTATGAATTCAGAATGATTAATTTCTTATAATTTAATAAAATTTTTATAATACTCAATTATCAGTCCAAGAAGGCTTTCTCTTTTCTACAAATGCTGACATTCCCTCTTTTCTGTCTTAAGTTGCAAATGTAGAATAGAATGCTTTTCTTTCATACTTCACTCCTTCTCTTAATCCAATATTTTCTGCTTCATTAATAGTGTCTTTAATTAATGCAGCAACAGGTCTATAATAATAATGATTATATTAAAATTACTTGCTAAATGATGCTATCTTTTCAGCCACTTTTAATGCTTCATCAACTAAATTTTATACTGGAACTACTTTGCTGACTAATCCATATGAAAGTGCAGTCTATGCATCTATAAATTCTCCAGTTAATGTCATTTCCATGGCCTTTGATTTACCTACTGCTCTAATTAATCTTTGAGTTCCTCCACATCCTGGTATCTAATGATATAGAAATATTATTACTGTTCCAAGTGTAATTTCAGGTAATCCAAATTTAGCATTTTCTCCTGCATAAATTATATCACACATCATAGCTAATTCAAATCCTCCTCCTAAGGCATATCCATTTACTGCTGCAAGAATAGGTTTTTTAATATTAGTTAAGTTTTCCCATGCTAAAAATGATATATTTGATTACATGCAAGCATTTGAATGTTTTAAACTTATGGAAAAGATTTGTCTTGCATTTCTTTTATGTCTGCTCCTGCTGCAAATGCTTTTTCATTTCCTGTTATTACAATGGATCCATATTCAGGATTAGCATCAATTTCTTATGTTACTTGGTTTAATTCTTTAATTAATCCATCACAAAGAGCATTCATTGCTTTTGGTCTATTAAATTAGATTAAAGCAACTTTTCCTTTTTGTGTAACATTTATAAAATTGTATGTGCTAAATCTGAACAATGATTTCCTAAACATATAAAATTTATTTATATAAAATTAAGTATTTCAAGTATGTTATTAATTATTTTTAGTTAAAATTATCTTATCATGCTTATTGTAAGTGAGTTTCTTCGGTGATAGTATGCTTCGGTGATGATTATCTATTGATTATAATCTATTTAGTTCTTCAACAGCATTTTATAATTCCTTTAAATATCATTTATAAATTTGAATTGTGATTTTATTACTTAAAGATTTTAAATTTTTTTATTTTATTAAAAGATTAAATGAAGAAAATGAAAAGCAATAGATATTTCTTGTTACTTATTAAAAAATTAATTTTGGTTAAAAAATTCAGACATAAAACTTTCTAATTGTAAATTTTATTTAAGAATTTTTAGACAAGATTTATATGATTGGATAAAAATTAGCAAACCATTAAATTTTGATATTACTCATTATTATTAAAATAAAAAAAATGTAATTAGATAATAAATTTATGCTATTACAATGCTTTTAACATTTGGAATAACTAAAATCACTTTATTAGGCTCTATTACAATATTTAGAAAATCATTAAAAAATTGAGCAAAACTGAAATATTTTAATAAAATTAAATGATTCTTAATCTTGCCTATGGGATATACTGTTTAGATGCTGTTTATTTCTTTTTCACTATTTTTAGAACTTTTACCATATCATCATAACTTATTATGTGATATCAGTAATGATCCTTACAATTAGGTTGGTAATGTATATCTATGTGGGTACAAAAAGTACAAAAGAAAGATAATTTACATTAGAGAACTCATTGAAAAATATAATGATTAGAGAAGTTGAATTAACCTACATTTATACTTTAACTTATATGGAACAATCAAAATCAATTCAATATATTATTCTTATGTTATGCTAATTAATATAGTTATTTATATTTTAAATGACAAATTTAATTAATTAGAGAGGAGAATTACTTTAATAAAAAGCAAAAGGTTTAAGTTTTTGGATTAAATTATAATCTAATTCAACTGGAGAATTAGTTAATTGAAATTATATATAAGAAAAGTATCTGTCCAATATAATAATAATTATTATAGATTGGAACTTATATAACACATCACCACCTGAAGATATTAAAGCTATTTTTATATAAATATTATTTTATAATATATAAAAACAAAACAAAGATTGTAAATATATTTGTTTATAGTTTGTGTATTAGTAGTCTTTATTGATATTGATGCCTTAATGTTCAATTTAAAATTATCATACACGATAATTCAATATTCCAGAAAATGATTTCTCAAATTATTCAAATAAAATTTTGATTATTGATATAATCAGTTTATTACTTAGCTGTAATTTATATTAAAGATTCTCTTTTATGTGTCTCTTATTTATTATTAAAGTTAAAAATATAATGTATAAATCTTTATTTAATACAAATATTTACATTTATATAAAATTAGTTTCTAGTAGTTTTAATTCTTTAACTAGACTTTTAATGATTCTAGCTAAAGGTTTGATTAATTAGCTATTAATTTTAGATTATAAAGATGTGAAGAACTTCTAAAATAAAAGGCTTAATTTTTATTAATGAAATCATGATAGTGTAATTAATTGCTATTAATCAAAAATAGTAAAAATATTTATAATTCAAAAAAGTTAAAATACAAATTTTATAATGATCTATTTCATTATTTTTTTGAAGAATTTAAAGAAGAAGATAAACATTTTAAATATTTCTAAGTTTTTATAGATCTTTAATAATGAAGTACTATATATTTATATTGATGATTCAACCATATGATTTAAAAATAAAGAAACATTTAGTAACATTATGATCTTATGATTAGATTTGATAATTCTGAAGTTATTATTTTTTAATTCATTTTTTTTTTTAAAATATATATAATATTTTTATAGTTTTCCAATTCTTTATAGAATTTTATTATACTTTTTTAGTTTTTATGATTATATTGAGATAATTTTTTAGAATAAGAATTGTGCTGGTATATTTTCAAGATAATAATACTGTCTATGCCTTATCAAGTTAGATATCTAACATATTTTTGTGTATTTCATATAATTAATATTCATTTAAGTAGATAATTTCAATTACTTCTCATTACAAATACTATTCAAATAAAATGATAATAGATTCTAAACTATTTCTATTTGATTACATGATATTACAATAATATATGCAACTTAAGTTTTTATTTTGTTTCTTTTTAATTGATGAATATATTAATTTCAATTTGAAAGCAATATTACTATTGAATATTTAATAATTTTATATTATTTTCTTCTTTCTATATTTAATTTTATTTGATTCTTTCTAACTCAATGTTATTTACTTCCTAATTAGTTATTTATTTGGTATTAATTGTTTTTAAATATATTCATCTTCTATGGACATAAAAATTAAGTTTTTAATTCAATTTTTCTGAAAATTACTCATTACTTTTGAAAAGTTTTAAATTTATAAAGTGATTTTAAGCAAATATTTAATTTTTGTATTAATAATGTAAATAAAATAAATTAGAATGATTAAAAATAATAGAATTCAAAGTAATGAGAGCTTTTACTTTAATAAGTATTCAATTTAATCATAATTTATAATAATAGTGAACATAATTTATAAATATTAATCTTATTTTATTTATTGATATCTCTAAAGAAGGATTTCTATTTTTACTCTAATTTATAACTTAATTTATTTAGAAATATGATTAATATTGATTAATCACTTTTGCAATGTTTTTAATATATTCAATTAATTTAAATAACAATGTAAATCGATTAATAATAATAATCATCAACTTTAGAAAAGGAAGCTGAAAGTCCTAAGGGAAAAGAAGAGGTGAGATTGATAGTTTTTCCTTAAAAATTCCTTAATCCTCTCATGACGTTTAGAATGAATGGGGTATCTAGAATAACCAACTAAATTCAAGGATTTTCATTTATATGCAGATTCTAGATATATTCAAAGTCATCATCCATTGAAAATAGGGATCAGTTGCCAGAATCCATATAAAAAAATTACAAATATTGTTTTAGATCAAAGCACTGAAACAATCACTTTGTTTTATACTTAATTAGATTTTTCATAAACTCCATGGGAATATGTTGTAAAAAGACTTGAGAGTTATGGAGATATCGAAATGACCAAATTAAGTTTATATATAAAGAAATATAATGAACAGCTTAATTCTGGTTTGAAATAAGAAAATAATAAGATGGTAAGAACTATGAGTTAAATTTTATAGGTTGTGAATACTTAATATAGATCAAAGGGTTCTTATTAATATAAATATATCAAAGAGCTAGATTAATTCTTTATTTCTTCTGTAACATATGATATAAAATTGATCGAAGACTTGGGATTTGCAGTTCCATAATTTATTGAATAGTGTTTTAAGACAGGAATTCCAGAGTTTATTTATTTTAATTTATTATAAGAATATCTTTGAAGCCAGATAGCACAAATGGCCAGTACTATAAAAATGTTGTAGAATTTGCCAAACCATTGACATTTCCAGATGAAGAACAAGATTTTTACTTATATTCACATCGATATCCTTATGTATTAATGGACAACTTATATATTTTAAGGGTCTGAAAACAAATGTATCTTTTTCAATAGGAAAAGTAGAAGAAGCTATAACAACTGATTAACTTATCAACTTTAATTTCTATTTCGATTACAAACCTACTATTAATACTAAAGAATCGGTTCTCCAAAATAAAAAATTAAGATCTCAGAATAGCATATCATTTTACTATTAAATATAAGAAAATTAGTATCAAAGATGTGGCTATAAGAAAACCAAACTTTCTTGATTAATAGCTTTGTATTTATTAAACAAAGGTTATGATTATTATAGATTAATTAATTAATTCTCATAATTGTTTAATAATTGTATTTTTTCGATTGATTTAAAAATAATTAGATAATATAATAATTATAATCAAAAGATTAATTTTATCTAATACTGTAAGTCCTCTTTTGTGATGGTCATCTGTTAGAAATTCATTTATTTTAAATGATTAATGAATTTAAAATCAATATAATTCATAAGTCTTGTTTTAGAATAAATTTTAAAAGTCTGAAATTCCTATAATAAATTATAAATTAATAACAATATATTAAAACAATTAGATTTAAGTCTCTGAACTTCTTAATTAATAATAGCAATCTTCATAATATATAATTAAATTGATATTTGATCTATTTATTATTTACTAAAATATTGATTATTTATTATATAAGTGATTCCATTACTAATTTATTCGTTTAACAATTTTTCAATTTAAACTGTTAAATAAACTATATAAAATTATTAACATGTTTAATAATCTTACATCTTTTTAAACTTTCAGAAAGGAAGATCCTTTAAAAAAAGTTGAATTTTAAGTCATTCTAATTTACAAAATATTTTTAATAATAGTCATACAATTGGTACTACTACTACTTAATTAATAAAAAAACAGAAGTATTTTTATTACTTTTTCTGATTTAATACAAATTTGGTACAATAAATCCAATCTAATGAGATCAACTTGGATCAAGTTCATAAGACTAATCAGGAATTTTATTTGGCAGTCATATAATAATAAATGAATGTAAGTATTAGTGTTTAAAATGAATAAAATGGAGAGAAGTCATTGTTAATTAGTTTTTAGATTTTACATAAATATCACTTCATTTACTAAATATAAGATTAGCTCTTCATATCATGATATTAATTGAAAATACAGTAAAAACATATTTTATAAAATAATTAGAATATTAATTGAATAATAATACTATTACCATCTCTAAATGTCTTACAAATTAATTTTAGTAAATTTTGTAAAATATTTAAAATAAATGATAATCCAATTAAATGTCTTAAAAGTAGAGGTATTTTTGGGTTATCTATAAATGAAGCAAATAGGTTTTAATATAAATGTGAATTAGATATTTGAGATTGATTTAATATATTTTATTGATAAAAACAATAAAAAATATATTATACTAATTGAAAAACTTAAAAATTTAAACAATAAGTTAAATGATTGCCTAACATACATATTATTGTAATAACTCTATGTAGATGGTTTTGATTTATTGCTTTACAAACATTTGTATTTTTTGAGTATATTTTAATAAATAATATTTATGAGAGAATGGTAATGATAATAAATAATTTAATATTTTATATATGAATTTAATTAATTGTTTAGATTTAAGTCAATAAATAGTGAAATAGATTTTTCGAAGTAAATACAAATCAAAAGTGGATACTAATTTCAATATTGAATGTAATTAAATACGTAAGAAATGGAACAATAATGGATAAAACCATATCGTAATCTAATTTTATTTATGCAAATCAAGAAAATAATATTTAGTAGAAGAATGGAATATCATTTGCATTTAATAATAAATAAGCGATCATATTCAAGATTAATTTAAGAAGTGTGAATAATTGGCTTCATAAACTCCATTGTGTTTAAAATAAGACAATCAAATTGATCACATTATACATTTGAATGAAAATAAACGAACAGATTGGATAGATCCTAGTTTAATCTTAACTAGTTAATTACAATTATCTAATAAAGTAACAATTAATGTGGCTTACTTATCAACTTTAGAGATAATAGAAAGAGAGATTCAAGAATCAACTAAAGACTCATTGCCATTTAGAAGAGATAGATTTCTATCAGATGATATTCAATAAAGTATGTATGTATTTATATGCAATAAAGATAATCGATTAAGAAGAAGCACAGATATAGATGGATTAAGATAATATAAGAAGAATAAAGAAATATTGACTAAAGTTATGAATAGAATGAATGATTCATTTTGTAAGATATTAATAATAATCATTAGCTTCTACTTCTAGTAAAAATAAGTCAACTTAATTATTGACTATAATCAATAAGAAAGATGATATTGAAATTCTATCATCTCCTGAAGATGCATAAAAAATTATTGATGAAGATGAAAATGGAGATTATGAAATTTAAATGATTATTGATGAAGAACCTATCATTAAAGGTCAAACCATTATCATCAAATCATAACAGCAATAATTTCATCCAATTATAGATTACATTTTTAAAATAAGAAATAAGAAACATAATTATAATACTTAATTATTTGATACAATGAATTTTATTAAGAATTATTACTGATATTCATATAATTATTCATCATTCTTATAATTATTACAATAATATCTTTATTATAATAATAAGTATTTTTATAACTAATACTCTTCCATTAAATAAAAATTTGTATTTATTAATAAATTTCAGATTGATATTTAAAATGATATCATTGATTATAAAATTAATTTATGTATTTACTATATACTTAATTAGAATTAACTAATACTGAAGTAATAATCTTTATTATTATTTATACAAACTTATTTATAGTTATTTATATCTATGATTAAATTAGTTATAATCAATACAATCTTATATATTAATAATATGTTTATAGTTTAATTCAATACTATTTAATATATATTATTAATATAAAATAATAAAACTTTAAATGGCTGAATAGGAAGAATATTCTTAATGTTAAGGTATTGGTTATACATTGATTAAACATTCAAAGTCTGAGATTAGAAAGATTTCTGATCCTATTTATGATTTTATTTATTTTGATTAAGCAATTTGGAAAGTGATAGACAATCCAATTTATTAAAGATTGAGAAACATCAAACAATTAGGCACAACAAGTTGGGTATTTTAGGGAGCAAATCATACTAGATTTGAACATTGTTTAGGAGTTGGACATTTAGCTTAATAATTCATAACCTCTATATATAAAAATTAACCATAATTAGATGGTGAAGAGGATAAAAGAAGAAATATTAAATTGGTTACAATAGCTGGAATTGTTCATGATTTAGGTCATGGACCATTTAGTCATATGTTTGATAATTTATTAATACCTAAACTTACTAATACTTCAGAATTATGGTGTCATGAATAAGCTTCAGAAATGTTATTTAATTATATGTATGATAAATACTAACTTGGATTAGAAAAAGATGATGTTAATTTTATTAATGCATTAGTTCATGGAGATAATAACAAAGTTTCTAACGGAAAAAAATAATGGTTTTATGATATTGTATCAAATAAAAGAAATGGTATTGATGTAGATAGAGTCGATTATATTCGTAGAGATTGCCATCATTTAGGATAACCTCCATGTATTAAAGATTTTAGGTATCTTATGGAAGAATCACGTGTTATTGGTGATGAGATTTGCTATCCATAACGATATGCATTCAATATTTATGATTTATTCAATACTAGATACAAACTATTTAAAATTGTTTATCTCAATAGAATAAGTTAATGTATTGAATAAATGATATGTGATATTCTACTCTCTGTTAATCATATTTATAAATTTGATTAGATTATTTATTAACCTGAAAAATACTATAAATTGAATGATTCTATTATTGAATAAATTGATAGTGCAGAAGGACCAGAATATGCTAAAGCTTAAGCTATTATTAAAAGATTAAAAACTAGAGAATTATATAAATTTGTAAGTGAAGCTCTTGTTCCATCTTCAACTATTTTAGAATCAAATGATAAAATTAGAGATGAAATATTAGCCTATATGACTTCAAGTGCTTAAGTTAATATTGATGAGATTTATGTATCTTAAGGTAAAGTTAGCTTTGGATCTAATAATGAAAATCCTATACATCTTGTTCATTTCTATAAAGGATCAGATTAGGATCTTAAAATTTAAGGTAATGATACAACTCATAGCTTTTGTATGCCAAAATAATTCTCTGAAAAATTTATTAGAATTTTTGTTTCTAATGTTTAAATAATATAACAAGTAGAGAAGGCTTTTGAATTATATTGTAAAAACAAATTAGGATTTACTCCAATTAATTAAGATAGATATCAAACACCTTAAAAGTAGGTTACAGACTTTTCTTAAATCAAAATTCGTTGAGCACAAATTTGCATGATTGTAAACTATAGTATTATATACAATCTAATTTATTTATCACCCTTCCTTTGCAATTTTTATAAACTTATATAATTATTAATTTTAAATAAAAGAGTATTGAATATAAGTATTAAATTATCATCCATAATTATGGAATGTTAAACTGTGACTTCAACTTTTGCTTCACTTATTGTTAGATTAATTAAGATAAATGATTAAAAATTCAAACTAACTACTAGGTTCTTTTAATTGTATTGATGCATTATGATAAACAGTTAGATTCTTAATGGTATAAGGAGATATGGATAAAACTTAATCTGAAAAAGAGAGATTAGAATAATTTTAAAGAAAAGATGTAGATTTTAGAAAAGCCTCATAATAAAGTGATTGAATTTCAGCTTAATTATGTATATTCTAAATATTTAAAATGTAAATAATTAATTAATATATATATATTAATTAATTTTTAATAAAATTAACAAAAACTAATATTCAAAATTTATAAATTGAAATTAGAACCTATATTTATATTATGTGCTTAAGGTTTTTATTACATATTCACAGCTAACATTTATTGAAATTTAATTAAATTAAATAATATATTAAGGCCCTATCGTAAATAATAATCACTTATTTTTCAATATGAATAAAACTTAAATAAATCTAAGTTTTGAACAATTAATTAGATTTCTATATATCATCAAATTGCTATAAATTGATTATTGATAATATATTTTATTAATTAATTAATTTTATAATTATAATTATACTTATAATAATGATATTAGTTTAACATATTAAATATTTAATTCTGAAACCAAGTCATATATAAAACAAAAAGTTTTCGATTTTTTTTCTATATTTGGATTTCAATAAAAATTTAATACAAATTTAAGGTTAAATACCATAATTTATATAATACATATTATTATTGTTAGTTTTGATTTTGGATGGAAATCTAATAATATAAATTTGAGTTAAATCAATAAATAACAGAAATCTCAATTATACTAGGTTGAAAAAGTCATTGAGGGGACATTTAGTTGCAAATTGATTATTTATATTCCATCTTGTAAACCTGAAATCGAAATAATTTTTAATCAAACTTTACCAGTTTCAATATTTTTTTTATCTTTTTAGAGTTCAAAAACAATATTTCCATTATTTATACAGTAAATTTAATACTTGAAAAAATATTTTTGTAGGCTAATTGAATAATTGGAAATAAAAGAAGATCATAAAATAACTAGATTATATTATTAAAGTATAATGTTAAGAAGTGAAACAACCTTTAAGGTTGAAAATTCATTTAGCAAACTTTTAATTGTTAAGAAATATTGATGCTATAAAAAATCAAACTTTTTTAATAATGCTTCTATTAATAAAACTCCATCGATTACATAAAATCTTGTCTGATCTTTTAGTTGATATCCTTAATTATTTATATAATATTTGTTAGTACTCAGAAATTTTGGATTTCAATCAAAGTTAGTTTAGAAATAAAAGTGTGAAGTTAATAATTTATGAACTGATTATCAAATGAAAATTTGAAATAAAATAAATTTAGAAATATATTAATTATCTATTTAATAATTATTTATAAATTTAATACAATTCTATATAGAAATTTAGTTAATAGAACTTAAGTTAAGATGAAATTCATCTTCTAATTATTAATATTAGATCAGGCTAATATAGTATTTGATTTTAATAATAATAAAATGATAGAAAGATGATATTTTTAATTTACCTTTAACTTTATTCTATGAAATTATAATATATATTTTCCTATTTCACCTTATTCCATATATGTAATAATTTTTGTAACAATAATGGTAATAACTTAATTAATATCATTTATTAGAAGTCACTCCTATATAACATAATCTTAATTAAAAATCAATGTTTTAACCTAAATTTTTGAATAAGACAAAAATAATTTATTGCTTTTATTTAATTTATTATTTTCAAGCAGTCTATATTCTAATAGAAAAACAATCGGATATCAATATGAAACATGGGAAACAATAAAATCATCTTCTCACAAAATCATTTTACAGTTCCGTTTACAATTACAATCTTTGAAACTAAAAAATTCATTTATAATCAAAATTAACCTTTACATATAATCCTATGATGATGCATGAAACCACATTATTAGAAATTTAAAGTTTAAAATATAGTACAGAGATATTTATAAATAATTTTTCAAAACAATCCAAATGAATAATTTTGTTCTATATAAATTTGTTTTATAGAATCTAAAAATCATATATTAAAACAATGCAATTTTTGCTCATAATCATCGTTCTTGCTTTTCTAGAAGTTCCTTATTGCTAATGGTCAATCTATACAAGTTTGTTAAATTCAAATTCATTATTTACCTAAAAAACTGGCCAATATGCATCTTAATAATCAGGATCCTTTTTATAACTAAATACACAAACCACGGCCCATTTTATAACTTGCACTACTCAATAAACAAGCTATATTACTTTAAATAATAATTATCCTAGTGTTCAAACAGATTAAACCTATTTCATAAAAAATGGATTTTTTGTAGCTTTTGATTTATATTTTCAAGGTACTTGGGAAAATCAAGTAGTAAAATTTTAATTTGGTTCATTTGAATACTAATATTAGTATGAATCACCATCAGTTTATCCAATAAATTATGCATTTTGTGATAACAAAGAAGCTGGTGTAAAAACAGTAAATTTTACAATATCAACTTCTTATTATGAATAGATTTAGTTTACATCACTCAATACTGGTACTGGGTAAGTTTCAATCAGAAATTTGCATGTGTCGTATTTTAAATGTTTTCCATCATGTTCCTATTGTAATGGTCCTGGATTCTAATATTGCACAAGTTGCTATTTCCAAACACCCACTAATGGAATTTGCCCCACTTGTCCAACAAATTAATATTATATGAAATACACAGGATGCAAACTAATTTGTGATATAAGTTCCTCTTTTTTTTAAGGAGGGTTTTGTCAAAATTATCCAAGTAAATTTAAAATTAAAATATCTTAGTTCAAACCTTTGTATCTACTTAATTTACATCAATCAAAACCCCAGAAAATTTAAAATGGTCTTTAATTCTTGATTCACAACATATTGATAATACTTTACTTCCAAATATTTACTTCTAATATTAATATATTTATGGAATTTTTAAATATAATTCGGGGGTCTATAGATTTATAAATGAATTATCAACTAATTATGCAACTTATTCTATTGGATTAAAAATTACATTATTTACATTCAATGAAATTCCACTAGATTGTGGAATTCACATTAAAATTATAGATTAATTAAATTTATAATGAAAGAATTTTTGAAATCAATTAATTTTATCTAATTAAAAATATATATTAAATTTGAACTTCTATAACAATACTTATTATGGATCAATGTATAGAAATGCAACAGGTATTTAAACACATAGATTCACAATCTATGAAGCTTCAAACTATGCTACGTAAGTAAATAATTATGTGGTCAAGAGATATATATTAATTACTTATTTTGACATTCCTAAGAACCCATTCATATTTTCTGCTATCGGAAATTATACGTAAATATAAATTAATTTAGTTTAGCGATGGCTCTTCAGGATGGGGAGTTCTGAAAGTTTAAGTTACAGCAGGATATTGCCCATAATATTGTTAATTATGTGAAGTATCATTCAAATGTAAGACTTGTATCTCTGGATATTTTTATTATCGAAGTGGTAGCTGCATTAGTGGTTGCTCAGGCCCGTATTAAAATTTAAATGGTTCTTATTGTTAAGATTATGATGATGAAACTCCATGTAACATATATATATATATTTAGACTCTTAATATTTAATTTAAGAATATACAAATAAAGCCACAGATCCTGAATAATATTCATAATATACTTTGATATCTCAAAATGGAACTAATTTTTTAAAAGGATTAGATATTTATTATTCATATTGGCAATCATATAGAGTATTTGGAGGTCCTTTTGTTTGGGCTTAAGCAAAATTCTCAAGAATTCATAATATCATTGATCCACATCATAGTATTTCGATTGGCTTTTATATTCTTTATGGACCATCATTCCCTTCAGATGGGTTATTTATATATACAATTGAAAATAATACTCCAGTTTCTAAATCAATCCTTAGTTATTAATCATCTAATTCTGATGGATCAAAATACGATAGAGTATATTCAAAAATAATACATAATACAAATACATTAACTATTTAATGGGAATGTTATGGACCTAATAATGAACCTATTAATGCTTACTGTGGATTTTATAATTATTATATAGCTATTCATAAATGTTAACCTTATTGTTTATAATGTTCTGATTAAAATACATGTTAATTATGGAATAGTACTTATGATCCAAATATTATTAAATTTTCATAATTAGAATGTTAAATTAATTAATATTATGATTAAGATTAAGTTAGATGTTTAGATTGTAAATTATCTTGTTTAACATGTAAATCTTTAATAGATTGTTAAACATGTTAATCTACTTATACATTAAGTAAATTAGGATGTATTTGTAAAATCAATTAATATGAACAATCTAATTAATGTTTTGATTGTCCATTAGAATGTAATTAATGTTTAAGTTCAACTTATTGTATAGAATGTTTAATTACTAATAATAGATAATTATAAAATGGATAATGTAATTGTATAGATGGATATTATTCTATTATATCAAATCCATAATGTTAAATATGTCATTAATTTTGTAATACATGTAATGGACCTACTTCTAATGATTGTATTAATTGCAACAATATTATTAATATTGAAATTATAGGATCAACTTGTAGATGTCCATCAGGATCATATTATTAAGAATCAATATAAACATGTTCTTATTGTCATTCATCATGTTAAACATGTTTTAGAACAACAATAGATGGTTGTTTAACATGTGATATATCATTAAATAGAATATTAATAGGATTATAATGTTAATGTATATCTGGTTATTATGAATTAAATAATATTTGTATAAGTAATTAAATTATTTATAATTATTAATAGATTGTCCAAATATAGAAGATATATCTTTAAATAAATGTTATAAATTATGCAATAATAATTAATATATATGGCATACAATTATATGTAATTCTTGTGATAATGGATTTTAATTAATATCTGGTGAATGTTAACCTATTTGTGGAGATTAATAAATAAAAGGATATGAATAATGTGAAGATAATAATAATATTTTAGATGATTTATGTTATAATTGTTAATATTAATGTCCAATTCATTGTTTAACATGTAATTAATATACTATTTTACCTTGTCCTGATATTTGTGGTGATGGATATATTACTGGAATTGAAGAATGTGAAGATGGTAATACTATATAATATGATGGATGTTATAATTGTAAATATTAATGTTAACCTTAATGTACTTAATGTATTAAAGGTTAATGTTTTGAATGTGCTACTGCAGGATGGTTTATTGATCCAACAATTACTCCTTGGTAATGTAAAGAAAGATGTGGAGATATGTAAATTGTTGGAAATGAATAATGTGAAGATGGAAATTCAAGTAATACAGATGGTTGCAAAGATTGTAAATATTTCTGTAGAATTGGTTGTTCATCATGTGATTATACTACTAAAACTTGTTTAAGTTGTGAATTCCCTGGTTTTGTTCCTAATTCTTATTATTGTAAAAATATTTGTGGAGATGGACTAGTAGTAACCGATCCTTATGGATTCTATTCAGAATAATGTGATGATGGTAATACAATTAATTATGATGGTTGTAGTAGTTCATGTTAATTTTAATGTTAATTATCATCTATTTGTACTAGTTGTGTTAATAATAGATGTCAAATTTGTGCTCCTGGATATTATTTGTCTTCTAATAAAATATGCATTCCAATATGTGGAGATTTAATTAAAGTAGCAGTTGAGAAATGTGATGATGGGTTAATATTACCATATAAAGGATGTTAAAATTGTATTCCAAAGTGTTAATCTTCTTGTTTAATTTGCAGTAATAGTGGACTTGGTTGTCTCTAATGTAAACCAGGTTATGATAGAATTGATAATTTATGTTATTCAATATGTGGTGATATGATAATTACAGATGATGAATAATGTGATGATGCCAATTTTATTATAAGTGATGGATGTCATTTCTGTTAATTTACTTGTTAACATTCATGTCTCAATTGTATTTAAGGACTTTGTTATCATTGTTAAGATGGTTATCAATTATAATCATTTAAATGTTATCCTATATGTGGAGACGGAATTTACTAAAATGATGAATAATGCAAAATATTAGACTAATAATTAATAGAGAAATGTGTAAATTGTGAAGAAGAGTGTGGTAAGTATTGTTAAATTTGTTATTTCGGGAAATGCTAACTGTGTTAAGTTGGATTTTATATGCCTTCAAATACTTAAATATGTTAAATAGAATATTAAAAAATAGATCGTTGGATTGAATATTGTAAANGTGATGGATATATTACTGGAATTGAAGAATGTGAAGATGGTAATACTATATAATATGATGGATGTTATAATTGTAAATATTAATGTTAACCTTAATGTACTTAATGTATTAAAGGTTAATGTTTTGAATGTGCTACTGCAGGATGGTTTATTGATCCAACAATTACTCCTTGGTAATGTAAAGAAAGATGTGGAGATATGTAAATTGTTGGAAATGAATAATGTGAAGATGGAAATTCAAGTAATACAGATGGTTGCAAAGATTGTAAATATTTCTGTAGAATTGGTTGTTCATCATGTGATTATACTACTAAAACTTGTTTAAGTTGTGAATTCCCTGGTTTTGTTCCTAATTCTTATTATTGTAAAAATATTTGTGGAGATGGACTAGTAGTAACCGATCCTTATGGATTCTATTCAGAATAATGTGATGATGGTAATACAATTAATTATGATGGTTGTAGTAGTTCATGTTAATTTTAATGTTAATTATCATCTATTTGTACTAGTTGTGTTAATAATAGATGTCAAATTTGTGCTCCTGGATATTATTTGTCTTCTAATAAAATATGCATTCCAATATGTGGAGATTTAATTAAAGTAGCAGTTGAGAAATGTGATGATGGGTTAATATTACCATATAAAGGATGTTAAAATTGTATTCCAAAGTGTTAATCTTCTTGTTTAATTTGCAGTAATAGTGGACTTGGTTGTCTCTAATGTAAACCAGGTTATGATAGAATTGATAATTTATGTTATTCAATATGTGGTGATATGATAATTACAGATGATGAATAATGTGATGATGCCAATTTTATTATAGGTGATGGATGTCATTTCTGTTAATTTACTTGTTAACATTCATGTCTCAATTGTATTTAAGGACTTTGTTATCATTGTTAAGATGGTTATCAATTATAATCATTTAAATGTTATCCTATATGTGGAGACGGAATTTACTAAAATGATGAATAATGCAAAATATTAGACTAATAATTAATAGAGAAATGTGTAAATTGTGAAGAAGAGTGTGGTAAGTATTGTTAAATTTGTTATTTCGGGAAATGCTAACTGTGTTAAGTTGGATTTTATATGCCTTCAAATACTTAAATATGTTAAATAGAATATTAAAAAATAGATCGTTGGATTGAATATTGTAAAATATAAATAAGGAATACTTGTGTCTTGTGTGAGGATTTAGCATATTTGGATCAAATTTAACAAATTTGTAAATTAAATTTTGATTCTAAAAAATGTATAAAAAATTGTAGAATTTGTTATGATTAAGTTTGTCTTGAATGTGATACTGGATATTATGGATTTTAATGTATACCTTAATTGGGAGATGGCATAGTAGTTGAAGAAGAAATTTGTTATGATTTAAATAATTAAAAGATGAATGATAATATAGAATGTTATTCTAATTGTGATATCAATTGCATAAGTTGTATAAATGGGATATGTGACCTATGTTTATAAGGATATTATTTATTTAACGATTAGTGTATATCAAATATTATTACTAATATATATTATGTTAATGATAATTTAGATTTATGTGGAGATTAAATAATTAGTAGAAATGAAGAATGTGAAGATTATAATATTAATCCATATGATGGTTGTTATTAATGCAAATTTTAATGTGATGTTAATTGTATTAATTGTCAATTCGGAAAATGTTAAGATTGTTTGACTGGTTATATTCTAAATACTAATTATATATGTGAACCAGAATGTGGAGATGGTATTTTGATTCCATTTACAAGTGAATAATGCGATAATGAAGATGAAGAATGTTAAAATTGTTAATTTAAATGTTAACCTTATTGTATCTACTGTAATTTACAATAATGTTTGTAATGTTTAAATGGATTTTAAATTAATTTAAATTAATGCATACCTATTTGTGGAGATGGAATTGTAATTAATAACTTTGAAGATTGTGATGATTAAAATGATGAACAATTTGATGGATGTTTTGATTGCAAATTTTAATGTCAATAAAATTGTGAAATATGCGAATAAGGTAAATGTTTAAACCTAATTTGTCCTTATGGAACAATTTAGCTAGAAGACTAATGCTAATCTATATGTGGAGATAAGATTATTGGAGGGGATGAATAATGTGATGATGGCAATTTAATTCAATATGATGGGTGCTATAATTGTAAATTTCAATGCAATTAATATTGTAATATTTGTGAAGAAGGAATATGTTTATAATGTATTATAGATTATGATTTAATTAATGCAATTTGCATCTTATAACAATAGAATGATACTGATAATATTGACTAATCTTAAGATAGCAATACAAGTTTTAATTCTTATGGTCATAATTCATTATATTCAATTCTAGATGAGAATATGATATGCAGAAAATTTGAATGCACATATTCGAAAAAACCTAAGATGAAACTCACTTTTGAATCTTAACATTTTTCTCTATAATATGTTGATATTACTTTTGACTAATAAATAAAATTTAGTGATCAAGTAATAAATTAAAAAAAACTATTTAATATAAGCATTTATGATTTAGATCCAAAAGATTATCATATTATAATCAATTCAATTTAAGATATTTCATTTGATCTTTAAAATGCTTAGTATTAAGTTATAATTGAAATATTTCAACAATTTTAAAATAGACCAATCCTTTTCATTTTGTTAAATTAAGAAATTATTAACTCAAATAATTAGTCACTATAAAATAATAATTAATCAATTACTCTCTAATTACCAAAAGTAATTTCTGAATCAATAAAACAAACATCTATTAAAGCATAATAATCTAATAAAGCATTTATGATTGGAGCAATTATTTTATGTATAATTTCTTTAGTCTCAGGTGATAGTTCTGTTGTAGTTGAAACCTTAAATATACTATAATATCAATCTTTCTTAAGATTTATTAATGTTGAGTATCCTGAAAACCTATATATATATTTTTAAGCTTAAGACTTGTTATCAATTACTTCTTATTTATAATTTTTCTAGTTAGATGATTATTTAAATTTAATAACAAGGAAAGAATAATAGATTGATTTAAGTGGAAAATTTAAAAAATATAATATAGAAGCTGATCTTTTTACAAATATATTACCATAGATAATATAAATTATTGGATTGATAACACTACTTCGTTTCACAAAAAAATTGCATAATTTATTATTGAAATTATAAAAGTTTAAGGAGGTTATTTATTATCCAAGATCTCCAAAATACAAGATTTTAATTGTCCTTATTAATTTAATACTTTATTTTGGAACTAATATCAAATTCTTAATTAGAATAAGATATCTTTAAAATTATGAATCAATTCGATAACTTATTTACTTAAACTCATGGGATTTGATATTTAAAATAATTTTACAACTTCATTATAATCGAATTGATAATTTAAGAAGTATTTTAACTACTTCTTTTGCAGCTTTAATATTTGTTTTATATATAAACTTTTTACTATAATCATAAAGATAATGCAGTGACATTTATAACAAAAACACTAAAGCAAAGTTAGAAATAAAATTTATTACATTAGATATGTGCAGAACTTTGTTTTTCCACATTGTTTTAATACTATTCTAAGATCAATAATTCTTATAGTGTTTACTAATCTCTGTTAGTAGTTTAACTTAATGTTGTTTAATATATAAATATAAATAATGCTCTAAATTGGATAGAATTATTTCTTTATTAATTGAAGGAACTTTAACAGTATTTAGTTTAAGTTTATTTTTTTATATTAAAAATGAGTAAGTTTATGTTTCTTATGAAAACCAAGTTACTTTAGGATTTATTCATATGAACTTATTGATTTTAAGTCTTGTAATAGTTTTTGCAAAGCATTTGATACTTAAAATAAGTAAGATATGCAAATTCATGTGTAAGAAGAAGCAAGCAAAAGTGGCTAGCAATTTAATTTTTTTATGAAGAATTATATAATTATTTTAATAAATTAATTCAGAATATATTTTTTAATATAACATTTATTTATGATAATAAAACATTAAATAATATTATTATAATTAAATATGTAATTAATGATTCTTAAATTAAACAATTATATTAATGATCAGAAAGGATCATCTAAATTAAATTAACTTATTTAAAAATTTTCATTTGCCTTACTAATATAGAGGAAAATTCTAAATAGAATAACAAATTTATAGTCTTTTTGTTTAAGAATATTTCTTTAGATTCTTATCTTGATTTAATTCAGAATATAAAATAAATTTGAATGATATTTATATATTCTCATTTATATCTTGTCAATTAAGGATCCTCTCTATGCTTTTTAACAAAATTCAGTTATTTTTTCTAAATTCATTTCTTTAAATTATTAAATATTGCAAATAGTCATAAAAAAGATTGGATAATTTGTTTAAATTAACTTTATTCAAGTTCGATTATTAATCTGTTAATTTTTCCAAATACGATTTTGAGATTTGAATAAAAAAATAATCTATCTTTATCTATTGTATTTGTTTACATAATTTAATTCTAAATAGATTTATAATTCAAGAATATATATTCTCTTTTAATTATATTAGCTAATTCCAAATAATAAAACTTCAATTTATAACATTAAAATAAATGGGATGCGTAAAATCAAATGGAAATAAAAAAGTAAAGAATTGTACAATATACAGTTAGAAGACATGAAATAAGGTTTTGTTATTAGAATCCTGCATCCTGATAATAGGACTGAGAAGCAGTATAAATACTTTGATGAGAAATAGAAGAGTGATCTTATTATGAATGTTATGAATGGAATATGTTTCAGTGAGAAAGTTTCTGATAAATGTGATGGTAATTTTATCTCAGTTTATGATCCTGCTGATGATCGGTTTCACTATTACATATAAAAATTAGATGGTACAGCTTAGAATACTAAAAGCACTAGGAATAGAAATAGATAACCCGAATGAACCTCTGAAAGGAAGAATTTGGGTACCATATATAAATGAAAAAAAATCAGATTGGGATATATTAGTAGAAAATAACACTAGAATATCAATAACAGATCACTTATTATGGAAATTAGAAGCTGTGAAAAAGTGAATGATAATTAATTTATTATGTTATGATTAGAATAATTATCACATTTCAACATCTTTAGAATAACTAACAGGATGTTTTCTAGCTTTTCTTTCTCTCTTCTTTCTACGAGCAGCATCAACTCTACTTTCTGGTTTTTTAATTACTTTTTTCTAAACTTAAAATATTTTATACCTCTTTCTTTGTTTTCTTGTTCTTTTTGTCTTTTTTAATTTTCTTCTTTAATCCAAAGACATGTTCTTCAGAATCAATTTCTAAATCATCTAAATCATCAATCCATTTATTCTCTTCTTTCTCTACTTTTCTCTGTTATTTCAATTCTTTCTTTTTTTATTCTTCCTCTTCCCTTTATAATATAAATGCGTGTTAAGCCTTCTTTTTTGATTTATTATTTTTTCTTGCCATTAAATATAATTTTATGAGATTCTAATTATTACTATATAGTTTGAATTAGTATGGATCATAAATATATATATATATAAATCAAATTAGAAATCATACACATATTATTTAATTACTTCCATTTTAAGATGCTATACCAATCTAATATATCATATGAATGACACAATTACAATAAAATAGAAGATGGAAAATTCTAAAACCGATTTTCATTTAGAATTAAACTTGAACCAATTAAAGTTATCAAGAATTGAATATTTTATGAACTTAATAATTAAGAAAATATAATAGAAATTTGAATGGAAAGTATGTAAATAAGTTTGAGTTTTCTACAATGTCTTATATTTGGCTTACTTTTTAATTTGATCCCTAATAGTAATTTATACATGGTTTATAGTAATCAATAAATTAGAATATATTCCATAATTTTCTATATATAAAAATTTAGTTCTTATTGAAATAATTATATATATTTCTGTTCAAAAAAACTTATAAGTTTTAATGAATTTTAAGGTGATAGTGATACTTTCTTCAATTAGAGCTAAAATACAATAAGTAAAAATGAATAATTAATTAGATCTTTGAAATATTCTTTAATTGAAGCTTTTTAGTGTTTATCAAGTAAGATTAATAAATATTGTAATTTATATAAATGTTCATTAACGCTATGTGTGAATTGAAAAAAAAAATCAAAATATAATTAATAAATGAATTTTAACTGATAAATTTATGTAGAGTTTGATTTCCTATTAATAAGAAATTAATTAAAAAAAATTGTTTTCAATCAATCTTTTAAAAATGATTAAAAAGTTAGTTAAAAATGTAAAAAATGTTTATTAAATATCTTACGGATTAATAACAGAATTCTTAATTGATTTATAAATTATAAGTAGATATTAATAAAAAATTAAATGTTTATTTGCTGCAAAACCAAACCAAAGAAAGACAAGTAGATTATGTTTCTAAATAATTATAGTAAATAATAGAAAAATGGCTCCACAGCTGCAAATTCTGATGCTGAATCACTTAAGCATAGCAAATGTGAAGAAGACATACATAAAGAGCCATTTCAAGAGATTGGAAACAAAACTTAATTGACTGAGAAAGTCAAAAAGCTTTAGGAGATTTAAAACAAAGTTAACAGAATCAAAACATACAGAAACCAAGGCAACATTAATTTAAGGTATTTAAAATATTAAGTTCTATAGTATAGATATTGAAAAATCATTCGTAACTTCTTTAATTGAATAGGATTTGCCAACAACTTATTTTGTTGAGTACAGATGGGCTGTAAATTATACCAAATTCTTGGAAAGAATAATATAAGATGTACCCTAAACAATTAATAATGATAAATTATTGACTGAAGAAAATGCTCAAAAAGAGCAAGTCATTATCAAATCAGAAAAGGATACTTAACTTCTACCAGGGTTATAACCAGATAGACATTATGTGCTTTTGAATGAGAATTCATGGATTTTTATACATCTTATGTATGGCGGAGGACCAACAATAATGATTAATTTGGAAACACAAGTGATGTCACCAGATATTTTCAATGATGGTTAAACTAATGTAACTCTCCATACAGCAAACCCTTCCAAAATTTCATTTGAACCTATTATAGAAATATCAAAATAAGAGATCTAACTATTAGAGGATTCAGATAAATCCACAAATTAAAGATAAATTTCTTAAAAAACAAATTCCATAAAAATTTAACCAAAACCTTATGAATTACCTTATGTTGGTCTAAATAATCCAAAATATTATTGTTACATGAACTCAGCATTATAATGTTTGTTGAGTATAAAAGAATTAAATGATTCCTTATTAAAATAGTAAAAATAATAAAATAAGAAATTTACTATGGCTTATCAAGACTTATTAAAACTCGTATAGAATTCCATACCAGGATCAGCTATATCTGTTGAGAAACTTTAAAATATGTGCTTAAATAAATTTAAATACTCTTAATAACAAGATGCTCATGAATTCTTATTGTATCTCCTTTCAGAAATCTAAGAAGAACTTGTTGGAAAAAAGAAATATTAAAAAGAAGAATTTCCAAATGCTTAATAGGCTTGGGATGTTTATAAAAGTAGAAATTCTGATATCATAACTGATTTATTTGCTGGTTAGATAGCAAGTAAATCCCATTGCTCATAATGTTAAGAGATTAGTGAGGGATTTGATCCAATTATAGATTTGAATCTTCCTTTATTAAAAAAAAGTATTCCTCGAGAAATTAAATTATATGATTGTCTCTAGAACTACTTTAAAGAAGAGTAAATAAATGATGTTTGGAAATGTGATAAATGTTAATTTGTAAATAAATCTGTTTTAAGGAAAATCTAAATAACTTAGACTCCAAAATATCTGATACTTCATCTTAAGCGATTTACTCAAATTCCTAAGAGTTAAAAGATAATAGATGAAGTTAAATATCCAGAAATTTTAGATATAAAGGAGTTTTGTGAAGAAAATGTAGAATACACAAAATATGCTTTGAAAGGTGTGATCTCTCATATGGGTTAGTTAAATGGAGGTCATTATGTTGCATATGCTTAAAGATAAAATTAATGGTATCATTTTGATGACAACATTGTAACAAAAGATAAAAATAATTAACATCTCTCAGATAAAGGGGCTTATATAATTTTGTATGAATAACAATGATCTATGATTTTCCCTTTGAATCTTATTACTTATAATAATCAATCAAAAAAATTTATATTAACTCACTAATTTATTTTTTTCTCATCTTTTAATACTTGAAGTCTCCAACTTTCTGAAAACTCATTGAATTTCATCATAAATTCTTAATGAAATCCTTAAGGATCTTATTCAGGTATTTTTAATTTATTTATATTATTCTATTGTTATTATTATTGTTTTTTAATTAATTATTATTATTATAACTATTATAACTATTATATTTTTTATTGATGTTGATTACATTTTGATAGATCAATTTTCATCCTTACCGAACTTTTGCTTTCTTGAGCATATGTATTATTTTAAATTCTATTTTCAAATCTTCGGATACTTTCTACAATACTTTCATCATCCAATCTTCCATTATATTGGAAACTAGATTCATCTGAATCATTAACTACTGAATTATCTGCATCATTAAAACTCTTTTCTAATTTTGTAATCATCTATCTAACATTTAAAATTGATCTTACTTTTTATCTCTAATAGAATGATTCTGTTATTCTGAAATTGAATCTTCATTTAGAACTTCTTCATTGTATATTTTTTCAATATCAATACCTGATCTCTTTATAGCTAATACTAATTTAATTAATTTAGATTCCTTATCAGACATTTCCTAAATCTTATCTTACATTAATTGTGCCATTTCTTTCAATTAATGTGTTTCTAATTAATCTAAATCTTTTGGTTTTTTAGTTTATTATTATTATTATTATTATTATTATTATTAAGGTTTTATCTTCTCTAATGTTTATTTTAATTAAGATACTGTCTCTAATAAGATGTCTCTTTCTTATTCAAGAGATTTATAATTATTTTACCAAATATCTCTTTCTCTTCTCATTTATTCTATCATCTCATTTAATTTTAAATCCTATTCATATGACATAAGAACTGCAGAATTTTACATCAATTCAAATATATTATTAGTAATATTCATTGTTACATCTTGCCATTGTTATTCAATCTCTCTAATCTGAATTTACAATAAATTTAAGGAAGACTTATATTATAATGATGTTCTTGCAAATTATTTATTGAATAAATCTTTAAAGGGTTCCCATAATCCTCTTGATTTTAAGTATAGTAATTTTTTTTATTGTTCTTGAACTGTTCCTTATATTTATTTATCTAAATTCATTAATTATTCCATTAACTCTTTTGATTAACTAAATTACAATTAGTATGCTCTTTTTTGCATTAATGTTTTTTCTCTCAACATATTAATTTAAGCTATGTCTAAATCATTCTACTTTTTGTATCCTGATTTATTCTATCTGACTCCTGGACTTGTTGAATCACATGTCAAATTAGATTTTGAGCTAAAAATGTGTTGTTATTAAAATCTACATATATAGATGAGTATTCAAAGTCTATGAATCTCCTATTAATTTTTTTAATTTTAAAGCATTTTATGAACTATACATTGATTCATCCTCTATTTGATTGCTTGTGAATGCAGATATACGACTTTTAGAACTGCTGTTAGTTCTATTGTTAATTTCTGAAAAATTATTTTTATTTGACTTATATCTCTTCTCTTCAATAGATTTTGAAATTGTAGGCTATGGCTTAAATCTCTGTTAACAATATTTTTATGGTATGTGAAACAATTAACTAGACTCTGGTATACTAACAGTCTGGTAAATATTCAATATCAAATACTGGTTGCGATTGTTATTTTTTATAATCTTAAGTAGAAGCCTTAGAAGCAGTTTCTTTAACACTATTTGGAGTTGTCCTCATGATCAAAGTTCGATAATTAATTAAAATATTATGTATTATAAATTTACAACTTTTTAATACTCAATTATAAACTGTAATTAAAGTACAACTATATTAATATTCTCCATATTTTGAATAAAATAATTAATAGAAATGGGCTTAAAGTTTGCCTTAATTATAAATTGTCTTTGAGTAAGATAAATTTTTATATTAATTACTATTCTATAATGAATTTTATTATAAAGATTTATTTGATTAAAGAATGGAATGTTTATAATTCTTTTTTTTCTATTGAAATGGTATTTTTATTTTACTAATTCGATTAAAAATTAGTTGGCAATTTTATTTTACAATGATATTCATTTTTCATTTAGGATCAGCAAAATCTTTTATTCCTTTTTTAAATTCAATCAATTATAGAAACTCATAACATACTTGTGTATTTGTTATTTTTTCAATACATTTATATAAAAATTCAAAGTGATATAAGCAAAAAATTGTTGACATTATTTTTATATTCAACTAATAATCATGAATTTTTCAAATATGGTAATTGGACTCACATCACTTTGATATTTTTTCTCTATCCAATACACACAGAATTCAATTAATTAAATTTTGGTGTTGTTGTAGGTGATTCTTTATTTGAAGCTATAAATTTCTTATCCCTTTTCAAAATGAACTCTTCATCATTTGTTATATCAATTGATCTACACTGTAAAATTGGTTTATTGTTATCTATTGGGTTTGGGGATTCGATAATAACTTTTTTATTTTGATGAACATTGGAAAAAGATTAACTGTGGAATCGAAATTTATTTTGCTTTTAAATTGGACTTTATTTTTAAGTAACACAACCCATATCCAATAAAATTATGATTATTAATTATTTATATATAATTAATTGAGTCGAATTAGAATTATATTCCTAATTATTCATCAATTTAGAAATCAATTTTTATTAAACTAGAACACATATATATATATATTAATTATTTATTAAATAAAATGAGTACCTTAATTCTTAGAATTATTACTAATTCTAAGTAAATGTTTATATTCAATCTAAATATCAAAGTCAAAATAATAATTTGCCCTTTTCTGTCTCAAAGAGAATCTAACTCTTATTTCAAAGCTTTATTATTTAAATACCTCTAAAAATTATTTTTTGTTAATTAGAAATTCAGGTAAGATATTTGAGTTTGTTTACTGATGCTTCTTATTTTTGTATTTTAAGTACATAAGTATATAGTTTTTAGTGATTTGATATGTAGTTGAGTTTAAAAATGAAACAAATTGAATAGGAATATCATGTATTATATGGTCATAAATCAACATAGAAGTGATTCTTTCAAGAATTTCTAGTCAGAAAGGATCCAGGATTAGTTAAAGGACTTTTCTAACTTGCTCTTCTTTGCAGAATAGGATTTTTATTGATTTTAAATATTTTAAGTTCAGCCTTGGAATCTTCACTTTTTAACTTGGATTATTGATATTATATATCCAAAGGGCTTAAAGCAGTCTTTTTTTAAGATTTGGTAACAGCACAGCCCATCAAATGAAAAATCTTTATAAATTAATATAAATATATTTGAATATTTATTACCAAGCTTAATTAACTATGAAAAATTTAAGATTTTCAATTAATGTAATATTGATGATTCCTTAAATGAAATTTTTTATATTTTATTATTTAATTTAATATTGATTTTTAAATGGGTTGTAATTCAACAAAATCAAGTGGAGAGTAGCTTGTCTAATGTGAGGATATCAAAAGAATTACAAAATAATCAAGTGAGTTAATAGAAATTTAGTAAAATATTCTTAAGCACTTAAATAAATAATAATGCCAAAAAAGAACTAGTGTTACGTCTCTATAAAGTACTCTATCATCAAGCAGTATATAATAATTTAACAAATAGAAAATTCAAGGTTAAGTATTTAAAAATCTGAAATGACATTGTCTACTATTGTTCTTTAGACAGAAATAGGACCATAGTAGTTAAATAAAAAATTGGCATTGTGAGTCGAATCAATTAGGGAATATTTGATTTTTTAATCTTTTTCTATATCATACATAATTAATTTGCTTTTGTAAGTGAAGAATAAATAATACAAGAAATAAGAAAATATTCAATTCATAGTTTTGGGCTGTTCATCAAAGACTGTTTTCTTCTTTATTCAGGGGAGTTTTTGATATACCCAAAGTGGCTTTAGGGATTGCTGTGTTTTTTATTAATAAACTTATTAAGCTCATCGCTGCTGGCCATGTGTTTAAGTCTTCTACCGATTTGCACTTATTATTATTGAGATACTAAATTTTCTGATTCCTTAATATCACTCTTTTATCCATGTGTCAGGCCATCTTATTCATTAGCAATTCTAGCACTTTCTAGGATTTCTTGAGGAGCTTGACAAAGTTTATTTGATTAACTTTTAGATTTCTGAACATTACATCCCATATTATGATTTCAAAGTAAACTAATAAAATTGCTGATAATTTATTAATCATATTTAATTGGTTTAAACATTAAATGACTAATATGCGTTGGATCACATTCAAATGTATGTAAATTAATTCTATATTAGATTCGAAAAAATATTTTTTGGATTTATCTAAATCTTTTTGTTTTATAATTAATATGATGTAATGTAAAGAATTCAATTAATTTTAATTATCAATTGTAATTTATATATAATTATATAATCACTCTAATTTTTATTAACTTTTAACTGTTTTCAATCTTTTTTATTTTAATAAATAAATCATTTTTGATAATTAATAGTCAGCTAAGTACTTGGATATATATATTTTCTTAATATTTCTAAATTTGTTTGCCCTTAATAATTTATTAATAAATATATACTTGTAAATAGTAATCTCATAATTATTATGAGGTAAATAGTCATCAAAAGAACACATAGAATCAAAATTATTAAGTCCAAATGAATTATTAGCATATACAGGTAACTTAATAAATTAAAAATAAATACATCCACATTACTAAATGGTTAGAAACTAGAAGGGATAACAGATATTTTAGTTCCAGTTTTAGTTGATATTTTCCTAATTGAAGGTCTTTATTATTAACTTCTACTATCATCAAAATTGGCAATTTCAACTTAACGAGTTTATTAAATTAATTTTTATGGGAATGAAAATGTAGATTTTCTATTCTACTTAGAGGAAGGTCTTCCTGATTTATATTAACTATTTGAAGGGATTGGACTATAAGTAAGTGATCTTGAAGAATTTTCACGTTAACTTATTACATCTGGATATTTATATGTACTATTTCTTGAACTTTGCTATAGAATAGAACCAGATCCTAAACGGGATAAACGAGGTTAACTTTAATTTTACTTTTGAAGTTCGTTCATTTAAGTTTCAAAATTATAATTGAATGTTAATTTTGGATCATTTTTCTTCCTTTCAAATTTGTCTTAAGGAGAATCAACAACATTCTCTTCCTCTACTGACTTAGAGTTGGATTCAGAGATGCTGTCAGAATTTTCATGTTCCAAAATAATATTTAATGATTTTTATGTTAAATCTTTATTTGAAGCAGCTAAACTTTAAGATCCAAATCCAGCAGTTGCAAATGTTCTTTTCTATTGTTCAGTTCTGAATAATGATGCGAATTCATCATAATTTTTATCTTATTTACCATTGATGATTTAAAATTCTTTATCTTAATCTAAATTAGAGCTTTTAATGATTTTTATGAATACAATATATTATCTGTGTTATTTGGAAAAGATTATTATTCATAACCTGATTGTTATTTCATAAATGAAGTGGACTTGACAACTGATCTATCTCTACTTAATTTTGTTAAACTTCTAGCACTTACATATGAATCTCTAATAGCTAAATCATCATATGGAAATTAAGATTGGCTAAGTTATGACATCTATAATTGATCTGAAAATAATTTTAAAAATGCCACTTCATATTATGATGCACATTAATAAAACTTTAATGCACTCATATCTTTAGAGATTCTTCTTTAATCTATTTATTATATATTATAAATATATATATACATTATCTTCTAAATTATCTATGTGGAAAAATAAACTTTTTTATAATACAACTCTTATCTGGCCTATATGTCAATAATGGACATTTTGTAATAACATGATCATCATTTAAACAACAAGGACATTTAATAGGTAAACCTAAATTGAAAATGATTTTATCTCTCTATTGATAAAATAATTACTAAATATTAATATCAGTTTAATTTTACTTTTTCATTAAAGCTCAAAAATTCTAAGAATGTTGATCGTTCAATTTTCAATAGTCTTGTTACTTCTTCACTTTAAATTGTAAAATTCCTAGGTTTTTGAGTGTAAAATTCTATTTCACCAAATGAATTATTTTATTTCAAAATCTATAAATTGATATTATTTCTGGATTTCAAATACACAGAGCCTTCTAATATAAAATATAAAGAACAATCATCTAATACTCCTTCTTATATTATATTTTAATTAGGTTAACAAACAATTTCGTAACTATTATTAATAATTGATTAAATGGTCCTTTTATTAAAGTGTTTAAAATATGAGTATAATAATTTGGCTCTTTGACTAACTTTGTATTCTTAATTTAAGTTACTGGATAATTATGATATAAATTTATCATGATTATATTATGGTTGATAAAGTAAATGACTCAATATTTTTTGTTTAAGAGTTGAATCTAAGTTAGTTTATGTCATAAATTCACTTAATTATTATTCTAATTCCTTATCTTTAAATATTGTAAGCATTTTAGCTAAGAAGTAGGCTAAGAATAGTAATGAGATAAATGAAATAACAGCATAAACAATAATGCTGTAATTTTTATTGATATCAATTAAAGTAGAATTGAATGTCAAAATACTTAATACATAGTATAAGGAATGTAGATACTATTCTTAGAAGGTATTCTCATCTTCATCTAACAAATTGAATAGCCAAAAACAAGTTAAAGCATGGACCAGTAATATCGCTTTTATTATCAAAATTACAAATAGTGACAATGAATTAAAAATATTATATTCACTATGATTATATGAATTTATACAATTAGATTTGCTTTTATATTTATGTAAGTCTAGGAATAGTGCTTAGTATATTGATTATAATGCTCCAGTAATTGTATTAAAATAGGATGGTAATTATAAACAACTATGTAAATATATATATATATTTTACTAGATCAAATATCAATTAGTATTTAAAGTAATGATTTATGATGGCTATTAAGTGAGTTTAAATATATCCATTTATTGCAAATGTTGATAGAGAGTTAATAATTGAATCTATGAGTTTGAGAGTGAGAAATATCACATAGATGTGTTAAAATTTTAATGGAATGATTATAATCTGAACTATCATTATCAATAAATAAAAGAGACTCCAATATTTATGTAATTTTGAGTTGGGCTATAAGACAACTAGAAATCTAGATAGTTAATACATGATGGTATATTATCTTATTGACCCAAATCAAAAATATAGGAATATTTCCTTGTTTTTTCATTAATGTTGATTTTGTCCTTGAGAAGATCTGCAAATTTTGGTTTGAGTTTCTTTTGGTTTTAGAAACCTTTAGTAGTCTCATAACTTTTTTAGGTAAATGCCAATAATTGAAAGTTACTGGGTTCTTAGATGAAGGAAAACCTTTCATTTAATATCTGAAAAATGTAAATAAGAAGGAAACCTCATGATTGGCATTAAAGGGTGATTAACACAATCTAGATCGATCTAATGTCTTTACAGTTGGGTCTTTAACTGAGTAATCATCCTCAGGTTATCCTGGATGGTCTATAGTAAATGGTGTATATTAAAATGGACCTATTTATAATTTACACATTACCTTTCATTTAATCATAATTATTTTATACTGGTTCTGTTTTTGTAGAGTTTACTTATTAATTTATCATAAAGATAGAAGATTATTAATTAAATAATTAATTAATAATGTTAGTGGATTATAGTGATGATGAACAAGAGATCATGGACAACAAACCAAAGTCAATATTGGTGAATCCTGAGGTTGATTGTTCACATTTGGTGAAGAAGAAGGAGGAGGAGAAAGCTCTTGAATTATCAAAGACATATAATTTCTTGGGATAGAAAAAGAATCATTTAACAGGAAATGTTGAATCAGTATATTACAATGATGCAGTATTCGAGGAATAATTTCATAAATTTAATGTATATGGTTTTGCAGTGGATCCAAATGGTATAATGATAAATTTAAATTAGAAAGAAATAGAAGAGTGATAGCATGTAATTAAAAATAAGAGGAATTATCTACTTTAATGAAAGAAGGTTATGATGTAGATGCAGCAGATCCATTATTTAGTAAAAATGTACTTGCAGGTATGCATAAAGAAGATAAATTAAAATAATAAGAATTAAAATAAAATAGAGTGAAAGCAAATGATCCATCAAAAGGAGAATTTATGGGACCTTGGGCAGGATAATAAGATGAATAATTTGAAAATATATAAATGAATGAAGAATAATAAAAATTATTAGATTAATTAGAAGAATAAAGAAAATAAAAGATAGATGAATCAAAAAAATAAGAAGAAAATTTTGTACCTTATATGGAATAACATGTAAGTTAAACAGAATAATTTGGTGGAAGATAATTTATAGCACCTCCACCTGAATTAAAATATGTTGATCATACATGTTATATACCAAAAAGATGTATATAAACATTTCATGGTCATACTAAAGGTGTATAAGTATGTAAATTCTTTCCTAAATTTGGTCATTTAATGTTGAGCGGTAGTTTAGATCATAAAATTAAAATGTGGGATATTATTGGTAATAAATAATGTGTTAGAACATATTATGGTCATTAAGGAGCATTAAGAGATCTCAATTTCTCTAATGATGGTAGAACATTTTTATCTGCTGGTTATGATAAAAAAATACTTGTATGGGATACAGAATATGGTAAAGTTACTTAAACTATCAATTTATAACATTTCCCTTATTGTGTAAGATTAAATCCAGATCCAGCTAAACAACATTCTTTTCTTTTAGGATCATCAGATAAAAGAATTAAATAATTTGATATTAGAAGTGGATAATAAACATTAGTTTATGATGAACATTTACAAGCTATTAACACTATTACATATTTTAATTAAAATAGAAAATTTGTTTCTAGTTCTGATGATAAAAAATTATTCATTTGGGAATTTGGAATCCCTGTTGTTATAAAACACATTAGTGATCCTGAAATGCATGCAGTTACAGCTACTGCTGTTAATCCATCTGGACTNAGAGAAAGCTCTTGAATTATCAAAGACATATAATTTCTTGGGATAGAAAAAGAATCATTTAACAGGAAATGTTGAATCAGTATATTACAATGATGCAGTATTCGAGGAATAATTTCATAAATTTAATGTATATGGTTTTGCAGTGGATCCAAATGGTATAATTATAAATTTAAATTAGAAAGAAATAGAAGAGTGATAGCATGTAATTAAAAATAAGAGGAATTATCTACTTTAATGAAAGAAGGTTATGATGTAGATGCAGCAGATCCATTATTTAGTAAAAATGTACTTGCAGGTATGCATAAAGAAGATAAATTAAAATAATAAGAATTAAAATAAAATAGAGTGAAAGCAAATGATCCATCAAAAGGAGAATTTATGGGACCTTGGGCAGGATAATAAGATGAATAATTTGAAAATATATAAATGAATGAAGAATAATAAAAATTATTAGATTAATTAGAAGAATAAAGAAAATAAAAGATAGATGAATCAAAAAAATAAGAAGAAAATTTTGTACCTTATATGGAATAACATGTAAGTTAAACAGAATAATTTGGTGGAAGATAATTTATAGCACCTCCACCTGAATTAAAATATGTTGATCATACATGTTATATACCAAAAAGATGTATATAAACATTTCATGGTCATACTAAAGGTGTATAAGTATGTAAATTCTTTCCTAAATTTGGTCATTTAATGTTGAGTGGTAGTTTAGATCATAAAATTAAAATGTGGGATATTATTGGTAATAAATAATGTGTTAGAACATATTATGGTCATTAAGGAGCATTAAGAGATCTAAATTTCTCTAATGATGGTAGAACATTTTTATCTGCTGGTTATGATAAAAAAATACTTGTATGGGATACAGAATATGGTAAAGTTACTTAAACTATCAATTTATAACATTTCCCTTATTGTGTAAGATTAAATCCAGATCCAGCTAAACAACATTCTTTTCTTTTAGGATCATCAGATAAAAGAATTAAATAATTTGATATTAGAAGTGGATAATAAACATTAGTTTATGATGAACATTTACAAGCTATTAACACTATTACATATTTTAATTAAAATAGAAAATTTGTTTCTAGTTCTGATGATAAAAAATTATTCATTTGGGAATTTGGAATCCCTGTTGTTATAAAACACATTAGTGATCCTGAAATGCATGCAGTTACAGCTACTGCTGTTAATCCATCTGGACTTAATTGGGTTGGATAATAAAGTAACAATTTAGTAATTTATTAATAATAATAATTAAGATNAGAGAAAGCTCTTGAATTATCAAAGACATATAATTTCTTGGGATAGAAAAAGAATCATTTAACAGGAAATGTTGAATCAGTATATTACAATGATGCAGTATTCGAGGAATAATTTCATAAATTTAATGTATATGGTTTTGCAGTGGATCCAAATGGTATAATTATAAATTTAAATTAGAAAGAAATAGAAGAGTGATAGCATGTAATTAAAAATAAGAGGAATTATCTACTTTAATGAAAGAAGGTTATGATGTAGATGCAGCAGATCCATTATTTAGTAAAAATGTACTTGCAGGTATGCATAAAGAAGATAAATTAAAATAATAAGAATTAAAATAAAATAGAGTGAAAGCAAATGATCCATCAAAAGGAGAATTTATGGGACCTTGGGCAGGATAATAAGATGAATAATTTGAAAATATATAAATGAATGAAGAATAATAAAAATTATTAGATTAATTAGAAGAATAAAGAAAATAAAAGATAGATGAATCAAAAAAATAAGAAGAAAATTTTGTACCTTATATGGAATAACATGTAAGTTAAACAGAATAATTTGGTGGAAGATAATTTATAGCACCTCCACCTGAATTAAAATATGTTGATCATACATGTTATATACCAAAAAGATGTATATAAACATTTCATGGTCATACTAAAGGTGTATAAGTATGTAAATTCTTTCCTAAATTTGGTCATTTAATGTTGAGTGGTAGTTTAGATCATAAAATTAAAATGTGGGATATTATTGGTAATAAATAATGTGTTAGAACATATTATGGTCATTAAGGAGCATTAAGAGATCTAAATTTCTCTAATGATGGTAGAACATTTTTATCTGCTGGTTATGATAAAAAAATACTTGTATGGGATACAGAATATGGTAAAGTTACTTAAACTATCAATTTATAACATTTCCCTTATTGTGTAAGATTAAATCCAGATCCAGCTAAACAACATTCTTTTCTTTTAGGATCATCAGATAAAAGAATTAAATAATTTGATATTAGAAGTGGATAATAAACATTAGTTTATGATGAACATTTACAAGCTATTAACACTATTACATATTTTAATTAAAATAGAAAATTTGTTTCTAGTTCTGATGATAAAAAATTATTCATTTGGGAATTTGGAATCCCTGTTGTTATAAAACACATTAGTGATCCTGAAATGCATGCAGTTACAGCTACTGCTGTTAATCCATCTGGACTTAATTGGGTTGGATAATAAAGTAACAATTTAGTAATTTATTAATAATAATAATAATTTAGATTATAGTTTATGATACTAAAGCTGGAAATTTCAGAATGAATAGAAAGAAGAATTTTAAAGGACATGTATCTGCAGGATATGCATGTGGAGTTACATTCTCAGCTGATGGTTAATTTTTAGCATCTGGTGATTCAGAAGGTAGAGTTTTCTTTTGGGATTGGAAAACAGCCAAAAGTTATAGAACTATATAAGTAATAATATCATTTTTAATAATTAGGCACATGATAATGTTTGTATAGGTGTTGAATGGCATCCTATTGAACCTAGTAAAGTAGTTACTTGTGGATGGGATGGAGTACTTAAATTATGGGATTGATTATCAGTTTTAAATTAATGTAGGTATATAATCACCAATCACAAAGTTTTTGGTTTTATGGAAATTTTATTATTCATTATATTCAAACGTACTGTCTCATATTCTTCTTATTATTCAGTATAAAATATGTCTAATTGGTCCTTCAAAAAAGTATCTTCTGAAAAATAATCAAATTTTGCTTAGCAAATATCACAATTCCTTTCATTTAGATTTATTGATCCTTCTTGATGCATATCTAATATTGCAAAATCATAAGGCTATGCATGAGTACAATTATTTCCTCTTATTGGCCTTGTAATCTTCTTTTTTGATATAGGACACTATATTCACAAATATTATTTTACTTCCAATTTTATAAATGTTATGGCTTATTTACCTTTCAAAATTGATTCTTAGTCTTTTTTTAAAATCACTTTTGTAATCACTTTATCTTATAAATAATTTATGAAGTCTTTTTTATTGATATTAGCAAATCCTGTTGTTATAGTAATGAAATTCATCATTTTTACATCTACATACACTTGTTCAAATATAGGAATATCTTTTGGCTTAACCTTCTTTGTGAAAGGTGTCGTACAAAGAGGACATTTATCTATGACTTTATCACCAATTTTAATATCAGCAGGATTTTAAAATTGATTCAAAATACAACTCATATATCTCAGATCACAAGTTTAAACTTATTCACATCGAATACATCTACAAGGCAATTCTATTCTCTAATCTGTAAATTAGCAAAATTTTAATTCTAAATTTTAATTCTTAATATTTTCTACTGAATATTTCTTATAAAATTCTTCTGTCTTATCTTAATTAATAGGACTTGTGTAAATCTAATCTACTATCTTATAAATTTTAGATTAATAATTTAAATAGTCTTAAGTTTAATAAAATTTACGAAACTTGAATAGATTAATATCTTATTTTTCTTCCAAAATATCTTCCAATTTTCTTTTTTCTTTGTTATATATAAATGAAAATCTAAAACTATATGATTTTAAACAGCTATTAAATAAATCTTGATCTAAACATAAATCTTCTTCTTTTATTATTGAATTGCATCCAGGTCTTTTGCATTAAAATTGTTTCTCTTTTTTATCAAAATGAATCAATAAGGCTGTTAAATCATAAACCTCAAAATGTTTGCATTATTAACTTCTAACTGGTATCATTACTTTTATGGAACTCAAAGAACAATTATTATAAAATAAAAAGCTACAATTCACATTGAAGCTCTTAACCATTTAATAAAATTAATTTGCAGGATTAATCTCTTTTTTCATAAATTTTCCAATCTATTCAAAATAACTATTCTAAGCAATTCCCATTTTTCCTTTATGTAATGGATAATACGTTTTATCTATAAAATTATACATTATTTATCTTGGAAATTCTCCACACTATCTCTTAAAACATAATAAATACTTTTGCTCTTAATTCATTTATTATAACATGAGGAAAGAAGGCATCTTCTATTTTTTCAAACTTAGTCACAGTTTTACATATGGGACATGACAATTATTTCTGTTATTATTATTCAAGTTTGGAATAGTTTAATTTTAAAAATTACTCCAAATCAATCACTCCATCATAATGTTTGAAAGTTTTAAAACATTCATATAAAACAACCTTTTTTCTATTAATTTTTTATTAATACAGCATATTTTATAGTTTCTTTTGTTAAAGTACACTCAAAATTTACAGTCATCGTTGATGTTAGACCACTAAATTTTTTGGTTCTCTCTTCAAAATCTGAATTTGCATTTTATAATGCTGAATGAGCTTTTTAAACTGCTTATAGTATTTCTGATATGCTCCTCAAATTTTAAACAGGCTAAGGCACAGGTTAAGGCACAGGTTAAGGCAAAGGCTAAGGCAAAAATTATTGCATATTTTTTATTTTAATTATTAAAAGATTAATTAAGGAAAAAAATTAAAAAGAACAATATTTTATTCCCTGGTTAATTCTAACTTGAAAGAACAATTAAAGTATATTAATTACATCAACTATTAAATATTTATACATGAGTTTTTTAAAAGTAAATAAAAATATTATTAATAAAAATGGGTACATCATGTTCTTGCAAATCTATGTTCTCTGTATGCACAGCTGAAGTCACTAGGCATCATACACTCTCTCCAAAATCAGAAAAAAAAACTGAAAAAGATAATTCCTTTATTCAAATTTCAGAAAATACAGATAAGCATTTCATTCTATAATAATATCCCGAGAGGTTTATCATCGTTTATCCTTCTGATGATGAAAATTATGAAGTTCTAAAATAAGAGCTGATGGAAATTAATGAAAATTGCTCAATAGTTATATAAGAATATAAGGATTATACATAAAATTCAATTAATTACTAAGAGTTATCAAGTTAAAGGCCATGCTCATTCAATGACTTTAAGTTATGAGGTTAATGGAAATGATATTACTCTATGTTATCAATATATTAAAATAACCAGTCAAGTATTGTCTCACTTTTCAATTATAACTATTTCTTTAAGAACTTACAAAAATGTGAATAATATTTAAGAAATGATCACATTTACCACTAAATTTAGATTATAACATAATAAAAAACAAACCAGAAGTTAATTTATTAATGGTCAATTTAATATAATCCAATAAATTATAAATTGAATTTTATGTCTATCATTTCTCAGACAAGGTTGAGATTTATAATAATACAAAAATGTGTTACTTTTTTGTTTCTAATACACAGTTATTAATTCATTCTCTTTAACAGAACCAAAAAAATGGTTTGATTTCAATAATCAATAAAAATATTACTTTTATAAATTATATAATAAAAATTTATTGTTATTTGTTAATGAAACAACTTAAAAGTTAAGCAAAAAAGAGTTATTATGACAATTAAAAATAAAAATCTCATTTCAGATCCTATACTTTTTAATCTGATCAGGAATCTATTGTAGATAAGTTAAATACATCAACTGTTAAAATATTCAATGAAATGTTATATGCTAAATCAAAGTAAATTGAATTGGAATCTGATTTTTAGATTAGGCAAAAATCATATGAAATAGAAAAACAAAAAAAAATTTTGTAAATGAAATAAGAATAACTTAAAAATGAATAAATGCAAAGTAAAGGTAAACCAAAAATCAATAAGACTCAACAAATATAGGAAATGATTAATAATTATATGGAAGCATCCAAAAATAGTAAATTTGGAGATTTATTACTTAATAAAGAAAAGAATATACAATAAGAATTAACTTCTAATATTATATATGATAATTTGAATAATCATGAAAATAATGAACCAGAAAGAATAGCTACATAGACTTTAGAAAGTACTAAGATGTACAATGAGTAAAGTGTAACAAGAAAATCTAATTCTTATATTCCAATTCATGAAAGAGTTAAATTTATAATATAAACAAAAAATGACAAAATTTAAGAATAGATATAATAATAATAATAAGAAATTGAAGAATATTATACAAGTTTACCATTCCAACCTTTAAGCACAAAATCATAGAATATTAAATTTACTTAATAAGATACGGATGCATTTGTAAGTAATCAGCTAAAGTGGAATCAAGAAAGAGATAAATGGAGATATGAATAATAATTGAAGAAGGAAAATGATACACCTAAATATTCTTATAGACCAACAATAAGTCCTTGGCCTGCTAAATAATCAAGTGTATAAAGGAAGCATTCAAAATCAATTAATTTATCATTCTTTTAGTCCACAGCTCTTAAGACTGAGACTTCACCAAATAAAAATAAAAAGTCATCATTTATTTTTTAAACAGACTTAAGAATAGCAAAAAGAAAGGAAAAAGACTAAAAGAAATTAAAAAAGTGATCAAAATTTCTACAACTTTTTTTATGTGATTTATTTTTAATTTTATAAATATTTTTAATTTGTGATAATAAACATTAATCATAAAATTAATATATAGCTTCAATTTTATTATTTTTAATAATAAATACTTCATTTATTAATTCATCTCATGATGGGTTTTTGATAATTATTATGTTGATATGTAACAATATAACAAATAAATTAATGTATATACTAATTATAATGAATTAATTTTTATTGATTATTTCATCATGACAATTATAAATTTATTATAGAGATAGCTATGAAATTTAAGGTGTAATTTTAAAATGATATTTTTTACTTACCTTTATATGACTAGATTGATTCATAATACATTGTATATACTTAATCAATTATACTATCTATCAAGTTAGATACCTTTTTTTAGTATTTTTGATGCTTGAAAAATGTTGTCTGATACAGATATATTTTAGGAACTTATTTAATCTTCATTCTTGACAAGATACTTTGTTTTTTTTATGATTCAAAACTAAATACATGACATTTCTAGTTTTATTTAAGAGTCAAGAAGAAATATATTTCAGAACAGATAACGAAGTCACTAATTAATTATCTAATTGTATATAATATTTCATAGTGGAGTCATTATGAATTTACGAGTATTTTTGGTTTGGAGAGAAAGCAAGTGTTATTCAAATTTATTTTTTCTTAGAATCTTCTTTACATAATAGAGCTGTGGCCTAATGTATTATTATAAATATCATTACCAATTCCATTCATTAATCGTACACTACCTTTTAAATTAAATTTTTCAGGCCCGTGATGCAAATTACTTGCAATGTAGTTACTCTTGTTAATATAGTGTCTATAGGGTAGGTCTAAATGCTATCTCTACCCTTATCTATTTAAGTATTCAGCATTATCTTGTATAAAAGAGACTTTCTTATTTTTAGAATGAATATTATGACAAATGATTAGTCCCATTGATTTATTGGCTAAAACTATCTTATTTAATTGAATCATTTTATAGAAGCATTTTATATGGTTATAAATATAAGTTTAATAAAATTTAAGAAAATAAATCTTATTTGAAATAAAATGGATTTATAATTGAACTTATCCATTAAAATTTATTTGAAATAAGACCATAACCTGATATTTTTTGGGGCCTTTATCTACTCTTTGAGTTTTGATCAGTGATTAATTGAATAAGTAACACAAAAATTTGATGAGGACACACCAAAAATTCCCATTCATATGATAGTTCACAAAGAATTTCCATTCATATGAGATTTCTTATTAATTAAATAAGTCATATTTTTCATTATATATTTACGATTGCCCACATAAAATTATTTCCATAAGCATTTCTTTGTAATTTTTAAAAATTAAAAAATAATTGGAAAATTGCCACATCTTAGGTCAAAGGTATTTGTTTAGGTTTATTATTATTACTGAATAAATGAAAATATAGCCCTATATATTTTTGATAATAATAAACCATATTTTATTCTTGAATTAATATTAAAGTATCATCTATAATATGTATTATTAGTAAAAACAAGATCTAGCTCTTATTGACCTTAATTATTGAAGTTTAGAATATTCCCATTGTGAATAGAACTCAAAACTTTTAAAATATTTGTTTAGATTTGATAGAGAATTATGTTATCTATTTGTTGATTTGTCTAGAAGGAAATCACAAATGAATTATTGATTTATATAAATTACTGCTTGTAAACAACATCCATGCTATATTGCTGACTAGTTTTATGCTCAAAAAATAAAATAAATACAATAAGAAATTCCTAAATTATTCTAATTCTAATAATTATTAACATATAATTATATATTATTGAGAAATTATATAAATTTAATTAAAAGAGTTAATACTTCTATATATATATATTATAGTTTTTAATTTGAAAAGAAACAATAAAGTATTAAGTTTATTTATAATGATGAGAATTAGATTTTATATGATGTTAAATCACTTATTCATAAATAAAAAAATTAAATGTTAAATCCAACTAGTGCAAATAAACTTTCAACATCTAATTAGGCTCTTTCTAAATCTGTTCATTTTTCTCTTGGTAATTCACAAGTACCTGTGAGTTTTAGTGATGTGAAAGCAGTTTCTGGTATTTCAAAATCAGCAATTGATCATCCATAAGTGGGATAAGTTACAGGAATTGATTGTGGAATTCACATGAAATAATTAAAAGGATTTTGTATAGAATAGAAATGTATTCATTAAAGAAGAAAATTGTGTGTTGGGTATTTGATAAACTCATATATGTTAGATGTTTATGGGGACATACTTGTGTTCATAAAGTATAAGTACCTGAATTTGTTAAATTATTAACAGATAAATTAGCAATTGCTGAATTTGACTTTTTTGATAAAGTATTGAAAGTTGTTAAGAAAGATCATTTATAAAATGAAATTGATGAAATGTTCTTGAAAATAAAAATGGATTTTGATAATCATCTTAATGATTTATATTCCTAATTTATGTATTGGACTAAACATGGAATGGGAGAAGTAATTAAAAAAGGATTTTTGGCTGATTTTTTATTGGATGATAATGTAATTGAATAAATCATGGATTTAGTATTAAAAGGGAGAGGTATATTATTTTATATATTAAAATATATTAGCAATGGAAGCTGAAGATGAAACTATATAAACATGTGTAGAATTAATTAATGCAGATCCTTAAGAAATTAAATTATTACCATAATAATTATAAACTACACTTGTTGAATGTGAAGAAGTAATTCGTTAAACTTTACATTAATTAGAACAAAATTTAATAACATTTAAATAATCTCCATTTGATTTTAAGATTGTTAAAGTAAAAATTATAATTAATAATTTTAAGGAAGGTGTGGAAATACCAAGATTAAGAATACCAGGAACATAAGGAAATATATAAGGTGGAGGAGGTTTTGGATTTGGTGGTGGATTTAATTAAATCCCATAAACTAATTTTATAGGAACAGCTAGTTAATTACCAAGAACTAGTGTACCACCTACAACTACCCATTTTCAAAATAGATTTGCCTCTGGTTTAGCATCTTAATTAAATGCTAAGTTATTTATTGATGCAAGAGACTTACATTAAAGTTAGGTTTGGGCTGTATGTAAGATTAGTCCATAAGTGATTGCTACAGGAGATTGGTAAGGTAATATAAAGATTATTGGATTAACAATGGAAGGATAATATTAATTTATGTAATCTTTAAATCATGGAAAGAATGTTTATTCTTTATTATTATCAGATGCAACTACTCTTATATCTGCTGGTTAAAATTAAAAAGATGAATGGACAATAAAAATTTGGGATTTAGAAAGATCTTAATTAATTAAGGAATTGAAAGGACATATAAATTATATATTTTCATTAACTTAACCTGTTCCAGGAACATTAGTATCATGTTCATATGATGAAACTGTTAGAGTTTGGAATTTATAAAATGGATAATGCATAAAAGTTTTCAAAGAATTTAAGACATCTTTTAATGATTTGTTGTCTTGGAATCAAGAAGAAGTTATATGTTGTTCAGATGATAAAGCTATTAGATTATTAAATATTTAGACTGGAGAAATGAAAATGTAATTATTTGATTCTTGTTTTGTAAATGGAATAGCAAGAGTATCTTAAAATGAAATAGCTGTTGGTAATTTTAAAGGAGAAATCCTTATAATAAATGTGACTGACTAAAAAATTGTTAGAAGAATGGGTTCACATAAGAGTTTTGTATGGAGAATTAAAGTATATAATTATTGTATAATTATAGGTGATAGATAAAGATTTGATTGCTTCTGCTTCTTTTGATAAAACAATTAAGATTTGGGAATGGTAGAGTGGACAATTAGTTGCCAGTTTAGAAGGACATACAGATATTGTTAGATCTATTGAACTTATAGAAGAAATTGGATTTTTAGTAAGTACTAGTGATGATAAATCTATAAAAGTTTGGAGATTATTTTGAATATATTAAAATAAAGAGCAATACATTTTATATTTATATATATATATATTTAACTTATCAACTAAAGATATTTTCTAAAAATGTTTTCTTTTTCTCTTATGGTTATTATTACTTCTAAATTTATACTGGTTTAGATTGTGGGGACTTAAATTAAATTAAAAATAAATACAAATCTTCTTGGTTGACTGACAGGTCTGCCTTAATAAGGAGTGTGATTATAAACTGGAGCTACTCTTGATGGAACAAAACTTGGTTGAACATATGATTAAGCAACAAAAGGTTATTAAACTGGAGCAACATATTAAGGAATAGGTGCAACATATTAAGGAACTTATTGAACAACAGATTAAACAACTGGTTGAACAACAGGTTAAGCAACAACTTATTATTAATGTACCACTTATCTTTCAACTGGATAATATTCTACTCTATCTTAATATCTATCTACAGGTACATATTCTATTGTTGTTATTTCATATTATTACTTGTAACTTTATCATAAAATACTTATGGGACATATTCTGTTTAATATTCCACAGCTTAATATTCTGTTACATATTTCTCTCTTGGTACTTAGATTCTTTATCTAACTTCTTCATATTCAATCACAGATTTCTCGTATGGAATATATCTATAAAAAATATTTGAATTTTAATTCTTACTCAATTCTGCTTTCACCCTTTATTACTTATTAAGCTGGTTAGACAGCAACTGGTTGCACTGCCATTGGTTAAACAATTGGTTAAACTGCAACTGGTTAAGGAACATATTAGACAGGTGCAGCAACAACAGATTATTAAATAGGATAGTATGATGGACTAGCGAATTGCATTGGTGGAGCATATGTTCTTGGTGGTGAATATGCAACTGGCACTTGAGGGGCATTTTAAACTGGTTGAGGAGGTCTTTAAGAAGGATGATTGCTCATATTTTTGAATATTAATATTAATTATTTCAAATGTCATCGTTAATTATTTATAACTATACTCTGTTAATTCATATTATAATTATATTATTTATACATTTCTTATATCAATTTGATTATAAAAATAGATTAACATTTTCATTTTAATCAAACATAAATATTTTATTGATAATCATAATTCAATTATTCTATTATATATCTAATTATTTATTTTTTTATTTAATAGAATTACAATTGAAATTATTTATTTTTAAAATTATATGTCTGCATTAAGAGTTGTATTGTTAGGAGTTCTAGGACATGGAAAAACATTTCTTTTTAATAAAATAACCTAAGCAAATGAGCCTGTTATTTATGGAGGAAAATCAGTTACAAAATAAATTGTAATTGGCTAAGCTGCACATGGAGAATTTGAAATTGTAGATACCCCTGGATTTGATGCAATTGAAGATAAGTTATTACATGCTGCTGGCGTGATTGCAGCATTAGCTTAAGGAGATGTCAATAGAATACTTGTTGTTGTTAAATGTGAAAGAACAGATTTAATGATAAAAAATATCAAAAAGATAATAGGATCTATTTAGAGGTATAAAGATTTAATCACTATTATTGTTTCTTATTGGGACGAAAAATAAAGAAACATTATTAAAAATAATAAGAATGTAGAGGATTAATAAAAATAGGAATTAGAGGCAAAGTAGGACATTGAATAAGATATTAGAAACAATTTTAATATTAAATCAGTTGTATTTACCTCATTAGATGATGATCCTATAAATATCACAAAAATGATAATAAATATTATTCTTTAATCACGATTTACTAAAATTCATTTATAAGAATCTGAAATTTATAGCTAATTTGATTTATTAAGTTTAGATGAGGAATCAGAAATGGAATTTAATAAATCTATTAATAAAATAAAGAATGGGTTTAGGAGAATCTCAAAATCATTCTTAAAGTATATAGAAAATTAAAAACTAGATGAACCTTATTTAATTGATAAATTACATTACTTATCATTAGTAATTAAAGACATAGCAAATTAAAACATTGAAGATTTCGAGAAGAAACATGGAGATTATATGAATGAAACTTATGATACTGATGGCGTCAATATAAGATATTTATATCATATTTATCTAAAAAAAGAAATTCGAATTGATCTTGAATAAGTTATTAAAAAAGCCCAATCTAAAATGAAAGAATCTTAAAATCACTGTTTTAATTGGATTAAGTAATGTCCTTATTGCGGATTGGTTTGGATAAAAGTTGTTGGATGCGAAAATGAGACTACTTGCGGAAATAGAGTATATTCCTCTTTTGATGATTTACTAAGAAAGCAAGAAAAAGTAAATCGTTATAAAATAATAGTAAAAAATGATTCCATTGATGTTGAAATTGAGTAAGAAAAAAAAACTGAAAATTAATAAGCAATTCAATAAGATGAAGATATTTATTTAAAATTATACAATTCTGTTAAGGATGATCCAATATTTAGTATGAACTTCTAAATTTACCTTATAAATTATGAAATAAATTAGTTAATGTATGAATTTGCAACTTAATTAATTGGTTATGAAAGTTTAAGCTACTATTATGAAAATATGGATGAAGAGAGCGAATAAATGTTGATAAATGAATTCAAGAATGGACTGAGAGTAAATGGTTGGCTATTAAATTATTAAAATAACGAAATAATAACTGAATAACAGTCATTAGGATGTGGGAGAGAAATTGTGTGGAAAAATTTACCTCCTCTAAGCGGACCATTGCTATAAGAATTATTAACACCTGAACTACTTGATTACTTTAATGATCAAGACTAATTATTAAAAGATGAAGCTGATGATATTGCAAAAGAACTTCAAAAAACATACAAGGATCTTGTGAATTAAGCAATTAATGAATAAATGAGGCATATAAAAGTAATACCAAAATAATAAAATCAAATGTAAACCTAAAAATAAGAAAATGATGATTAAAAGGGAGATATTAAATAAAACTATTAAAATCTTATTAAGGAAACAAAGATTCAACAATAATAAATTAAAAGAAGATATAGTGTTAAAATGATGACAGATTCAAGTTTATATGAAGATACAGAAACAATAAATACTTCCAGAACACAAGAGTCTGAAACATAGTCATCAAAAAATATTTGATTTTTAATAAATTAAACAATCTTAATTAATTTATCATCTAAATTTTTTAATAATTAATTCTCTGGTCCCTTAATAGAATAAGCTATTTTCTATTAGAAATTAAAATATTCAATTGAATATATATAATATAAAAGATGAAAACATTAAGTGTAGTTTAATTAGGAGTTATTGGATCTGGTAAAACAGCCTTTTTTAATTTGATTACATCTTCAAATGAACCTGAAATTTCTGGAGGTCCATCAGTAACAAAATAAGTTGTAGTTGGTTAAGCAATAATAGGGGATTTCGAAATAATAGACACACCAGGTTTTGAGAGTGAAAGTGATAAATTATTACATGCTGCTGGAGTAGTTGCAGCATTAACTATAAGAGATGTTAATAGAATTCTTATATTTGTAAAGTTTGAACGAGATGATAGAATGATTAGTTCTATACGATAAGTATTATCTCCAATTAGAAGATATAAAGACATTGTAACAATAGTAGTTACTCATTTTGATTATTCAAGAAATTAAATTGAAGATTAAGATCGTATTTAAAAGAGAATAAAATCAGAATTTAATTTAGACTCAATTTTATTTTATTCCAAAATATATTCAGATTAAGTCGATATTTCATTAAAAATATCTAATATAATAACTTAATCTGAATTTAAATCAATTTAATTGCAAGATTCAGAAATATTTAGTTAATTTGATTTACTTTAATTAGATGATTATAATTAAACTAAATTAGAAAAGAATTAAACAGCAATTTTACGTTAATTTCGAAAAATTGCAAGAATATATAGATAATTTATTGAATAAATAGATTTGAATGACCCTTTAGTTATTGATATTTTACATGAATTAACATTAGATATTAAAGCTGTAGCAAATTAACATGTTGAAGAATTTGAAAGATTGCATGGAGAAGAATTAAATGAATTCTATGATGTATAAGGTGTAAACATTAGATATTTACATCATATTTATTTAAAAAAATAGATTAGATTAGATCTTATTAATGTGATTAATTTATCATAAAAGACAATGACAAAATCACAAATTCATTTTTATAATTTTATAAAATTATGTCCAAACTGTAAATAACCTTGGATAAAGGTTGTTGGATGTGATGGAGAAACTAAATGTGGAAATAGAATTCTTCCTTTTGAAAAAGATGAAATTATTGGTCAAGCATCAGCACCTAAGAAATTTGAAATCAAAATAATAGATAATTAATTAAGAGTTGATATTATTCAAAATATAGATGATTAATATTCAACAGTAAATGAAGAAGCAAATTCTAAATTTAATTAATTATATGAATACTTTAAAAATGATATACATTTTTAGAAATATTTAGGAGATAATTTTGATAGATAAACCTTTTTGAATTTAATGAAAGAAAAACTTGGTAAAGTTATGGATGATTTATATAAAAAGATAAATAATGAAAGTAAAGGAAAGGTTATAGAATAACTTAAGATTTATTTTTATAGTTTATTTAAAGTTGAAAACTAAGATTATAATACAAATAAATCTATTGGATGTGGAATCAAATTTAATTGGTCAGAATAACCTCCACTTAGTGGACCTGAATTAAATGAATTACTTTCACAAGATTTGATTGACTTTTTTAATAGAGATTAAGAAAAATTATTAAAAGATGAAGCATATTTTTTGGAACAATCTTATAAAAAATTAGTAAAAGATGCCATTGATGAATAAAAGAAAAATAAAAAAATCATTAAATAATAATTCTCTTATTAAAATGAAATTAACACTTAAACATTTAAAAACATCTAACCATTTGTTGCATCAGCAAATAAAGAATAACAAAATTTTACCAATATAAGCTAGTGAATTCACTTTATATCTTAAATAATTAATATCATATTTTAAAGAAATTTAATAAATTTTATTATATGTTTTTTTAATAGATTTTTATTGTTTTTTTAAGAAATTAAATAATTGATATTTAAGGTTAATATTATCATAATAGAATTATAAATAATAAAGCTAATCAAGAAATCGATGAGTGGGTTAAGAGTTGTCCTTTTAGGAGTTATCGGATCTGGCAAAACTGCCTTATTTAATAATTTGACTAACAATAAAGAGCTTGTAAGATAGGGAGGAGCATCTGTTACAAAATAAGTAGTTGTAGGGGAATGTGTTGTTGGAGAACGAATTGAAGTAATTGATACCCCAGGATTTGAAGCTGACGATGATAAACTATTACATGCTGCTGGAGTGATTGCTGCACTTTCAATTGGTGATGTTAATAGAATACTGTTAATCTCAAAATTTGAGAGAGATGGAAGAATGATGAATGCATTGTAATAAGTCATAGCTCCAATCACAAGATATAGGAATATTATAACAATTTTAGTATCACATTGGGATTTGTCAGAACATAAAGATGAAGATTAGAAGCATATATAAAAGAAAATAAAGGATAGGTTTAATATTGATTCAATACTATATTATTCCAAATTTGATGATCCTAAAATTATTGCTCTATAAATTTTAAAAATTATTGGTGAATCAAAATTAATGACTATAAAATTATAAGATACAGAAATTTATAGTTAATTTGATTTATTAACTTTGAATTATGAATGTCAAGATAAATTAGAATAAAATAAAATTAATATTCTTAAAGAATTTAGAAAGACTGCAAAAGTTTTTATTAATTACATAAATGAAGGAGTAAATTTAAATGATCCTTAAGCTGTTGATATATTACATTCTATATCATTAGAAATTAAGAATATTGCGAGATAGTAAATTGAGTAGTTTGAAAAATAACATGGAGAAGAACTTAATAAATTTTATGATACAAATGGTGTTAATGTTAGATACTTGCATCATATTTATTTAAAAAAAGAAATAAAAAAGGATCTTGAATAGGTAATTAAACTTGCTTAGGAAAAGATGACAAAATCAAATAATCATTGCTTTTAATGTTTGAAACAATGCCCATATTGTAAATTAATTTGGATTAAAGTTGCTGGATGTGATGGGGTAACTACTTGTGGAAATAGAGTACATTCTTTTACAGATGAAGTGTTGAAAAGCTTTTCAACTCCGAGTAGATATTTAATTAAAATAGAATCAGATAAACTGGTTTTGAAGAAGATAGAGGTAGTAAATAACAATAAAATATAAATTCAGAAATAAAAGTCAGATTCTGTAGAAGATGAGGTTTATTAACTTCTAAAAGATGATTATTATTTGAAAAACCTATTAGGAGTTAATTTTACCAAGGATTAATTGATGAAATTAATAAAGGAGAAAAGGAAGTTTAAGTTATTCTCATTTGAATTTATATATTCTCTTTTAAAACAAGGTTTTGATTAAGGTGAGATAATCAATTGGCTGTACGAGGAGTTAGATATAGTAAGAGAAAGTGAACAATAAACTAATATAAAAATAAAGAAATTTGGTTGCGGATAGAATTTAGTTTGGTCAGAATTACCACCTTTAAGTGGACCTGAATTAAATGAATTACTATCAATTGAATTAATTGATTACTTCTCTGATTAAGCATAATTAATTGATGATGAAAGTAAATTCTTAGAGAAAACTTATAAAGAACTTGTTAACCAAGCAATATAAGAATAATTTATCAATAAGAAAATACTCAAATAATAATAACAGAGTGTAAGTGTTTAGTGAAACAAAATATTAATATTTATTAAACTATTAATGTATTACATATGATATAATTTATCATTGATCTACGGTTCCAAAATATCTATCTCCAAAATCTCCTACTCCTGGGAAACGATGATCTTGAATAGTATTAAGTGCATAATCAACTCCAGCTGTAATGAGTTTAACTTTAGGGAATTAATGTAAGACTTTTGAGAGTCCTTTTTCACATGAAACAATATTCACAGCAGCAATATTTTCCTAATTGACTCCATTAGATTAAAGTACTTTTATTGCTGTACTGATTCTTCCTCCAGTTGTAATCATAGCATCTGTAAGGATGACCTAATTTAAATTATTAATACTTGTTTTTGATCTATGTCTTCAGGAAATTTACAATAAACTAACTAAGGATCTTTAGTTTATGGATGTTCTTAAACTAATATAAATCCAACTGAAGCTCCTGGAAGTACCTTAAGTGCTTCACCTAAGAAAGCATTTCCTGATCTTACCATTACAACTACACAAAATTATTTGTTTTCAAATTAAATCTCTTAAGCAGGTGTTTAACTTTGTGACCCTTCTGGAGGAACCAACTTTTTACTATGTTCAGATATAGCCTTTTCCATAAGCAATCTTATCAATCTGTCAGAGTACAATCTGAAGTCCTAATTATGTTTGAAATCATATTAATACTTTTGTTTGAGTAGTTTGATTACGAATCACACTCAATAAGTGTTCAACTTAGAATTTATCCAATACATGGAGACTTGGAAATCTATGAAAAAATTATTATAATTCTGAATGCGATATAAAAGAGAAATACGGTGCAGCGCATTAAAATCTTCTTTATTATTGAGCAATTAAAGTGAATCCAATTAATCCTATGAATCCAGTTTCGAATATCTTAAGAAGTCTTGAATTCATATTTTAATAATTTATATTAATAATAACAATTATGAGTCATTAAAATTAATGAGAATAATTTCATGGCTTAATAATAATCATATTTCCAAAATTATATTTATAAATAATTATAAAATAATTATAATTTAATATTGCATGTTTTTTTTTATTTAACATAAAATATTTAGATCAGAGTTTGTCCAAATATTCATTAAGGTCTGGCAATTAGACTTTAACACCCTTTCTCTTTCTGATGGATAAGACTAATTCATTAACCTAGGATGATTAATTAAGAATTATACTTTGCTTCCTGCTTCAAGTGGGTTACCATTAACAATAGCCCAGTGATCAAACACACATTGAGGGAAGGCTTATCCTTAAGTCATACCTCTTAAATGAGCAGTGAAACCAAAAGATTCAGCAACTGGTAAATGAGCTCTAACCTATTAAATTAGAATAATATTAATACCACTGAAAGTGGAGTTCCTGCTACTTATTCTTCTTCAATGACTGTTCCTCTTCTGGTGTTGAGGCAGTTATATACACCACCAGTAGCATCATTTGGTGCAGTAATTTCAGCCAAAAAGACTGGTTCTTATAATCTTGGTTGAGCAGTCAATTCACATGCATAATACAATCTTCTGGCAGTTGGAATGATTTAACCACCTCCTCTGTGAATAGCATCAGCATGTAAGACACAATCCAAAATGTTGACTCTGATACCTCTTTAATTTTCTTCACAAAGTGGTCCTTCCTTGGTAGACCATTACCAAGCAGATTCCATTGATTCTCTCAATTCATTCATATATTAAACACCTGATGTCTTGTCCATCAAAATGTTGGCACCAGTGTTATCTGGTCCAAAGGTCCAAATTCTAAGTGCATCATCCTTATCCCATTCATATTCTTCATTAAGTGATTTGGCTCTGAGTTTTGGATCATCTTTTGGTGAAATTTATCCTTTTTCAATAGCATCTGGTAAATTTTAGTGTAATGGGGCAGCTTAAGCATAAATTCTGTTATGTTTATTTGGTGATTTAGACATACAAACAATATTTGATGTAGCAGATACGGTTTCCTTGTATGAGACGATTGGATCAGATTTGATGAGTTCAATACCGGCAAAGTCTTTTTCTAAATCATTCAAACAAATTTCTACATGTAATTCACCACATCCAGCAATAACGTTTTATCCTGATTCTTCTGTTGTGCATAAGACTAATGGGTCTGATTTTGATAATTTCTTTAATCCATCAACTAATTTTGGTAAATCTCCTGGATTCTTTGGTTAGACAGCAACTCTGACGACTGGAGATACTGAATATTTCATTGATCTGATTAAATGGCAATCTGGATGGTCTGAGATTGTACCAGTCTTCATCAAATATTAATCAACACCAACTAATCCGACTGTGTTACCACATGGAACATCTGGAATATATTCAACTCTACTGGCCATCATAAGAACAGTTCTTTAGATAGCTTTTTCAAATAAGTCTTCTTTCTTTCCTACTTTATAATTTGCTCCCATGATTCTAACCTTTTATCCAGTGGCAATAGTACCAGAGAAAACTCTACCAAAAGCAAAGAATCTTCCTCTATCTGTTGTTGGCACCATCTTGGACACATACATAACTAATGGTCCCTTTGGATTACATTCTCTCATTGATTAAGCAATAGCATCATCTTAAGGTCCTTCATACAAATATGAGGTTCTGTATTTTTAAGCCTTTCTTGGTGATGGTAAATGACAGACAATCATTTCAAGTAATGTATCAGCAGCATTAATCCATTTGGACATAACAGCCTTAAGTAAATGTTTTCCTTCTAATTTAGCTTCTTCTTATGTAAGTTTCAATCCCAAAGTTTCAAACATTTTATTAGCCATATCCATATTTCCTTCCATAACAGCATTAGCTAATTTACAGATTGGGTCCATGATGAAAGCAACAAAGGCTCTCTTCATTTATTTTCCTGATCCACTGATACTGTCTTTTCTCCAGCATTTTCCTTCAGCATCAAAGTAATTATCTCCCCATAATCTTTCTTATAATTTGAGTGGTTCAACCTTGAATTTGTTAGCATAGATTCTGGCAAATCTTGTGCATGAGAAAGCCCAGCATTCTTTTCCTGAACCAAATGAGACAGATCCAAGTTCTGGATGAACAAGGAGATCACCCATATCTTCTTATTAATAGGTGTTGATGATGACATTGACCATATCAACGACTCTGACAAAGTTTTAATACATAGTTTCACCATCATGCTTTAATTCCAAAATGGCTCTGTCAATTTTGTTAACCATGACAACTGGTTTGATTTTCTCTTGCATAGCTTATCTTAAGACTGTTTCTGTTTAGACACAAACACCTTCAACACAATCAACAACGACTAATGCACCATCAGTAACTCTTAAGGCAGCTGTAACTTCTGAACTGAAATCAACGTGTCCTGGGGAATCGATCAAGTTGATCAAAAACTTTTCTAAGGTCTTGTTATCATAGATGTCATATTCATAATAAAGAGAAACACCAGTGGACTTGATTGTAATACCTCTTTCCTTTTCATCTTCTCTGGTATCAGTTGCTCTAGCATCACCAGCAACTTTGGAAGCAATAATACCAGCTTTGCATAACAATGAGTCTGTAAGTGTAGATTTACCATGATCGACATGAGCAATGACAGACATGTTTCTAATGTTGTCCTATTTGTCCATGATTTCTCTGATTTGATCGATTGAAAAATTTACCATGTTTTTTTAACTTTTTAAAAAAAAGATTTAAAATTTCCCATAATTAAATCAAGCATTTATATTACATGTCCATAAATAATTGTTAATTAAAACTCAAAATGACATCTCATTGTTATTATAATATGATGTAAATTCAATAAATATTAATCTCATTTATCATATATCCATTAATCCACTCATTATTATTAATCATATCTCTAAGTATTTCAAGATTGAGTATTCTTAAGCTTTAAACCTTTCTGCCTATATCATACACCTTATTGAGTTATTCTAACACTATTTTACCAACATTTAGATTATCAAATGTCATTTACAAGATTCTGATTCGAATTATCATTAGAATCAAGATTTAGTAAATTTAATCAACTGCATTTGATATAAACAGTTTATAGTTACTTATATATGTATGTAATTATCTTAAATTAATATTCTCAAGTTTATATTGAAGAACTTTATTCATTTTTATAAATGAACAAATAATTAAAGTGATAAAATGAATAGAATTGATGAATTGAGAAAGGTTAAGTTTACAAATAAATTGGAGCAATTTTTATTAAAAAAGAGAAGAGCTAAGACTAATTTAGAAGAGTATTAAATAAGAAAACAAAGTATTTTTATGAAATATAAAGAATAATTAACATATACTCCTTAAAATAATAAAGATTAGATTTGTAGTCTATGCCATTCTTTTTATGTCAATTATGTAACAACAATTTTTTAACATAGTTGTTGTTAAAAATGTTTATTTGACCATCTACTTAAATGTCGCGTATTATAATTTATAAGAAAGTATAGAAAAAATGCCCAATTTGCAGAAGAGAGTTCAAAGAAGATTTTTCTTATCCTTGTCTTTCCATTGATTACTGGATAGGGATTGCTTAAAAGAATAATAAAGATTATGAAGTTAAATTATAAGAGATATCATTATGGAAAGAAAGAGGAAAAGTAAAAGAATTTAAAGTAGGGATGAGATTAGATATTCTTGACACAGTTTTTATTTGGTGTATAGGTGAAATAAAAGAAATAAGATATGGATAAAATGATAAACCTAAATAAGTATTGATTCATTATATTGGATGGGATAAAGTTTATGATGAATTAATAGATGTGGATAGTTTCAGATTGGCTCCTTAAGGAATTAACACTTCACAAAAGAGTATATCATAATTTTAATAAAAAATAGATGTTATATAATATTAATAATCTAATGTAGAGACATTATAGAGAAGTTTAAATGTGAGTTAGAATACTAATGTAAGAGAGATAAATCATAGATCACTAATTATGTCTCTTGCTAGTTAATTCTTATCATTTAGAAGTGATCTTTTTAATAATTAAAATTGATATAATTTATATAATATGCAAAGCTATAAACTTCATGTAGTTTCTGAAAACCTGAAGGATAGACATCCCTATGTTGAACCGGATTTCAAGGATAGATATGATCCCTCTGAAGTAATACTCATACTAAAGAATAGGTTTATCATGCAGTTTTTGACCGTTCCATTCCTAAATTAATTGAAATATTGTTAATGGAAAATATTGAAGCTTTTAAATATAGAGATGCCTTGATTACATTGAATGAGATGGTTGATCATTAAGAAATGAAAGATTAAATGATATCATAAGGTAATTCTTCTCTTTAGAATTAGGTCTTGTGGGAATTGCAAGTGCCTATCTACATCATAAAGATATTTAAATAAGAAAACAAGCAGTTATTTTATTGGGATGTTTAGTAAGTATAATGAGAGGAAGAGAATAATTATGTGATTTGAGTTTTGATGGATTATCTAAATTATTATTTGATGATGCTAGAGAATAATGTGGATGGGCATTATGTAGAATAATAACTGGTAGAGATGGAGTAGATATCTTATGTAAATCCAATCTCACTAAAAAGATGATCTAATCCTTTATGTAATCTAAAGAATATCCTAAATTTACTGTATATTTATTAGAAGCATTTGCAAAAATAGTAGAATTTGACAATGGTATTTACTTTTTTTTAAATTGTGGAACAATTAAGAGATTCATTGAAATTCTATCCTAAGAGAATTACTATGATTAAAATTATTCTTAAAGAATAACTTATTTATCTTTAGAAGTATTATCTAAAATATGTGCCAATCATGAAGGCAAAGAAGAATCTATTAGAGAAAATGCTATTAATGTTGCTAATCGATATTTAGATAGTCCTTTATAAGAAGAAGCTTATTTTGCTACTATTTTGATTATGAATTGTACTATAAATCTTGAAGGTAAGAAATAATGTGTACATGTTGAAAATGATGAAATCATTTAAGTATATATATATTTAAATAAAAAATTAGAAATTAATCTCATTATTAAATAAAGATTTCTGTAAGGATGTTAAATAAGCATTAATTAATATTGCAGATTATCCTGAAGGATTTATTATCATAACAAAGTTATTATCAAATAGCTATGAAACTTTAGATGATTTACTTGGTCCTAGAGTAGTAATTGCCTTGGCTAAATTAATACCTAGAGGATTAGAAAATTATGATTAATATAAATAATATGGCAGAACACTATGCAAATTCTTGAGAGACTACAATGAAGCCATCTTTATAGCCTTAGAAGTATGAGTTAATTAGAGTTTAAAATAGGAAACAGTTAAAATAGTAGAAATTTTGATGGAATTCTTTTATTATCCTGATTTAGTGAGAGATGTTACAGATTCCCTATTGAAATTGATTGAAGTAGATACAGAATCAAGAGAGTATGCACTCAATTATTTGGAAACTCACAATGTAAACAGCAAAGAGATTTAAAGTATATCTAAAAAAATACTTGAATTATTTCCACATTGAATATGCCATATATGATTTTTTAATAGGAAATACATTATTCTTATTATTTTTAATCCTAATATATTTAAAAAATACATTTATTTATTCTAACTAATTAATTTCTCTAATCTTAGATAAATCTCTTTGATATTTTAATATTCTGTATAATCGCTAAGCCCAAAAATGAAACCATCTTTTTTTCCCACTAATTCATTATTCAAATTAAGAAAAGTATAATCATATATAATGATATAGATTTTTATCTTAGATTTCTGTGATTTAATAAGGATTCAAAAAATTTACATAATTTGGAAATTATTAATTTAAATTAATAATTAATAATATCAAACAATGAGTGAATGTAACTTTAAAATCTTAGACAATACTCAATTTCATTTAAATTTATCCATTTTACAAAATAATGTGGATGTCATCTTATTGAAACCTACCCCAAAGAATAAACTTAATCTTGGACTATTTATAGACTTTTTTAATCCATATTCTCCTACTTCTCTTACAAAGAATAAATTCTCCTTATAATAATCATAATTTCCACTTATCTTCCATAAATATATTCATTAAAAATATTTGGAAATATGAATTTACAATATTATCTTATATAATATTAGAGAAAAACAATTAATGGAATAGATATAGTTTTATTTCTTATGCTTTCATATAACTTGTATTAAGTAAACGAGGACCTGTATAGAAATATATCAAATTATATCTGTAAGCAAATAGTCAAAGATATATAAGGCATTTTGTTTGTTATAAATAATATTTAAAAAAGATTGCTTCCAAAGTTTTGATGACTATTTTTTTTATGAAGCATTATCATTATTTTGTTTTTAAAAGGGACCTGCTTAGCAAAAATTGAATTCTATTCATTTTCCCATAATCATTCTATTTAACATTGATATCACCTAATTAACAATCATTAAAGTATCCTCATTTCTAGCTGAATTAAGGCATAAATAGTATCTATAAACCATTTCCAAAGTGGATTCAAGAAAATGAGAAGAGAAATACCAAAATAATTGATTGCCAAATTTATCATCAAATGATAACAATTTTACATAGCAATTTCCTTGCAATATTTTTGTCAAATCTCTTATTAATTAATCAAGCTACAAACTTATTATGATATTTGGCTAGATGTTTCTTCATAATCAACATCTATGAAACCTACTACTGTCTATTAATTAATACTTTTTTCAAATATAGATTTATAGATTACTTCAACAGAAACAAGATTTTTAGCCAATTTTTTACATTATCCTTAAGTAAACTAGAATAGTATAGTAGTCCAATTATTACTTAAATCTAATTTAGATTTAAACCCTTGAATTAAATAACCATTGATAAGTGTTATATTAATTGGTCAATTAAATTTGTTTACATTGTAAATTTCTTCAGATTTTTTTAAATCTCTCCTCTTAGAATTTAAGTTTGGCTGTTATAAAAAGTCCTTATATTTTGTTCCATAAAAAGTGATATTTTCCCTTCAATAACCTCTCGATCTCCAATTCATAATAAAAGAATTAAATAAAAATTTCGCTGACCTCTATATATATATATATTATAATTATTATTCACATATCTTTTTAGAAGGTATTTATTAATAGAAATTAGAGAATATTATTGGATTAGAGATATAATTTTATGATTTTATATTTATTTTTAATGAATGCATGTTTTCTTATAAAATAGTCAATTATTAATTAGTAAATGGATTTCAAACTAATATTTTGATTAGTATTAATTATATAAGAATAGCTAATTTAAATTGTTAAATGAATGAATGATTCAACTTATAAGTTCGTTATATACAATATTATAAAATGAGAAAAATATTATAAATAGATTTATACAACAATTTTAATTAAAAATATCATCAAATGAGTTTTACATACATTTTATTACAAGGTTGTATTTTATATAATTCAGGTTCTGTTTAATTTAAACAATATAAAAAATGAGTCAAGGAAAGAATAATAATCAACCATTTTTTTTCGGAAGCAATGCCTCTGAATTTGATCAATCATTTCTGTTTTAAAGGTACGACTTTACATCTAAACATATCATTCTATTTACTGATATCCATATATTATATTTTGATATACGATGATTATATTAGCAATCAACATTTTATGCAGCGATTTCCACCTGATATACAGCAATACCTTTTGAGATAGCTACTAAACCCAAACTTAATCCAGTGCATTAATTAAAACTCATAATCAAAAGATTGCTTTCAAGCTTCAAATTTACTAAGTAAGGTTAACCATACTCTTAATACTCATATTATATCACTTATATTTATGTTTGTTAGACTTATTTCTTAGATTTTCCAGCTTTGATGAATGGGATTGAATTGTTATAATATCTACCAAATTCTGTATAATCATAGTCATAGCTAAACTTGTTAAACAATTAATCATAGGGGAATTCAGGTCAAAAGATTAAAAATAATGCAGACCACCCTATAACAGTAGATGATGATGAACCAGAATAACCTACTAAGAAATGTTATAATACTTAATGTAAGAATGTTGGAGACAAGAAAATCAAATCCAAAAGGCATGATATATTATTCTTTTGTGACAAATGTTCTAAATTATATAATAAAGGAAATTATTGTGATTTTTGTGAACAAGTATCAATATCCATTTATTAAAGGTTTATGGCTCTTATGATGATGAAGCAGGTTGGGTTTAATGTGATCAATGCTAAAAATGGGTATGCTACATATTTATAATAAAAATAGAATCACATTGCTTGTGAATAAAAATATAGAAATTAAAATATTCAAAATGAACCAGAAACTACTCCATATCATTGTTTAAATTGTTCCAAAAACATTAAAAAAACTAAACCAGTTAAAAAACCTGAAGAACTTCCTCCTTAAAAGTAGCGTCCTATTCTTGAACAAGATGATGCTAGAAATAGAGAAAAGAATATAAATTTTGTAGCTACAAAGGACAATAAAATATAATATAGTAATTTAATACAAATTAAGTTTTAGCTTATCGTTTAAACTTGTTAGAAGAAGAAATCAAAGTAGATTTAGATCTCCTTCGAAATTCGATTAAAAAAGTTAAAAAATTATAATTGTCTTCTCCACCTTAAATATTTCAATAGACTATAATATCTTCTCAATAATAATAACAACAATAAGAAGTAAAATATTCAATTTTAATTTAAAGATTTAAGAATAATCTACATAAGGTAGTAGAAGTTTGAGAAGAAGAATAAATTAAAAATTAAATTATAGAGATTTAGTTGGGGAATATTGAAATTAATTACACATATAAATATATTATTATTTTTAACACCTAAAATAAAATATCATAATAATTGTTCAATTTTCTTTACTTTCTCTTAATATCTCTTTAAAAAATGACATGATTTATTAATTTATTCCAAAACTTAAATATATTCTTCTTTTTATTATTATTTATTCAATAATTCACATAAAATTATTAAATTAGATAAGCAAACTTCCATTTCTTGACGATCTGAAAATTATTCATTGTCTATTATAATAGTTTTCACTTTTTATCCTAATTCAAAACCTTCTTCAAATTTATTTTAACTAAAATACTTATATGAAAATATTATACTGAATTAGACAAGTGATCATTAAATTCATTAATTTTGAGGAATCTCCAAATCTATCTTTTGTCTCTTAAATTGATTTATATGCTTATTCTGGTTATCCATTATATAGCTATATATATATATTATAATAATATATACATTTAAATATATTTAAGCAAGATATGTTAGAATATCTTCATCATCATATCTCCTCAAATCTAATAATGTGGATTCGGCTAAATCAAATCTTCTTCCTCTTAAATATATCATAAATTAAAGGTATAATAATTCCTATTAAAATGCATCCTTTGGCATATCTAATTATAATGCATATTGTGCTTCACAAGAATTCACAGACATATATGCACATATAATTTATATGATTTTCTAATTTTATTGAGGAATGATGTCTTTAAGTTTTTTCAATACTTCTTCTATTTACTTTCTATCCTCATCAACAGTAGTATCTGATTTCTATTATTCTATAAGTGGACCCATAAATCTGCTGACTATATCTGTGATCTCCAATAATTTAGAAGATGGTTTCTTTGTTAATCTTATAGTTTTTGGTTTCAATTCTCTAGCTGCAATTAAGGCTCTTGAAACAAGAAAGTAATAGTAATCATCATCATAGTCATTTTATTACCATATTTCTAATACTTTATTAAAATTTCCTAAAAAGTAAGCTATCTTGGCTTAAAGAAGTATTTGTTATTCCATCCAATACACGTAAATACTAATTAAAATATTTATTAATTATTCAATTCATATAATCACATAACTCAAAATTATGATGAATGAGATTACAATATATATATATTAAATAAATATACTTCTTTAAAGAATCCAATTAATTAATTTCCATATATATGTTTCTTGTAATTGATTAAACATTATAAATTTTGCATTATCCTAATAATAGTATGTAATGATATTTAATCTCTTTAAAATATTTCTATTCTTGTGAATCATTTTCTTATTATAATTTATGCATTCTATATTAATTTTAATAATATTCTTGAATAATTGACTAAATATATTACTTTTAGTTTTTGAATGTTTAACATAATAATAATTTTCAAAATTAACAAGACTATACTTAAATATTGATCACTCTAACAAGTCTAAGAATGTATTCAATTTTTGGAAGTAAATCTAAATTCTATTCATCAATTTAATTAATTAATAACATCCCATAAAAATTTAGAAATACATTATTATTAATTTATTATAAAACTGATTACTTAAATTAGTATGAGCACCGTATACCTTTCATGTGCAATATGTTATCATGTAAAGTTTGCAGGTACTCTAAATCAACCTTAATTATTCTATCGATAATATTTATCCAATTATTATATTATCATAAATAATTAAAATAATAATATTATATATATATATATATAAAGTAATGTTTTCATTGTTTTAAGATTTGATCTAAGTATTTTTTTAGTATTATCCTATATGTATACTCATATTATGAAGATTCATAAGAACTACATGTATATTCCAATCTTTCTGGATCCAATAGAATTTCTCTTGCCAATTATAATAATATAATATTATGTTGGAGAATTCTTTACTTTTCCAATCTGTAAACCAATGCAAAATATTCATCATAATCTAATTTATTATTCTTTAACAAATGATCACTTCTAGAAAGATCTTCTTTAAATTCAGATTTAAATTATTGCAATAATTCTATAGATTTTGTCAAACCTAATGATATAAGAATACTTTACCTTACAATTCAGTCTAAATATTAATGATATTCAACACGGTCTAAGGATCATAGTAATCTTGGTTTTCACTTCTACAACCTATTTTAAATATTACTCTTTAATAGCCTTAGAAAACTTAAGCAAAGCAAAAGGGAACTCAGTATATTTTAGTTTAATTGATAAATATTATTTCTAAAATATTCTGCTCACTCTCCTTTTTAATAATTCTGCAGTATTAATTCTTAAATAAACATGATCATATTTGTTTTTCTCTAAGGCAATTCCATATCTTAATAATAATTCTCTATTAGAAAGTCTTCCATAATTAAAGTAGACTTGAGATCCTTTCTTAAAATTTTCAGTTCTTTATGAGCTAATACAGAAATAATCAAAATCTTCATCTTCTTTCCAATTAATTATTTTCTTTCTCACATTAGGAATATATCTACTTGATTTGTCTTAGTATCTAATTACATTATGTAAAACATAATCTCTAATTATATCATATGTTTATTCTTATAATTCCTTTTTGCTTGTCCATTCTATAATTTAATCTGCAATAAAATAATCAATATCTGATTCATTTTGATCTAAATCTAAAGAATTATCTGAATCTGATGAAGATTAAACACTCTAAAGTTCTTCATCAGCATAAAAACCTTCAATCTACTTTTTACCTTTTTTTCCATTCTTCTTATTCTCTACATTTATACTATTAATTTCATTCTTCTTTTCATAATCATCTTTAGACAAAAGTGTAATATGTACATCAACACATTCATGATTGAAGAATTCACAAAAAGGTACCATACTTTTGTATTTCAAATTATGTCCAAAATCTCTGGTATATAAATTGGTATAAGCCCATTAAAATTCTTCCTCTGTTGTATTCATTATCTCTTTGAATATCAATTAGGTCTACTTATAATCTTCCCTCTTTTTTTATACTTTATGGATTAAATTTTCATCTTACAATAATTTCAATTTCTCCTCTGACCAAAATATCAACATATTAACATCTTATGGTAATTAATCAATAAATCTATAATATTTGGATCTTATTCCTTCTCTTTTATTCATAATAAGAAAAGCTATTATTGCATGTTCTTCTCCGTCTTCATGATCTAAAAAAAATTCTCTATGTTTAAAATAAAAGGCTTTTTGACTTGATTCAAATGCAGTTTAACTACTTATTATTAATTGGCGGGGAACTTGGACTAAAATATAATTGGCTGGAATATTATCTGTAGCTGTTTTCTATTTAAAACAACTTAAGATTACCTATCAAACCTCGATAGGGCAATCCGTTTTTGAGATAGAATGTTGCTAATTACACATTCTATAGTTTCACTCCTTAATTAATATAATCTATTTGATATTGTGTTTTTCGACTTTATGGTTTAGAAATGCAGTTATCATCTTTTTAATAAATGCCTTTTTCCTTTTGAATTAAATTATTAAGTAATACTCTTTAATACATTTTGCCAATCGAAAACCTTTTTGGATAATTCATAAGTTAAATTTATATTAACACTAAAATAAACATCTCATTTAGGTAAATAAAGAGCATATCTCATCTGTTCAAAATATTTCTTTAAGATTATACGATTAGTTTCACAATAATCGAAATCAAATTATGTTTTTTCAGTGGCTTAATCAAATGGTATTCCATCTAGCATTCTATCAATAACAACAATACAAATTTTAATTAAACTATGTTTAATATACTAAAATTACTTAATATTATGATGATAAATTCTCTATCTTTCTAATCTATAAATTACTGCAAAATATTCATGATATCCTAATGTGTTATCATACAATAATTTCTCATTTTCTTCTAATTTATCTGAAAATTTTGAAATTTCTTCAACTAAAATCTCTAATGCTAATTATAATGCTTTTCTTTCTAATTTCAAATCTTAAATCTTAAAAAATGAATCCAAAGAATGTACATTAAATGTCCTATAATAAGTATTTATAAATATCATTACCAATATATTGATTTACAAAATACAATGAAATCTAAGGGAAAAGTAGTATGTTTTAATTTGAATCTTTTATATTTACTTAATTGATATTTATGGACTAACCATATAGCTTCATTGCTTTATAAATATTTCAAATATTCTATTCTTAAATGTACATGATCATATTTATTATATTCTAATGACATTCCATATCTCATAAGCATCATTCTATTAGATAATCTACCATAACAAAAATAAACTTAAGCTCCTTATTCAAATTGATCTTTACTAGATGCTTTCATCACAAATTTATCAAATTTATCTTTCTCCCAAACTTATTTATAATATTCACATTCTGGATCTAAAGGCTAAGATAAAATAGAATCAACAGTTTCTTATGGTTAATTTTGATTTTTCGATCTTTTTTGTTGGAAATAACTTGTTTAATATATTGGTTTTTTCATAATATCTTTCTAAAAAGCATACAAGTTATTTCTATATGTATTACAAGTTAATTAGATTCTTTTAACATCTTCCCTAGCCATAAAGTAAGCCTTTCCTCCATTAATATATTCTTAGATTGATTTATCTAATTTAGCAAACATCTATCCAATAAAAAAAATAGAATAATTATCTCCATAATCAATATTTTAAAATACATATGTCTTACAATCTCTAGACAATAGAAATACTTCTCTCTAAAGATTTAATTTAATATTAAAATCTTTTCTCATTTTAATTTATTGATCTTATAATTCTTTGATTCTTTTATTAAATTCTTCTTCTTCTTCATTTTCTTATTGTTTTATATCAAAAGTTTTGCTGAATTCTTCATAAAACTTTTAAGTAGATTATTCACTAAAATCATCAAAACTAAACTCTTTAAATTGTTCATATGTATCTGTTATATATTCTGAATCACTAATTTCATCTTCAGAATTATATGAACCTTCAGAAGATGTAACTGATAATTCTTCATCTTCTTTTAATTCTTTAACTTAAGTTTATTCACTCTCTTCACTTTTATGAGGATTATCAGCATTGTATTCAAAATCATAAAACACATCTGTACATTCATGATTAAATAATTCACAAAATGGTACCATTGTTACATAAGCTAAATATTTACCAAAACATCTTGTAACTAAATGTGTATAAATCCATTTGGCATTTTCTAAAGTGACAATATCTGGTTTAAAAAGTTATGGATATTTATCTGTAATAAATTTGAGAGTTTCATATTCAAGTAAAAATTCTTAATATTATTTTCTAGCCAATTTTACTAATTATTCATCATCTAATAAATCTTATTCTTCTTGACTCCAAAAAACAAGATAATCAATATCTCTAGGTAAATTAGAGATTAATAGATGCCATTCTGATTCAGGTCCTCTTTAATATTCATATAATATAAATGCCATTAATTGATGATCTTCCCATGAAGATTAAAATTAATTGCTAAAGAATTGTGGATGATCTAAAAACATTTATTTCAAAGGTGATTCAAATGCATGTCTTGTTGTTAGTAACAAATCTCTAGGTACTTAGACTAATGTTTCATTTGATAAGATCTTCTCAGATGCTATATTATAATGTAATTTGAATACCTATAAGACCAGGATATTTTAAACCATTTTTAGTTTAAAAGATTGCATATTTAACTTTGTTAATGTAAACACCTTTAGAAGTTAAGATTTCAATATAATCTTATAATTGTTTTGGAGGTTCAGGAATAATTGCATTAGGATCAGATTTACGTAACCCTTTAATTTTACGAAATCGTTTGCCTACAGTATGTCTTTTCATGATTAATATTTAATTTAATTTAATAAGAATTAAAAATGAGATAATCAGAATAGCAAATAACAACTCTTTTGATTGAAGGTTCAAATAAATAGGGATAATTGGGCATAACATAATAGCAAACTGAATTGAAAGAACATAATTATGGTGTTAGAATATTAAATATTGCATGTGGTGGATATTTTACACTTATGCTTTTGGAAACATAGCAGTGTTGTCTTTTGGGTTAATGATAAATGTTAATTAGGTTTTAACATCACTAAAATGATAGATATACCAAAGGTAGAGTATATAGCATGTGGTTAATGGCATATGATAATAAGAACAAATAATGGAATATATGTATGGGGGAATAATGATGATGGTCAATTAGGTTTAGGAGATTATGAGCCAAGAAATGAACCAGAATTACTTGATATTCAATTTGGTAATATAGTTTGTGGATCTTATCATACATTAATTTATTAATCTGATTTCCTTTATACTTTTGGTAGAGGTAATAAAGGATAACTATTAATAAATAAAGATAAAAGTTGTGTACCAATAAAGATTGAATATTAAAATATAAAATTCATAGCAGCAGGAGATTTTTAAACATTTATTTATTCAAATTAATTAAATTTGAATGGTAAGGTACTTCATTATAATGGTATAATAAAACAATTAGCATGTAATAATGATTATTCTGCAATTGTAACAATTGATGGTATAGCTATTTTTTGGGATAAATCAAATACAATTAAATATCATTTTAGTAATATAGATTAATTGAGTATGTTTGGTTCTCGTTGTTATTTGTTAAAGAAAGATGGATCTGTAGAATTATTGGATGGTACAATAATAACAAAATAAATAATAAAATCAATTCATACAGGAGAATAACATTCTCTATTTATTTTGTAATAAAATTCATTTGATTCTATTGTGAATGAAACATTACTCCTTAGTGGACATCGAGATTTGTAATCATAATAATAGGAAAATCGAAATTATTTATTTTATGAAAAGAAAATTGCAGAATTATAATTATCTTTGGCTAAGAAAGATAAATAAATTTTACAATTATAAAATGAAATAAATGCTTTAAAAAATAATTTCAATATTTAATGAGCATAAATTTATTAGATTCAACAACAGAACTTAGCATTAGCTTTATCTTATTCTTAGTTTTTTTGGTTCTCTAATTTTATAGTATTTGCTTAAATTTTTTAAATTTAATACATTAATTTGGATTATTCATTACAGAATTTACCATTTATGAAGTCTCTGTTCCTGGTAATGTTGCTGCAATTTATTTAAATAATAATTCAACATTGTTTCCTGTCTTTGCACTTACTTCAATGAAATGAGCATCATATTCTTTTGCTAGATTTGTTCCTTCTTCAGTACTTATAACTCTTTCAATTTTAAAACAATTTTTTACCTATTATCAACATCTATTTTGTTTGCCACTATAAATATAATCACATCATTTCCTCTCTCTTAACGAACATCCTATATCCATTTGATTAAACTTGCAAATGATGATTTTACTACATAAATTCATAGACATCTACCTTCCACATCATAACAAACTACTGCAACTGCACTATCCCTTATGTAACTTGGAATTAATGATCTAAATCTCTCTTATCCTGCTGTATCCCATAATTATAAACGTATAGTTCTATCTTCATAATATAGAGTCTTTGAAATAAAATCTATTCCAACTGTTGGCTTTAATTAAATTTTACAATTTCTCTTACATGATCCTTCCCATCAAATGTATCAAACATAAACCGATTTATAATGGATGTCTTTCCAACAGATTAATCACCCAAGAAAACCAATTTATATTTAGATAAAGGTGCTACCATAGAGCCTTTTGTGTCAGCCATCTCTTTATATTATTTAAATTTCTAATTTATCACATATATACAAATTTGTATATCATCTTTTTTCCTTTTTCCATTCATGCTCCTCTTTAAAGAATACTCCCAAGATAAATGCTACACTACAAAATCCAAATATTATCCAAAATACTCCATTATATCCTATTTCTGGTTCTCCAAATTTGTACAACAAATATCCCAACATGTTTGATAATCCTATCACAAAAAATAAACCTCCATAAATAATAGGTCCAACCTATATATTAATTTTTTATTTACTTTATGTCCAAAAACTTTAGCACTAACAGCAGGATAACATGATAATAGTCCACCTTCACAAAACATTGTCAAACATAAAATTATAAAATATCCAGCATAACTATTGTTAATATATCCAATTGAAGCACTGCATATCAAATTAATTACTGAAATAACTAAATAAAGTTTTTTAAATCCATATTTATCAAATAACACAGCCCATATAAATCTTGATCCTCCATTACATACTGATTATACTGAACCAAGTACTGTTAAACTTGAGTCATCAATCCCAAGCTAAATAATTATTAATCATTTAGATTTACAGTTTAACCAAACACTTTATAACAATTTGCCATCAATAATCCAAATATCACTGAACATAAAACCATAACAATTAAAAACCAAAATGGTCTTGATTTGATTCCTTAACTTAAAGATTCACATTCTGCATGTAATACTGTTGGATGATAATCTATTGATTTTTCATGATTTATTCCACTAGGTTTCTTAACTCCATCTCCTAAAACAGATTAATATTCTAGATGAAGATCTCTTGGATATTTTATTAATAATGTGGCTATTATTGTTAATATAAAATAGGATCTAAAATTAGATATAAAAAATAAATTACAATGCCATCATTTAAAACATAAAGGGGACATTCTTAAATACATCCCTGGGAAAGTATTTTTTTTATTTTCCATCTTCTTCAAATGAAACACTTGGTTCCACATTATTTGGATTACAAATTGCCTTACACACAAAATTAAAAATAAATGCTCCAAATCCATATCCAGCAATAATTAAACCAGATACCATTCCTCTATTAAAAGGAAAGAATTTCCATCCACATACTACTTATTTAATAATATCATACTTATAGGTAACATATATACTAATCCAGATGGAATACCAATCATAAAACAATATATCAAAATGAATGCATAAATATTGTTTATGAATGACAATATTAAAAAAGCCAGTGATATTATGCTTCCACCTAATGCAATCATTGTTTTGTATCCAATTCGTTGAGCCAATTTAACTCCAAACGAAAGGACAGAAAATAATCCAATTCCTAATATTGGAAATATAATCTAGAGTGTAGATTATGTGACACTTTCATCTCTGTCTTTCATATAAGCACCAACATATGGACCTATTCTTAATAAATAATGTATACTAATTCCACCCCATAGATAAAATGTTCCTAATACAAAATGTAAAGCAATTCCTCCAATTAAACATATAACACCTTAGATTTTAATACTCCTTAATTCCTTTGCTGTGTATTCTCTTAAGTGATTTTCATCACCATGATCATCTGCTTAACTTTCATGATGATGATGATGTTTATCAAACTCATGATCACTTTAAGCAGCTTACTGTGGTATTTATTGCGGTTTCATTATTAAAGATATATTAATTATTTAATGCTTAATCAATAGATATGTATAAAATCATAAATTTCTCTTCTCTTCACTTTACATTTATTCAAGTTAAATATTCTTATTCTTTATGATTTTTTAATATTTCTAATTGATGCGTCATTTCTCCAATTGTGCATAATAAAGCGTCATTCTATTTATAATTTACAAACATTAACTTAAACCTTTATATTATTAATCTGTTTCTATATAATCATTTAAAAATACTCAATTTTCACTTAATATAATTTTTACTCTTCAAAACTCTATTTCTTTCATTGAAACATATTTCTAATAGGTCACAATATTGCTATCATTTTGTGATGATTTTAATAAAATCGAATTAATTTAATATTAATAATTCTAAATATATATATATGTATTAAAAATTGTAAATTCAATTGTAAAATGAAAGAACAAATAAAAATTTATCTTTATTTCTTTATACTTTTCGAAATATTGATAAATTATAGATTTTATTTTTATATTATAAACTTAATTTAGTTGAATTGATAGATGCACATTATAAAGATGTATTTTAAATAAATTCAATTTATATTATTTATATTAATTATATTAATTGATTATATACTTTTAATTATTTATATTTAGAATAGATTATATTCTATTACTATATCATTTATACATCTTATAAAATCATTATTTTATAATAGATAAATTTAAAAGATTCCAAAATAATGTAAATTTAATGAATTACAATAAATATTATTAATAAAAGCATTTCTATGAAAATCTACTTATTAATAATAATATTTAGTTTATAAAATGTTTAATAATGTTTATTCTTGTACATTTATTGATCATCTTAATGATCCTATTTAAGGCTTTTGCTTAAATCAAGAATGCAATTGTTCTCAAAAGTAATTCTGTTTAAAGTGTATTCAAGAAGAAGATAAACATTTTAAACATAAAGAAGATTGCAAAGGATTCAATGAAATTCTCAATTTAATTACAAAAAATATAGCAACATTCTCTAATTTATAAAAAGAATTAGAGAGTTTATTTAAAGAAGTTAGAACTATTTATGATTAATAATTAAAGGAATTAGATGCTACTAAATGTAAATTATCTAATCTCTAATAAATGCTTGAAGAATAGAATTATCAAGACCTAAGAGAAAATTGTAATTTATCATTATTAAGGATTTTATATTCATTGACTTGGAATAGTAAAATTGGATTAAACAATTCTTATAGTATTATATTTTTAATTATAAATAGAAAATGAATTATTAATATAAGATCCAAGATTTAAGAACCTAAAAATATTATTATCTTCATTCGAATAACTTAAAAATTAATTTTCTGTACATATAAACAATTCTCTAATAAATTCTTAATAATTAAGTACTGATCTTTAAATGTCATAATTGAATGAATCTTAATAATTATTTGAAATAGGTATATATATACAATTATATTTAAAAATAGGTATTTAGTATATGTTAGAACATGAATGGGAGAAAGCAAATGTTATATTTAAGAAATGTATTGAGAAAAATAAGGATGATTATAAGACTCTTTTCTTTTAAAGTATATTTAATAATAATAATTTAGGTTGGGTTTTAATTGAATTGAATTAATGTTAAGAAGGTTAGTAATTATTAGAGTAATCTTAAGCATTGAATAAAAATCTATCAAATGATTTAATTAATTGGTGTAGTTGGGAAAGAAAAACATCTTTTAATTCAGTTTTAACTATTGCTTAGGCTTATGCCTTAGAATTGAATGATAATTAAGAGAAGGCTATTCAATTCTATGATTAAGCAATAAATTATGATAAAAGATAAACCTTTGCATAAGCAAGAAAAGGTTTAAAATAGATATTATTTTAGGATGTCTTTTAATAAAATTCAAAATTAATGATGCAGCTCTAGAAGCTTTCAAAGAGGGTTTAAACATTACATATAATAAAGCTTTTATTCATTATTGTTATGGTATATTAACATGTATATCAATAGGAATTACATTATTGGAGAATCAAGTTTAAGATTAAGCATTAAATTCTTTTAAGATAGCTGCATAATTTGATCCTAATTTTGGTTTGAACAATTTGAATATTGGTACAAAATATTTAATCTTAATTTAGGTAATATATTAAGGTCTTAACAAAAACTTTAAGAAGCACTTAGTTATTTGGATTTGGCAATAAAAAATGATCCAAATCTTCTCAAGGCATATACTAGCAAAAGTTATTAATAATCAAATAAAATTTAGGCTTAGTTTTATGTGATATGAAAAAGTATGATTAGGCATTAGATTGTTTAGATGAAGCATTAAAAATAAATCCAAATTATGAAAAAGCTTTTCATTTAAAAGGTTTAATCAAGTATTATTTTAGGAAATTGTCTAAAATAATAAAAAAAATATCAGGAAGCAATTTTGTATATAGATTAAGCCATAGCTTTAGATAATAAATTTGTAAATGCATATACTTTAAAAGGTATTTATTTATTTTATTTTGAGGAAATTGTTTATGTTAATTGAAATAATATGGTAAAGCTTTATAATATTATGAAAAAGCCTTATAATTAGATAAATAATGCATAGAAGCATATTTAAATAAAGGTATCTTATTAAAAGAGTTAAAAAAAAATAAAGAGGCAATTGAATAATATGATTTAGCAATAAAATTAGATCCTAAATGTTCTTATGCTTATAGAAATAAGGGTATGTAGTTTTAATTAAAATTTAGGTATTGTACTAGAAAATATTAAGAAGTATGAGGAAGCAATAATATGTTATTAAATGGCAATTGAATTTAAAGATCCTATATCTGAGGAAATAAAAAAATGGATAGCATCAATTAAAGTAAAGAAAGGTATATCATGGATTTTTGGATAATGATTTTAAGTTAAAATTATAGTTATTAAAGTTTAAAATAATGAATATATTATACATATATATTTTAATTATTCTTATCTAATATTGATAATATAATTTTGAATGAGTTACAATTAGTAATTTTATTTATATTATTAACTAATATATCTACATATGGATGTATTTGATTTTATTTGATATGAATATAAACAAGAATCATTTTAATTATATTGTTATGTTTTTTATAGATTAATTATTAATATAATGTAAAACTAAAATATTAAATCTGTTACATCGAGATAGGAAGTAAAACCAATTAAAGCTAATATAACAAGGTATTTCTATAAATTTTTTAATTTAGAGAATAATTTCAAACTCTAACTAAGTTATATAATTTAGGTAGATAACAAAATAATAATGTTGAACGTGATCGAAATTAATAATAGCAATAAACATCTACACAATAATCATAATAATAATAAACAATTACACCTAGAAATAATACACCATAATCATGTAGAACTGCATAAGAAGTATTCATTTATAGTAAACAAAAAAAGATGAAATATTTTTTGTATTAAAAAAGTAATCTGAAAGAACAAGGAAAGATGTAAAATAATTCATAGGTATTGCCTAAAACGAAAAATAGTTTACATCGTAACTTTTCTTAATTGGAAAAGTCAGCAAGTGCTTTACTTACACCATTAATTTAAACAACAACAACTCCGTAATCAAAATAGAAAAAATATAATCTAATGTCAATAGATTAAAGATTTCCATCAAATTAATTTGCATAATAAATTGCATAATAATTAAAAAAGAAGAATGATACTACTAAAAAAGAAAATTTAAAAGTGAGTTTGGATGATTTTATTACTTAAGTGAGTAGACCAACTAAAACATTAATTTCACCTTTCAAATAGACTAAATCTTTGTCTCCATCAACAAGAGTATAATCAGCAAAACCTAAAAGTAATAAAACTTAAAATTTATTTAGAATAAATATATTATGTTACTTCATTAGTTGAAGCATTTAAACATTCATTTCCTCAAACATCTGAATAATAATTATTTAAGGATCATGCAGTTTAGACATTCAATTGTGTTGGTTTCTGCACAAATCTTAAAGAATCAGATTAATAGATTATTTAATCTAAATTATTAAATTTACCACCAAAATTGAATTGCAAATGTATTATACTACACAGATAATATTAGATTAAAAAACAGTAGTTTTTGATCTTGATGAAACATTGATTCATTGCAATGAAAATTAATCATTAAAGGCTGATGTATATTTACCTATAACATTCCCTTCAGGTGATACAGTTTAAGCAGGTATTAATATAAGACCTTATGCTAAATGGATTCTTTAAGAATTAAGTTAAATATGTGAAGTAATTGTATTCACTGCATCTCATTAATGTTATGCTAGTTAAGTGATTTAATATCTAGATCCTAAAAATTAATTACTTTCAGCATAATTATTTAGAGACAAATGTGTATTATCACCAGATGGAGTTCATATAAAAGATTTAAGAATATTTAATAGAGATCTTAAAGATATAGTATTAGTTGATAATGCTGCATATTCATTTGGAGTTCATTTAGAAAATGGCATACCAATTATTCCATATTATGATAATAAAGATGATAAAGAATTAAAAACATTATATGACTTTTTAGTTGAATAAGTATTGCCAGCACCTGATTGTAGATTAGTCTTATAATCAACATTTAGATTAAGAGAATTCTTAAAATATAATGAACCAAAACTAGCTATTGAAAAGCTATTTTGATTATGCAATTAATTAATTTATATATATATATATATATACTTATTTAATGGCATAATTGGAAGATTATTTTGATAGACAAAGTCATGTACCATAAGAAGTTACTCGATCTTTAAGATTAATTAAAGAATTGGATGAGAAAGTTACAAAAATTCAATTAAAATTAACATAATTAAGAAAGCAACATAAATAACATTAATCTGAAAAAACTAAATAAGAAATTGATTAATTATATGAGGAAAGTGTAAATTTATCTTAAGAGAAAATTAATATAACTGATAAAGTTTATGAAGTAGTTGATAATGCTGTTTAAGTAAATAATAAATCTATATATTGAGTAATTAGATAATGATTTAAAGAAATTTGAGGAGAACTTAAAATCAAGTATGGCACCTGATCATAAAAGAAGATTTTTAATATTGAGTAAATATTAAAAAGAGAAGAGAAAGAAAATTAATTAAGAAATTGAATAAAGCAAAGAAATATTTTAGAATGCAAGTTAAAGTGAACCATTATATTGTATATGTTAAAAGCCTTCATTTGGATAAATGGTTATGTGTGATAATTAATTATGTTCAAAAGAATGGTTTCATTTAGAATGTGTTAAACTAAAAGACTTCCCTCCTGAAAACGAACCTTGGTTTTGTTCTTCAGAATGTCGTAAAGAAGGAAAAGGACGTATCAAAAAATGATGATTTGGTTTGGTTTGTTTTTTTAACACAAATGATATCAATAAAACTTTCAACGAGGTCTTTATTCTTACAATTCTAACTGCAATATACAACCATCATAACTTTTGCCATTTAGTTTCTCAAGTGCAATTTCTGCTCTGTTTTTATCTTAAAATTTTAACATAACTTTTTAAATCAAAGGTTAATGAGAATTTTATCCATCCAAAGAATAAACTTTTTACTTTCTTCTGTTTTATAAGAAATTAATATAATAGCTGAATCTTCCTTCTTCTTACTCTAATTATTTTCTTAACCATCCTCTAAAATCATCTTTAGCTCCTAATAACACTAAATTTAAGAATTACTTATAATATCCTAAAATGTTTCAGCATATTCAAATTACACAAGATTAGAAACAATAACTAACCATTAAGAGGAGGCAGGAGCTTATTCAAATAAAATACTTTAACCAATTTAACGAGGACCTTTCATATATAATATGAATACCAACTTATTAATTTGTTTAGGGTTTAGATTATTCTTTATCAAAACTGACCACAAACTATTATTTTGGAGCAGGAATTATAAAATTGCATTCTTCCTAATTATTTGCTGCTTAAATTCTTAATTCAGCTTCTACAAGCATATCTCCTTCTCTGAATTAACCTCTAGGAAGTGAAGCTACTTCTCCCCATTTATCCCATCTCTATCTTTCTAATACTCCAGGTCTAACTTAAATTTCTTTATAAGTGACTTTGACTTTGGTTTCTCTTTCATTAATAGGTTTGATAATAACTTCTTATATGTATTCTGAGTCAGAGTCCTCTTGAATCTATTATTATTTCATAAATAAAATTTTTTTTTATTTAATTTGTCTAAAAATTAATAAAATATATAATAATTGAATCACATAGGCTTTTTTGAAAAAGTCATTAAGATTTTTCTATCAGCCATTACTTTGCCATGATTTTTAGCTAAAAACAACATAGCATCTTCAACTGTTTTGAATTTTAAGGCACAACTATGTTTTTATTTTGGATCCTCATAAAATCTAAATATAATATAAAGAATTTACTTATAATCAACAATTTCAGTTTCCAAAAGTGGTTGTAGAGCATTTATGTTTAGTAATTCATTTGATAAATTCATCAAAAAGATAGTATCATTAGGTGAAGCAGCAATAAAGGAATTTTTTGGTTTGTATCTATTAGTGGCTTCAGATCCAATGAATCTTTCTTCATAGAAAGTCTTTTCAACCAATCCTAATTCTTCAAGTTCATCTAAGAATGTTATTTCTTATAAAATAGAATAGGTAATCTAGAATATTATAGAATGATTACTTAAAGTGTTTGACCTTGGAATACAATATTATTTAATTTCTCTATACATTGATCAGCACATTTTTGTAGATGGTATTCAACCAACAATGTTGATTTGTCTTTCTAATATACCATTTTATCTATATTTCCATAGATACTAAAAATGTTATAGAGCATATCAATAGAAGTAACAGAATCATCAAAAGATTTGGCCACAATTACTCTTGATTTCTCCTACTAATCAATATGATATATTTGATTGAGAGTATTAATTTACAACTATTATTATAATTATTGTTATTGTCTTTATTAGTTTTGAATTTCAGACAAAGCATTAGCTGATTCTTACTTAATATAATTAATATAGTTATCAATAAGTTAATATTAAAGTAGATATTATGTTTATAGTAGTTTTCCAAGTTATACAAATTATTCAACCCATTAGGTTGAGACTATAGTATTTATATAATCAGGGACTTATAGATCTAAACTTTGAGTTTAAAGTCTCATTTAGAGTACTTACTATTCATATAGTCTTTGTTATAAATGTTATTAGTATTAATAGATCGATTATTAAATATTTTATTAGTAATTTTTGGTTGAATTAATATTAGGAATTTATTCACTTTAGCTGCCTACAGAAGTTTGTTCGTCATCAGTTGAATTATATGAATCCCTCTTTTCTTTGGATTTAGAATAATCTAAAGAATTATTATATTAATAAAATACCTTTTCCAGCTAAATTTGAATCAGAAAAGGTGACATTCTCAAGATTGCTGGGATATAATTACATTCTTAATTAATTATCAGAGTTCAAAATATTGTTATTACATAGTTTAATTAAATTTTAGGCAGTTTCTTTGTTTTTGGTTTCCAAGAAGACTTTCCAAATTTGTGTTTTTTCGAATATCAAAATCTAAGGATATAAATTGTGATTACTTTTTCAATCTAACCATATTGGGAGAAGTGTTTATAGATTTAATCATGAGTAATTGTTAATTATTTCTTATTTTGAATACAAAGAAGAACGACCTTGGTTAATGCCATTTTGTGTTTATTGTTTATTAATTTTAATCTTTCTTAATCTGGGTTTAGGATTTAACATTAACTTACGTTAATTCACAACGATAATTTTAGATAATTAAAATTATATAATTTATTTTATTTAATATATGAATGAATTGTTATAAATATCTAACCAATTATTAAATTATTATTCTTAACTCAAAATAACTCGTTAATTTCCATCAAAATCAAAAACTCATATATAAATATGACTAAATTAAAAGACAAAATTGATTTTGTTTTAATATTTATTATTTCATAACATTTTTAATAAAATCTCTTTCTGTTTTCAAGCTAGAAATAATAATAAGTTATAAAAATAGTATATAGATATCAAATAAACATAAAATTATTATACATTTTTAAGATTTAAAATGAATAAAAAAGAAAGAATTATTATTAGATTGACAAAAAGTTATGTAATACTCATTAGAATCATTTAAATGATAATATTATAAATATTAATTTGATATTTTAAATAAAGTTTTAATTAAAACTTATATTATTAATACTATATTTTAATAGTATCAACCAAGATAAATAATATAATATATTATCTAAAATATTTGAATAATAATAATAATAATAATAATAATAATAATAATAATAATAATAATAATAATAATAATACATATCTAAAAAAAATGAATCATTCTATAATTAATAATTAATTTTTTAATATTAATTAGAAATATTATGATTCCATAAAATTGATAAATTATAATATATTCTATTTCTTATTTATTGATATTATTCATTTATATTAAATAATAAATTATATAATAATATGATATTTTTTCAAAGATCAAAATGTTGTGTATGCGGAAAAGATCTATAAGCATTGTAAGATTATATAATATTTATCAAGAAAGTTAAGAAAAAGCTATAGATGTAAAATGTGTCACCAAGATGTTTGTATAAATTGTAGTGATAATCGTGTTAAAGTATACATAACTTGAATATTAGTTATATGCCAAACCAAATGATTTTGTTAAAGATTTCAATTTACTATAACGTGTTTGTGATAACTGTTATAGAGATTATTCATATTATCAAAAATAAATTTAAGAATACGGTCTCAAATGGAATACTAGATCTTTGCTTCAATCAAAATGGATTGGAAAATAAGAAAGGAAAATCAAGATGTAAATATCTATTTCCGAAAGCGATAAAGAAATAATTGATAAAGATGTTATAACAGGAAGATCTGAGGCATTTTTATTTAATTATAGTTTAAGAGAGTTTATCACTTAATGTTAAGAAGGTTATGATCAATCATATATAAGAGAATCTATAGTTAAAGTATTATAACTATTTGTTACTCATTATCCCATTATTGGATATTGTTAAGGAATGAATTACATTGCTACAATATTATTATGTGTTTCAGATGAAGAAGGAGCATTTCATATTATGAATCATATTTTCAAATCTATAATACCTCCAAGATTTTATTCTAATTCTTAAGGAGCAACATTGATTGGTTATTAAGCAGAACTTTATTTTTTAAAAACATTGTTAAAAAGTTTGAACTTATAAAATTTTGATCAACTGAGTAATTTTCTAGATGTCTCAGGACCTCAAATGTTGTTAACTTTAATGTTATAAGTAGTAAATACAAGTTCCTTATTTATTATTTGGGGAGAGATGTTTAAAAAGAACTCCTTTATTCCAATTGATTAAGCAATCATTCTTACTTTAGTTTAAGCATCTAAAACTTTTGATCTGACTAAATAAGGAATTATTGAGGAAATTGGAAAAAGTATTTATTATTATTTATATTATATATGTAGATATTAAATATAGTGATTTATCTTAATTATTCAATAAAGAGAGTGCTTATTTTACATAATTTGAAAGATAAGTATAGATTGAATAATATTATTCATAAACAAGTAGATCATGGGTTAATAATGAAAAATTAATACTTTTTAGACTTAAGAAAATTACAAATTTTGATACTGAAGAAATCCTATAAATTTAGAATGAATTTAAAAAGTATTGTATGGAATCTAGGAGTGTATCTATAAATAGATAAGAAAGATAAAGTATTAAATAATCTGCTTAATTAACTGATTCTTCAGATGATGATAGTGATTATCTATAAAGTTTGTAAATATAATAAGTGAAGTTATAAAAGTATGGTATTAATAAGGAAGCATTTCTTGATCTTATGGTATTATAATCTAATTATATAGATTTTATTAGGAATAGTTTCATTAGCATTACACAAAGTATCAAATATTAGATAGACATAAATATGAATTAGTTTTTAACTTATTTGATGAAAATAAAACAGAATTATTAGATTTTAGAGAATTTTTGATTTGTTTAAGTATCTTATTAAGAGGATCTTTTGAATAAAAATTGAAGATGTTTTTTACTGCACATACTGGATCCAGTTTGAGAGATCAAGAATTTTAGACTTTATTATCAATTATTATTCCATAAGAATTACAATAATAATAAGAATATTAAACATTTTTGAATAGAATATATAAACACTAATATACCTATTAAGATATGTTATAAGTGTCTTAAGATCCCTTTGTTTCAGAGAATGAATATAAAAGAGAAAGAAGTCAAACATCAATTTTCATAGCATAGTCATTAAATCATATAAAAAACAATTGATTTTATAATTCCTAGTTTAGCTATTAAAAAATTATATTATTATTATTTTTGATAATGTTTTCATTCTTAGATATATATTGAAATTAATAAAGATTCATCAAGTTTATCTAAATAATTATTTTAGAATAATTAAATAATATTTCTTAGATATCTAATATACATAAAATTAGATATTTCTGCTTTATATTAATTATTTATATTATTGAAATATGTTTATTTTCTATTGTACTAAAATATAATTAATGATCTTAATCAACGATTGGTTTTAGCTACTTTCTCTAATTCGTCTCTCTTTTTAATAGTGTAAGACTTTTATCCATCTTCATTGGATGCTGCAATCAATTCATCAGCTAAGGCTTCTGCAATTGTTTTCATCTTCTTGAATACAGATTCTCTAACTCCCTTGGCTAAATTGTGAACAGCCTTTTTAATATATTTGAATTCTATACTTCATTTACTCTTCTAATTGGAGCAACATCAACTGCTTATTATTTGGCAACACCACCTGTTCCTACTTTTGTAAAATCTTCTCTGGCTCCTCCTCTTTACACAGCTAATGATAATACTGCAAGTGGATTCTTGCCTGTCAATAAATGAACTATTTCAAAGGCATGTCTAATTATTGCTACAGCCTTCACTTTCTTTCCTGTATTTCTGCCATGGAACATAAGTGCTCCAGCTAATCTCTCAACTATTGGACATTGAGCCTTTCTAAACTTCTTTCTTTGATATCTATTAACAATATTATATCAATTCTATACCTTCCAGCAGTATGAGGAACAAAAACACGTGATTTTGATGTTTGCACTGCGATATAATCTTTGAAGCATTAATCTGTCACTTGTACTTCATCATAATCCCATTTTCCAAATAATTTAGGTTGATTTGCAAATTTGACTGTGGCCACAGATTCTTATTCAGCCATAATAATTTTTTTTAAAAAGGATTTTTATTTATTTAAAATTTCATATATATACATATACAGGTAAGTATATAGAATTGATTAAGATATTAATGATCATTTTTATATACTTGTTATATATATATAATATATTAATATTTATGTTCAATGAATCTGAAAAATTAATACTTCTCAAACCATCAAATAAATAAAATTATTAAAAGATTGCATATATATTTTATTTATATTTTAGTAATTCCTTTTAAGACTTCTTTTTTTTTAAACATTTTATACAAAATTGAATCAATTTATTAGAAATGATTTTTTATATATGCATTCTATCAAATCAAGTATTAATTTATTAATTTAATTTAAGTATTCTAATTCAATAAGTCTAGAATTAACTCTATATCATCTTAAATATTAATCTCATAAGATAATTTATAATAATTTAAGTATCAATATTGCTTTTAAAGCATTAATAAGCTTAAAACTTAAAAGCTTTATTAATTACTCTAACTTTATTTATTCTTTTTATAATTCAGCTCTATCAATTTTAAACCATTTTTATATCATATTCTAATATTTTGAAAATCATTTAAGTTCCAAATATATAAATAAATGCTCTTTCATATGATTAAATCCAATTGATTTGATGATCATTTTTCTAAAGTTTGGAAATGAAAAATTCTTTCAATTTATTTAATTATACTTAATAAATTATCTATTATAATTAATTAAGAAAATAAATCATTTTTTAATCAAATTTGATGCTTAGATGAAAATTGAAATATATAATCTGAAACTTACTTCCTGATTTGTTGATTAATTAATTTATGACAAGATTTAAAAAATAGAAACTTTAAAGCAATAATTATTATAACTATTGAATTTTCAAATTCATGGTTATAAAATTTAAAGGGAAATTATATAATAAATAATCAATTATAACCATTTAATAATTGAAAGAGAAGTTTAGATGGAAAATCTCTCATTATATTATAAAATTAGATTATTGAAGAAATTAAATTAAAAAAAAATAAAGAATAAATTAATTTGAAGTGCTTTATTAAGATATTATATATAAATTCATTAAAATATATCAAAAATAATAGAGTATTTAAATTTACTTAGTTATTTGAATTGTTCATAGATCTTTATCATTAAGAGATCATCTAATTTTGGAGATAAAATGACATCATTATAATCAAGAGCTTTTTTAAACTCTTATATATTGCAATGATCTCCCTGCAATTGCAAATATGATACTATTTTATTTTAATTTGATTTCATGACCTAATTATATAAATAAATTATACTTAGCGTAATTGAGTATTTAATACTTTATTTTCTTCATATGAAATTAATTCATATGGTTTGATGAGATTTTTAAAGATACTAATTGAAATAACAATATCATTCGTACAATTTAAATCATAATATATCCACTCTTCTTATTCTGGTTCTATAATAAATCTAGCTATTAGAGTAGCTTAATCATCATTTAATTCAAATGGATATTATTTAAATGTTTCTATTAAATCTGACAATGTTAAACAACCCTTTACAGATTTTGAATAGATATATTGATCTAATCTATTAAAAGGTATTTCATTCAATTTTAATTTCATTTATAATTCTAATAACATTAATGAAATTTCATGATAATTAACTTTTTAAATTCTTTTTTTATTTATAATTACTGAAGCATGTTTTTTATTTCTCTCAGATGATTCATTAGGTTAATCAATTACAGGTAAAGATTTTCTTTTGTCTTCATTTTCTAATTAAAATATTTGATCTTTTAAAGTAGCTATAACCAAATGCAAATTATCAATATCTTTTTTATGATAAAAGTCTTTCTATTATAATTATTATTCTAAATCAGTTATCTTTTTCTCTAATTCAGCTATTTACTCTTATTTATAAATTAATAATTATTCCTATCTCTAATATGACATTAATTGTAAATCTAATTTTTATTACCATTATTTATTAAGATCAGCAATAGTTTTCTTAGGATTACTATATTCAAAATGAGTTAAACTTAATTCTTTTTCTTTTTCTTAAATAAGTTTTTCAATTTGTTATCGTTTAAAATTACTCTAATGTAATTCAGTTTCAAGTTTCTTAACTTTAGTATTCAATTATTATATAAGTTATTAATTGTCATAAAGTTATTTGGATAGATAAATATTATCTTTGTTTAATTCATCATTACTAGCAAATTAACTATGATTAAGATAATATATTTATAATACCTTATATGTCTTTAGGCTTAATATTTTTTAAGTAATTCTTCATATTCTTTTTAAATAACTTCATATTAAATCTATAATAAAATAGATAAAAATACTTGCAATTCTGTATATCTAGTTTTTCTAGTATCTCTTTTTAAATCTTCAATTTATTGATTCTTTTATTAAATAGTATTCTCTAATTCTTTTATTTATTTAGAATAAGCAATAATCTAACAAGTCTATTACGATATATTAAATATTTCCTCATTAAATGCTTTAGTGTAATCACTCTGTTGAGTTTGCATCTTGGAGTCAATATGAAGTTTCTTATTCATTTGTAATGCTTTTTCTTGCTTATTCAATTATTTCTAATTATATTTTATAATGTATACTTGAAGATGTTAAATTTCAAATCTGAGTTTAGCATTGTTATCATTCAAGAGATTAATTTATAATTTGAGATGTATAACAGTTTCTTCTAGTTTTTCTTTATCTTTAGGTTATTTAAGAATCACTTATAATTAATAGAACAAGACATACATTTATTAGTTGTAAAGAAATGCTATTTGCATTCACTCTTACATCCTGAAGATCTTCTAGCTGATGATATACGAAAGGGGGAATTCATATGAGTTAATTAATTATATAATCATAATATATCAAAATAAAGAATGGATTTACAACATTCTAAATCTTATGCAGCATTGAGTTACTAGAATAGCTAGCTATTTAAACCCAAACCACTTTCGTTTAGATAATAGATGGGTAAATAATTAGATCAATAATCCAGTATAGTTATCTACTGAGACTCCAAGATTATAGATATAGGCACTTACTACACCAACAATAATGGAAGGTGATTCTAAGTAAAATATCTAATTTAATAAAGTCCTTATGTAAATTAGCAACCTTATTCATTTAAATCCTACAGAATCTCCACTGAAATAATAAATGGATCTCCTATAGACTAAATATAATTGATATTGAGGGAAAACGAGAATTTAAAACGATCATTAAACTAAAAATAGTAGATTATAGAATCATTAAGTCGAACTCGTAAAATTAAACCAAGATTAGATTTTAGTGATTTAAAGAAGAACTCTAGATCTCTTGTTTAACCATAAAGTTAGCAAGAATCTATGAAACCAAAGAATATTGAAACAAAATAGTCAATCTCTTAAAATTATAATAAACGCATTAAATTGCCAAAAATTGAGGATTCTGTACAAATAAAAGAAGATGAGTGTAATTTCACATTTGCCAATAATTTTTTCAACAATAATACTTGCAAAAATTAAAAGATCAACTTCAAATAAGTATTTACATAGTCTCATTTGAAGAAAAAATTTTTCACTTGATAAATTTATATTATTTAATGACAGAATATTTTGATCAAATTTTGACATCTTAAATCATCAGTGATGTAAGAAAACGAGCACCAATAATGGATACAAAATCTATTTATTACACAATATACTTGAAAAGTACAGATATTGAACCTCATTTGTAATTATTACATAATTTATTTTGAATGTATTAGAGCTTGGGAAACAGTTAAATATACATTTGAAATCATCAAAACAGATTTGATTCATGGAATAGAAGAAAACCATTAATTTACAAGAAGGTAATTCTTATACAAAATTTAGATATTCACATTTTGAATGGCTATAAAATGAGTTAGAAAGTAAACATATTGGAAGAATTTTACCCAGTTTACCTTAAAAAACATAAAATTATGATAAAGATAAAAGGTATATATGTATATTATGGAATGATAGAAAATATGAATTTATCTATTATATGTAAAAGTTATTAGATCATAAACTATTAAAAAATTCAGATGTATTATAGAAATTCATTAGTAAAGAATTAAAAGTATTAATACAATTATTAATATAGGACTTTAATGATTTCTAAGATTATTTAAATAAACTTAGTGAATCAAATACTATTATTAATAGAATAATGAATACTGGAGTTTCTTTAGTTTCATTATTTTCAAAATGTGTAAATTTTGGATCTTCTTAATTCTTGCCAAGAATACCAGATAAATAAGATTCATAAATTGATGAAGGTACTTTATTTTTTATATAATCTTGAGTTTCTAAAGAGATCTAATTAAATAAATAATAAACTGAAATCATATTTTCAGATATGTAAAAAGTAGTCTAAAAATTATTAATTCAATCAAAATCACTTGTAATTAGTTAAGAAATTTTCTGTAAAACAATTCAATTAAATTTAGTAACTGAATGTTAATAAACTGATGAATTCATGAAATTAAAATAGATAACAAAAGTATATGAAACATTATAAATAAATTTAAAAGAGAGATATATTTATAGACTTGAAACTTGTATTAGAGATTACGATTAAGCTATAAAAATAATTAATTAATATAAAGAATTAAAGGATTAAATTTATAAAGATTCTTAATAAATTAATAATATTAATATTGGTAAATCAAAATTAGAGGAACTTAAATATGCTATAAATAATAATAAATAAAAATTTGAATAATTGTACACTAATTTTTTAGATGATCTTCCAATATTCAAATATTAGTAATAATTTTATTTGAAAGATATCTAATCTAATTTTCATACCGAACTATCAGAATTTTATCTGACATTAAAAAACTACAAATAATAATGATATATATATATTAAAATATATAATTCAGTTATTTTGATATTGAATTTATTAAATTAAGTTATTGATATATTTGAAAAATGTCTAATAGTAATTAATAAGATGAATCATATGATGAAGAATAAGAAGATGAAGAAATTGAAACTGTTCAGGAAAATGGTTTAAAATAGTTATACAAAAATCAAGGTATATTATGTTTAATTAACTTAAAATTAGAATAATTCATGTAATAAATCAATTATCTTAATGAACAAGCAGTCATTAAAATTAAACTTTAAAAGTTCAAAGAAGCAATGAAATTACTCTAATAATCAGAATAAATGTTGGAAGTATTTCTTAATAATTATCAATAGTATGCTGCAAGTTGTGGCAAAAACATAGATAAAAACTTAATTATTGTTGTTCTTTACAATCAAGCTTGTGGATATTAATGGTATTAAATAAACTATAATTAGTTAATGGGTTTTAGATAAATGTTCCAAATATTTATCTGGAGTTATTTATAATATGGAAGAAAGTATGAAAGAAGATGAATAAGATACTAATAATCTTACAAGCACATAAGAATCTGATGCATCTTTAGTCAAAAAGAAAGCCTTTCTATCAAGAACACTATTACAACATACAGCCATTTTGAGTCAATTAGGAAAGTACAAATTAATATTAATTTTAGACATAAATTAGCATTACAATCTGCCAGAAAAGCAGCTAGTACAATGAGAGAAGTATTTAAGATAGCTTCTTAATTTTGTAAGGATTGGTTAAACAAAAATGGATCTTTAGGATCTGCAACAACTGCCAATTCTAGTCTAACAATGAAGTCAAAATAAAAAAATAATAAATTTCAAATGAAAGATGAAGTAGAATTCAGTAGATTAGTAATTGATGCAAGCAAAGATATTCTATAAGATTTATCTAAATAATAAGATTTAGATAACATATCAAATAATGAATAACTAATATTAAGAGAAGCTAAGAAATAGTTATATTTTTGGAGAAATAATCCAGAAAATAATGAAAAACATATTCGTAAAGAATTGAGATTAGATCAAAAAGAAGATGATTATCGTTCTATTCTAGGAGTTCAGAATGTATAGGAATGGATTTAAACATTCAATATAGGTTTCATTATGCATATGACTCCATAAATATACGAAGATTTCTCATCTCAAGGTGAAATGCTTTATGAAATATCTAAAAGATTGTTGTTAGAGAAAATTATATATCTATCTATATCTTATTTCACCATTGCAACTGAATTAAGGTTTATTGAATTAGACAAAGCTAAATAATAAGGAATCAAAGATATTAATACTGATGAGTTTAAATTAAGTGAATTATATCATCTTAAAGCAGTAGAAATTGCTTGTAAAAATATTACTTGTTCATCTCCTTATATTAATCATTTAATTACTAGTTATCATAAACATTATAATTCTAATTTAGATACTATACAAGAAGAATCTATGATGTCTATGGTATCAGAAGTCAATTATAAAGAATAAAAATTGTAAAAATTTAAATAGATGTAAATTTAAACCTAAAGAGAGAATAAATCTATACTCAAAAATTTAGCAGAATTAAAATTAAATGACTCATCTCCTTCTGGAAAATTAGTTAGTTCTTTTTTAAATCAATAATCTCCTTTAAAAACTAATAGAAATATTAGTGATAATGTTAAACCATAGACAAATTTAATGGAATAGATGATAATTAATAAAAAAAGATAATAAATGCCATCAGATATGTCACCTAAATAAAAGATATAATTTTTTAATGGACCATCAAATAATAGTTGTGAAAGGATCAATGAAAAATTATTAAAGGCATAAGATACCTTACCAATTTAATTATAACCCTATAAATCAGCTAAAACAACTTTTAATAATCTTATTAAGCAAACATAAAACTCTTAAGCTTCTTCAAATCATAATAATAATGGAATTTTGAAAGCATTTTTTTTTGATAATTGTAGAACTGAAAGAATGAATACAAGTTCGAATTAGTCACCTAAAAGAGCAGGCAGATCTCCTGAAAAATCTCCTGATAGATCTCAGATTTCCTTAAAACCTAGAAATTCAATTTTGAGCAATAAAACACCATAAAATAGGCCTAGAACAGACACTGAATAATGTAAATTTTAATAAATATTCCATAGAATGTCATATTAAATTTGAAACTATCTAATAGTTATTAAGAGGATAATCTGGTACTAATTAAAAAAGAAAATGAATATAACTTATCATTCTTATTAGTTTTTGTTTATTAGTTATTATTTCATAAATATTAATAATAATTTACTTAATAATCTTAATAAATAAAAAATTAGTTATCAAAATTTAAAATGATTAGATGTGTTTGTAGTTTAAAATGCTAAAGTTTTAATTGCTAGAGATTTAGGTTGATTTCTCATATATTGAAAACTAGTATGCATTCGTTTCAATTCTTTTTATTTATTATTTTAAATGCACTTAATGTTATTATAATTTTACTTATTACATTTATGAGATATTGGCTACACTAATATCACAAGATGTATTTGTATTTAAATGTTTATATGCATAATTTTATAAATCTTATTAAAAATGTTTTTAGCTTTTAAACATCTCATTCATAATTTTATTCATCTTATTCATTCTTATTTATTAACCAAATGAATTAACATCTTTAACTTCGAATAGATAATGATTTTAATTAAAAGCAGCAGCCTCAGCAGTTATATCTTCCATTTAACTATAAGTTCTTTTAATCTAATTAATATTTCTATTAGAATCATTGTAATCAATTTAGATTTCATTTGATTACTATTAATCAATAGAATCCTACTCTTTAGTTTTAAGATCCTTATCTGTTTTTTTATTTAAGTGTTTAAACAAATCATCAAGATATTTTTACTTTTCTTTTAGTTCTAAATTGCTTAATGGTTTAAAACACTTAAATTATTCAATTAAAGTATTAGTTCTTTTTTTCATCATTGGTAAAATTTCATAAAATCTTTACCCTTAATATTTTAAATATGATTTTAAATCTTCCCTACTTTTTTTATATAAAACTCTTAGTTTTTTTACAGATTCCTTTTTGTCATTTATTTTATACATTTGGTCAATCTCTTAAAAATATTTATTCATATATTCTATTTTAGCCTTGTAATCATGTTTTAATTAAGCTTCTTTGGCTTTAAAATGATTATCTAATTGATCTTCATAGCTTTTATCTATGCAGATATCTTAAATATTTGTCTTCCAGCCATTATTAAATTAGTGTTTTAATTCTCCACCAACATTAATCCAACCATTCACAGTTATTGAATGATTAGGTGATATTTAGATTAATTTAGCAGAAGGGGGACCATCTTTAATTTATGTTGAATCAAATTTGCATATTCTTTTTTAACTGAAATCTCTACATTATTTGATATTTGAATGATTTTCTCTTAAATACATATAAGATACAATTCTATCCATATCAACTTTAACATCATATTTTTTATGAAATTTTGGACATGGATCAAAAAATGGTGCCTGTTTTTTTACTTTATTAAAATTACCTGTTATTGTTTAGGTGGATCATTGTTAATGTCTAATTTACGAGAAATGATTGTTTTAGATTTCATTATAATTAATAATTTGCATATAACATTGATTTCATTATTAAGCACATTAGACTCTTTATCCTCCATGTCCTCCTCTTTCATCATCATCATCCTCATCATCCTTTTTACCACCTTCTGGATTTGAATTTACATGAGCTTCATCATATTCTTCTAAAAACAAGGTCTTTTTAGCATCAAGTTTTTATTATTATTTAGGACCTGGTAAAACCTTAAAAATAAATATAAAAAATACCTTCTTTAATTATTCTATTTATTCATTTTTAAGTTATCCAGGTTGAGGGAATTCAATATCAAATCTAATGTGGAGATCTCCTTCACTCATTGCATCTTTGTAACAAGGCATACCCTTCTTTTTTACTGTCTTTATTTGAGCTTAAATAATATACTCTTTAATTACCTGGTGAGATTATTTCTCCTGGCTTAGTGGATATATGTAAATTAGATCCATCTAAGAATTTCAATGTAAATTATGTTCCTGTTAAGGCTTCGACTAAGGTAATTTTTTTATTCATATAAAGATCAGCACCTTTTCTTTCAAAAACATCATGTTTCTTTATTTTAATTCTAATATATAAATCTCCTGCCATAACTCCTGGCAATTCATCACTTTCTCCATAAAATTGATAATCATGTTCATCAGGTACACCTTTTTCCAATGGAATTTCAATGACTTTTTCTTAGTCTATTACTTTATTTCCTTTGCATTTCTTGCATCTATCTTTTTCTGGGAATATTGTTCCATCACCACCACAATCATTGCATGGTCCTGTTGATTAGGAATACATTCCTGGACCAATCATCTATAATTTTTGCACCATTCCTCTTCCTTTACATGCTGTACATGTTTTTGCATTTGCACCACCTTTTCCTTCGCATCCATCACATACTCTCTTTCTTTTGTGATTCAAATGAATCATCTTTCCTTCAAATACTTCTTCAAGTGTCACTGATTATTCTCTCATCTTTGCTTTCATTTTCTTAGGACCTTATTCCTTTCTTCCTCCGCCAGCACCGAAGAAATGACTGAAGATATCTCCCATATCTCCACCGCCTCCACCATTTTTAACACCCTCCATGCCAAAACGATCATAAAGGTCTTTTTTTTCTGGGTTTGAAAGAATTTCATATGCCTCAGTCAATTTTTTAAACTATTATTATTTATTTAATGAATACTTTTTCTGGATCACCACCTTTATCTGGATGCTCCTTTACAGCCTTTTTACGAAACGCTTTTTTGACATCATCTGTAGTGCTTTAAGGAGGTACTCCCATGAGTTCATATAAAGTCTTATTGTCTACTTCTCCTTAACTAGTAGAAGATTCTTCTTCACCCATACCACCAAATGGAAAGCCTCCAGGGAAACCACGAAATCCACCTGAGAACATCTATTAAAATATTTAAAAATAGTTTAAAAATTTTGATAAATTTTCATTATAAAAAAAAAGATGTTTCTAGAAACTTTTATTTTATTATTTTTTTTAATTTATTTCTTTTTTTAAAAACTCATCCATATTTTTTATTTTGACTCCTTAAACATCTACTTTAGTTTTTAAATGCCTAAATGAGAGTACATCATAATAGAAGCTATTTTAGTTAAATTTGAAATAAAAAATTCTGTATTTTAATTAATTTTAGGGTTGTTGATTAACTAATTTTAGAGATGTTAATTAAGATATCATTCATAAGGTTTTTAAAATAAATATGAATGTTATAATAAAATATAAACACATTTAGAACCAAGATAATAACATATAAGCAGAATTTCAATATTCTTTCTACTTCAAATTTTGAAATTAAATTAAATTTTTATATTTTAACATAGACTTGTGTTTTTAAATGTGTATTCCTTTTTCATCATAAAATTATGAATAAAAAACAATATAGATATTGAATCATAAATTCTCATCTATAAATTTATATATTTTTATAATGTAAGATTTTAAAAGAACTAAACTTGAGAGTTCTTGTAATAATATTTAAATTGACTTATATTAGATAATTCTTAAAGAACAGAAGATTTTTCAATTATCAATGGCCAACCAAGTGTTTATAAATAATAGGAGTAAAAAATTACGTAATTTGATGAACAAGCAAGTGAAATTTCAGAATATTAAGAAAAGTAAATGTTTAACTAATCTAGTAAATCAACATCACTTAAATAGCCTTTACCTATTATTTAACAAAATATTGAAAAATCAGAATATGAATCCTAAATTTATGAATCAATTGCAGATTCATAACCAGGATCAGAAATTAAAGCCTTAATTGAATAGAAAAAAATATAAGATCAGAAACCAGTATTATATTGAATAATATAGATCTATTTAAATATAATGGTTGTTGGATAATCAGGATTGGGAAAATCGACATTTATTGATGTCTTGTTAAAAAAAAAACTTGGAACTGGACAAATAATTAGAGATTCCACTCTTTAAATATAAGAAATTTAAGGTATCTATCATATAATATTCAAGGGTAAATCTATAATAATGATTTAACTTTAAATATCAAATTTATTGATACTCCTGGTTTTAGACATTAATATGGTTTACGTTCATGGTTAAAGTTACTTTGTACGTATATTCATAATCAATTTAATACATATAAAACAAGATAGACATAATAATATGAGAGCAAAGAGAAATTTTAAAAATTATCATAATAAGACCTTGATGAAAGGGTTCATGTTTGCCTCTACTTTTTTTCAGGACCTAGAATTTAAGCAGAAGATTTATAAGCCTTAAAAAAGATTAGCGGTTTAGTTAATGTCATTCCAATCTTAGCAAAAGGTGATTCATACACAAAAAATGAGATTATTCAATTGAAATAGTAATTTAATGATTTGATCAATGAATATCATATCGATTTATTTAAATGCTAATGCAACAATAGTTATCAAGAAAAAAGTTAATTTGGAATGACTCCACCTTATGTGATAATTAGTTCAATTGAATAATTTTAAGTTGGAAATCATTTTATTTATGGGAGGTAATAAATATTATTCAATTTAGAAAATTTCCTTGGGGAATTTGTGATATTTTTAATCCTTAACATTCAGATTTATCCATTATCTATAAATTATTAATAGGGCATTATTGTTTTGAATTAATTAATTTGACAGAATATCTTTATAATAAATATGAACAAAAAGAAAAAGAAAAATTAAAATTATAATAATAGAATTAAAATTGGCTCAGGAATCTTTTACGCTTTTTCTTTAATTTATGAACTATATTATGCTTCAAATAAGTTTAAAATATAAAAATAATTATATAAATTTACAATATAAAATTCTTTACAATTCAATTTTTAATTTGTTGATTATCTTATTCATTTTATTTAAGTATCCTAATAAGTTAAAGAAAATATTTTTGTATTTTTTTTCTCTAATTGAATCTCAATTGTGAATTTTATATTTTTATTACCTTTAAGGGCTATATTTAGACATTTTTTTTGGAATATGACCATATTAAAATTTTTTTTATTAATGAAACATTACAGGATACATTCAATATATAATAATATAAACAAGATATATGAACAACATAATTAAGCACTATTATATATGAAAAGTATTAGAATTTATAAAAATTGATTTAGTAATTACAGAAAGATAAACATCATTATACTTAATAAATAACTGAGATCAATTAATTGGACCTATGTATCTATGATTTTTAAATTCACCTGCATATACAATACCTTCTTTTGTTATGAATTTTCCTTTGCCATTCATTTTATCCTATAACCAATCTCCAACATATTAATCTCCATTTCTTATAAATTAAATTATATAATTACCCAAAAATATATTATCCTTTACCATGTTTCTAATCTTAAACCCATTCTCCATCATATATGTCATCTGTTAGAGCATGAGTATACTTTCCTCTGCCATGTTTTTTATCAGCCAACCACTCTCCCTCATATCTGTCTCCATTTGCATATAGCATTACTCCCTATCCTGTTCTTTAATCCTTTCTAAACTATCCTGAATAAGTATCTCTTGATGAAGCATATTTAAATTCTCCTTCTCCATCTTTCTTACCATCTCTAAAATATCCTTTATAGTGATCTCCATTTTCATATTACAATATTCCAAGCCCATTCCATAAATCATTTCTAAATTAACCCTTATATATTGATTATCCATTGCACATAGTATAAACTCCATCTCCATTCTTTTAATTTCTATCCCACTCTCCTTCATAAGTATCTCCATTTGGGTATTACATTTTAGCTTACCCACATAATTGTCCATTAACCCAATTTCCTTCTACTCTTGCTCCATCATTAAATTTCATTATTCCAAAACCATTGCGTTCATTCTTCTTGAAATCTCCAACATAAACATCCCCATATGCATAACCAGCCTCTCCTTTTCCATGTCTTTCTCCTTCTCTCCAATCTCCATCATAATATTCATCTGTACTATAATACACATATCTTCCTTTTCCATGCTTTTTATCATTTTACCAATCTCCATCATAAGTATTCCCATTTAAATAATAATATTTTCCATGTCCATGTTTCAAACCATCAGATAATACTCCAGAATATCTTTCACCTAAGGATTACTAACTTTAATACCATTTGCAAATAAATAGTGTCCTGAACCATTAAATTTATCATCAAACCATTCACCCAAAAAGATGTCACCATTATTATAGTAATATATTCCATACCCTAATCTAGATCAAATTATTTTATTTACCACTTCTTTTATCATTTGATAATTATCCTTCATATCTGCTACCATCAACGAATTTCTTTATTTTGCAATCTCCTCTTAAATTTCCTTTTTCATCATAAATATATAGTTATTTGAATTCTTCTATTAATTTTCTTCTACTCTATTTTCAATATAATAAATACTTCCAATTATTATTATCTAAATCCTTCAATGTTCTTTGCTGGCTTGTTCTCTAAAATATGAACGATATTAGATTATAAAGTACTCTTTATTTCTGACATTTTTAAATTAAAAAATAAAATTTATATTAAGAATGTCAACACCATGATCAAAATGGATCTTATTAAAATAATATCTTTGTTTAAGTCTACGAGATTTATTAATAATATCAATATCGAAAAAGAAAAAAAGTAATTATCATTAAGATAACAATTGAAGAATAATAAAATAATAATAGATAAGTATTAATAATCAGGAAATATCTTAAATTGATTAATAATAGGAAATATTTATAATTGTTTTCATATCAAATATATATTAAGGAAATAATCCAAAAAAAGAAAATGGAAAAATAATTATGGTTGAATAAGAAGAAACCTGTATAATTCATTCTTATCAAACTTAGATGTTTGAGAAATCAGCGCTTTAGACAACAGATAAAGCTTATTCACTGATTCCAAGTTCTCTGGTGAATTCATTCTTTAAATTGGTGTATGTATCGGTTTCTTCTGCATAGGTATTGTTCTCTAATTCTAATTCTGCAGTGTATTATTTTCTGTCAGCATCTCTTTAGTCTCTGAATTCGGTCATTTAATCGATCTTTTCTATAGTTTCATTAAATTATTTAATTACCATTGGTGGCTGTCAAATCAACATTAACTCTGTTAATTTATCTTTAGAATTCAGCATATTCATCATCTAATTGTTCAAGGTATTCTTCGTGATCAGCTTAAGCTTAGGCTTCAGCAGCTGTTTAAGCATTGATTGAATCAACAATAGCATTTCTGAATTCATTAAGGGCATCAACGATTTAACCAATAATTCCTTAATCAGAAAAGTTTTAGTTTGATGCTAAAGAAATAAGTGCCTTGATCATTGGAGCCATCTTGGATCTTGACTTAATCTTTGCTTCAATGTTTTTCAATGAATTTTAGAATCTTTTAACCTAAAGAAGTGATGGGTTTGTAAGGGTTTAAAGAAGAGCAAGAGCATCATCAACAGCAGCAGTTGCATCATTCAATTCAGCAATTTAGAATTCAAAATCTTCGTGCTCTTATTCTCTTACTAGAACAGCTTCATCGTAGTTCTTTCTATTGGCTTCTTAGTTTTCTTAAATTTATTCAATTCTAACTTGGAGCTATTCTCTTCTTGGGAACAACAAATTATCTAATGTGTCTTATGTATTATTAACATCTAAAGAAATAATATTTATTATTACCAATAACAGCATCTTAGATATCCTATTCAAGGCTAACAACTAATGCATTGTGTTCGTTGGTTCTGACTTAGAAATTGAATTCTAATTCTTCTAATTCCTCTTCAAGATCATTAATAAGTTCTTCAATAGCATCAATTAATTCTTAAACTGGACCTCCTGCCATCGAATGGAGTTCAACTAAGTGAAGTAATGCACTTCCATATGTGCTCTTTTTGAGGTCTGTTGTAATTTTGGCTAGATTTCTCTCTTACACTCTGGCTGTGAAAGCTACTGCAATCAAGGCAATGAGCAAAATTGTCTTCATAAGATAATTATTGTTATTATCAATAAAAAAATTACATAGTTAAACAATAAAAACGACTAGTCTTCATTAATTAATAATGAATTAAAAACGCTATACTATTATCATTATTTATAATAAAACCATTAATTAAATCCATACTATTCCTAGCCTTTTTTAGCAACAAGTTCCTACTTGAGTCCATATGAAGAGTATAGAAAACATTGTCGAATAAAGATATTTAAGTTAAAAATCTAGCTAAAATGCTTAAATTCATAAGAATATATTCTTGATTGAAAAGTTACTAATTATTAGAAACATTCTTAAAAGAGAAAGAAAAAATCTTCTAATTGAAATATGTAATTAAAATATTTGATAGATGAGATAAATTACTAATTATATACCCTCTAAATTATTTTTTTAACTAACATAAGTTCAAAAAGAGAATATTAATATATGCTATATACTAAAATAATTGATAATGTTTTTAGTAATTTAAATATCTATCCCTAATCAATAAATCTTCCCAGTATATATTATTGTTGTTTACTTAATTAACGAATAAATTTTCAACATTTACTATTGTTATTTTATTATTAATTGAGCTGATATCTACAATTATTTAAATATAAATATTTTAATATTTCAATTATTTAGCTAAGGACTGCCTTTGCTATTAGATAACTGAGAAAACTATTAAAGATTAATATCATATTGATTTAAGAATTTGATAAGTATACTTATAATATAATTCAAATAGATTATCGAATTGATTTACTTTTCAAAAAAAGGTAAATCATTTTCCTAATTGATATTCTAGATGTAGCATTCAAAAAAATAATGATGATGATTGGATTCAAATTTAATATAGTATTAGATCAGAATTAAGAAATCTAAATCTCAAAATATATTTTACAAAACTATTTGTTACGTCAATCAAATAAAAAAGATTATACATCAACAATAAATCGGTCTGAGGAATTGTAAACACTTTATAATTTTTATTGGAGTAGTTTTACGTAATTAATCAACAAGAATATAAATTAGCTATAACTCTAATTTAGTAGAAAAAAAAAAAATATTAAGATGAATAATTTGGAAATTATAAATCAATCTAATATTATCATAAGAACTGGAATTAATAACAAATAATGACTGTTAACAAAAAATATTGGTTTCAATTCAATAAAAAAAAATAATTCAAACATTTTTAAATCATACCTTAAAAATACTTTAAGTTTGATTATTGACTTAGATATTAATATTGAAATATATAGATTTATTTATATTCATGTAAAAATTAAGAATACTTTAGTCATAATATTTTGCATTCAATTTAAAAAAAAGAAATGTTCATTAGTATTTTTGGTTACCTGATTATGTGGTTATCCGTTCTATTTTCTCATACATATTTTCTTTAATATTTTATTTAAAAACGGATAGAAATCGGATGAATAAAGTCATCTTAACACTTATGATAATTGCAATAACCTATGCAACTTAAGTAGAAATGAAAGCCTAGCATTTTAGAACTCGAGAGAGCAGTATTTATTTTGTATTTAGTTCAAGGCTTAAGCTTTTAAGATGCCAATGATATAAATACAAATAAATTCACCTGCTAAATGGGATTTGATTTCTATGATTACACTATCGTAGAGTTATCTAAATGGGCTGATATTATTGAACATAGAGATTAATTACAAAGGGATTTAACCATTATTGACTAAATTATTAAATTGGTTGACAAAGCAAAGCGTATTGATGATAGCAAATAATAAAGTATGTATTTGAAACATTTAGGAATGTTCTTGCAAATAACTGGAAGCCTTTAAAATTCCTTATTAGAAATGTCTCTTGCTTAATTAAATCATTAATGGGCAAGAGGAAATCTAGATTAATGTATAGAATATATGAGATAATTCTAAAACACTGTAGGTTATACAGAGCGAGTTGCTATGGCAAATAGAATTATGGATTATTTAGAGAACATGAAATATTAATTAAATAGAAATTTAAATGAATGCTCTTAATTTAAATAACCAACAAGATTGAGACAAAAAATAAGAGACTTATAAATGAAAAAAAGAGATTGCCAGGAGAATTATAGTAGAAATAATCGAAGAGATATTTCTAACTAGTACACATACAATAAATAAAAGAATTATGAATAAGAATATCACTCTAGTTAAGGTTCATCAGTTAATTAATAAGATATCACTAAAATTAAAATCAATAGATATTAACCATACAACAGATAACCTATTTTTTATAATGATGATGAAGTGTGCCCTCAGGGAGAAGAGGATGATTCCCCAAAAAATTAAACAGAAGAGTAAAATGAGGAAAAACAGGAGGGAGATTAGAATGAGGAAAAACCGGAAGAAGATCCTAAAAATGAGTCACCAGAGGAGTAAGGTATTGAGATAGAATAAAGTCCAGATAGTAATTAAATTCTAGGAGAAGAGGATGAATAAAAATAAGAAAATGATTCAGATTAAAAAGACAAAAAGCCAAGAGATATCATAATAGAAAGGGAATTTGGCCCAGATTCTGAACATCAAAATAATTTTGACGAGCCTGAAGAATGCACAGCTGATGAAGAAACTCAACTTGAAGTAGATTCTTCTACCAATAATAATTCTGAACAAACTTAGCAATAATCAAATGAAAAACCTGAAGATTAAGAACTAGATGATTAGAATGAATAAGAGGGTAAATAAGAAGAAAATTAATAAGAGCAAGAATAATAAGAATAAGAAAAAGAAGAAGAAAAATAGTAAGATTAAGAAAAAGAATAAGAAGAAGATAAATAATAAGAAAAAGAATAAGAGGAAGATAAATAATAAGAATAAGATAAAGAATTAGAAGAAGATAAATAATAAGAAGAAGATAAATAATAAGAAGAAGATAAATAATAAGAATAAGATAAAGAATAAGAATAAGATAAAGAATAAGAATAAGAAGAAGATAAATAATAAGAAAAACAAAAAGAAAAAGAAGAAAATAAAAAATAAGAAAAAGACAAAAACAAAAACAAAAATGTTCCATTAGAGATTCCTCCAGATGATGATGAAGAACCTGTTGAAGGGGAATCAGTGAAAACTGAAGGAGTTGGAGCTTCTTCAGATGGCAGAATAGGGAATTAGTAGACATAATAATAAAATTCGTAAGAAAAAAATAAATAATAAGACAAAGAAAAAGAATAAAAATAATAATAGGAAACCGAAAAAGAAAAAGACAAAAACAAAAATGTCCCATTAGAGATTCCTCCAGATGATGATGAAGAACCTGTTGAAGGGGAATTAGTGAAAACTGAAGGAGTTGGAGCTTCTTCAGATGGCAGAATAGGGAATTAGTAGACATAATAATAAAATTAGAAAAAATAAAATGAAAAAGAAAGTGAAAAAAAAAAATAAGTAACTGATGAAGATTAAAAAACCAATAAAAAATAAGATGACTAAAAAGAAAATTAATAAAATGATTAATCTGTGAGAGAGAATGATGATGCAAGTGAAGAAGATATTTATGAATAAGTTGAAGTAGATGAACCCGATGGAAAGGGAGGAATCAGAAAAGTAAAAAAAATAGTGAAAAGAAGAGTAAAAAAGACAAAGAAAACGAGTGGATAAAAGAGTGAATCTAGTAAATCTTAATCATCAAGTACAAAAAGTTAATCAACAATAAGTAGTTAATCTAATAAAGCTACTGGAAGTACAGCAGAAAACAGGAATAGTTAATCAACAAATAATGAAACTTCTAAATAGGAAGCATCAAAATCTGAACAAAAAACTTCTTAAGAAACTTAACAAAGCTAAAAGCAAATTTAAACATAACAAGCAGAAAGTGAAAAAGCCAGAAAAACCAATTAATAGGATGAGAACAAATCAACTCAATAAAAATAGGATGAAACAACATAAAACTAATTGAAAGGTAATGATGATGCGAGTGAAGAAGATATATATGAATAAGTTGAAGTAGATGAACCAGATGGAAAGGGAGGAATTAGAAAAGTTAAAAGGATAGTGAAAAGAAGAGTGAAAAAAATTAAAAAGACAAGTGGGTCACAGACTGAATCTATTAAATCTTAATCATCGAGTACAAAAGGTTAATCAACAATAAGTAGTGAATCTGATAAAGCTATTGGAAGTAGTTCGTCTACTTAAACAAAAAATCAATCTTCTCAATAAGAATCATAACCATCTGACTATAAGCCTCCTAGATATGGAGATGATGCAAGTGAAGAAGACATCTTTGAGTAAGTTGAAGTAGATGAACCAGATGGAAAAGGTGGAGTTAGAAAAGTTAAAAAAATGGTTAGAAGAAGAGTTAAAAAGACAAAAAAAATAAGTGGAGCATCAGGATCATCATCGACCTCATCTAAAAAATCTAGCTCATCAAGTTCCTCGAGTTCATCAAGTTCAGCAAGTTCATCGAGTACCGCCAGTTCATCAAGTTCATCTAGTTCTTAAGGTTAGACAATAAGTAATAATTAATCTAATAATGCTGGGGGAAGTAGTTCGTCTACTTAAACAAAAAATCAATCCTCTCAATAAGAATCATAACCATCTGACTATAAGCCTCCTAGATATGGAGATGATGCAAGTGAAGAAGACATCTTTGAGTAAGTTGAAGTAGATGAACCAGATGGAAAAGGTGGAGTTAGAAAAGTTAAAAAAATGGTTAGAAGAAGAGTTAAAAAGACAAAAAAAATAAGTGGAGCATCAGGATCATCTTCGGCCTCATCTAAAAAATCTGTTTCATCTAGCTCATCAAGTGCAGCCAGTTCATCAAGTTCAGCAAGTTCAGCCAGTTCAGCCAGTTCATCTAATTCATCAAATTCATCAGGTTCATCAAGCTCATCAAGTTCATCTAGTTCTTAAGGTTAGACAATAAGTAATAATTAATCTAATAATGCTGGGGGAAGTAGTTCGTCTACTTCAACAAAAAACCAATCTTCTCAATAAGAATCATAATCCTCTGACTTTTAGCCTCCTAGATATGGAGATGATGCTAGTGAAGAGGACATCTTTGAGCAAGTTGAAGTAGATGAACCAGATGGAAAAGGTGGAGTTAGAAAAGTTAAAAAAATGGTTAGAAGAAGAGTTAAAAAGACAAAAAAAATAAGTGGAGCATCAGGATCGTCATCGACCTCATCTAAAAAATCTGTTTCATCTAGCTCATCAAGTGCAGCCAGTTCATCAAGTTCATCAAGTTCAGCAAGTTCCGCCAGCTCATCTAGTTCAGCAAGTTCATCAGGTTCATCAGGTTCATCAAGCTCCTCTAGTTCTTCAGGTTAAGCAAGCAGAACCAATTCTGGAAGTAATTCATAATAATCTTCTTAAAGCATTTCAAATACTTAATAATAAACTGAGTAAGAAGCTTCAAGTAAATCAAAAGTTAGTCAATCAGTAGCAGATAGATTAAGTTAAAAATATTCTGAAGCTGAATCAAGAGAGTAGGTATCAACATCTGCATAAGATTCCAGAAGTGTTTCAAGCAGTGCAAACAAAAAGTAAGTTGTATCAGGAGGATCATCCAGCAGTTCAGTCAGCAGTTCATCCAGCAGTGCAGCCAGCAGTTCAGCTAGTAAATCAAGCAGTAGTTCAAGTAGTAGTTCTAGCAGTAGCAGCACTTAAAAAGGAAGTTCCAGCAGCATTGCTAATAATGCTAAAAGCTCTAGCAGTTCAACGAGTGTTAATTCTAACTAAAAATCTGCCTCAGGAGCCTCTTAAAGTCAAAGTAGTAAGTAAGCATCTTCTTCATCCAGCATAAAATAATCTTCATCAAAAGGCTCCGAAGAATCAAGTAGCAGTAAATCATAGAAAAAAGTTGTGTAAACTGAGGATGGAGAAGAAGTTTGGGAAGAAATTTCTGTAGAGGAGGTAACAGAATACACAATAGATTCTGAAGGGAATATGAAAGTTATTTCTTAGACAAGTACTTAAATTCCAAAGACTAAAGCATACTATTTAAATTAGATAGGTAACTAATAAATCGATCTTGATATTGAACAAAATGATAGTAATAGTATGAAAAATTCTTAAGAAGATTCTTAAACTAATTCTACTTCTTATGATGATTCTACAAATGATTAAGGTGATTAAGGCAATGATTATCTCTATGAAAAAGATGGAGATAAATAAGAATATACTGAACAAGAAAATGAATAATGGTTGGAAGAAGATAGACTTAATAATGATAAAGAGTATTAAAGTGAAATAAATTAAAATCTATAATTAGAAAATGATTAAGACTATATTTATTATGAAATAGAAGGAGATTAGATAATATATTATGAATATGATCCTGAGTTGAATGTTTATCATAAAGTGAATATGATTGATCCAGAATAAAAAAAATCACTTATAATTTAAGATTCTTAATTTGATGATTTATTAGATAATGTTATAGATGAGAATAAGGATTAGAAAACATTGCCAACAGATTAGATAAGTGGATAAGAAACAATAAATAAATAAGAGCAAAAAGATTAAAAAGATGAATCGAAGGTTGATGCTAAACAACAAGTGCCATCAGAAAACTCTGTTTAAGAAAAATCTTCATCTGATTAAGTCAAGTCTAATGATACTCAAAGCTAATCTGAAGTTGAAAATAAAGTTGATAAAGACGAATAAAAATAATAAGAAGGTCAACAGAAAGATTTGGACTAGAATAATGATAAAAAAATATAAAATTAGGAAGATTAAACAAAATAAAACATAGGAAATGTGGTTAATGATCTTTTAAAAGAGGAAAAAGTTAAAATCGATAGTATAAGTTTTGAAAAAAATCAAGTGGAAGTCAAGGATGAGAAATCTTTAAAAATTTAATCATTGAAAGAAGAGTTCAATCCTAATGAACCAACTTAATATGAACCACCAAAACATAAAGTTAATACTAGGCCAAAGACAGAAAAGGTCAATATACCAGTTTTTACAAAGTATGTCAAATCTTCCTATGATGGTAATGTTGCTGAATAATTTGAATTTGCGGATAGAGAGCTACTTCAGGATTCCGATGAATATGGATATGGATTTTGGATTAGATACACTTCAAATGCACCAAAAACCCATGTAAGAAAACCAGAAACCTATTACTTCTTATCTCGACTAACTTCAAATCAAGAATATAAGGACTTGACTTATTATGGGGACAGAACCTTAGCCATATTTATGATAGAGAATTCCTTTGTTTTTTCAACTTATGATCATTAAGAAAAGAAAAAAGTGAAAGATTAAGTTGTGGCTTTAAATGAAGATTTAGACAGCATGTGGTATTTCATCACATTTTCTTACAGCACTGCTAAAAAAGCAGCAGTAGGATATGTGATTGGTTATGGAGAAAATAATAAAATTTTAAGGTGTGAAATCTAATGCAGACATGTACCTCCATAATACTTTAAACTATTAATTGGTGGAAAACATATGTCATATGAAGGATTAAATGGTCAATTTGCAAATATATTTTACGATATTGATGCTCCAGCCTTTATAGACACAGAAGCTAAAATTAGAGAAATCATAAAGACTATTTCGAATATTCCTTAATAAGTTACAAATTTAATAGATTTAGAAGTTATCTCAACTCCATAATTATTCAATGCAAATACAGCAAGTGATTCTGTTATCTTAGATCCATAAGAATCTTAATTAATAATTGAAGAATACAGTGTTGCAGCATGGTTTAGATGGATTGATGACTTAAAGGTTGATAGTGAAAATACTTTTTAAATCTTTAATTTAAGATCAAACGAAAAGAAATCTTAAGGAAAAGGAATTTTAGGAGATAGGTCTTTAGAAATGCATTATATTTACGGAGGAGGATCTAAAAGTTCTGTGTACTTTAATACCTATACAATTGAAGGTAATAAAGCAAAAGGATCAATATATTTATCAAAAACAGTTTAATCTCCTAATTATATATGGTAATATGGCTACATGGCTTATGATAACGATAAAATGAAAGTGTATGGAGCATTAATAAGACCAGGAAAATCTGATGAAATAACTTTCGATCCAATTTAACATAAATTGATTACAAAATTATATTTTACTTTGGGTGGAGATGATTATATTTCGCCATTTAATGGTAAAATTGGGTATGTAGGAGTCTACTTAGGACCTGGGGCATACAGATAAGCACTTAATTTTGGTTAATAGTTTTAATATGGAGATGGTGCCATGAATGTATTTTAATTAATCAAACCAATACAATATAAAGAAGATGCATTAGACCCTAATGTAGTAAGAGATTGTGTATACGATGCGGAAAACGCATTAGTAGATAAGATTCTGATTCATGATGATGAGAAATTAAGAATAAATGGTTAAAGTGAATATTCATTTGGAATGTGGACTAGATGGTTGAGTACAATGCCTAAATATTTAGTATAAAGAGGAGCAGTTCATAATATTGCTAGATTAGGTACATCGCCTTATTTGATTGAATAAGTTGATGGTAAATTAAAAAGAGCAAATACTAGAGCATAAACAGTAAAGGATTAAACTCTCGCAGTGACCTTAAGCAAAGAAGCATATGAATTCTATACCTATAGTACTAAGGATTAAATAGGATTTACAAAATTAGAAGGATAGTGGAATTATATTTACTTTGGATATAAAAGATTTGGAGATAAGGGCACAGCAAGAGGATATGTCTAATTTGGTGTAGATGGAGAAATTAAGGAGGTTTCTTTTGATATTTTCCATGATTACATTTTGGAATATGTTGAATTTGTAGTTGGTAAATCTTAAGCTCCATTCTTTAATGGTCAAATGACTAAGATTCAATGTTCGATAGGGCCAGGAGCATTTGTGTCAACTTCTGATAATCTAAGGCTATATACTTAAAATACTTTGCCAGAAAAAGCTTAAATACATCCAGTCTCAAGATAAACTCAATAATTAATAGGTACACCAGTAAATGAGCCTTCTAATTAATTTTAATTTGATAAATTCTAAGGAGCTCAGGAATATGCTATTTCTGGTTGGGTTAAATGGAGTGGTGTACAAAAGATTGGTAAAGTGTCTCACATTATCACAATGGCTTAAAAGAGGTTGGCTGATTTAGATGGAAAAAACGAGGAAACTCTAAAGATTCGCAGATCAGATTTATCATATCTTTATTCTACTTATAATTGTAAAGGTGAAGATTGTTCTTAAGTAATAGTAAAAGAATAGTAATTTGGTGAGTATTGGGATTAATGGACTTATGTTTATTTTGGTTATTCAACTCCAATAAAGAAGGCATTTGGTTATATCAAATATATATTTAATGATGATAAGTTTTTGTTAGATGATATTAATCATTTTTATTTGGCTGTTTTTAGCATAATTATTGGAAATGAATAAGATAAATTTTAAGGATAAATTAAAACATGGGTAATTAATATTGGATAAGGTTCTTTTAGAGAGGGTGGATTTGAAAGTGATGAAAATATTAAAGTACATTTTGGATTTATAAGTGGAACTGATCATATTAAATTATAATAGGCAGGATAAGAAGCTCATCATGAAGAATAAGTTCTTGAATGTTCAGCAAATGGTAAAGAAGTTCCTTTGCATGTATAATTTGAATAAAGTGATAAATTAAATCTTTAAGGAGTAAGTGAATATGGTTATGGATTTTGGGCTAGATTTTAGCATTTTGCAAATAAAGGTGTATTATATTAGTAACCATAATGGATGGGTATGGCTAGATTGACTAGTTAAAAAGATTATAAAGATTTTGATCAACCAGGAGATAGAGTTTTATTGGTTTTGATGGGTAAGAATGTTTATCATTTTTCAACTTACAATGTACAACCACCTTCAAACAATGTGAATGGAAATATACCTTATGCATTGGAATCAGAAAGTGAATGGACATACATTTATTTTAGTTATAAAAGAATTTCTTAGACATTAGGACATGCAGTAGCCTTCACTTCATTTGGAGAAATCACCCCTGGAATATAAATGGATGTAGTACATAACTTACTCTAAAATTATTTGTAATTAACAATAGGACATGCTGGTAAATATTATCCAAACTTTAATGGTCAAATCACTACAGTAAGATTCAATTTAGGACCTGGAGCATTTATTGAAAATACAGCAGGCATTATGGCTAGAATTAAGAATAAAGATCCAAAACCAGATATTTTGTCAGTTCCTAAAATTTATGAATTATTTGTTGGTAAATAGGACGCTTAAAAACTTAAAATTGATAACCCTGTCATTATTGATTAAGAAGCAAGAGAATATTCAGTTTAAATGTGGTTCAGATGGTTCAAGACACCAGTAAAGCTCAATTAAGTGATTTATAGATTGTCAGCTAACAGAGCAGAAAATGATGCTTAAAAGATTGGTGATAAAGTATTAATGTTATCTCACATTGGAACTGCTTTATTTAGTACTTACACTTTGTAAGATTCAATAATGAATGTTCCTTTTGAATGTAACATACCTAAATAATCACTCGAAATTTGGAGTTTTGCTTATTTTGCATATTCAAAGAAGGAAAGAAAAGTTTAATATTATTTGAAAGCTGATGCTCATGAAAATAAAGGATTGGAACCTATATTACATGCTGTATCTTCTAAGTTTTGGTTGTATGTAGGAAGAGATGGTTTATTGGAGAATTTTAATAGTAGAGTAGCATAATTAACATTGAATCTTGGTGAGGGTTCTTTTCGTAAAGAAAACTTTTTGTAATTACCTATTTATTTATTATCTACTAAATTATTCTCATAAGAAAAGAAGAATAATTGGGAAAATGCAGGGAAGATAGTACTTGGTTAATCTTAAACTATTAAATTTGTAGATGAACCAGATAAACCAATTGAATCCATGTAAGAATATAGCATAGGATTTTGGTGCAGGTTTTTATAAGCATGGCCTGAAAGATAATATAAATTATAATAGGAAATGTAATTAGTTAGATTGACATCAAATGAATAAATAGAAGTTGGTAAAGTAGCTATGGGAGATAGAATATTGGCTTCCCATATTGTTTAAGGTCATTATCAATTTTCTACTTATGATTTAAATGATGATGCACCTAATGAATTAAGAACTATTGCTTATTCTAAATTAGAGGGATAATGGAATTATATTTATATGGGTTATTAGAGAGTGAGTTAATTAGCTTCATATTTTGTATATGATGGAAAAGATATATAGTAAATAAAAAATTAAGATTTATTGCATAAGCCATTAGGAGACTTTGTTATTTTACATATTGGAGGGGAACCAGATATTCCAGGATTCTAAGGACTAATGTGTAAGATAGCAGTCAATTTTGGAGTTGGATCATTTTTTGGATTGGTAGAAGATGTAAAGAAAACAATTGATAATTCTTTTGCTCTCGATTAGTAATTGACTGTTGACTTTATTCATAAAGAAAAGCATGGGTAATAAGAATTAATTGGTAAATTCGAAACTGTAGCAGATGATGTTGGAGGTGCTGAATTAAGAGGTGATACTTGGTCATAAGTTGGTGAATATTCAATTAGTGGTTGGCTCAAAATTGCCGAAATAAAAGGATAAAATGCAAACGATTGCCAAATTTTATTTAGAGTTACTAATAATGATAAAGAACATTTAAATGATAAACGAATTCAAGGAGATAGAACACTACATGCCTCAGTTTGTGTAGATTCTATTAAACTATCCACTTACACGATTCATGGATTGAAAGATTGGAATGAGGCCAAATTCTTGGAAGAAAAGGTGGAACTAGGCCATAATAAAAAGGCATGGATATATATTTATATGGGATATAATGAAGACATATAAGAAGTACATGCATTATTACATCTATTCGATTAAGACAAACCTCTTATTTTTAAAGGAGTTTAACATTATGTACCACATTATACTGCAATCTATGTAGCCAAAGATCCATTTACTAAAAGATTCTAAGGTGATCTATAAAAGTGGGTAGCTTAATATGGATCAGGTGCTTTTGTTAGTATTTAAAAAAGAGGTTATGAAGATATCTTGACAAATTATAGAGCTTTGGCAACTAACTAGAAATATATGTGGTTCACTAAAGAAGATGGAGTATTAGAGACTGAAAAAGCTATAACTTAAGTTTTTACAACTGAAGTTGAATCTGTTGATGAATATTCTATAGGTGTTTGGACCAGATGGTTAATTTCTTTTCCAACTACTCTTACTGAAAGATAAGAAAGACATAATATATTTAGATTCTCTTCTAATAAGGAAGACTAAGATAAAAGTGAATTAGGAGATAGAGTATTGGCAGCATTTCTAACTCTAGGAAATTATGAATTTAGTACTTATGATGTACTCAAATCATCTAATGCTGTTGATGCTAAATTACCATATACAGAATTAGAAGGAGCTTGGACTTATGTTTATGCAGCATACAAAACTGGATAATTTTATGGAATGGTGTTGTTTAGAGAATAATAAAAAGCCTAACATATTGAATTGTAAGTCTAACATAAAGCTTTAACTGGATATTCTAAGTTTGTCTTAGGAGCTAAAGAGTTTGGATTTAGAGGTTTTCATGGATGGTTATTTGATCCAAGGATCTTCCTAGGTGAAGGATCATTCATTAGTGAAAGTTAGAAAGTTGTTGACATGGTACTCAAATTGCATCGTAAATTACCAATCCAACCACTTGATGCTGAAGATTTTAAATGGCCTGTCTAAATGATAGATACTACTCTTTCGGATGAAATTAACGACAAAAAAGATAAATTCTCATTTGCTTTCAATGATAAACCAGGTTTGATAGAATATTCATATGGATTCTGGATGTAAAATGCTGTTCTAACGCCTGAATTAACTGATGAATATAGAGGTCTTGTAAGATTGTCAACAAGCAATGAAGGATCTGATGAAAGATATATTGGTGATAGAACTCTTACTTTATTTACTAAGACGGATGAGATTGTGGCTAGTACTTATACTCTCAAAGATCCTACATTTGAACCGGTTACCCATACTTTTAAACTAATACCTTATTAATGGACTTTTGTTTATTTTGGTTACATTCCTGGAAAGGCAAGAGCCTATATTTTGGGAATCAAGGGACCAGATGAATAAATTTTGAATGTAAAACATGCTATTCCAAATGCTTTCTATCTTCATTTAATTAAGGATTAATCACATCCTTTGTTTTTTGTAAATTATTTTATTTAATTTTAGGGAAAATTCTATGGATTTAAATTGTTATTTGGATAAGGCAGCTATTTGGCCAATCCTTAAGAAATGATAGAAAAATGGCCATATGATCCTAAAGCTCTGCCACAACCTCCTAAATAAGAGGAAAAAATCTTATCACTAAATTCAGCTAAAGTAGATAGGGCATAAAATAAAGATCATGAAAAATTTTAAGAATGATTTGTTTTGAACTCAAATTTAAATACAATTTATGAAATTATCAATCTAACTTCGAATTCTTAATTTTGTTAAACTCTTTAAATTTTGATTTTTTATTACAAAATAGTTCTACCAATGTTATCAAACAAATTCCTAAAAAACTGCTTGCAAGTACAATTCCAAAAGGTGATTTAATTAATATATTCAATAATTTAATTAAGAATTCAAATAATTTTATTTCCTTTTTTGAGCTCTTTCTATTATTAGCATCATCATATTTATTTGCATTATTGTTATTAAGACCTTTTTAAATTTCTTTAACCTCATTTTCAATAATTTTCAAACTTTCATCTGATAATATCTTAAATCCATCTATTGCCTTAAAAGTATTTTTTTTGTTATAAATATTTTCTATTTCAACTTAATTATCTCCAATCTTTAACATCATTCCAGCAATTGCTGCCTTGCTTTTTATTGCTTTAAATCTGATTATCAACTCATTATTCTTACTTATAGCCCCATAAATTTACTCACCCTAATATATAATTTATTCTCCAACAATTTAAAAACTTATCTCTATTATGTAAGCTGTTCTTGTCCCAACTTTTTAATAGATATCAAGATCACCAATAACTAATTTATTTCCAAAATATACTTCAAAAATTCTTGAATTACTTTCTTAATATTGTAGCTAATTGTATGATCATAATATACTTCAGCAAAATTGAGTGCCAATAGATAATTTTTAGTTTCTGGTTAATCATTATTTAATGGAATTTAGTAAACAAAATGTTATCCTTATCTTTAAGTTAAATACAATTCTTAATCAACAGTCTTTTTTACTTTTATAGTCTCTTGCTCATTATAATAATCAACAAATTCTGAGGAGCCTTTAAAATATTAGTCCTTTGAAATAATTTATAAAATTTACACTCTTGTAATTGATGCCATCAAATGAACGATATTTCATATAATTTCCACAATCAATAGAGTGTACAATGTTTTTTTAAGATAATGATTTCATCATTGAATTAGGTATTAACAGCAATATTATAATCATAAAACAATATAAATTATTTTGCTAAAAAGTAAACTTAATAGTTGAATAAGTAGTTAATAATGAGAATATTAGAAATATGTTAAAAAACTTCATTTATTATTTAATTTTGATAAACATAATAAAATAATGAATAATAATGGCTTTATTGTTTATATTATTGGTACAACAGCAGCAGGGAAGGCAAACTTATCTTTAAATTTGGGTCTCGATAATTATGAGATAATATATTGTGATTCTATGTAAATTTATAAAGATGCAAATATTATGACTGCAAAAGTTACGGTTATAGAACAAACAATAAAAATGCATCATGGAATAGATTTATTAGAATTAGAATCTGAAGGTTTTAATCGTAAATAATGGAAACATAGTAAGAACTTTTATTAGCCCTATTTTAGTAACAATTAACAAAATAGAAGAGATATAATCTAAAGGAAAGATTCCAGTTTTAGTTGGGAACACTCATTATTTTATAGAATCAATATTATTTAATTAAGAAACTGAAGAAAATTAAATTTAATAAGCAGCTGAATTTCACTTAGATGGTAAGGAGCCTTTTGAATATTTAAAAGAAATTGATCCATTAGCAGCTTTAAAATTTCATCCAAATGATCATAGAAGAATTTAGAATTCTATTAAATATTACCAAAATATAGGATAATTACCATTTGATTAACTAGATCATAATTCAGAGTAATTTAAATTAAGAAGTAATAACTTCCTAATAATTTGGCCAAAATGGAGAAAAAATGAAGATTTAAAGATTAAAGTAACTGAAAGAATATATGAAATGATTGAAAAAGGAGGAACAGAAGAAATATTAAGAATATTTGAAAGATTAGAGAATAAAAAGAATAAGGTAGGTGGAGTATTAAAAGGCACCGGGTATTGTTAATTCGAAAAAGTTTATTAGTATTATAAATAATCAGGACTTTAATATCCTAATGTTGATGAAAATTTTTAAGTGCTATTGAAAGAAGGTGCTGAAAAACTAATAAATGATACAATGAAGTATACGAAGAAATATATTTAATGGATAAAAAATAGAATTCTTTGTAATTCAAAAATTGATATTATTGCTAACAGATTATTTTTACTAGAATTTGAATCAATTCAGACTTTTCAAGAGTAGGTAATAATCCCAGCTTAAAAGATATTTAATTTATTTTATCAATAATTTTAAGATGATTAATTAGGGGATGAATAGTTTAAAATTAGCTTATAAAATTTAGGGAATATTAAAATTATTACTCCTGAAATGATAGAGAAGTATAAATAAATACAAAAATAAAAATCAAGAACNCTATGTAAATTTATAAAGATGCAAATATTATGACTGCAAAAGTTACGGTTATAGAACAAACAATAAAAATGCATCATGGAATAGATTTATTAGAATTAGAATCTGAAGGTTTTAATCGTAAATAATGGAAACATAGTAAGAACTTTTATTAGCCCTATTTTAGTAACAATTAACAAAATAGAAGAGATATAATCTAAAGGAAAGATTCCAGTTTTAGTTGGGAACACTCATTATTTTATAGAATCAATATTATTTAATTAAGAAACTGAAGAAAATTAAATTTAATAAGCAGCTGAATTTCACTTAGATGGTAAGGAGCCTTTTGAATATTTAAAAGAAATTGATCCATTAGCAGCTTTAAAATTTCATCCAAATGATCATAGAAGAATTTAGAATTCTATTAAATATTACCAAAATATAGGATAATTACCATTTGATTAACTAGATCATAATTCAGAGTAATTTAAATTAAGAAGTAATAACTTCCTAATAATTTGGCCAAAATGGAGAAAAAATGAAGATTTAAAGATTAAAGTAACTGAAAGAATATATGAAATGATTGAAAAAGGAGGAACAGAAGAAATATTAAGAATATTTGAAAGATTAGAGAATAAAAAGAATAAGGTAGGTGGAGTATTAAAAGGCACCGGGTATTGTTAATTCGAAAAAGTTTATTAGTATTATAAATAATCAGGACTTTAATATCCTAATGTTGATGAAAATTTTTAAGTGCTATTGAAAGAAGGTGCTGAAAAACTAATAAATGATACAATGAAGTATACGAAGAAATATATTTAATGGATAAAAAATAGAATTCTTTGTAATTCAAAAATTGATATTATTGCTAACAGATTATTTTTACTAGAATTTGAATCAATTCAGACTTTTCAAGAGTAGGTAATAATCCCAGCTTAAAAGATATTTAATTTATTTTATCAATAATTTTAAGATGATTAATTAGGGGATGAATAGTTTAAAATTAGCTTATAAAATTTAGGGAATATTAAAATTATTACTCCTGAAATGATAGAGAAGTATAAATAAATACAAAAATAAAAATCAAGAACTAGTTGGAAAAAATAAGTTTGCGAATTATGTAATAAAACAATGAATGGGCCATTTGAAATAGAATAGCATTTTAAATCTCGTTTTCATAAAATTAATGTTTTGAAAGATGAATAATTGTAAAAGAAAAAATAAAAGATTGATTGAAAGTTCTTATAATATAGTTTTATAATAAATCATTTTGAATTTGTTGAATATTTCTGCCTTTTATAAAAACAATAGAAATTTATATTCTTAAAATGTTAGAATAAAGGAAACTAAAGAAATATATTCTCTCAAAAGATTTTAATTAATTTTGAAGAATTAATTTTTCATTCTAACTATTTATAAGCTTTTGGCTAATTTTATAAGTTAAAGTTCCCCATAAAGCCAACTCTTAAACAAAAGAAATTTTATTTAATTATTTATAATAAGATAAATAAATTAAATTAAATTAAATTGCTTTTAGTAAAGGTTTTGTTGCATTTTATCTAAAATAAATTGATGAAACTTTAAGAAAACCATTCAAAGATTTCACTTGTTTAATAAAGAAGAGTTTTATTTGATTAATTTATGCCAGATAATTTATAACTAGAATTATGAGAGATGGTATATAAGAGTTCTAAATGAGTTAGAAAATAAAATATTTTAATATTAATGTACCCAAAATTAAATCGAATCCTTCATTCTCAGGGTAATATGACCACAAGTCCTACCTAGTCCCCATCTTAAAACATAAATTATAATGATGTCGGGTAAGAGTGCAATCAATAGTATGAGAGAGCTACTGGATATGAAACTTAATTAAGTTCGTAAAATAAACCGATAGCAAGATGATAACATTAAATTACTTAAGTCTCGACTGAATCATATTTAACATTAAGATATGATTTGTTAAAAGAATATTTCTAGAACAAGTAATGAAATATAATCAATGATCTCTACTAAATCTAGAGTCATTGAAGACTAATTGAGGAAGGTACATATCTAAAAACTAATTAATTTGATTAGTAATTCTTAGAAGAGATTAAATAATAGAAACTTGAAGAATATTCATAAAGAGCCTATATATCAAAAATGGAGAGACTAAAAAGGAGCAAAAACGTTGAAAACTGTAAGTATCTGATTTTATGCATAGAAAAATAAGTATATTCTGAGACCCATTCTTTCTTAAATAAGGAATATAAAACGAATCTCTCTTAGGCAAAATTATAAACTTGGAATGAAATCTATGGGACTAATTGCAAATCTCATAAGCTAATCAGATAAGCTCATCTTAAACATAAATAAGATAAGATTATTTAATTACAAATGGTACTATATTTATTAATTCTAGAAATAATAAGAAGGATAATATAATTATAAGATGAAGATAGTAAAAGAGGCATAGTAATTTAAAGAAAAAAAAATGAAAGTCACAGAATTAGAAGAGGCAGAAGAATAATATTTGATGAAACTAAAAGTCACTCAGAGTAAGAACCGTTCTATGAGTGCTAAAAAAGAAGAGATAAAGAGATTGCCTGCAGAGAAAATAGCAATTAGCAAAAATAATCTCTTTAGAATAAATTGATTTTATATGGATAAAGAATTTTAATGTTGTTAATGTTAACATGAGTTTAATTTACAGGATAGAAGTCCTCATGTCCTCCCTTCCTGTGGTCATTCAATATGCTAGTTATGCGTGACATAATATTTGTAATCACAATTGAAGTTGATTTGCAATGAAGACAAGTAAATGAATCACAAATTAAATTAAGCATCGAATGTCAAGTTGACAGAGAATTCAAATTCTTCCCTATCAATTAAAGCATCATAGTCTTATTAAGAAAAAAGCGAACTGTTCAAAGATGTCATACCTATGTAACTCCAGAAGATGCAATACCTAGAATATCAGCAGAAGATGTAAGCGAATTTTCAGGTGACAGTCAATAAAATATACAACTAAATAAGAACATCTCTTAATCACATTCATGTGAAATATTGCCAATTAAAGAAAACTAAGGAGATTTATGTCCTATTCATTCAAAGCCTTTAGAATTAGTTTGTTAAGAAGATGGAGAATATATTTGTGTTAATTGTGCCTTATTTGGAAATCATAAGTTTCACAATTATAAGCCTATTGATGCCTATGTTAAAGAGATGGAATAAACATTTTATGATATCACCACGATATATGAAGTTGTAAAAGAATTGAGTTCTAAAATCGAACAAAAGATATATGCAAAAGAATTTGAAACCAAAATAGTATAATCAAAGGATGCTAAATTATAATCAATAGATATGAAGTTTAATGAATTATTTAATGAATTAAATTTAATAAAAGAAGAATTAAAATCAAAAATAGCAAATAATTACAACATATAATTTGATGATAACAAGAGAAAAATTGAATCAGAATTTACATAACTAAAAGATCAAGCAGATAGATGGCTTTCATAAACTGGACATCAATTAAATGATTTCTTTGTTGAAAAAATTTAAAACCAAAAGCTGAAAATGGATGCCAAAGAACTAGGTAATAGCAAAGAAAATGGTTCCTAATTAATTAGTAAAATCTAATTCTAGTTTGCTTAAATGGACACTCATGTCAAATTGATTGGAGAGTAACAACAATTTTATGTACCAATAGAGAACATTAAAAATCAATTTCCTCAAGAAAATAAATAATTAGACTAATTATTATTGGATAGAGAAGATAAATTAACAGATTCAGACATCATTTATTAAGATATTAAAGATGAAAAATTAACATAATCTATGTACATTTCCTAATAACCTACTTAACCAGCATCTCCTTAATATAATGTGGGAAAAAATCATTATTTCAGCCAAACATTAACACCTGGATAATTCTAAAGAAAAGATAGGAGCGTAACTATGCTACAAACTGAACCATCAGAAGTTTCTGCACCTAATACTAACAGAAATAAATTATCATCATCCAAATTTGCTAAAGTCTAAAAATTTAATAAAGATCCTAAATTACACGATAAAATTATTAATACCTTAGCAATGTTTGAAAAGTTTGAAATGATTGATTTTTCTACTCTTGGTAATAATTATTCTATCTTAGATGTAACTGAATAGTTGATTTAAGCCATCGATGAAGCGCTCAAAAATAAAAAAATTGTCAAAGTCTTAAAAATGAGTAAATGTAAATTAACTGATGATCTTTTTGCAAAGCTATTATCAGTCATTGAAGAATCTAGGTATTGAGGTTAAGTATATTTTACAGTGTTACTGCTTTGCATCTACAATCCAACACATTAACTGAAAAAGCATTAGATTATCTATTAAATATTGTCAAAGCTAAAAAACATTTTGAATGCAAATAAATCTATTTGAATGGCAATATCAGCATCACCTAGGCAAAGGCAAAAAAAAAAATTGAAGAAATTAAAAAGTATGGTATCTAAGTAACCATTTGAAAAAAAATTTATTTTATTTATTCATATATATTTTCTTTCATTCTTTTGGCTAGCCTGCAAATTAAACTAACTATTTTCGCAAATATGTTGATTTGAAAAACAAAAGTAAATTATTTAATTATGCATTTTTCAAAGTTTATCAATTTAATTAACTTAAATATATATGTTTATATATAATGCTGGAATTATATTTTAATCTTCTCTTAAAATAAATTTTTAAGTTTTTTAACTTTAAATAAAATAATTCAAATACTTTCTCAAATTATGATAAAATAAAAAATATGATTGTATTACTATATATTAATGATTAAATAGAAACAAAGTCTACACTGATTAAATTATATAATCATGCATAATTAATATGAAAATATATCATAAATAATTCTACTAATCAATTTAGGATATGTTTCATGAATTATTTTATATAGATGATAATATTATCGAGCATTTTTATTTCATAATTTAATTCAATCAATTAAATTGATTATTAATATTGATAGAATAAAATTAAATAATTCAATTTACTTTTGAATAGTATCAAGATTATAAATGAATCAATTTGTAATTAAAATTTGGTTACAATTTCCTATTAATAAATAATCTTTAATCTTAAATGCTTATAAAAAAAATACAATTTAATAGTGATTATTATATTTTTAACATTTTTGGATTGGACTTAGTATCAGCCTAAAAAATGAATTGGAAATCAATTAAGAATGAAAAAGAAAGCAAGAAGTCGATATCATTCAATTTCTACACATTATTTATATATTTCTATTATTCAAACAATGGTAAAGTTTGGTGACTTCTCTTATTTTAACCAATTAAAATCTTGAACCTAATCAAACAAATTGAAATCTTTGTTTCCTAATCTCGAAAAGGATAATTTAGAGCACCTCTCTATGATAGGATTGGATGTGACATAGATTATAAATGCACAATCTGCAGTGTCATGAATTCTCAATTAATGCATACTTCCTTAGAATTCACAATTTTAGCATTTATCAACCCATACACTTCCTTTAACATCTCCAAATTTGACTTTTAGATTCTTAAGATTATGCAAATAAAATGTATCTAATGATCCTTCAACTCTAAAAGTAGTATTTTCTAAGTTTTTCAATAAAAGAGACCCGTTTTCTAAAGTTATTGACTCCTAATAATTGTCTTAGGTTATAACAATTGAATCATTTTCCAACACACTTAACTTTTCCTCTTAAATTTTGCTTTATTATGGAATTCCTTTTGGAAATGGCTTAGAAAATCGAAATTTTTATCTAGGAATTATTTAGGACCTTAGGGTGAATATTGTACATTCTAATTAGTCTAATTACTTTGAATAGATTAAGATTTTACTTCTTTATATTGTTATTTATCATATGCAATTAAAGCATAATTGATGTCCACATAATATTAAAACAAAACTTGAAATTCATCAATTACTTGTTGAATTTGTTCTTCTGTTTTGATCGTCTTTTGGTTAATTGGGGTTAAAATATCTTATTATTATAAGAATTTTACTATCATAGAGTTGTCTAAATTCTTTTTGAACATGTAATTATAATTCTTTCGGGTCTTTAGTTTGAAGTTTAAATTCTTATCTTCTATCCTTAAGATTCTTTAATTTGTCTGCCTGTTTATTTAAGTATGCTTCAAATTACTGTTTTCTTAATTATTGTTGTTAACTAAGCTCAGAGGTTGACATATTAAAATTTTCTTTTATAATTAAATTATATGTTAAAATTCAAAAAATGTCAAATGCTTATGTTTAGAATTCTGGTGTTTCCTTAGCTTTCCAATATTCTTACCCAAATGAATATTTTCCATTTCTCTATATAAACCATTTTGGAAAATGATCTTTTTTCTGCTCATGCAATTCCTTTCTGGCTAATCTTTACTTTTATTCTAATCTTGTTTTTTCAATTGCTGCAAAATCAATATTACTATTTTCTAAGGCTCTTTAATCAGGTCTTAATCTTGAATCTGTTGGTGGTAAGGTTTTTAAAAGTTATCTATTTAAATGGTTTAATTATAAAGCAAATCGAGTGAAATAGTATTACTAATCGCTTTTTTAAGGTAATGCATTTCGAACCCATACAACTTTCATTGTGCCAGCAACAATAATACTTATTTCAGAATTCCATTTACCTTATATGGTACAATATTAAGTTCCTAATTTGTCTTTAACAAAGCCTTTTAATTCATATGATGCTTCAGAGGATCCTTCTATTAATTTAAGAATTCCAGTATCTCCAGTTAATTCATTCTTAAATTTCATTTCTCCATAATGATCTAGATATTAAGGACCCATAATTAAGTTTTTAAAAGAAGATTTGCATCTTTAAAATGCTATTTGATCTTAATTTTTCTTTAGTTTAATATTTACCCAACCCAAGGGTGTTACAGTAATTGATTTACCCCAGAATGACGTAGTCACATTATTATCTGACAAAAATTCAAAATGTTCGTTTTCTGCATAACCAACTGATATAGGAGGATGATGTGAGACTTATTCTGAGATATATTTGAATTTAGAACAAGCAAATTCAAATGTTTCTCCTAAAATAGGATTAAATGGTTTTTTGACTCTATTTATAGTTGCTGATAATCCAGATGCAGCAAAAACCATGACATAAGCTAATCTTTCACAACTATTTGAAAATGAATCTGCTTAATCTAAGATTTCTGAATACTCTAAATTTTCACATAAATTTTAAAGCATTGATAAAGGTTCATTGAATGTTACTGGGAATGCGATTTTAGTTAGATCCTTTCCTATCATATCTTTTAATAAAGAAACAAATTTAATGCTTTCATTTGGATCCTTAAATGCAGGTAATTATTCTCTAGTTTCATCAATCCCTATAATCATATCTTTAAATGCCTCATTATTGATGAGATTTTTATATTTAATCGGTTAAGGAATTCTTAATTATTCAATTACATGAAACAATGGTGATACTCCTGCTACTGACATTTTCTTAGAAGATAATCTCCTTACTAATTGTCTATCATCATAGAGTTCATTGTTTATAGAATAAAATTCATCTTCATCCATTTTGAAACTCATAAATTATTCTGTAGGTACAAATTCTTCTTCGTAAAGATCATCATGATCAGGAGGATTTTGATCATTTGTTTCTCTTAATTTTTCCTAAAGTTTTTTACTGATTTCAATCAACTTGTTATATTCCTCATCTAATTCTTATGCACAAGCTGTGGTTGTGTGCTAAAATTGCTAAGTCATTTACTTTCAATTCTTATATCAATTAACTAATTCTCTAAGTATTGTTTAGAGAAATCTACTCTTCCAATTGTGCTTGCATAACCCAAAATTATGTCAAAGTAGTATGGATTCGTTTTAAGTCTAATTCTGGAGCTCCTTCTATGAAATAAAAAGGATTCTTCTTTCTTTATACAAGCAATTTGTTTTAAGATTTTGAAGTAAACTAAATAACGATTATATTATACTCTCTATTGAGCATTCAAAAGAGCATCTAACCACTTTTATTTCTCTTGAACTGAAGATGCTCTCAGATGCATTTCGCTCATTCCATAATTTATAACAATTCTCTATGGATCCTTAGGTACAGATCTTATTGAACAAATGCTTAAATGAACTTAACCTAAATCATTAAATAATTTTTAAACCTTTCTTTGGTGTCCCTTTTGATTAACAATATATTAAGGAGTCTTCATGCAAAATAAAATAACGATTTTGCCATTAATACATGAAATTCACCCATTTCTTTAAATAACCTTCCATAATTTATAATAAATTTATTAGAACTATTTCTTTCATTATCAGTTTTATTTCAATTCATGATACTTATTGATAATAATTTTATTTTCCATAAATGCTCTTCTCAAAGGAACCATCCAATAAAAGAAAATTTTACTATCGTAATATTCTTACATCAAACTTTGATTTCTTTTCTAAATGCCAAACACTCAAAGAAAATCAAAAGAATACTAAATAATCAATTTCTAATTCAAATCTAATAATAAATCATCGCAAACCTAATTAAACTTTACATTCACCTCAATCTCCTGTAATTAATAATTTAGAAACACCTAGACATATACGTTTTCATACCAATAATTCTCATAAGCTTTTTGAACAAAAATAAATATCTGAAAAAATCTCATAAAAGTAGAATACAGAACGAAGAGCTCCTTTACATAAAAGAAAAATATAAATTACAGAGACATCATTATAAATAGGGGATTATATTGAATTATTGAAAAATAAAACATCATCAAATATCCAATACAAATACTCAGATCTTTTAAAGGATTAATCATTTTAGACTACATCACTTCATTTTAAGTCATAAAATCCAAGAAAATCAAAGGAAGAATAAAGAAATCATTTGTAACTTCTTTTATAATGGTATTTTTCTATTTCATTTTAGTACACATACAATTGCTAAAATTAAAGATGGAACCAATATTTAAACTGTTATTAATTAATGTACTCATCAATATCCAAATTTATCCTTAATAATAGATTAATTTATTCAAGATTTAGATGTAGCTATGTAATTATATAGTAATGAAAACTAATTATCATTAAACCTATTAAGAATTACAGGACTTGATTATAAAATATTTCATGTGTTGTTCAAACCTAAGTAAGAATTCCCTTAATTACATTATCAATTTAAAATTGATGAAAATTTCTTTTAAAATTATAAATTCTATAAACCTACTAAATATGATATTTATTATCGTGTTTACGGAGCTGGTGAATTACCATTAGAATTTTAAGAATAACTGGGTGAATTTAATCCTTCAATTATGAGGCATAAATTCAAAGATTCAGATTATTAAGCTGCAATCCTGATTAAAGATTAAATACCTTCAATTGATTAAGATTTTGTGAGAAAAATTGTTTATTATTAAAAAAATCTTCAATTATTCCTAAAATAAAAATCAAGTGAGGTTTTGAGTAGTTTTAAAGAATAATTAAATCTAGATGAATATAACAATAATAATATTTTAAGATAATCAATACTATCAAAATTGATTGATTCAGAAAATTTGATTGGCAATTTTCCACATATAACAAGATCAAATAGGTACTTATTTGAAAAGATGGAATTAGAGTAATAGAATAAAGTATATTCTTAAAGAATAAAATAATCAAAAGCAAATGCTATTTAATTTTTAAATTGATAATATTTATCTTATTAGTATATTTGTTAATTTATTCTATAAAATTTCACATATTCAAAAGAAAATTTATTAATAGTTTATCAAATATACAAGAATTCTAATAAAGATTGCCTTTAGGGAGAATCAAATTTAGTATTTTATTAAGTCATATACGCATTATTATTATTATTTATAATTACAAATTTTTTTCAATAATATAATTAATATTTATATATGACTCATCCGTTAAGAGTAGATGATTTTGTTGATGAACTTAAAAAATATGATAGAAAAGAAGATTTTATGACTTTAATGAAATCATATGAATAAAGGTATTCTAATATTCAAAATTAGATATTATGATTAATTTGAATAATTTGCAAATAATAATTTTCCTCCTGAATTATAGAGGTAGCAAATACCTAAACAAGAAAATTAATTCAAACAATAACCTTAATACTAAAAACCCCCTGTTGTTCGCTCAAGTTCTGCAAATAAATTAGATTATTAAGATCAATACTAAGTATTTCCTTAATAGTAAATTTAACCACCTTAAATACCCTATATACCTTAAAAACAGCAATCAAGAGGAGAAATTTAAGATCCTTTTAAGAGACCATAGGATCAATTTGAATATCGATTAAATCCTGTTACTCAAAAGGATCCCTTTAGAGATTTAAATAAATAACAATATATTACATAACAAAGAAATCATGCATCAATTCCAACTTAATAAATTCCATTTTCCCCTTTTTCTCAAGGATAATCTGTAATAAATAATGCTTAATAATTGGGCCAACCTTTTGGTAATTAAGTTGGGGTAGTTCCAATTAATAATCAAACATTTCAGAATTACGGAGTTTAATAATAATAGTTTTAAGAACAATCAATATACTAATAATAGCAAACTGCGTCTTACCCAAAAACTTGGTAAAACTAATAATAGTAAATGGATACATTTCTTAATGATATAAAATCTTAAAGAATCTAGAAGCAATAATAATACAAATGAAATATAATACTTATTTATTATCAAAATTAAAATTATAAAAGATCTTTCTACTAAAACAAAATAACAACTTTTAAATTAAGATTGCTATAAGGGAGGGAAATTAAAATGAATATTGATAAGGAAGTATTATAAAATATTCCATCATCAATTATGCACTTCCGTGCTTAATCTTTTTATGGGTGGTAGTACTTAGGATAATCTTTTGAATGATTGAGTTTCATTTCTCCTGGATGTTTAAGGCAAAATAGCATTGCTTTTGGATTTTAAAGATAACCTTTGCTTTTGAATTGATAAGGCAACAGGCTTCTTATAATCCTTAAATAATGGACATCCTTAATCATCGTATTCAACTTGCATAACTGGATGATTCAACACTTCCGAACAAGAGATTCGTTAATCAGGATTGGGATTCAACATTTTCATTAAAAGATTTATTACTATTTATATATCATATGATTTACATTATCGATTTCCGAAACAATCTTCCAATAATTTATTCATATTGATATTACATTCTTTATTTGATTACTTTAAATTATTGCCTGAAAAGAGTGGTTTTGTAGTAGTTCTAATTAAATTAATTTATTATACAATTCATAAAGTAAGCAACCTAAACTGAAAACATCACATTTCTCATTATATGATTTAGACTTATCCTCCTCACAAATAAATATTTCTGGTGCCATATATCCATATGACCCACAAAATTAGTAAACATTAAGTTATTTTTAAATTGTGGAGGAAACACCAAAATCGCTTATTAATGGGCCATCTTAAGCTTATAAGCCAAACTATTTAAGAGAGATAGGTTTTCTAAAAAGAATATTCGCTGGTTTAATGTCTCTATGCATCAATCCTATAATTCTTTAATTTTTATACCTATATCATGCATATATTTGATTCCTTCTACAATTTATCGAAAAATCACCTTCACAGTTAAAAATGGTAATGGTTCTTCTAATTTTTTAATAGCTTAATCCAAATTGCCACCTCTACATAATTCAGTGATTAAGTAAATTTGAGCTTTGTTTTCAAAAACATCATATAATTTCAATACATTTTAATGATTCATATATTTCATAACTTTAACTTCATTGTCTATTTATTCCTACCATTAATTTAATTATTACTCTCCATTAAGTTGGATCTTGTAACATGAGCATTTTTTTAAGGAATGCTTTAATAGCTACTTTAGTACCATCAGCCTTTGATTTTCCAATGTAAACACTAGCAAAACTACCACTACCAATTAATTTTTCAATTTCATAATATTTTTAGTAATCCATAAGTGGTAATTTCTATTTTAGAAAGATTTCCCACATCCCTGGTTATTCAATGAATTAATATTCTATAGGTTTAGGTAAAAAGTCTGTTTCTAGGATAATGTAATTCTGTTATTTGTTTGATTTAATTTGAAAACGTAAATGACTACTTAGAAAAGCCATTTTTACACCTTTGTCAGACTTAAATAATTTTGTTAAAGTTTACAATTCGATATAGTTTGGAATCAGATAGGATTAGAGTAATTTTCCTTCCTTTTCTAGTAATGAATCTGGAACTAAGTATTCCAGATGGTGCATCATAAGATTTATTGAAGACCTTAATAATTTGCATATATGTAAAATTAATCAATTAAATAAATTATGACTAGATATTTATATATCGTCAGTCTTATTTGATTTTCACAGAATTAAAAAGTTAAATCATTTACATATCACAAATTGACAAATCATTAAAATCCTCTTAGATATTATAATATTTCTTAAAAGGATGGTCTTTTCACAGGATCTTTATCCCAACATTTAATCATCAACTCTTTCAAAAAAGTAGGACATCCAGTCTAAATTAAATTAAGATCAGGCCTTCCATTATCTACTGCAACTAATTTCATTATAGCAGGTGGATTAGTAGATAATTATTTATATGGAGTTTATCTACAACATATTTCCCATAAAACTATCTAAATTTCATAGAATTGTTTATTTTACTGCATATGAATAGACATCAGCTTTAATTGTATAAGGAATATTTTAAAATACTTCTGGAGCCATCCAATGCTATTGTAAAATACATAATATACAAAAGTTCCTAAGAAACCGGTCATTTATTCACCATTATCTGCTTATACTCTAGCCAATCCAAAATCAGCAATCTTAATATTTATTCTATTCTAATCATAGATATATTCAAGTAATATACTATTAAAAATATGATAGATATAATTACTTTAAACTTTTAAGATCTCTATGTATTAATGGAGGATTTAATTTATGTAAATGAAGCATTCCGTCTGCTATTTGTATTGCCATTTTTACTCTTAATTACCAATTTATATCTAAATGTTTTTTTTTATGTAATAAATCAAAAAGTGTTCCTCCAGCACAGTATTCTGTTACAATATATAATTCATCTTCTTTTTATGAGATTCCCAAAAGCTATACTAAATTTTGATGCCGTTTTATAGTTACTAAAGCTGAAATTTCTCTTCTAAATTCTTTTAAATGATTTTCATTTAATGATTTAATTTTCATTTTTTTAATAGCAACTTCTCCTCCTTTCCAATATCCTTTATAAACAGTACAACTACTTCCTGTTCCAATTAGTGTTTCTAATTTTAATTAATCATGATTAATCATCCAGTCAGAAACATCTATATGTTATAAATAAATTTATACTTTTGCCTTGTTTTTAAAAATAATCAACTACTTAAAAAGTATTTTATAATGGTATTTCAATTTTATCAAAGACTAAAGATTTTTAATTTTAATTTATATTAAATTAATCAAAAATATTATTTGATTATGTATTAGCTGATTAAATTCTATAATTTTATCCATTTGACTTAATTTAATTATTTTATTTAGATCTCCAATTTAAAAATCCTTCATCATTTAATAATTCTTTAGTTAATTAAACATTTTAATTTGATAAAGGTGCTCTTATTTTAGTTTGTTATAATTCAATAGGTTTTTTTGGTAATTATTCTAAATCATCATCTTCATTTTATTAATTATTCATAATATTATCATCATCATCATCATCATCAGAGAAATCTAATCCTTTATATTCTCCTTGCTATTATTATTTAGATTATTTTTTCTTTAATTCTAAATTTATATTATTAATAGATTCTCTTTAATTTTCAATGATTTTATTATTAATTTAATCATCTAAATTTTATTAAGAATTATTATTGTTATTAATTTTTGTAATTGCTTCAAAATCGAAATTAAATTAATTTGATTTATCTTATTATACTTAACAAGATATTACTGCTTTTATAGGATATGAATTAGATTTTGAATATTTAGATTCCAATTCAATTATTTCTTCATCATATTCTATTACTTAATTAATCATTATTTCTCCATAACTTTATGGTAATTTAATTCCATCTATTGACATAGAATAACTTAAGAAATCATTAATATTAAATTCTCCTCTGGTAGATTAAAATAATGGTACTTTTTTCAACGTTTCGATTGCATTCTTAGAAGGATCTGGTATTAATTATTAAAATTATGGTATTCTTTTGCAGATAGCAAGAAAATTAATAGTCTATTAAAAGTTATTCTAATAATCATCTTATAATGTAAGAAAGGCTTATTTAACTTCATTATTATTAGTCGGCTATCCACTAATATAATTAGTACTTTATTTTAAAGCATAAAAGATATGAGTAAAAGTACATAAAATATTGTATAATTCATCTGCCATAGTTATAGCTAGACCTAATTATAAATTAATTAAATTTTATTCTTGAAATTATATGTTGGAAGTGAAATTTAATAATTGTTTCCATAAATTCATCATATTATTTAATATTGCTACACTTAATCTTTATTTTTATATTCCATTCATATTATTGAAGAAAGGAATCATAGCATAATTTCCTTCAAAAAATTTAAGATAAAATGTATGAAATTTAACTTTTTCTAATAAAATGATTGAATAAGAATGTAATAAATTTGTAAAAAATTATGTCCTAAATTTATCTTTAGAGTTTTTCATTTAATTTTATTCTTAGAAATTCTTAATTCTCTCTAATATAGTATTTGGAGAAAATGTTTAATTTTATACAACAATAGTTTCTTAAGGACCTTTCTTTATATAATTATGTATTAATTGCAAAGCTTTAAATGTTATTATTACAGAATTTAATTAGAGTCTATTTGATACTTTCTCATAAAATTTAGGAATTTTTTGTTTCTTTTACCATGCTTTACAATGTAGATATCTAAAATATTTTTAACAAGGTGCTGCATCAACTTCTTCTAAACAAGCAGCAACCCAGAAATCTGTCTTTTAAGCAACTTTACTTACTAATTTAACTAGTCTTGTTGATAATGAAGATTATGGCTATTATAAATCTTTAAATTCAAATGAATGACACTTATCTAATTCTTAATTTTATTTAATTGTCTCTCTATTCACTATTTCATTTGTTGATTAACTTCTTATATGAATCTATTATTAAATTCCACTATTTTATATTTATATTAACACTTACTTATATTAAAATATTATTGTATTAATATATTATTCTATTTATTCAGCTGATATTCTATCTTTTGGATTAATGATAAGTAATTATTTTATTAGATTTTATAATTTCTAACTATATACACCCCATTAAACACTTATATAAATAAATTTATACTTTCCTTCCCAATTAGGATTTTAATCATATCGAACTTTAAATATCATATAATACATTAATTGTCCTAAAGCATATATATCCACTTTAGTTGTGATTGGCAATCTTTAAGATAAATCTTTTTATTCTGGAGCTCTTACATGTTCAAAAGTGTTCATTTCAATTTCTTCTTTGATTCTTCCCAAATATTCATTTGGTATTTGATCATATTACTAATTAAAATTTCAAATACTTAGAAAAAACAACGTTAAAAATTCCATAATTTTGCTTGTTTATCTAATCCAATTAAAATGTTTTCTGGTCTAATATCTCGATGTGTTATGCCTAATGAATGACAGTGCTATAATGCTTTGCTTAAATCTAATAAGATCTACGCTTATTTTTCTGTTTACTTTTAGGACTTGAGGTTCTGCTAAACCTTATTAAGAATCCTTCAAAATATTTTGAAGGACTTCAGCTTTTTCAAAAACTATTACTTTTTTATTTGTTTATAATTCTCCTTCATATTATTTTGCAATGTTATTAAACTCATTATCCTTAAAGAGACGAACAGCTTATAATTCGGTATTCAAATACTATAAAAATTAGAATATAATTAAATACCTTCTCTTATCCAGCATCATAAATTTTGACTACATAATTGCATTCTGAAGTCAAAAATAATTTATATCTTGTGCCTTAAAAGTAAGTTTGTGTAGTTGTATACAGAATTTGCTTATTACCAAAAATAACTTTATGTTATTGCATTAATCAGTATAATAAAATAATTACAAATTTACTTAACCATTTTCAAATTTATTTATTCTCAAAATAGTTTATATAATTAATTCAAAAATAGTTATGGAATAAGAAAAAACAATATTTAAAATTTGAAATTCTGTTTGGTTACATTTTGAATATAAAAATTATATTTAATGAATATTATTTTCAGAACTCTTATTTAGCATTGTAAAATTAAAACAAAAACAAATTAATATATATATATTAGTCAATAATAATGTGTTTATGATTAATAACTTAAGTTCATTATTCACATATCCCTATTCAATAATCATTATCTTAATCAAGATTATATAGTTTAATATAAGTGAATGAAATAAAAAATTAGTAGCTGTTTTAGATATAATTTTAACAATTGCTATCCTAGATGAAATTATAATGATGCAAATTTTATATAACATAATTAATATCATATGGAGAAGTGTTTTATGTATTTAAACATTTAAAGTTAATTCAAAATTAAAGGGTTTAAATATAATTTTGAATAAGTTTAGAGAGTTTATAAAAGAACTCATAAAAATCAGTATGAATTCAAATCAAATGGAATTAATAGATAGAAATTATATAATTTAAAAGTAATTAGAAGCCAAAATTTGGAAATTATAGAGTCATGATTGATATGGATGAAATAGGAAATGATCTTATAATATAATAATTGTGAAATCAATTGTATATCTAAATTTATAGTGATATTTATTAAATAAAATTTATAAAAATGGATGAAATTCTTTATTTCTATGATGAGGAAGAGGTATCTAATATAAATTTATCTTAAGAATACTTTTTAAGGTTTGGATACACTTAAACAGATGGGAAATGTAAAGTAAGTATGTAAGGGATTCCTCAAAAATTAATATCAAATTTTATCAGGTATTTTTGTTGATTAATTGGTTTAGAGAATGGAAATGTTTACTATTTAGAACTTGGAAAATCATTTTATAAGATTCCTACATGGAATAGTAAAGTGAAACAAATTGCAACAAATTAATCAGTTACTTTATTATTAACATATTCAGGATAGTTATTTGGATTTGGAGAGGATAAATTATAATTAGGTACAATATATAATAAATTAGGTTTGTTGGGGAATGAAAAATGCTATAGTTCATTAAGTCCAATAAAGATTGGTAACGATTACAAGAGTATATCATTATCCTCTAACATTGTATGTATTTTAGATTACAAAGGATAAGCTTGGATATGGGGTAATTCACCTTTGGGTAGGAGTGATGTTCCAATAAGTATAGATGGAAGTTTCATAAAGATTTGTGCTGCAAAAGATTATGTGATTTTTACTGATCAACAGGCTTAAGTTTAGGTGTTGAGTGAGATATTTAAATTTTCAAATGAATACTTCACTTGTTAAAATATGTGGATAATAAGAAAAGCAGAATAGATAGACTCAAACTATTTAATAATTAATGAGATTATACCAAATGATAGATATTCGATCTTATTATCAAGTAATATTCAATTTATAAATAGATAAAAATCAAATGTTTTTATTGATTAATAATAACGGAAAATATATTGAAAGGAGATTGGCAATCAATATTAGAATCTCTAACTTATAATAAACTGACTATTACATATATTTTTTTACTGAGGAAGGTAGATTAATCAAAATTGATAAGGCAAATCTTTATACAAATGAAAATAATGAATTATAAGAAATTAATGAATAAATAAGATTTCAATTATCAGAATCTGAAATAAAACATTTAAGTTCAATCTAACCTATATTTGCAACTAAATATTCATTTAATATACCAGCCTTCATTGTTGACAAAAGAAGATTTAATGAAGGAATATCAGTTTTAAGACAATAATATATTGATATAGAAATCAAAGCTAATCTAAAATCAAAAGAAAGCAAATTATCATTTATTAAACAAATATCACCAATTAAAAGTTCATAATAATTATTCTCATCTCGTATTATTAGTAAATCTATAACATCTTAAATACAAAGATTTTATTATTCACCATAATAACATGATAAGATGCAAAACTATCAAACTCCAAAATAAAGAGTTCCAACAACTTCAGCTAAGTATGTACAAACATTTCTCTCATAAAATACTCAAAATTCCATAAGCAAATCCTATATATAAGATTTAAAGAGTGATTAAATTTCTACAATAAAGAAAGCTAATTTGATTAGATTACTCATTTAAGACATTCAAAAATCAATTAATAAAGTTGAAAATTTAAAGTAAATACCAGTTGATATGAGAGATCGTATTCATTCAAGAAGAAGTAGTTCTGTTAATTTAGATCAAGTTTAATCCATGATTGTTGAATTAGGAAATTCATAATTAAGAAATAACAGTCAAGAAAAAACGAATAAATTAAATAATTCATTTAATAGTAGAGTTTCATAACATGATAATAAAAATACAAATGCTAGTTCACTTTTTCAATCTGATTAGGAATTAATTGATGAATTAAGATCTTCAGAACCACTTGATATGATAGAAGAAGAATATTTAGAATATGATGAAGAAACAGACTAAGTTAAAAGAGTCTTTATAAGAAGACCTATTGATTAAGATTATGAATATGGCAATAATCTTAAATAAGATATGGGTGATGGTAAAATATTAGTATCTAGAAAATTGGTCAATGTTAAAAATGAAGTAGAATGGAATCTTTAAAAAAATGGTGAATTAATTAAAGTCAATAATCAACAAGAACCATAAAAATATATTTAAGAAGAAATTCTAATTGAAAATCCTAAAACTGGTTAAATGACTAGAAAAATAATTAGAATACCTTTTAATGATTAATATGTTAAATTAAGTGAAGGATTAAATGAGATTAATTCTTAAGGATAAAGAATTATTGGTCGTAGAATTGTTGTAAATAAATACTCAACTGAATAATTAATTTAGGAAGGATGGATTAATAAAGAATCAAAATTAGAAAGAATACTTGGAAATAGAGAACCAAATAAATATGTTGAAGAAGAAATATTAGAAGTAAATCCATAATCAGGTTAAATACAAAGAAAAATTATTAGAAGGAAATATGACAAAAATAGAAAATTAGAATTAGGATAAAAGTTAGTTTCAAGTAGGATTGTAGATAATCTATAATCATCTAAATAATTAGTATAAGATGGATGGGAGTGAAATTTCAATTTAGGAACAGTATAGAAATATATTTAAAATGAATTGATATCTTTTATATTGAAGAAGAAATCTTAATTGTATCTTAAAAGAAACAAGATAGAAAATTAATTAGAAAAATCTCTTTTGATGAATAATCTATATATAAAGTTTAGTAAGAATTTGGAGAAAATTTGTATGAAATTCAAATATAAGGAATTAGAACAATTGCTAGAAGAATAATTAAGGGTGAAAAACATATAGATAAAGATTGGAAATATTATTCAGATAAACAATATTGGGAAAAAGTAATTATTTAAGGAGAGTCATGTAAATATGTATAAGAAACTATTGTTGAAATAGATTTTGACAATTTTTAATAGACAAAAAAATAAATCAGATAAGATTTAAAAGAAGACGAAAAAAGTTTGATTTTAGGAGATCATTTAGATGAAAAATAATTTGATGGAAATCAGATTATTTCTAGAGAAGTAGGTGATAATATTGAATCAACAATTTATCTCAAAGAATAAGGATGGATTCAAAATAAGAGTGGATAACTATAAAAAATTATATCTATTGATTAAATTATAGATTTTTATGAGGAAGAAATATTAATTCAAAATTTATCAGCAGGTAAATAACAAAGAAAATTAATTCGAAGACCTATTATTATATAAGATGGAGAATAATGTAAATTAGGAGATGATTTAAAAGAAAAAATATCTTAGAATTAAGTTGTAGTTAGTAGAAGAATAATTAAAAATGATCATAATCTTGAAAATTGGAAGAAAAATGAAATTACTAAATATTTAGAGAAAATATTAATTTAAAATGAACCAATTGAATTTATTGAAGAAGAAGTACTAACATTTAATCAATAATCTGGAACTATAATTAGATAAATTATAAAAAGACCATCTATCAATAAAGATTAAATATAATTTGGTTATTTGAAAGAAGTTGATAAGGATGGTAATATAATAGTTAAGCGTACGATTGTACCTAATTTAAAATTACTTGGTTCTGATTGGATTAGAGGATCAATGGGATCATATAGATTAACTATAGCTGAAGAACCAGAGGAATACGTTGAGGAAGAAATTATTGTAATTAAAAACGGGATATAAGAGAGAAAAATAATAAGAAGACCATTTAATTAAGAAGATTTTAAAAAAAATTATGGTGATGATATCAATGATAATAATATAAATGGAGAATAAATAGTTGCACGAAGAATTGTTGGAAACGATCAATCTAAAGAATAATTAGATTAATAAGGGTGGAAATTAAATGAAAATGGAAATTTAGAAATCAAGTAGATTGAACCTAATTAACATCTTATTGAAGAGGTCCTATGTTTTAATAAAGAAACTGGTAATTATGAGAGGAAAATGATTAGAAGATAAATGACTAAATAAGATGAGTAATTAAATTTTGGAGAAAATTTAACTGAAGTAGATAGGAAAGGTAATAAAATAGTATCAAGATAAATTATTTAAAATGTTTAATCACTAAATAAATAGAAAGAAGAAGGATGGATTGAAAAAAATGGAAATTATTAGAAAATCATTAATATTTAAGAACCTGAAAAATATATAGAAGAAGAAATACTAATATAAAGGAATGGAATCTAGGAAAGAAAACTTATTAGTAGACCATACAATAATTAATAAGTAAATATAGGAGTTAACCTAAATGAAGATCATAATGGAATCAAAATAGTGTCTAGGAGAGTTGTTTCTAATGATTAATCATCTTCCTAATTATAAAATGAAAAATGGTTTCGGAATAATAAAGGTCATTTAGAATTACAAATAACAAAATCTGAACCTTAGCAATATGTTGAAGAGGAAGTTTTAGCCTATAATTAAAAAACTGGATAAATGGAAAGAAAAATAATTCGTAGATAATTTAATCAATATAAAGATAATAAATTATAAATTGGTGTTGAATTAAATGAAGTTGATTCTAATGGAAACAAAATATTATCCAGATAAATTGTTGATAATACTAAATCATTTAAATCAAATTAATAGGATGAATGGATTTCTCAAAATAATGGAACTCAAATTAAATTAATTTCATCCAATGAACCTGAAGCTTATATAGTAGAAGAAATTCTTATTGTAAATCAGAAAACTGGAAAGTAAGAAAGAAAACTTATTAGAAAACCTTATAATCAAGAAGATCTTAATATTGGAGAATCAATAAATGAAATAAATGATGGATAAAGAACTGTTGCTAGAAGAATAGTATAAAATAATCAATCAATTTATGAATAAAAAAATTGTTAATAATAAAAAGGAGAAGATATTTAAGAGATTATTCTGACTGAAGAGCCTACTTAATATATCGAGGAAGAAATACTAATTCAAGATTAAAATGGTTAGATTATTAGATAAAAACTTAGAAAGCCATATGATCCAAAAAAAATTATATAAACTGGAAATGTTCATGAATAACTTAAAAATGGAACTATTGTAGTTAATAGAAAAATAATAGATAATAATTTTTCTTAGGCTGAATTAAATAATTGGAAATCTGGTACAAAGGAGTAATTAGTTTAAATTATTAACTAAAATGAACCAGAACGTTATATTGAATAAGAAGTTTTAATAATAAATCCTAAAAGTGGAAAATAAGTAAGAAAGTTAATAAGGAAACCTTTTATAAATCAAAATTAAGCTATTGGAGATGATTTAAATGAATCAATAGATTCTAATATGAAAGTAGTCTCAAGACGAATAGTTTCGAATGATTATTGTTCAGATGATTGGAAATTTAATAATGGACAATTTGAAAAAGTCTTAAATAATAATGAACCAATAAAATATCTGGAAGAAGAAGTTCTTATTAAAAATAATTAGACAGGATTATTGGAAAGAAAATTAATTAGAAAACCATACTAGAAAGACTAAAAATTAGGAGATAAATTAAATGAGTAAAAAGATGGTGTGATTATTTTAAGTAGAAAGGTTGTTGATAATAAATCAAAGTAAGGATGGGAATAAAAGGGATAAAATCTAGAGAAGATCTTAAATGATAATGAAGTAGAAGAGTACATAGAAGATGAAATCATCATTCAAAATAAAAAAACATGCAAATAGGAAAGGAAATTAATTAGAAGAAATGTAAATGATCCTCCTCCTAAAGAAGGTATTATTGTTTCAAGTAAGAGAGTTTAAAATACAGAGACGATTGATTAATAAAAATAATCAGGTTGGATTTAATAAAATGGTTAAATTGTTAAAATAATTACAAAGAATGAACCAACTAAAATGATTATAGAAGAAGTTTTATAATACAATGATGAAACCGGTTTAATGGAAAGAAAATTAATAAAACGACCATATGATCCCAATAATAAAAAGTAAGAAATATAGAATGGAACTGTATTATCAAGAAAAATTATAGATAATTTGGAGGCTTTAGATTAAGGATAATAATGGGTTTTAAAAAATGGCCAATATGAATAGATTTTGTGTGATAATGAATATGAATAATTTGTAGAGGAAGAAATAATAATCATTAATTAAAAAACTGGGAAATAAGAAAGAAAATTAATAAGAAGACCTTTAAAAAATGATGAAGATTTAGATATTGGAGAGTCTTTAAATGAATCAATTGGGAATGGGAAGAAAATATTAGCTAGAAGGATCATTTAAAATAATCAAGTTAGTGAAGAACTTTAGTAATGGAAGAAATATGGTGAAATAATGGAATAATAATTAGCTTCTGATGAACCTACTAAATATATTGAAGAAGAAATTCTTGTACTTAATCCAGAAACTAAATAATTAGAGAGAGTTCTTGTAAGAAAGTAATATTAACCATGTGAAGTTGGGCAAGTTAGTGAAATAGATAAAGATGGTAATAAAATAGTTTCAAGAAAGATTGTTGATAATGTAGAGTCTTCAAAAAATGGATGGTCAAAAGTTAAGGGAGTTTTCAAGAAAGTTGTTGCTGTTGAACCAGTTAAATATATTGAAGAAGAAGTTTTAATTATAAATTAGAAGACAGGAAAGCAAGAAAGAAAACTTATTAGAAGACCATTGAATGAGAGATAAGATCCTGGAGAACTGGGAGATTCTTTGAATATTTCTACTGAAGAAGGATATAGAATTATCTCTAGAAAAATTCAAGATAATAATTTAGCTAAAGAGGCTACTTAAGAATGGATTGAAGTTAATGGTGTCTAAATTAAACAGATTGGAGTTGAACCAATTAAATTTATTGAAGAAGAAGTTTTGATTTTAAATGCAGAGACTGGTATGATGGAAAAAAAGATAATTAAAAAACTATATAATCCTTAAGTTAAACTTGGAAATAATCTAAATATATAGGATAATCAAGGAAATCTAGTACTATCAAGGAAGGTTGTTGAAAATAATTAATCAACATCAAAATCAAAATGGAAATAAGGACAATCTGAAATCTTGATTTAAAAAGAGCCTGCTCAATATATTGAAGAAGAGATCATAGTTATGAATCCAGATAATGGACAGCAGGAAGGAAAAATAATTAGAAAGCCATATTATGGTTAAGATATTGAATTTGGAGATGAATTAGATGAAGAAGTATCTAAAAACTAGCATGTTTTGGCAAGAAGAATTGTAAATAATGATCAATCTCTTGAGCAATTAAAATAGTGGAAAAAGTAAGGGGATGAGTTGGTTAGGACACTTACCTCTAACGAACCAACTCAGTAAATTGAGGAAGAAGTATTTGTTCGCAATCCAGAAACTGGAATGATGGAAAGAAAAATAATTAGAAGAGATTAGAATTCATCACCTTAATATGATAAAATAATTTCAAGAAAGGTTGTGGATAATAGAAAATCTTCTTTTGTTCTAAGTAAGTAGGGATGGAAATAATCTAATCTTGGAGCATTTGAAGTGGTTTTGGGTGAAGAACCACAATAATAAATTGAAGAATAGATAATACAAGTGAATCCTAAGACTGGTAAATAGGAAAGAAAATTGATTAGAAAACCATATTTTGGTTAAGATATTGAGGTAAGTGATGAATTGAATGAATCTATATGTGGAGGCTAGAGAATAGTAGCCAGAAGGATAGTTGATAATGATGCTTAGATAGACTGGGAGAAGAAGAATAATTAATATGAATTGAAAATTGGAAACACAGAACCATCTAAATTTATAGAGGAGGAAGTAGTTTGTTTTAATTCTTAGACCGGAATGTTGGAGACAAAACTAATTAGAAAACCATATTAGAAGAATGTTAAATTAGGAAGTAAATTGAATGAAGAGACAAATGATGGTGTAGTTTTATACAGGCAGGTAATTGATAATTTTGAATCAATAAAAAAATAAGAAGAATGGCAAAAAGGGTAAAATGGTATTATGATGAAAATAATCTCATCAAGATAGCCTGATTAATTTATCGAAGAAGAAGTGATAACTGTCAAGAATGGAAAATAGGAAAGAAAGATAGTTAGAAAACCTATATTATATGACTAATAAGTAGTAGAATCTGATGATCTGAATTAAGACATAGGAAATGGATAAAGAGTACTTTCTAGGAAAATTGTCAAAGGAAAAGAAGGTAACGATTTTGAATTGAAAAATGGGGTTTTGGAAAAATAAATATCTAGGAATGAACCAACAAAATTTATTGAAGAAGAGGTTCTGGCTTTTAATTAAGAAACAGGAATGATGGATAGAAAATTAATAAGAAGACCATTTTCAGAAAGACAAAGATAGTTTGATGAAGATGGCAATAAAATATTATCATCAAAAGTGATTGATAATAATAAATCATTAAATTCTTAGTAAGAATGGAATAATCATTAAAATGGATAATAAGAAATAATAATATCTATTGAACCAAATTAATTTTATGAAGAAGAAGTTTTCATATTAAAAGATGGAAAGGCTGAAAGAAAATTGATAAGAAAGCCTCTAATGGACAATAACTGAGTTTAGGAGATGATTTAAATGAAACTACTGGTCAAATGAAAGTATTATCAAGAAAGATTGTAAATAATGATATGACAAATAATTAAAAGAAAGAATGGAATTAATAATAAAATGGATGTTTAGAAAAGGTTATATCATAAAGTGAACCTGTAAAATATATTGAAGAAGAAATCTTGATTTGCAATGAAGAAACTGGCATGATGGAAAGAAAACTTATAAGAAGACCATTAACTCAAAAGGATGATTAAATAAAATAAGGAAATAATTTATCAGAAAGAAATTTTTAAGGAGATAGAATTGTATCAAAAAAATAATTGAAAATGGTTTAAGTCAAGAAAAGAAATAACAATGGGTAATAGATAAAAATGGTAAAATGGAAAAAGTCATCTCACATGAACCATTATAATATATTGAAGAAGAAGTTTTAGTAGTGAACAAAAATGGAAAATAGGAAAGAAAATTAATAAGAAAGCCATATCACGGATAAGATTTATAGATTGGGGAAGAATTAAATGAAGGTAAAGGAAACACTAAAGTTGTAGCCAGAAGAATAATTGATAATTAATAATCAAGTTAAGAATTATAAAAATGGTAAAAACAAGGAGATTAAATGGAATTAATTTTAGTTAAGGAAGAACCAACTCAAGTTGTAATTGAGGAGGTACTTGTTTATAATGCTGATAAAGGTGTTATGGAAAGGAAATTTATTACAAAACCAATTAATTCTTAAGAGGTTGATAATCCAAATGTAAAAGTTTTATAAAGAAAGGTTGTTGATAATCTAAAGAATTAATAATTGGGTGAATAGATAATAGCAGAAGAACCTGAATAATATATTGAAGAGGAAATCATAGCTATTAATCCAAGAACTGGTAAATAGGAGAGAAAGCTCATTAGAAAACCATATTATGGAGAAGATATTGAATTAGGTGATGATATTGATGAGGTTGGATAAAAAAGTGAAAGAATCATTTCAAGAAGAATAGTTGAAAATGAGGACACTACTGAAGGGTTAAAAGAGTGGAAATAACAATCTGATGGTTCAATGGTTAAAATTATTGCTTAAAATGAACCTATTAAGTATATTGAAGAAGAAATATTAGTTTTAAATCTTGAAACTTAATAAATGGAAAGAAAGTTAATTCGTAAACCTTATAATCCTAATGCTAAATTAGGTAGTGTTAAAGAGACTGATCAAGATGGAAATGTAATTGTTTCAAGAAAAATAGTAGAGAACAAATAGTCATAACGAAGATGGACAGTAAAATAAGATGGGAAATTAGAATAAGTAATTTCTAAAACTGAACCAATTTAATTTATTGAAGAGGAAGCATTAGTTCTTAATCCTAAAACAAATTAAATGGAAAGAAAGATAATTCGGAGACCCATATTAGCAGGGGATTCAGAATTGGATACAGGTGATTCTTTGAATGAATCTAAGGGCAATCAAAAAGTGGTTGCTAGGAGAGTTGTTTAAAATGAGTAATCATAAGATTAACTAAAGAAGGAAGGATGGTTAATAGATAATAAATCAGGATAGATGGAATTAGTTTCGAAAGAACCTATTAAATTTATATAAGAGGAGATACTTGTTTAAACAGAAGATGGATAATTAATTAGAAAATTAGTTAGAAAACCATTTAATCCAAAACTAAAAGTTGGAAATAATTTATAAGAAATAGATAATGATGGCAATAGAGTGTTATCAAGGCAAGTGATAGAAAATAACTAATCTTTAGCTAGTTTGTAAGCAGATGGATGGAATGTCTAGAAGTAGGAAAAAATCATATCTTAGGAACCTTTGTAATATATCGAAGAGGAAGTAATTATAGTGAATCCAAAAACTGGAAAACAGGAAAGAAAAATAATAAGAAAACCATATTATAATGAGGATTTAGCTGTTGGAGATTAATTAAATGAAGTGAATGGAGGATAGAGAGTTTTAGCTAGAAGGATAGTAGATAATGAATAATCATTAAATTGATTGAATGAAAAAGGATGGAAAATGAAAGATGGAAATTTTGAGAAAACAATGACAGAGCCATCATAAATGATAGAAGAAGAAGTATTAGTGTATAACTAAGAAAGTGGATTATATGAACGTAAACTAATTAGAAGATAATATGATGCCAAAAGAGATTCCACTTTGTAATTAGGTTAATTGAAGGAATTTGATTAAAGCGGAAATAAGATTCTTTCAAGAAAAATAATAGAGAATTTAGAATCTAGCTAATAATTGCAAAAGGGTGGATGGTTTAATCATTAAGGAGTGTTGGAGAAAACAATTAATGTATAGGAACCTGATAAATTCATAGAAGAGGAAGTACTAATAATAAATCCAAAGACTGGCAAATAGGAAAGAAGATTAACAAGGAGACCATATTAACCTGGAGATGAGAAGATGGAACTGGGTGATAATATTCTTGATTAATAAAGTGGAAGAAAAATAGTATCAAGACGTATAATAGAGAATGATAGTTCATCTGATTTTTAATTGTAATAAGGATGGAAATAAATATCTGCTGGAATGTTTGAAGTATAATTGTGTTCAGCTGAACCAGTGAAATATATTGAGGAAGAGATCCTAATTGTCAATAAGTAAACAAAATAAATGCAAAGGAAAATTATTAGAAGACAATTTACTATTAAAGATTAGAATCTGAAATTTGGAGATGACATAAAGGAGAAGGATACTTAAGGAAATAGAATATTGGCAAGAAGGCTGATTGAGAATGTTTAATCTTTAATTTAATTGAAAAAAGAAGGATGGACTAAATTAGGTGATGGAACATTAGAAAAAATATTATCAGCTATAGCTTAAAAATTAATTGAGGAAGAGATTTTAGTATATAATCCAAGAACAGGGAAATAGGAAAGAAGATTAACAAGAAGACCTGTAATGTTGGAGGATGATAAATTTAAAGTTGGAGAATAAATTAATGAATAGTTAAATGATGGTACTAAAATAGTTGCTAGAAGAATAGTTGATAGTGATTTTGCATTAACTAGTTGGCAATAGAATGATTAAGGAGTATTAATCCATTAAATTAGTTAAGCTGAACCAATGAAATATATTGAGGAAGAAGTTTTGTAAGTGAATCCAAAGACTGGGATGATGGAAAGGAAATTAATAAGAAGGCCATATAATGATTAGAATGTAAAATTTGGATAAAATATTAATGAAAATAAAGATGATAGTACAATTGTATTATCAAGAAAACTAGTTGAAAATAATGAGTCATTAGCTTAATGGAAAAGATAATCAAATGGTTAATTGATAAAAGAAATTAATCATGAAGAACCAGAAGAATATATTGAGGAGGAAATTATAAGGATCAATACCAAGACAGGTAAGCAAGAAAGAAAAATAATAAGAAGACCCTTTACAGAAGATGATAGAAATGCAATTATTGGTGATCAAATAATTGATGAAATTAATAATGGCTAGAAAGTTATTTCAAGAAAAATTATCTCGAATCTTTGTTCAAGTGATAATTGGAAATAAAATGAAGATGGCCATTTTGAGATTATAATTGCTTAATAGGAACCAATTAAATTTATTGAAGAAGAGGTTCTTTAATATAATAAAGAGACTGGTTTGATTGAAAGAAAGATTATCAGAAGTGTATTTTCAGAAACAGCATAATTAGGTAATAATTTATAAGAAAATGATGGAAAAGGAAAAATTATTATATCTAGAAGAATTGTTGAGAATTTGTTATCTTCAGAATAACAAAAGAAAGATGGATGGATCTAAAATGAAGGAAATCTGGAATTTTTATTTAATTCTTAAGAATCTTTGTAGATGGTAGAGGAATAAATATTAATTAAAAATTCCGAGAGTGGCAAATATGAATTAATTTTAAGGCGTCGTCCTTATGTTGAAGGAGAGGAAATAACTAATCCAAAAGATGGATTACTTTTGTCTAGAAAAATAATAAATAATAATCAATCAGAAGGATAATTATTTAATGAGGGTTGGAGTAGAATAAATGGATAATTAGAAAAGAAGATTGAAAATGTAATAAATCCAATATTATCAAATAAATTGATTCCTGATGATCCTACTTCATTATATTATCTTGAAGAAGATCATATTTTGATAAATCCAAATACACATGAGTAAGAAATACATGAAATAAAATTCCCATATCAAGGTAATTAACATTAGAAGATTGGAGAGGGTTTAAGGGAGAGTGATGATTCAGGAAATTAAATTATTGCTAGAAAAATAGTTACTAATATAGATCCTGATTATAATCCATATTAAGATGTAGAGGAAATTACAGAGATTATAGGAAGTGGAAAAAATAATGAATTTTATGCTATTTAAAAATTGGTTAATATCACTTAAGTGATTATTAGTAAAAATTTGAATGAGAAATAACCTAATGGATTTATTATTAGATCCAGAGTTGTTATTAATGAATATTAAAAGACTGAATAATAAGGTTGGAGGAAATTGAATGAATTAGAAATCCCTTTAGGAATTAGATAATGGAATTAGAATAAAAGATCTATGTATTAAATAGATGAGGATAGTTAGGAACATAGAGATTCTTAATATAGATCAGTTGATGAATAGAATTAGATTAGGATTTTGGATTAATAGTAGAATAATGGAAAATATGTAGAGGAAGAGATTTTGTTAAAGAATTAACATAGTAATAAATATGAGAGAAGACTTTAAAGAAGATATACAAATGAAAATACATTTGGTGATGATTTGGAAGAATTTATTTAAGATATTAAATATCTTTCTAGAGCAGAAGTTTAATTTTAATTAGAATTAACAAAGTAAGGATGGATTGAAGTTGGTAATTAAGTATTGTAAAGAATTATTGCTAAAAATGAGACATTATAGATGATTGAAGAGGAGTTTAACAATAAAGAAAAACAAATATAAATGTTTATTCTAAAACCTTACAAAAATGAATAGATTTATATAGGAGAAATGGATGAGTTGTAAGATAATGGATTACATTTAATCAGAAGATAGATAATTAATAATAGATCTTTGGCATACTATAAGAATAATGATTTTATTAAGAATAAGGATGGAACTTTTATAAAATAAATTAAAGGTAGTATCACAATGAAGATACCAAAATATTAACAATAAAATTTTGTTAGGAGACCTACATAGAGACTATCTTAAATTTAATAAATTGAATAACATAATAATAATATAATTAAGATTGGAATAACAGAATATGGATAAGATGAACCTGCCATTGAAAATAAAACTACAAATTCTGATATTTCAGAAACTGATAAGATGTTTATAAAATAATTAGAAAGAGGGAATAAGAAAGATAGATCAAATATATATTAAAATATTTTAAATGATGAATAAATCAGAGGTAGGATTAACTCTGATAAAAATAATGATAGTCCTTCAACACCTTTTAGTGAATGTGCTATACCTAATAAAAGTAAATTATTATCGAAAGTATTGAATAAATTCATTAAAAAATCATTATCTTAAGCTATGAATGAGTTTTAATTAATTTATTTAGCTTTCAGATAAAAAAAGAGATAAATTTATCAAAAAAATTCCATTAATTTAATTAATATTCTAGCCAATCTATTTTATCGTTAATCTTTTGAAACTTTGATAGAACACATTTAAAAGAATGTCATTGAATTTGATGAAGATGATGTTATTAAATATAATGAAATGTTAGATGAGAATAAAATAATTGCAATGGAAATATAACCTACTGGAAATGAAGGATAAGCAGCAGAGCCAGTTGAATTAAATATTACACCTCCAGAAAAAAAGAGAATTCTTAAAATTAAACCTAAAGCATCACCAGAAAGTAAAATGTTTACTAGTACTAAAAATGAATATGCATAACCCTTTTAACGTAAAAGTGTAATCCATAATACAATGAAGGTTTAAACTCAATATTAAAGATCAACTAGTAGAGCATCAACTGTTATTAAACTAAATACTTTATAAAGTTCTTAAAGTCTCAAACCCACAAATTAAATAATGTAATTATTTTTAGAATATTTCATAGTGGTAATTCACTTTAAAATATCTCAGTTCCAATAGGATATCAATAATCAAAAAGAAATTAAAAAAAGAGAACTACTAAAATTAAAGAAACTCTAGAAAAATCAAATTCATAGAGTAATAAATTTAGTTAAACACCCTTATCGTAATCTTAGGTATTTATATCAATTAATATTATTAGGCATCAATAAGTTAAAATTAATCTTTAGCATCTTTGTAAAAATAAAATTCTTAAGAATAATTGGCATAAATATAAAAGAATAAATTAGCATAATAATTTAAAAGAATGGGATCAGTATAATTATCTGGAACATTCAAAAAATCATGATTTAAATTTATATTAGTATATCATTCATCCTTAAATTTTGCAGATTATATTTATTAATCGAATGAACTGTATCCTGAATTTCTTAATTAAGAAGGTAGCAATATATTAAAAGATGCTTAGCTTTAAGACTACGATACTGAAGCTTCTAATAATATTTAAATATTATTTATTTACCTTTAATTATTCTGTTCACTGAACTTGGATGATTATGATATTTAATTGTACTTGGTGAAGTTGCTCCTTGAATATAAATCTAAATAGATTTTATTATTACTTGCTTTAATCTCTCTTGTGAAAAAATCTTTTGTTTCTCCAATTCTTTTAGAAAGACATTTAATATTTCTGATTTATCATTGATTTAATTTAAAGTTATTAAAAGTACAGAAAGTATTTTTGAAAAATTAACAGTTTAAAACAATTCAATCAAGATATTTCTTATAGAAGCACTTAAATCATATTATTAATAAGTATTAATAGGAAATATATTCTATATTTCATCAATTAATTCTGATTATTGAATATTACAATATTTTCCAAAATAATAAATAGTGAATATATGTATATCATTTATAATAATATTCTATTTTTCGAAATATATAAAATCGTCTAATGAATTATATAAAAAATTTGTCTTTTTTTGATTTGTTATAATAATAATATTAGGATTACTAGCGAAACATTTCTAAATAGTTTTTTTTAATTGATCACCTTATTTAACTTTCTCATAATTGCATAAGTTAATAAAAATACCATCATTAAATTCAAATGTTCCTCCTAATTATGTGAATTCCCCATTGATTATATCAATTTTATTTTATAAATCATACTATACAACATTCTATAAACCTTAAATGGCATTTTTAGAGTTTGTCTCAATAGCAGTAATAAATATTCCGGCATTTGCAAACTAAAAAGATAGTAAAACAATCTACTTATATAGAATGCTGATTAAATTATGAATTAATTTCAAGCATATAATCAGTTTCAATACATCTTTTTGCTATATATTTACAAAGTTAATGAGGTGCTATATATCTGTAATTTAAATCATATTTGATTGTTTTCTAATAATATAAATCAAAAATATTCTTATGGTTAATTTTATAGTCATCTTCTGGATAAGTGAATTATTTCTAAGTTTTTTTGCAAATAAATAAATGTTTTTGTGATAAGTTAGTTTGATAATCAAATTCATTATGAGAAATTTAAGAGAGTAATATCTATAAACTTGAATTTCTTTAGAGATTTGAAGTTTATAAATAATGATTTTGTACAATTACTGAACTCCCATTAGTATCTGAAATCTATTATTTATCATGATCATTAGGATGATGATCATCACTATTACATTGACACAATAATTTTGAAAAGAATTTTTTCATTTATTTTTTTATAATAAAAAGTATATTAATTCATTTATTATCTATCTTATAAATAAGATTTTCATTTGCTTTAATTAATTCTTCCTACAATTAAGATGTTTATTTGAGATTTTCTTTAAGTGAATTAAATCCACTATTTATTTCTTCTAATTAACTACCTAAAGCTCTTGCTGCAACATATTTACGAGTAGTTAATTTTAATTAAATGGCATATTTTTTCATCTTCTTACTCATATCTGTAAATTCTTCTTCAGATAAATCAAGATGTCTATAAAATAAATAATAATAATAAATTAAATACCTTTTTGCATAATGCATACGACCAAATATAGTAATAATCATAGCTGCTTCTTATTACATTTGTTTTTTTAAACTCAAACGATCAATTAGAATAACAACTTTATTTTCCAATGTAGTTAAATATGATTCATTTGTAATGATAACAATCATAGATGATACTACAAAATTACCCAATATACAAACTACACTCATTACTATACGTCCTAATAATGTTCTTGTATAATAATCACCATATCCTAACTATAATTTAATATTTATTAAATACAGTAGTGCTTGTAACTATAACACACCACATTGAATTAGCATAACTACTAAAATCATTACTACTAATATCTATTCTATTTAATGGACTTTCACATATTCTTAAACAATAACCAAATACAAATATAAGTAGTATCATAGCACTATAATTTACAGTAAATGGCTAATTTCTATTCATTGATTTATAAATACCTCATTAAAGATTTGATAGTGAACATATAATCAGCTTAACTAGCATATAAACTACATACTCTATCAGTTCTATTAGAATGCCAATATGAATTTAATAAGGTTGTACGAATAAAAAATATTACACGAAATGCTAGAGTCAAACATAGTAATTCATTTGCATAATAATATACCTGTCTATTATATATACCTTACATCTCCATCAACAAAATCATTAGTAAAGTAAAAACTAATATCATCTAAAAAAGGTAAAGGAGATGCAACAATTATGATAATTTCCATTAATAACTCTACATGTTCTTTTGTAAATCCACTATACACATCTCCTTTACTCTCTCTCCATTTAAGCTTTGCTTGATTTCTAACTACAGCCAATCCCATTAAAATTAAATTTGATATGAAAATCATCCACAAAATTACTAATCGTGCTTCCTTTTATTAATCATAATGAATTAATTCTAAAGCAATCACTGTTAATCCAGTCCCAATTAAATTAAAAACAAAAAAGCTTAAATCCATCATCCTAAAACTGAATTGATTTTAACTAAATCAATACCGTTGAAAATATAGATTAGTCACTCTTCCATCTTCTAAAGAATCACCTGAAGATTCTAAATCGAAAAAAGGGGCCTTATTTTAGATAGGTTCTTATGGTTAATTTGCTTATGTATTAAGACGTTCTTAATCTGGCTAGGTATTCATTTTAATTTATTTAAAAATTAATAAATAAACATTAAAATATAACAAGACTTGTTTTACTTCATATTTATTATTAGTTATATAATTTAGAGTATGATTATAATAGTTATCTATTATATATATTATAATTAAAATAATCTAGAAAGAATTTTATATGTTTTTAAATTATATAGTAATATTATATATATTATTTTGAATTGATAAAATGATATGAATATAATATCATTTAATTATAGTAAATTAGATTTTATGTAATATATATATATATAATCAAATTAATTTCAAATTCTCAAGGTAAGGAATGATAATAGAACTAAATGGTTAATCAGGTCTTTCTAAAAATTTTAAATGCATTTCTTCAATATTTAAATGTTCTGAATCTATTAATGTATAATCTCTTCTGCCTACTTATTAAAGTTTAATTCTTTTTAATTAATTTTACTTCATTTCTAATTCAATTACAATTCCATGTTCTTATAATTTAATAATAATTAAATCTTTATCTTCATCATAATAAAGATCCTTAATTACTCTAGTCAATGAATTTGTTAAAGCTAAAGTAATTTTGTTTAATTAATCATTTTGAATTTTGACATTTTATTTCTAAATTTTTGATTAGTTTTCATCCACTTAATTTTTCTATTACTTTATACACATTTATTCATCATCTATGAATGATTAAATTCTAAATTCAGCTTCATATACTTATTATCTTAAAGTATTAAATTCTTCAATCATTTCTTATATGACTTACATTATTAAATTTGAACAAAATAATTATTAAATTCATATGAATAATCCAAAATGCTAATCCTGTTTCAAATTTATTGCAATTGTATTATGCAAAGAATGTAATATACATATATGTTTCAAATGTGATGAAAATATTCATTAAGATAAGAATGATAATCATTATAGAACAACAATTTCATTCCAAACTAAATCAACTTAATAACCTGAAAATGATAATCAAATGGAAATAATAAAATAAAAGAAAAAATAATTACAAGAATTGAAAGACAAGGAATCTCAATTGACTAAATATTACTAAGATAAAATGATATAAGCCAAGAAGAAATATGAATAATAAATTTCAGCCTTAGAAAATAGATGTATAATATATAGTATATGTAGTATAATAGGCTCAGTAATTCATGAATGAAATAGGTCAAGATAATGGAGAACTTGATGTTGATAATATGTAAAATGAATTGGAGAATTTAGAAAAGAGTTTGAAAACTGAAATTAAAATAGCGGAAGAAGAACAAAAAAAATTAGATGAGAAAACTTTAAAAGTTGATACTTTATTAGATAGAGTTAAAAAAGCTACAGATATAGAATAATAATAAATATCTAAAATGAATGAAGTTATATAGATATTTAAGGCTTGTTCAGAATAATTACAGAAAGAAAAAGTAATAATATATTATTATATATTTAAGGATCTATTGATGCTTGATAATGAAAAATTAATTGGAGAAGTAGAGATCTTTGCTAAATTCTTTGATGAAAATGGACCTTTGATGGAAGAATTAAATGCATAAAAGAATAATGAATAATAATGAAAATTTATTTTTGTTAATATGAGTAAAGGTGACAAGTCTCAAAACATTTTTGATTATAAGGCTGAAACTCTTGACCATTGGAAACAAACTATTGAAACATTATAATTATCAATCCAATTCGATGTAAATATCTTCAATACATATAGGATAAATACAAATTCATTGCTCCAACTCTTATTGAATATGTTTTGGCCACTCTTCAATTAATGATACAAGTCAAAGGTCAATATAGTGAAGATAGTTTCATTATTGCTTTATCTAAATATGCAGTATCACATTAATCTCATTTAAGGAATTCTAATAAAAAAATGTTAAGAAGTTTATGACTTCATTTATCAATTCATTTTAATTATTACTCAAAGGAAATCAAGAGATATGTTATTTTACTATAATGTTGAGTCCTACTGAATTAGTCAAAGCAAGTTCTGATCAATTCTCATTTTACCTCAAATTAAGAAAATATATTTATGCCAACTTTATTAATGAAAGAGAAACTAAAGTTAAACCATTAAATTTTGGTATATATTCTAAATAAGTATTATAGATTAATGGGTTTCTGTTGTTTCTAAATAAATGGATAATTCTGCCATCAGTCTTATTGGAAATAGAATTCGAGATGAAGCTGATGAAAAATCAAAAGATAAAATTCTTAAAAATAAGTAAATTTATATTATTAATTAATTACTTAGTGTAAGACCATTTGATTTACTTATTTATTGTTATGAATTATAATCATAAAGACTATAATAACAACCATAATAAAGATAAATAGCTACATTTTCACCTTCATAACAAAATGATGAAGAATAACCATAAAAATAAACTGTTTAACCTGTATAATAATAATAACAAAAATAAAAATAATAAAAATAATCTGATCTCTAGGCTAAAATGAAAGAAGTAGTCTTAATACATGAAAATCTTGCTTCTAATTATAATAAATTAGCTATATTTGCATAATAAACATAAGCAAAACTTTCTAAAGCCTTAAATCAAGTAATATTTATTTATATTTTAGATTAAATAAGGGTAACAATTAGATGAATCTGAAATATAAGAATTACAAAATATATTGAAGTTTAAAGATTTCCTATAAACTGATCCAGAATTAACATTAAGAAATAGTGGAATTTATGAATTTTTTTGATATTTTATTCTTAAATGTAAATATAATTAATTTTATTATATTGATCAAATCTCATATATCAGATTTAATATATGATTAAGACTTGCCATATTTATATATTAACTAAATAAATAATTTATAATAATATTTAGAATTATAATAAAATAATAATCATATTAAATAAGAATTATATTTTAAATATTTGTAAATTATTTGATTTTTTTATAAAACAAATGTTAATTAAAATAATACAACAATAATTTATGATTAACTAAACACAATGATATTTTTATTCTTCATTAAAGTTAATTTATATTATTATATAATTTTTTAATTCATCCTTCATATTCAAATCGTTTGAACTTAGTAGTATAAAAGATAAAGATATAACAAAATGGCAGTATCATTATGAATGAATATATTTAAAATCCAAATTACAGAAATTCTGGTATTACTAATATCATTGTAATAACTAAAGCAAATGCCTCTAATATATATTAATAAATACACATGCTCCAATTTCTAGTAATGATGATATAGCTAATTCTTGAACTGGATAATGCTTCTCCATTAATGATTCTAATAGCACTGAATACAATCCACCTAATCCTGCTCCTATTACGAAATTAGATCCTACCAAAATAAAGTAAGGTAGATTTTCAAAAACTAATATTTCTATAACTAAAAATAGAAATCCTGAACCTATAATCTATTTAATCAACTTATCATAACCTAATTGTAAACCTTATCTTGCCTATTTTTGTAATTTATAGGTACTAAAAAATGCAGCTACAATTTAACCTATTTGAAAATTAATGCTATTAATTATTATATCTAAACTATTTTATCCTATCATTAATTATTAAACACTAAAAAGAGTAGGATAACACCAACCATAACCAATAACTTATAATATATTTAATAATTACATGTTGAAACTGCTAATATGTCAAATAAACTTTCTTATTTTGAACAAACAATCTTAATTGATTTCCAAATACTATCTCTTTATAATATTTTATTTTTCATATCATTAGGTTTTTAAAGAGTAATTATACTTAAAGGTATTGACATAGTTGAAAGGATAGCATTAAAAAATATAATATTTGGAAATCTTTTATTAAATTATTTTTAATCGGTCTAAGTATTAAAATTATCTATACTTCATTGTAAAAATATATAGCTGATACTAGATAACCTAATAATAGACCAAAATTACTAGAGTATTAACCAATAAATGTTGATACTATTCTTTCATCAGGCTCAAACCATAGTTTAGATAAATCTAATATAAAATCATTTTATACGTAATGGAACATGAAAGTATAAGGATTAACCAAGTCCAATAAAAATAAATCCTAGCAATCCTATATTATAATTTCTTTGTGCAATATATATTATCCATAATCCTAAAGATGTAGTAATACAACTGATAATTTATGACCCTCCATAGTATTTTAAGATTATTGGATTTAAAACTAATGTCAAAACTATTGGTAATAAAAAGTAACAATTTGAAAACCAATTTAAGTTATAATCATCAGTTCTATAATATATAGCAACTTGTGACCAAATAGGAGAAAACGCATTAAATAAAAATACGCTTGATATGCTAATTTATAAACAAATTTATACGAATTTAAACAGAAACTGAATAGTATTATCCATTTTTTAATTTTAGGTGAATTATTATATGTGTTTGCTTCTTTAGATGAAGAAATCATTTAAATTAATTATCTATTTAATAAATTAATTTCTCAAACATACTGTTGGCAGAGATTAAATCATGCTGTTTATTAAATTATTTATATTAAAGTATGAGATATTTAATAATATTAGATTTATAGTACCTTTCTTTAAAGCTATCTATTTATTTTTATTTTTGTTTATATTTTAAAATCGCATCTATAGAAACTACTTAGATTTTACAATAATATGCTAACTATTTAAATAAATATAAGTACTAATTTAATATCTAAGTATATAAATTAACTTTATATGTTATGATTAAAAATATCTTAATGCAATGACTTTTATATGAATTTGGAAATAACATAAAATATATAATATTAAATTAGAATAAAGATAAGTGATATATATGGAAAATCTATTGAATAATTTATTTAAATAATAATCAGAGTTCAAATCCAAATCCTGAAAACTCTCTTTCCAATTCTAAAGAGGTTTAAGTAAATGAGATGTATTCTTAATCAAAATCAATTCTTCCAAAAGGAGTAGGTGAAAATAAATATTAAATGCTTTATTCTTCCATCTCATTTATAACTTAGATTTATTATGGATGTTCTTAAACAAATTATGGAAACAATTATTTTAATAATAATTCAAAAGTATTTTCTAAATAATATATTTAAATGATAATTACATGACTCACAATTCATTCCTTTTACTAAATACCTAATACTTTCAATAAATAATCTACAATTTTTTTCACCTTCTTATGCTAAAGAAAGCTAAGTCTTAAAATAATTTAGTATAATTTTACTTGAAGAAATAGTTTAATGCTATGTTTAATTTTAATTTAATATTCAATTGAGGACAAAAGCTTTTGTTATATCTTTACTTATTCACATTACAATGCTTTGATTTAATTATGTAACTCAGATTAATCAATAAAAAAACTGTTAGTATCATTTTTATCTTCTTTTTAATGTTTCTTTTTAAATATATTTCTCATAAGAACTTTTTATTTTGCAAAACTTGGATGATAATATGTTATAGATCCATATTGATCCTTACTACTTTTAAATCCATACATATTAAGTTATCTAAAAATATGAAAAGTATGCTTTAACCTCAAGAAGCTAGAGTAATTAGCATGCCTAAAATATTTAGGTAGAACTTATTCTTATAATAGTTCTCTGTCAAGAATTTGAATTCTCATTCCATCTTCATCCCATCTTATAATGTCACTGTTCTCTTTTTGCTTGTGAAATATATTATAATTTTACATTTAACATTTCATATGTGACTTCAATGAATTTGATTGTCTTATATTACTTATTTTTTTAATTCATTTTTTCCAAATTTTTATAATTTAAGGAGAAATTGGAATTCTTAAAAACCTAAAAAAAATATATAAAAACTAAATTTAATTATGGTATATATATAAATAATATAAATTTCAAAAAATAAGATAGGAATAGTATTATAAACTTAAACCTTTAAATATCTAATATTTTAACTATTTTAATGTTATATTTATAAGAAATAAATAACGAAAATAAGTTAAAAATTAAAATTAATAAAAGATTTAAGTTTGAGATACAATAATGTTATTTATTGTTAAATATTTATTCAATCTTTAATTTTTAATTACTAACTTTAAATAGCAAAGTCTTCTAGATATTTACTGATCTTATAGATATTTGAGAAGGCTTCACAATATTTTGTAAACTAAGTGGCTGGATATTAGGAGAATAAGTAATTAAACGGAATTATTATAGTGATAGGATTTTAATTTAAATTTATAAAATATCATTTGAAGGAAATCAAATTTCTATTAAATCCTAAAATATAATACCTTTTATAATTTATTATAAATCGTTTACAAAATAAGGGTTACATTCCAAACATTATTTTTATGGTAGAAGTTAATATAGATTTTACTTAATAAGATGTTGATATTTAACTTTTAAATAGTTACTAAATCCATAAGATTTATATATATATTCATTAAATATTGGGTACAGATTATAAGTATATCATCTATTTATTAATTTAATATTTGTCAAGTATTTTTATCTAATTTATTTGATTTCTCAAAATAGATGCTTACATTTCAGATTAAAATAATGATATATTTGGTTTTTATTTATTTATAAGTTTTGGATTATATTTAGTAAATTGTGTATTATAATAATATTATAAATTATTAATTTCTGCATAAGTTTTCTAGGATCCATACAGATTAAATTATCTTTAATTACTAGAATCAGTCCAATATTTAACTTGTATTTCTCAAAATCACTTTTTTTTAATTTATATATGAATTGAAAATCTTCAATTTCTTCAATTAAAATATAGCATTTGTTTCATATTCTTATAAATTCATATTGCATACAAGCATTCAATATTATATTTCTAGTCCTTTAATTGAGTCATCTGGAGAAATTAAATGAATAATTTCGTTTTTTTCAACTGCTGTAGATGTTTTAAAGATTATAAGATGATGTTCTTTTAAAAATCTAAACAATATTTTTCTCCATGTTATTATGGCTGAGATTTAGATTTTCTGAATATTCTTGCCAAAAAACCAACAGGTTCCTTTTTGAGATACTTCTAAAGAGTTTTTTAAACTATTTTCTTTTATCATAGATTCCTGTAAAAATTTATTATTCTTCAAATTCATTTCTTTCTTTTCAACTAAAAAATTAACATAATTCTATCTATTATAGACCTCATTTGTAAAAACCCCACTTTCATATAATACTAATTTAAATAAAGAGGAAAAATTTATAATCGAAATATACTTAAACTAATTAAATTATTATCAAAAAAAGAACTTATCATCTTAATCATAAATAATAAAAGAAGATATTCAATAACATTTGTTATTTGCAGACTTATTGATTTTTTTTAATTTTTTAAGAATCTAAAATATGAAGAGTCTTTCTGACATTACAATTATTGAGCCAATAAATCAGTAAACTAAGTACTTAAATTCTGATTATCTAAAATCTAATAAAAATTCTTTTGATTATTTTTTTAACTAAATATAAATTTAAAATACAAGATCTATTGTCTAAATTTATTTATATATCTTAGAATATTCAAAAAGAATTAAAAAATATTATGTGTTTATTCAATGTTAATTATAATATTGGTTGACTTAAAAATCATTAAGAAATAAAATAAACTAAATTTTTAACGATATAATATTTAAATATTGTTAAGATATTTTTTATTTTAATAAAAATAATGAAAAGTTATATAATCTCTTAAAATCAGTAGTTAGGTGTTTAATAATGTAATAATGTGATGAATAATAAAAAATCAAAAATTTTGGAATTGTATTAACATTATAAATAGTTATTTAGTGATTAAAAATAAATAATTAAATAAATTAAGAACTAGATAATTTGGTGTTTTCAACTGACAAATAGGGGGAAAGGGATTATTATATATCTTATAATTCAATTAATTTAATAGTAATGAAAATAAAATTATCCAAAAAAGAAAGTTAATAAGTTGATGAAACTTTTATCAAATAGGGAAAATCTAGGATTCCTGAGTATTTGCCTAAATTTATAAATGATGGATTAAAACAATTGGATTCTCAAATGATTTATACAAATTTATATGACTACATTCATTTTTAGCTTGGAATCTAGAAAAAATTCCGTGCTTTTTTTACATCACAAAAGAAGATACATTTGGGAAAAGTCAAAATTTTCTTATCTTTATTTGGACTTTATTCCTTAGATTCATTAAAGGTTGGAAAACAATGAGAATTAAGCTAAAAATCCATTAAGGTTGATGAATTTTCAATTTCTAATGTTTTGCTTAATTGGGCCTTTTTATTTCTGAATGTTGGAGTATCAAGTGATTATTCAAGGATATAGCTTGAATAAACATGAAATATGATACTTATGTTAAACAAATCCTTTCAAAGGAGGAAATTTAGGTTATTTTTTATATCTTTCTTATTTTATCTGAATGGATAATTGTAAGGCCCTTTCATCTACTTGATTTAGCAACTAGTTAAATCTTTAATTTTAAGATGTGGCCTTAGAGACTAAACTTTCTTGTGGCTCTGTTTTGATTCTAATTTCTCTTTGATATTAATGATTGTAAATAACCGAATCCACCGGCTCATTACCTTAAGTATAAAAATAGATTTACTTTTTAAAGATGCTCTAAATTGATTGACCTTTTGAGCAGATCTTTATTTTACAGATTTCAGGGCAATCCTGTTAGCTCTATAATTGTGGAAATTGTTCATAAATAAATATTATAAAATAAGAATCAAATCTTTGATAAAGTGATAATGAGTCATCAATAATTTTTTAAATTATTCTAAATATTGTTTATTTATTATATATTAATGATTAATTAATATATTAACATGTATAAAATAACAGCAAAGTCAACGTAATTATTATACAAAACAAAAGGATAACAAGATCTTCTTTAATATTTGATAGAGAAGATTTATTTTAATTAAATAATGACAATAATGAACATTTAGAATCTAAAATCTAAATATTGATATTTCATAATCTTCATATTATACCTGATAATAATCATTATTATTTATATATTTTGGATGTAAACATTGAATATTGTGACATTAAATAATAATAAAAAGAATTACAATCTATTAACAAATTTAAGATGATTATAAGGTCATAGAATATGTTAAATTTCAATATAGTCTTGTAAATAGCTTTGAATAATGAATGGAAATATAATTAAACATGTAATGAATATTATTAATATTTTATATTTTTATTTAAATCATCTCTCATACATCTAAAAATTCTACAAATAATATAGTTTCTTATGTGATAATTTTATTTGTTAATTTTTATACAATAGTTATACTATTACTAGTTGTAGTTAAGGTTAATTCTTTATAATTTGATTAAGCATTGTATTTAGCATAGATATTAATTGTATTAATTGACCCATGACAATGATGGTTTAAGTTATAAATCTTATTAGATCCACTACAATTATTACATTTATTCATTTAACTATGAACTTTTTTATTATTTGATGGACATTTGTAATATATATGAATATTTAGTAATGTAATTGATTCATTTATTAAAATAGATTCTGACCCTATTGTATTTACTACTTTATTGATCTCAAAAAATTCCAACTGAAAAGCTGGTTTCTAATCTGAATTCATTTCAAATAATTTGCTAACTCTAACAGTAAAACATTCCATTGCTAAAAATGGATTATTAACAGTGTATTTTAACCAATATGATTAGATTGTATTTTGTGGATAAAGCCCAGATCCCCCTATTTCAATAAATCAAAATCTTACATCTCGAAATATCATAATTTACAACAGAGGCACCTTAATTAATTGTTGTTCTTAATGTGACTATACCATTATCTAACCCTTATTAGAATTTACTAAAAGCTGTAATAAAATAACTATTAGATTAAACAGGATATTGTGGACTTGTGTAAACATTCGAGGATGAAATTTTATCAATATAAGATATAATTTCATCAGTCCCCAATATTACTTAATAACCAAGTAAAACCATATTTGTATTATAACTATTATAATTGACAGTTACAGATGTCGAAGTTAAATCAGATATCTATTATTATATATATATCTTACAGATAGAGTCACCTCAAATGATCCTTTATATCCAATCCCTATAATTGAAACAATTGCTTTTTTTATATTTGGATTTTAAAAAGTAAAGGATTTAGAAGCTAAAGGATTTAAATTAAACTCATTAATAACTATTAAGCGTTGATCATCAATTGCATACCACTTGAGAGTATAAGTATTGATTCTTTATTACGGACATGTTAATTTTATTTGAAAATCTAAGTAAACTAATTTATTTACTTGTTAATGTTAAACTTACTATCTCAATTTTTGCTATAGGTTGATTTGAAGTAATAGATGCAAAATCAAAAAGACTTGGATATAAGATTAATTTTGGAATATTTGCAAAAGTGTCTGGAAAATTTATTGTAGATGTATATCCATTTTAGCAATTAAATCCTGAAACTTAATAAGAAAACTAAGTAACTTCTCCTGAGCTTTCAGTTATAATTCCTTGTGTGAATTATATTAATAAAAATTGAAATATCATAATTTAAATATATTTTATTTGTAATCATTGTAAATGGTGAAAACAAAGAAAACGATATTCATATTTCGATTTTTCTTTTCTAAAATCCAAAAATAAGGTTTTCTACAACATTTATTATTTTCTAGTTATTCCTCAATTTTTAAAATTATATTTTTTTTCCAGAAAAAAACAAAAACAATTAATAATCAATTATTTATTAAAGATTCAACTTATTTAAGTTACTTGTTTATTAAAAATCAATTAATAAAGTGATAATTAGATATAAAAATATTTTAGAATCAACATTATTTAAAGTTAATTATTCATGAAATTATACATATAATTTTTATGAGTGTAGGATTTTCTTAAATAATAATTAAAAATTAAAATATCAATTTAGTAAAATATACTATGAATAATAATTAATTCAAATAATAAAGAAGATTTTATTATAGTTAGTTTACTTTAAGAGAAAGTTTCTATTAGTGTTTTTGGATATTATTAATTTAATATTTACATAAAGATCTTTGTGATTATCAAAAATTTATACAAAATTTCATATATAATCTGTAAATAAACTTTGAAGATTAAAAGTATTACCAAATATCTATCTTTGATTATTAGGGTTCTTTTCAGAAATTTAAGTAGTACTTATATTCTAAATTGGATGGAAATTTTACTTAATAATATTTATACAATAATAATAATATAAATGAATTACTTATTTAACAATCATTATATAGAATCTCATAAATATGAATTATTAAAATCATTATATAAAGTTTGTGTTTGTGAATTTTAATTTTATATTTAAGACTATTATATTAAATAATATTTAAAAGCAAATTCTATTAATTTAAGATGTAAGACCAAAGTCTTCTTTAACCAAAATAGTTTGAGGTTATTTTCAATCGTGAATTATATGGAAATTAAATTGATGCTAATTCATTAAATTGTGATGGATTCTTGCGTTAATCTATTTAATACACATCAGAAATAATGATTTGTGATTTAATTTTGCTTTTGGAATTAGGGTAATTGAACAATCAAAAATTGAATATTTCAGGTTACTTTGAATTAATGAACTTGATTTAAGATAAAGCAAAATGCAATCAACATTGTATATTAAAATATTGTCTCATTAATAAAAATGAATAAGGCAACTTTTAATTGGTTTCGAAAATCAAACCTCATATAAATTATCCTTCTTTAATAGATTAAATTGATGAATTCCAAGCAAAACTTTCATAATTAGTAGATGAAAATTAAGGTCAAGATTTAGATGAAATATTCAATTAAGCACTTGTTATTTAAGAAAAATTTAAATCACCTATAAAACCATCATTATAAAATGAGAAAGATGCAATGTTTTCTTGTATTTAAAATAGATTTTTTATCAAATAAAATTTGTTAAATAAATAATTTAGTGAATAATAAGACTCTTTAGAGTACTTTAAATATATTTACAATGTAATTGAGAACTAAAATTGCTTTTATTAAATATTGGTTTAATTGATTGAAGCTGATTTTAGCACTTTAAAATATATAAATGAATTTGTTAAAAATTTTAAAAATTAAGAAGGAAGTATTATAATCAATGATTTTGAATTAAATAATTATTATATAATCAATTTGTAACATGCTGAATAAAAAATAAAAGAAAAAAATATTTAAGTTGAGTGGTAATAATCAGAAAATAAAATTTAATTCTTTTAAAATATAAAAAATTACTAAAATTTATAGGGTAATCAATTTAGAAATAATTAAAATTATTTATCAGAGAATATATATTTTACTAACTTCTAAAAAGCATTAATTAAAGAATTAAAAATAAAATTTTGGATTTTTCTATATGAACAAGATCAAAATTATCTTGTTGAATTTGGGGAAGAAATAGTCAAAATATTTAATAAATATCAAATATCAATTATTTTGAAATCAGAAAACTAATTACATTTTCAAAAATTCATAAAGATTATATTAGATTGTGATGAAATGAATGGAGTAATTGAAAGAATTTTAGAATATAAAATAAATCTAATTCATAAATATGTTTAAGAAAATTTCAAAAATAAATAGAATGAGTTAAATAAAAAATTAGATGAGTTATATTAGATAAATAAAAGAATTTATTTACCAGAATTAAAAAATCATCCTTCTCTAATATAATAATTAGATATTATATTCGATTATTGTAAAAGAATATAAATAATGATTTAAAATTTAGATAGTAGTGAGGAAGTGGATTTCACAAATTCTAATTAATTAAAAATTTTATCAATTTTCATTCAAAATATTTATCATTATACTGAATAAGATAGAGAATTAAGTCAATTTACAAATAAATTTTGTCCTAATTTAAGTATTTCCAAATCTACTTAATTTCAAAAATATTTTAAAAAAATTGAATAAAAAATAGCGAAATAAAAATTATTGGAATAATTTAATAATAAATAAAAGAATGAATTTGAACCAAAAAATTTGTTTTATTCAATTAATATTTAGAAATTAATGAAAGCACCATAAACCTTTGATTAATTACAGTGTGCATTATATTAAAATACAACATGGGATAATTTTCATAATTCATTAATTCAAGAGTTTGAAAAATAGATTCAATCCAAAAAATATCTAGAACAAAGTTAGTTAGTTGATAAATCTAATAAAATTTAATAATTAATAGACAATATACACAATTAATATTCTAAGAATTGCTTGGATATTTTTTTAAAACCTCCTTAAAATTTAAAAAAATTTAAATTAGATAATTAGAATATAGAAGAATCAGAAATCAAGAAAAAAATAATGGATTTTTATTCAAATTAATTAATGGAGAATTTGAGATCATAACTATAAAATATTCAATTATAATGACCAATATTATTAAATGTATATTTCTATCTTTTTTTAAACAGTAAAGTTTAATAATTCCATATTGATTGATTTGCAATACAATAATATATCATATTCATTTAATTTATTATTTCTATTTTTAGTGATTATTATAAAATGAAATAATTTTTAATAAGATTGATGATATAATGAGAAAATAAAATAATCTAATCATTTTAATTCTGTCAAATCTTCAAAACTATTTCCAGACTACTTTTTTTAAGGTTAATCCCATATAATCATATCATTATCTTCATTTTCTCCTATTTCCATATCTATTTATATTTTTGAATTAAAAAATAAAGATTCTCTTAATTTTTTAAAAGTTAATTAATTTTCTATTTGATTTTCTTTTTCCATTATTTTTGGATCTCTCCAAAATTATGGTAATTACCAAACTTTAATTCTTTTATCTTTTGATGCAGTTACTAATGTTTTCTCTGAATCAAGCCATTGCAATTTTGTAATGTCTGAATCATGAGCTTTTAAAACAACTAAAATTAATATATATATTACATAATTAATTAGAATTTCTAGCATCCCAAATAGTAACAGTTCCATCTACATTTCCTACATAGATTTCACCTCTTTTTGAAGACCAAGATATCTCTCTACTCTTAATTTTTCCATTTAAATTTGTTATTTATTTAGCAAATTACTCCTAACCAGGATTTTATATATCTATTATTATAATAACTCCATTTTCATGACTAATAGAAAATAAATAATTTCTTGAATGATCAATAAATAATCCTCTTAAAAATAATTGGTTCGTTGTAATTTTAATCATATAAGATGGCATTTACTTGAATAATTAATTTAATCTACTTTTTCTATATCATAAATAAAGATTTAGCCATGTCTATCACCAATAAAAACTTTTCTTCTTTCATCACTTGCTAATAAACTGGTTAATTCATACTGGTCTGGTATAAAATCTATTTTAGAATAAGTAAAAACCTGCTACCAATTCTTTCATTCGTAAATTAAACACTTTATATTTATGATCCTTTGAAATTGAATGTATATATTTATTTCTTCTATCATAATACAACCCCATTATTCTACCTTTATGTTATTCAATTTCTTAACTTTCTTAATATCTTTAGAATCCTTCTTTCTCAAGAACAATCAAATAGTTTATAGATCCACTATCTAAACCAACCAAGAGAACAGATGCAATATGATCCCAATAACATGTTATTGCCTAAGAATTATATAATTTTGCCCATAATTTTTAAAATTCACCATTTTATGTCTAATGCCAACATTCTACACTTCCTACAGCAATTTATGTTACTTCATCTTTTTCAGATTCCCAAGGACCCTTTCTATTTGTTAAATAAGCATCAATTCTATTTATTACAGAACAATCAGATGTTAAAACAAACATTAAACCAGATTCTGAATTTAGAATAAAATCTCTTATTCCTAACTAAAAGTCTTTAAATTAAAAGATTAATTAAGGAGGATTAACAATAATTTCTTTTGCATTTTTATCAATTTCAAAAAAGTCTTTAAAAGGATTAGAAGCTACAATTTCAGGTCTATTAACTAATTCCTATTTTATTAACAATTAATTACTTATATAAATTAATCTAATCCTATTTTTCTTTTTTCTATGTCATCTTAAGATCTACCAATTAAAAATGTAATATATTTCTTTTTTGGCAAAGATGGTAATTATTCCCCAAAAAATACCTTTAATTTTTTTAATAAATCTTCAAATTATGAAAATCTTGAATCTCATAATACAGTACTACCTTCTATCAATTCTCCAATTATCACCACTTTTATCTAAAATTTATATTGTATAATAAATAGCGCTTTCGTTAGGATCATTTCGATGAGAGATTACATGAGCCTTAGTTTAATTTATTATCTATTACTTAAAGTGGAGAATTTGAGTGCATAATTATAAATAATATACTACAAAAAATATAACAAATTACAAAATGTATAAATTATTATTAATAACTTATAATAATTAGAATTGTATCATGTTGAATAATCTGCAAAAATAAAATAGTAAATAATAAATTAAAATCCTATTTAGATATAATTAAAAGTCTAAAATCTAGGTAACATGAATTCATTTAATATTTTTTAATTTCTATTTCACATAAAAATAAATCTAATTAATCAGTTATTAACTAAGTAATAATGTTTTACAATCAATTCAAATTTTGTCTTGAATATGAAAAAAACATTAATATTTCTTAAGTTAATTAATAAATCTGAAGTATGGAAGCTGGAAAAATAATTGAAGATGTTTTTATATGAAAGAGTAGATTAGTGATTCTTATATATATATATATATATCTTTGCATTTAAATATCATAATTTTTATAAAATGATAATTTAAAGAATTAATGTACAAAAAATATAAGAATATCTGTCAATTAATTTTTTCAATTTGATTATTTTTTATATTTACTATAAAGATTTAGAAATTAAGGATGATTAATAGATTTTTATGGAGACAATTTAAAGTATTTGCAAAATAGATAATCATATATTTTATAAGTTTTTAAGAATTAATTACAATATTATTATTCTATTTTTTTAATTAATTTTAATATAATAAAGGTTACTCTTACTATATTGTTATTAGAGAGTATACCTCCTTCAACATCAACACATGATTAAATAATGGCCTTATTTAAACAGGTACAAAAGCAATAGATGCTATTGATATAATATTTGGTATATTTGAGTGATCAAGTATAATTAAATAAAGATGCTTAATTTGCAGCTCATTAAAAAATAAAACTGATACATAGATTGGAGCATAGTAGTTTAATTTTATATAAATAGAATAATTGAATAATTGATAAATATCAAATCATTCAACTAAAATAGAGAAGCTCTTGAAGTTTTAGAATACCTAAACAAGATATTGCTGATTATATCATAAATAATGATTCATTTGAATTAGTTTAAGACAAAGTTACAACTGTTGCTGAAAAACTTAAAGCATATAGTAATCTTTTTAAAGAAAATGACGTTAAAACATTGTTATCTATGGCTTAATCCAAATAAGTAGAAGAGAGTAAGCACAGAAGCTACATTGGCTGGAATTCTTGAATCACTTGAAGTAAAGGAAATTAAATCTTCATGGGAATTGACTGATGGGTTTCATTAAATAAGGCTGAAGTCAAATTCTTACAAGTTGAAAATGAAAGAAAGCAAATATATGCTGACCCTTTGGCAACTGTAAGAATTAAATTTTAATTGATTAGTAAATTTAAGAAGCCTTGTCTTAATAAATAAAATCAAAGATCCTTTTACAAGATTCTCAAAATGCTCTTGAATAAACTTAAGCAGACTTAGAAGTCAAGAGAGCTAATTATTCTGAAGCTAAATCAAATAGAGATGATGAAAATGCCATAATAGAATAGATTATCATCGTTTTCAAGAAATAAGTTGCTTTTTGGTCTGGAAGTTATTGACTATAACTAATAAAGTTATTAGTAAAAACAGCATTTTGGGGTTTTAAAATAATATTCTTATTTATTTATTAATGTATTCGAATTAGATAGGAAGAGTTGAGATAAATTTGAGAGAGAAGAATTTATTAATTAATAATATTTTAACATTTGTTAATTCACCAATCTTTGAATGGATCATCTTATGGTTTAACAGCATCAGGTAATTCAGTACTGTCTGGATAAGTAGCAAAATTGGAAGTATCATAATCAGATCTATATATTCTATGATTTTATCTTACTGAATAACAGGTATATATTAAGGCTTAATTTTTTTATTGATAATATCTTTCCAATTTAGTGTTTCATACCACTTATGTGATTTTATATCATCTACTCCATTTTTAAGATTCCCAAATCGTTTAGTAACATCTTATTCTAATAAATGTTTAACTAAACTTTTTGCTTCACTTATTTAAGTTGAATTATAAACTTACTTATCAAAATTACGTGGGAACTTAACTTTGCCCTTCAATATTTTCTAATAGATAGCCATTGGATCTTCATCGTTAAATGGATCAATTCCTTTGTGAGTTCAAGTATAATACAAATACCTGCAAGCATTTCATAAATGAAGATTCCTAAACACCACCAATCAACTGGTTTACTATGTCCTTAGATTGAGAATTAGTTTACCCTTGTTTAATAAGATTTCTGGTGCTAAGTATTCTGGTGTTCCACATAATGTATAAGTTCTGTCTTCAACCACTTTAGCAAAACCAAAGTCTGTCAACTTTAAATATCCATCTGACTAGACCAATAAATTCTCTGGTTTCAAGTCTCTATAGACAATGTTCTTAGTGTGAAGATACTCAAACATTAGAACAACTTAAGCTGAGTAGAACCTATTCCTATAAATAATCATTTACTATGCTTCTTCATTTTGAACAGTCCCAGCATTTCTTAAATATGTAAATAGTTCACCTCCTTAGATATATTCTAAAACAAAATATAAGTATCGTTCGTCTTAAGTGTATCCACTCATTTCAATCTATTATAATCAATTGTAAAACATACCAAAAAAGGATGTTTGATCTATTTTAAAATATTGAACTCACTAATTATATGATCAACCTATTTAAGTCGTAATATTTCTATTTTCTTTAACATCTTCAAAGCCACATATTTATTATTAGATTTTTGCTTAGCTAACCTCACACGACCAAATGAACCTGTTCCTAAAGTATTCATTATGTCATATTCCCCTAATTTCACTTTTTTAGTTTCCATATAATTAATATTTATATTTCCATGATCAATTTCAATCCAAAATTCAATAAATAACTCTATAACCAAAAAAACCATCATAATTATAAGTTCACTATTACTCAATCACATAATAACTCATAAATCTATAAGCAAAAATAATTAACTTAATTGTTCTCCATCAAGATTTTTACATTGTAAACTAGATTCACCTTTTATATTCTAATCAAATTTAAATAGAAGATTGAATTACTTAAAAAACTATAATTCATGCATAATGTAAATTAAAATACTTAATTAAATATACTGTCCTTTCTTTAATCTTTTAAGTTTAGAAAAAATATGATAATTCTAATATTTGAATTATAATATACTTCTTATCTATATCATCCAGATAATCATTAAATATTTTTAATATTAATAACCATATCTGAATATCATAATTCTTCCTAATAAAATGTATATCCATAATATATAATTCATTTTGTTATTAATCCAAAATATGATAATGAAAAGAAAATATACACAAAAGATTGAATTCGATTAATCTATTGTTAAAAGTTAAAATCCTGAAATCCCTTTTAGGCCAAACTCTGGCAAATTAGCTCCCATCATTAAATCACCTTTACCACCTAGAAAGGCAACTTTATCATAACATCAAAATTAAAGAAAAAATCAATAAGAAATACATTAAAATTAAGACATCAAAGTTATTAAAATTCGAAGCCTTACACCAAATCAATAAAAACTATTTTAGCATAATGTATAATTCCATATTTTATGAAAAAAAGAACCCAAGTCCTGTTAAATTAATTTAAAATTAACCAATAGCTTAATCAGAAAAGAAAATAATTGTCATTCCTAAAAGACCAGAAAAATAATAATTTAGAATTGCAAACAAAATAAATTCATCAACTGAAAAAAAAAATTAATAATCAAAAGGAAGAAGTCCTAATCAAGGTTAAGAATTCAATTGGGCAAATACTGAATTAACTTAAGTAATAGATTTTTTAATGTAGAAATAAAATAATATTAGAGAATAACATTATAAATAATAAAAGCCAGAATTTCTTAAACAATAACCAAAATGTGCATAAGATTTCTCGATGACTTCTCATAAAAATGATTTGCCTTAATTATTAAAAAATTATTAATAAGAAATAAAAGAAGTTCGTTAGTAATACATTCATGATAATTCACCTCCATTAAATATGAGTGGTATCATATTATATCATAATAGAAATTATGGAAATTAATGAAGATGGTCTTTCCTCTTTAGCCCAAAGCACCTATCATCATTAGATGCATTGAATAGAAGATAAACTATACTTTGTTGTTTTTATAATAAATTTTTCATTAAGGATCCTCCTCCCCTTCTTCTTATTCAAATTGTAAATTTAATGCTTTTCTAGGTTTATTATGGTCTTCTTCATCAATTTAACGTTTGCTGTTCTCCAATTTTGCTTTCTCATATAATTCTTTTTATTATTCCTCTAACTGCTTTAAATGCTCCTCATCTTGAAATCTTGCTTTATTTTAATTTTTAACCTTTATATAGCATCAAAACTTTACATTAACTTCCTCTTTGATTTCTTCTTCTATTTCCTTTAGAATTGGAATTTAACCTTCTAACCTTAATTTTTAAATGGCCTTATAAAAAAATTCTCCTGATATTGTTTTTTTTCCATTTTCTAAACATATAGTATTAGCTTAATCAGAAACCAATTAGATATATTCCCTAGCCATTGACATGACTTATGTCACAAACTCATTAGAACATTTCATATCCCCACTTGTTGTTGATTTGATGAATTATTGTACGGTCGCTAAGATGATAAAAAGATAATACCTTTTGGGAGCTATTCCATAATATATTATCTTTTTCATTTTTAATAATTCTTTATTTTCTTTGAAATAGGATAGATGCAGTGCTTTTTTTATAATTAATGATTGGTCATAAAATTTTCAAGAAGGATACATTTACAAAATCCTTTAAATTAATGAATTCCAAATTTTTTATACCATTAAACATGCATACTCTAAAATATAATAAGAAATTTAATAAATTTCTATTATCAAAAAGTATATTTTTAAAGATTTAATCAAGTTCCTCTTTTTTTTGCACTTTATCTAATTCAACAAAATCTCTAATTTTGACTAATAATATATTTTGTAAATAAAATAGTCTGTTAATTTTTACATAATTATATTTATTTTTTAAATAAATTGAATGAGCATCAACCACAAGAAAAAGATATTTGAAAACACCGCTCCTAATCCATATTTAAATACAATTGAATCTCCATAAGTTCCTAAGATTCTTGAATAATCAATAATTTATTAGAATCTGTTATAAAACAGTCAATTAGGCAATTCAAATTAATTAGAGTTATCAAAATAGGTATAAAATGAACGTTAATCTTTTTCTCCTAATGATCTAGAGTAGTTTCTAATATTATTTCGATAACCATAACAAATCAATATGAAATTAGAAAATAGTTAGTCAAATTCAACTAGTTAATAATAATTCTATGAATAACTTGAAATAGAAGGAGAAAAATTAAGAATTAAGTTAAAGTCAGATGCTCGTATAGTCTAATCAATTATTGAAAAACATACAAAAATGAAATCTAACAAATAAAGATGTATTGAATAAATGAATCATCTCATAAATGAAATTAAATAATCTAATAATGTTTCTAGATATTCTGAACTCAATAGATCAATAAAATACAATTTCAATTAACTTGAATCTATTTAATTAGAATTAAGAGATATATTGATGGAAGCATCAACATTTGAAAGAGTTATGTCAGTTTCAGTTTAATAGTAATAAATTCATCATTAAGAACAAAATTAACTTGATCAAACTATTGGACATTCATCAAATGAAACCTCTGAGGCTGAGTTCACATCATTATCACTTTAAATTTATTCCTCGATTGAAATGCATGCAAAGGAATTTGAGTAAACAATATCAGAAAAAAAAAGATTAATGCATATAAGCTAAAATTATCATTAATATAAATAAGTTTGTTAAGGTTTGATTTAACTTATTCAAAAGTATCCCTAATTTGAATCATAAAAATCTTAATAAATGATAAGGTTAGAGAGCATTGCTACAATCTATTTTTATCACTTTTAACAAGAATTGAGCTCCTAGATTTTACATTATACATAAATTACTGAAGAAATTCGATTATCTTTGTCTATTATTGATAGGATGAAATATTTATTAGAATAAGCTAAGAATTTGGATTGTATTACAGAATTTTATTTATACATAGAAAGTTAATTGACTGGACAATAGTTGGTTATTAAATCAGGAAATAATTTAAAGTTAGCAAAAGCTTACTAAAAATAATTCAATATGCTAAATATCAATAATTATCAATATTTCCATGTTCTGAGACATAAGGTTTATAATAAATGTTTATTAGAGTTTGATTAAATGTAATTTGATATAAAAACAGCAAAGAATTTGTAATCAATATTATTAGATTATGTTAAAACATTTAAACATTATATTTCAATAGATTATATTAAATTATTCAATGATGTATTAGCAAAGTTAAAATAAGATTTAAAAAAAGAATCTTGGCTTTATTTAATCAATCTATATACTGAACTAAGCTAAAAGAAATAACATTTAAAAATTATTATTTAATATTTATTAAATATTAAACACCAAAATCAATATTTAACAAAATTGATTTCAGTATTTAAAAAGCTTATTGAAATATAATTAGAATTAATTAAGGATTTATAACCTTAATTAAATCCATATTTAGAAATTAAGGATTTTAAAGCATAAAAAGAGTTTGAAAATTTTTATTCTCAATTTTAAAAATGTTATAATGAAATACACCCAAAATAATAGAGTATAATATCTGACATCAATTAATTCTTGGAAAATTCAATTAATCCATAATCTAATGATGAATAATATCAGTATTTAAGATCACTTTAAACTCTATAACCTAGTATTAGACAATTAAGCAATAAAAGAATTAGTGGAAATTTTAATGAAATAAAAACTTAATTTGATGATTTATTATAATTTGAGGTAGATATTGTTTAACTTCAAGTATCAATGAAATCTATAATAACAACAAATTATAATCTAATTTTAGATGATTTCTTAGATATTACAAAAATTAACAATACAAGTGTTTTGTCATAATTAATGGAATTTATATAAAAAAACATTAAAATCATTTCTGAAATTAAAAATCCCTCACTTTATAATATGAAGGAATAATAAATACGTTTATTGTAATGGATTTGGATTTTCTTTGAATAATTTGAAAAATTTAGGTCTGCTTTATCATAATTATTTAATAATCATCCAACAATTAACTATTCTTAATATTTATAGTTTTTGACTAAGAATAAATTTAGCCCCTTATTCTTTTAGCTTGCAAAATTTAATAGCAAAGGTTGTAAAAAATGGCATGATCTTTAATTGGATTTGAGTCATATTAGTCTTAAATCATATATATCATATATAACTAAACTTCTAGATAGGATAATTGTTATAGCAGAATTGGAGATTTCATTGACTCAAATATAATTCAATGAAGAAAATTGTTAAATAATTTTAGAATTTTTAGGATAGGATAATACAAGTTAATTATAAAGATTCATTTGCAAACATTAAATATACAGGAAGATGAAATAAATTCAATTAAATTAAGTAAATTTCAATAAATTAAAATAATATTTTGAACATTTGCAAATGGGATAAGATAATGAGGATAATATAGATTTAAGGTATATTTTGATTGAATGTTCAGATTCAATGTAAAAGGATAGTGAAATATACTCAACTTTACAAGAGGAATGGATTTTAGATCATTTAGAATAAGGAGATACTAGTATTTTATAGGATTTTATAAATTAAGAAGGAATTTTTAGTAGTAATTTAATGAAATATAATTAAAAATTTCAGAAATTAGTTAAATTATCTACTGAACAAAGCATAAATTGGAGAAATATAAAAAAAATATTAAAATAAGAAATATGAATATATATTCTTTTTGTACTAATTAATTATTTAAAAAACAATAATTACAATCAATTAATTTCTTAAAGTAATTCTTCTAGTAAATGATCAAAAATCATATCAGATAAGTCTATTGCAACTACTGTAATTTCTTCATCATAACTTATCCATTTATCTTCATTTTCAATAGCCTATATATTTATTATAAAATAATACCTCTGCAGATAGCATTCTAATCATTCTATCTTCTTTTATTTAAGCTAAACATTCTTGATCAAACATCAAAATTTTTGGATATGGACAATCTTCTTTATCAATCAAAAAACCAGCCAAATAATGACACCACTCTAATACTTTATCTTAACTAGATTTAATTATATTTGGCATTTCCTCTAAAGTTTTTTTTCGAAATTATAATCTAGCAGGATCAGATTTCCAAGCATAAGGTTATCCTGCCATTCCATATGGTCTGTGATAATCTAATGCTTCATTCAAAGCATCGAAAATTGCTTTATTGTGAATATGTTCCAACTCTAGTAATTAAGAAGATTGAACTTTCAAAATTTATTCATTTATTAAAAATCTTTCAAAAGTTCCGAATAATTCAGCTGTCATAATTATATTTTATAAGTAATTATCATTTGAATTACTTTCCTCATCAGAGACAATTGTTGAATCAGAAATAGGATGTAAAAATCTTAACATGTCTTTTGATGATGGTCCCAAAGGAACATTTAATTTAGCTAACACCTCATCCTTATAATTACAAATCATAAATTCTGTTAAATGAGTTAAATAAGTCTTTACTTAAGGGATTCCTGTTTTAAATCCTCTAGTTTAATTTGTTCCATAAGAAGTTTATAGTTATGATGAAGGTCTATTAATTTAAGCTTTAGTAACTAATTCAAATATATCAATATCATGTCTGCCAAGTTCTTAACATAATAATTATATTTCTTAAACTATCAACATATTTGAAATTAGAATAGAATATGATTCTGCTTACTTATCAGACATAGTAGATTAATCTCTTACAATATCTGAAACTCTTAAAACTTATGATTATGCTAATTAATGCAGATTGAATGGTTCTGGTTCATAATCTGCAAATTATTAATGAGATGGACTTGAGTTATTTTTAAAAATAACTTCATCATCAAAATTTTATGATTTACTTAAATCTTCATCACTAAGTAAAGATGATTTTTATGGAAACTATTATTAAAATTATTAAAAATTTTAATTTTGTATATCTATAATACTATTTCTTAATGATTATTCTGAATATAAAACAGATTCTTAACTAAAACTATCAATAATTTTAATGTAAGATTGAGAATTAGATTATGATATTTATTTCATAAATAGAATATCTCTTTATGTCTTCATAACAGTCTCATAAATGCTTTATTAACCTTTAATAATTTCAGTTTTTTTATTTTCTAACTCCTTTCTTTGTTTATTAACCCATTTTTCAAGTTTTCTATTCTATTAATCATAAGTTTTAGGAGAAATTTATTTATTTTAATATGCTTCATTTATTGTTTTTATTTATTATTTATGCCTCTCTTCTAGAATCTTTTCTCTCATGGATATTAATTCATCCATTTTATCTCTTGACATGAATTCTTTGAATTTAACTTAAACAAAATCTTAAAATGAAGATTATTCGAAAATGCTTTTCTCTTAATTAAATGTTTAATCTTCTTAAGATAAACTTTTTATTAAAGACTCAGATCCTATAGCACATCTAATTTCTCCTATTTCTACTTATTATTAATTTTAATATTCTTTCTCAATTTCATCAACATCAATTGATAATCTCTTTTTCTTTTTGAATGTTATTTATTAATTCATATTTAATGAATTTTTTTCAGTACTTTCTCTACAATTTTCCATTTCTTACTATTCAGAAATAGCTGATAAGAATTATTTCTTTTCTGTAGTTTTTTTTCCTTCACTTTCATTTGAATCACTAAAACCTTCTATATAATCTTGATAAGTAACATCAAACACTTATTTTTGTGCCTTAGGAACTTCTTCTTTAAGATTTTTTGTTTTTTTATTCTTATTTTTTATTGAAGAATTAGAAGATCTTTCACTTAACTTCTGCTCAATTAATTATATTTTTCCTTTTGAATCAACCCTTATATAACCCATTTTTATTAATTCTTGTATTTAACTTTAATGTAGATCATTTAAATTAAATTCTTCCTATTCTTCTTCTTTTTTAAAGTAATCTTAATAATAACTTAAAATTTATCTAGTTTTATATTTTCTCCAAACTTTTTATATTTTTATAGCTGCTTGTTCATCAGTTTGAGATCTTTATCTTTTTTCACTATATTTACTAGCAGCTTATTCAATAGATCTAATCTCTTCAATTTCTTTGATATCCTATTCATCCCAATCTCTTTATGAACTCAACATTTCATCTTTGTCTTCTCCTAATGTTATGAGTTTTTAACTATAAAAACTATTATCAAAATTAGCAAAATCTTATTCAGGATCACTCTCATTAGGTATGTTTGCACTACTTGAATTGCTCATATATTAATATATTGATGAGCAAGGTTATCTCATGGATTCATGATTTGATGATTATACTAACTTAGATTTATCTGATTAATTTTTAAATTGACATAACACTTTTCTCTTTTTCTTTTATTCATAACGATCTGATATAAGATTCTCTTTTTAATCTTCATAAATTATTCCATAAGTAGATGCAGTTCTATTCTTTCTTCTTTATTTTGTATCTCCAACAGAAAGACTTCTATTTCTTGATCTTATATATTCATTAAGATTTTATAAATTTTGATAAATTTTGAATTGTCTTTCATATTATTTCTTTTTCTATTCTTATTTTTCTATCATAATCATTTTTTATTTGAATTCTTTGTATTTTCTAATTTCTTCTTAGTTGATTTGTTATTTTGGTTTATTTGGATCTTTTTTGGTTGGAGTCATTGATTTATTTAATTCTAAATGATATCAACAATAATTTTTTACTTTTCTTTTTTATAAATTTATCTATTGATATATTATTTAAAAATGAAACTCCTAATTGATCTCTTCTTTATTTTATATCTATATCAGTTTTATTCACTCTTTTTAACATTGTTTCTTAAACATTTCTCTATTTCATTTATTCATTTAAAATATAATTTTTTAATCTCTCCTAATTGACTCCCCAATTAAATAAAGGGGAAGTATGAACCTTTTTTTATTTTTAAAGCTTATTCATACTAGTATTCATAGCTTTTTTAGGTTTTGAAGGTTTTTCAAGCTTTTCTTATGATGCTTTAGTCACAGGAGCGCTAAGTTTAGTATTTAATGTTTTCTTCTTTTTTTTCTTTTTTGTTTTGGCTTTTGTTGGACGATTGATCAAATTACCTAACATTATATCATTTTCTTCTTGCTTAATTATATTCCCATATTAAGGATGTTCTCGAGAGTTAATCACTAAAGGAGTATTAGAGTAAGAGTCTAATTTACGTCCTTTAATAAAACTGTTCTCTTTGATTTGAACACTTATATTTAATTTTGAATTGTCTTAACTTCTCATTTTGAAATTTTATTTTGTTAAATATCAAATATAATGAGTATTAAAACAAAACAAAACAATTCATCTTTTAATTAAAAATAAAGACACAATTTATTTGTTTTAAGTAGTGATTTTAACATAGCCTTATTTTTAATAAACCCATAAAATAATTTATATATAAGCTTCTACTTTATAAATTAATCAATATGTAATTATATTGGAACCCTTCGGGGTCATCCGTCAAATTGGAACGTAACAGAGAAGATTAGCATGGCCCCTGCGTAAGGATGACACGCATTAAGCGAGATGGTAGCTCATTTTTTTTTTATTTTTTGTAAATTTTATAATATTTTCTTTATATCTATTTATTAATATATATTTCTATCAACCTTCAGTTAGAGTTTAGACTGATGTTTTAGTTTATCCATCCTTGAACTTATATGTCTTTGTTATTTTTGTAATTTTTTATCCATTCTTAACAGTGACTGCAGTTGAAGTACTAACTGAAACACAACCAGGAGGTAGTTTTTCTAAAATAAATGTAACAAAATACTATACCTTCTTCTTAATTTTATGGATTTAGTGCATCACCATTTCCACCTTTGCCTCCTTACATCATACTTTTCATTTAATCTTTCATATTTTAGGTTTAAAATTATTATGATGCTTTAGATTAATAACCTTAAGCTCCTTTTTGAGTAAATTCACCTGCAAAATCAAAAACACATTAAGTTTAATATTATTTATGATCTCCTACTGCAATTCCAACTAATAAGAAATCAGGACTAAAACAATTTTTTCTATGACCTCTTGTGCCTACTCCATCATCAATTAATAATTAAATGATCACATCTTATCCGTTCTTTTGCCCATAGCTGATATTTTCTCCAATTTTGCCATTCCATTCTCCATATCTTTCAATTCTATCAGATAGTGATGATCCATCTGTACCAGTATGGCCTGTAACACCCTTTGGTCCTGTATCCTTAACATGATCAATACAAGCTTGTTCTAATCCCTTATCATATGTTAAAGGCTATAAAGGCTATTGTTTTTATAAAAATACTATTAATTCTAAATAATTATTTGTTATTTATACCTTAGATAACTTTTGTACCTTCAATTGTTTATAATGGAATCTCACCTGGTTTATGAAGTACGTTGCCCTTAAATAGCTTCATTAGTTCTTATAACTTAGGTATGGGGATTGTTGGATTTTACCTAACTTAATTCAAATAATCATAAGCATCTCTGACAATTTTGTCATCAGGATCTTTTGATTATTCTTTTGCAAAGGTTCCTTATTCTCTATATTACATGGGAGCACTTTGACCTATTTCTTTTTAATTAGCTTTACCTTAATATTAATTTCCACAACTAGCATTGTCTTAGAAAGCTCCTGCAAAATCAAAAACACATTAAGTTTTGAATTATTTATGATCGCCGTCAAAAATACCAACTGCTCCAAATTCTGCTTTAAAACAATTTTTTCTATGTCCTCTTGATGATACTCCATCATCAACAATCAATTAGATTATGACTATATAAATAAAAGGGATTTTCATACCATCTTCACCAGTCGTTTGACCATAACTAATATTTTCTCCTATTGTCACATTCCACACTCCATATTTTTCAATTCTATCACTCATAGATGATCCATCTGTACCAGTATGGCCTGTAACACCTTTAGGCCCTGTATCTTTTACATGATCTCTTGCTGCACATTCCAAACCATTACTCCAAGTTAATGGACCTACAGGCTTTTGATTCTATAAGAACTAGATGCATTCTGAGATATAAATATCATATATAATAAACCATTGACAACTTTTGGTCCTTCATTAGTTTGTAAAGGAATTTCACCTGGTTTATATACTATATTTCCTTTAAATAATTTTAGATGTTCCTATAACTTTGAGATAGCAATTTAAGGATTTTATCTAAGTTTATTAAGATATTCGAATGCTTCTTTAGAAATTTTGCTCATAAAAATTAATATTTACAACGTGCAAAAAAATAATTATATAAGTTATGTTAAATTACATTGATTATATTAATTACTATTAAATAATATACTTTAAAAATTATACAAAAACAAATCAATTCTGTTTAGTTTTCTTCTTTTTTTATTATTCATCAGCTGTACTTAATTTCCTAATAATCCACATTATACCTGCTCCTATGGAAAGAAATACAAGTATTAAAAATAGAATATCTGAAAAGTTGGCTTTTTATACTTTTGGTTGATAATCATGTAATGTTCTATGTTTCCCTTTTGACTATTAAGCAGCAATCTTCAAATATTCTAGATCTAAATCATCATAATCATCATCTCTCTCTCTTTCTTATTATTTTTTTTTGTTTGAATCTTCTGCTAATGCAGATTCAAAATCCTATAATTTTAAACAATAATAATACTTCAATGTATTTCCACACTGTATTTTCTAAATCATTGATTTCTCTTTCCCAAGAACCATTTCTGAATTAATTAAAATCGATTTCAGAAAATAAAGCAGGTAACCTTGAATGATCAAATTCCTCTGATCTCACTTATAATAACACTTAAACACTTTCATCATAGGTGAGTTATTTGGAACATGAAATTGCATGTGTTGTATATAATTTAATCCAAACATTTTATTGTTCTTCTTTAGATGCTTAACTAAAATTAATAATAAATAATCACTTATCTACAATTTCAACAAGTTCACTACCATAATTTCCCAAATGCATTCTGGCCAAAATAATACATGTATAATAAATTGTATCTTTTTCTTTCTTTAGTTTTTATTCTTACAACTATCTAAGTTGTTCTTCAGGAGATATTTCCTATATTGATTCAATACCATCTTGATTATCTTGGCAATTTACTAAAGTTAAGAAGAGAATAATAGGAATTAACATTAATTAATTAAACGTGTAAAATTAATATCAAGACTCAATTAATGTTTAATGAATTTGTGTATTTAATACAGCTGCCTTTTGTTATTCTAAAAACTTAGTATAATCATCATCTTTTATTGGAATTTCATCAATTTATATAAAAAAGTAGTCTTCATTAATTTCTGGTTACCAATTAGTAAGAATACGTACAACTTCATCGAGATTACTCATCTAATTTTTAATATAGATTTAATTACTTTCAATTCTATTTAGAAATATTTCAAATAGCAAATTCCAACTTTAAATAAATAGATTTCTCCTTCCAATAAGAAATTATCCCATAATCTTGAAAGCATAGGAAATTTGAATTGATGTAAATAAATTTTCAAGAACCATTTCATTAAATAGAGTTTAGTTTCTAATTTAATGGCTTTAAGATGACTGAATACAAATGGTAATATTCTTTATAAATTCTCTTCAAAGAATCTTAATCTCCATTCAATTTATCTAGTATCATTTTAAAAAACACTTAGGAAATGATATTAATGAAGAAGATTGACTAAGGCTTAGAAACAATCATATTCTTGTAAATGCTTAATAAGAACTACTGCAATATCAATTAAATCTGGTATATATCCAAAATCTGGTCTATAATTACTAAAGGCATGTAAAATATTTGATAATTCTTTAGCTTTAACATCATTTATGAATGGATATTATTATTTTGCTCTTGCAATATCTCCTCTAATAGCTAGAAATTGATTATTGTGATACCTTCTTAAATAATTGTAGTTTTACGAACAAAAATAGAATAGAGTTCTTCTCTGATCTTAAGATTATTACCAATAATAATAGGCCATAAAGTTCTTCTTGCAAAATCAGGTAATCCAAGTTTCCATAAAATCATAAGTAACATAGACTTATTTTTTTTACCTTAAACAATCATTTCTTATTAGATATTACTACCATTATTAATTTCTGATTGATTACTATATTATTAATTTTATATTTATTATCTATTTTAGATAGGATTTAATGAAATAGTTTTTTTAAGACAACGACATAAACTTTCTAGAACACTAGCAGAATTGGCTTAATTTTATGCTTTTTAAACAGCTTCTTCTTTTTTGACACTAATATATTTCTTATAATTTAAAGGTTTATTAGGTTCATAATCCCAATGTGAACGCCAAAATGGTAAGATATCATTTTTCCATATTTCTGATCTCTTTTCTTCATTTTCTTATCTTCTTTATTTTTCTTCTGCTCTTTTTGCTTCCATTTCTCTACGATTAATAATAACAGCTCTTAAATAATTAATCCATTTTGATTTAATTTCCAAATCATTTACTTTGATATCAACTGATCTATGTATTGTAATAATTGAAAAACAAAACATATCAAATTCTGGAGGTATATTATTCTTAATCATAATTTCAGTAGTATTTTAACCCAATGCTATATCATGAACATCACTCATATTAATATATCTTGCTGGTTCATTATCATTATTTATTGATCTCCAACATATACGTCTAATTTAATCATTTATATTAATTACTTTTCATCACTACTTAAGAAAAACTTTCTTGGTTATCCACCATTATATCTTCCATATTTAACTAAATTGCATCCTTTCATTAAATCAAATGCTACTTATAACCATTTAGTTATTTATTCTCCTTATATTTTTTCATTACATAGAATCATACGATTATACATTTATTCTAAATAATCTAAAGTAGTTTGAAATGGTTCTTTAGTTATGGAATCATAAACTTCTTCAAAATATTTAGGTGATATATCTGGAAATACTGGAATATTATTTTTAAGAAATTGCTCTTTAGTCATCTTATTCTTTGCTAATATTTTAGTTGAGGCAGCATCAGTAGACAACATTATGAATGAATAAGCCAATACATATGGTACATCTTCTGATTTAAATACATCAGGATTTTATTAATTATAAACTTTTGCAAATATTTTAACTACTCTATCTACCATTTATGCTTCTCCTGCTAATCTAAATCTTTATAATAATAATCTCATTGCATCTAAATAACTTTTATCTTTTAAATTCAATAATTAACAATAAGCTTCAAATATATCCTAATATTTTTGATCTGGTTTACAAAAATATTTATTTATTGAATCCTTATTCAATCCTTTTGTAGTCATAAGAATTTTTGCTATATCTTCATTTGTATTCTCAATCACTTAATTCTCAATCAAATATTAAATAGCCTAAAATTTAAATTATTATTCTAATTACACTATTCTGATCCTTAGAAAATCTAGTAATAAACTAATCAATATGAAATCTCTCTTAAACAGCCTTTTCACATATTGTTATTTATTGTATTAAAGGGTTATTCCCATTTAATATCTTATCTGTATTATTCTATTATCTCTCATACTATTTCTTTTAATTTGGTTTACTTTTTTCTCTGGGAGAATCCTCTTCTACTATGATAACTTAATCTTCATCATCATCTAACATTATTTTAGAATTTTAATTTATTAAATAAAACACAACTATTGTACCATAGTTTATGTATAATGATATTTAATAATAAAAACTTACATTTGAAATAAATATTAAACTAAACTACACTAACAATTTAAAAATGCTAAGATAAAGCATTTGAAGAAATTAAGATGTTGGTTAATTAATGTTTTTTTAGAAAATGAAGAAAATTGTAAACTATATTATATTATTTATTAATACTAAAATTTGTAATAGACATTAATAATTGATTTAACTTATTTTTTTTTATATGAGATTGAATATTTATGGTTATTGGTATTTAGAAGATTATTTCCTTGAAGGAATCTTTTATTTTATTGATCATATATAGTAATGAATTAATATAAATAATAAAATGAATATATATACATAAATTTAAATTATGTACTAGCATACTTAGTCATTCTAATAAGAACCAGTTTAAAAAACTTAGGAAATATTTAAGGAATAGTAACAATATATTTATTAAAAGAATAAAATTAGAGAAAATAAGAGCAATAATTACAAAATTATGATATTAAAATTTTTAAATTAATTTTAAAATGGTCAAGAATGTTGCTTAAGAGAGTGTGAATTAAAAACTCTAATTGGTTGTTAGATCAGGAAAAATCACAATGGGTTATAAATAAACCTTGAAGTCCATTAGAAATGGAACTGCCAAGCTTGTATTCATTTCAAACAATTGTCCAACAATCAGAAAGACTCAAATTGAATACTATGCCATGTTGGCTTAGATTACCATTGTTTTATATTAAGGAAACAACGTTGATTTAGGTACGGGGGTTTAATTGGGAGGCTTAGCTCTTCCTAATTGAGTTTATGGGCATGAGTGATTTTATCTTATTTTAGGTACCGCATGTGGTAAATTACACAGATGCTCAAGTTTAGCCATCATTGATGCAGGAGATTCTGATATCTTAACATAATAATGATACATTTTTTATTAGTACATATAAATTATGTAGTATATAAGTATACAATATTATAAATCATATAATTTCTTCAAATCAAATGGTAATGTGATATTTTTATCATATTAAATAAGAAAATTACTATTTTTATTTTATTTTGATAGATATATTAGATTCTATTAGAAAGTGGGATTTTGTCTAAATTTAAAGAATATTTATTCATTAAATTTTATATGTTTATCATTTTTATACTCTAGTTACTTTATGTACTTGGATAAGATGATGATCCTATTCACACTTCTGTCCTTTATGGAAGTTCAGATTTAGGATATTATTATGTTAACATTTATGTTGGCAATCCTCCACAAAAACAATCTGTTATAATAGATACTGCAAGCTAAATAACAGCATTTCCTTGTGATGCTTGTGATTCAACATCATAATGTGGAAATCATGTAGATTAATACTATAATAGAACGAATTCATCAACATATAAAGAGTTAGATTGCAATAGCTCATTTGGAGAATGCTCCTGTTTTAAATGTTTAAATAAATAATGCATTTTTTCGATTTCTTATTCTGAAGGATCATATCTAGAAGGGTTCTATGTAAATGATCAAGTGATTTTTGGGGATTTATTGATGGAGGCTAAGACATCATAGAATGAATCAATCTCAAAAAAAGATAGAAGTGTTAGAAGTGTTTTTGGGTGTACTACTAGAGAAACATATTTATTCAAAACTTAATTGGCAAATGGAATATTGGGATTGTCTCCAAAGACAAACACTATTCTTGCATTCCCTAATATTGTAGATGATATTCATGATCAAGAAAATGGAATGAAACTATTCTTTTCTATTTGTATAGGAAGAATTAATGGTTATATGACAATAGGATAATATGATTTTAGTAGACATCAGAAAAATAGTACTTATTATACAATTAATTACTTTCCTACTTAAAATAAGCCAAAATATGTAATAAAAATTTCAGAAATTAGAGTTAATAATAAAACTATTTTACCTGGTTCAGATTTATAAGCAGGAGAAGGTACTTTTATATGTTCTGGATGTACAATTATTTATGCTCATCCTCATGTGACAAGAGAATTAGTTAATGTTTTTGTATGTGATTCTCCTAATTGTCCTAACATGGAATATTTTGAAGATACTGCATGCTATGTTTATAATAAAACACTTCATGGATCATATGAATAATTTATTTCATTTTTTCCAACTTACTAATTTGTAATGGATAATAATTTTATCTTGGATTGGACACCAAAAGATTATTTAACTAAAAGTATTAACTAAGATGATGCTTATTGTTTACCTGTTTAAGAATATTATGGAAATAGAAAAGTATTTTTAGGTTAGGTATGGATGAGAAATTGGGATATAGGTTTTGACAAAGAAAATTAAACTCTGACGTTTGTAAGAAGTAATTGTTCATCAGATAATCTTAAACATAATTTCACTGCTGATGATTTGTTTTTAAAAGAATTAAATTAATCTAATATAACATTAAAAAACAGATATCCACCTCCTATAGATATCGATTAAGAATTTGGTATATTAAAAATATATATTTTTAAGCATATGAATCTGTTGGAGTAATAGCTGTATTTATTATATCTATAATCATAATTATATTGATATTTTGTATTAGAAGGATATATTTAAATAGAAAAATTCAAATAGAATCTAAAATACCAGTAGATGAAGATGAAACTTATAAAACAGTCCAATAAAAAGTTTTTGTTGCTTAATGACTTTATTAAGTAAAATTAACTAAATATATTGATTTATCAAAAATAAAATTCAATAATACTATTATTTTTAACTATTTATTTTAATATCTTTAATTAAATAATTAATTTTGTTTATTAAAATATGTTCGTTAATAACTATTGTTTGCCAATGAATTGTATTGTTGCTCCACTTAATGGTTGTGGAGGTATATACTTAGGAAATGTGGATGCAGCCTAAGACTCACAATTACTCAATTAACATAAAATTGGAGCTGTATTGTAAATATTAGATTAATCTGTTCCTGTTTAAGGAGCCTAAAAATTAGTAAATATTTTATCAATAAATTTAGTGGATTATGGCTGAGGATTCAGAAGACTTTCCTCTACATAAATATTTTGATTAAAGTATAAGATTTATAGAGAATTAAAGTAAAAAAACCAATGTGTTGATACATTGTTATGCTGGAATATCTAGATCTGCTGCAATTGTAGCTGCATATATGATGCAGAAATATAATTGGAGTGTTAATTAGACAATGCTTCATATCCAAAGTAAAAGAAGGATTGTGAGTCCAAATTCTGGATTTATGAAATAATTAAAAGATTTTGAAAGGAAATTGTAAAATCAAGATCAATAATTATCATTAAATTCATTTAAATTGGATATATAAAATTACAGGCCAAGTTCTGCTTTGTCAAATTACAATAATATAAGTACTCCAGCGAAGTAGAATTATAATAAAATAAATACATTAAGCACTAAATCATCTTCAAGATTAGATGATTTTAGTAGTAAACTAGATCAATTTAGACATTAATTGAGAGTGAAATAAAAAGCTTATTGAATTTACTTAATATAAACTCAATTATTAATATAAATATGTTTAAAGACTTAGGATATTAATTGTTAATTAAATGGAAACTCTGGAAAGTATTGGTAGTAATATTTCCATTTACATTTATTTATGGAATATATCTACTCTTTGTAGTATCTTCAAATTCAGATAGGAATTCATTTGATGGAAGTCAATTAATTCATGTTGAAATAAATAATTAGTTAGCTTAAACTTTAAGTTTGGCTGCTGAATAATATATGAAAGAATTTGGGAAGACAAGAGATATAAATTAATTAATGATGGAAAAACTCAGTAATTTGGGTTTGGAAACATTTTATTAGGAGAAATACAAAAATATAATAGCAAAATTGAAAGCACCAAGAAGTCCTGATTATGAATGCAGTTTGATATCATTTGAATATAATGATGAATATCCTAATATAAAAATTAGAAGTATTGCATATGTGTTGGCACTAATTAAATTATATTAATCAGATTGTATTAAAAAATATGACTATTCTTAGAAATCAATTATTTATCTAGAGATATAATATTTGTTGGCTATCATACAAAATATAAAAGATATGGTTAAGGAATAACAGCATTTTTAGAAGAATATGTAAACCCTTAGGGAGTATCCTTTATGCCAAGATCTGGAACTATTAGATCTTCGATTAATATTAATATTGATGATAAATTTGATTCTATTGCATTAAAAGTGTTTGGATTGAATGGCAAAGTTTCAGATAGAGATTATTATAATAGTATTAATATGATTATGGAAAAACAAAATTTTTAATATTAATTTACAGAATCTAATTATTATTGGATGTAATAACTTGAAAAATACTTAGAAAAGGAAATAAGATCATATTGGAAATTATTACAATTAGATTCCATTTATTAAATACCATCTAAAAGATTTTTATTTATGGACCCTTACTTTTCAAATTAGATTGAGATGTTTTAAGGAGATTTACATGATGCACATTCTTATATTATGAAATATGGAATATATTCATTAACATTAAGAGGATATAATACTTAAAATAAAGATGATTCAGTTTTGCTTACTAATAAGTTATTATTGGTTGGAGAAGCAAGTATTAAGGCTTTAATGGCAAATGATGAATTTATCCATTCTGGTTCAACACTTTATATACCATTAAACAGAAGTTTTACATTGACTATATAGAATTATTGTTTGCCTTATGTATTTGTTATATTGAGTTGTGCCATCTTTGCTATAAAATCTGTTTATAGTAGATGGCATTTTAATTTATTCAATGATGATAAAAAGGAATTGGGTAGAAGTAATTCTATGGTTGCACATAAAGCAATAATTGAAATATTTATGGGGTTTACTTTATGTTTCATTCCAAATATACTAAATTATTTGGATAATAAATAATTTGATTATTTTGATTAATATTTTGCGATTATGTTGACGATCATAGTGATTTATTTGATAATTATATATTCTTCTAGGAAATGGATATTTGGATAATTTTCATTACCTCGTAGAGAAAGTGTTGCAGAATGGTTATGGGTTGAATTAGTGATTCAAGTGTGTTTTGTTATGATGTATGCAGGTATAGTTCACATACCTATAGCTACTTTTATTGCCATATTCTTAGGACCTTGGTTTTTCTTTATTTAACCATTAAGATTTAAACGTATTATATAATATTTTATTATAGCTAATTTCAAAATCTGGGATATATTCTCATATGTAATCAATTTATTGTTTTTATATGGATATTTCTAGATATTATCATACTTTGGATTTGATTAAATGCTTGCATTTTACAAATAAGTGGTCATCAATTATAATGAAGTTGGAGTTTATTTATTTTATTACTTAAATGGTGCTTTGATTCCATCTTTAATAAGATTTGCTGAGTTATTGTTATTTTGATATTTGATATAAGATAAATTTATATTTTTAATTAAACATAAAAATGAATAGTATTTTATATTAAAATACAAGAAATAATATTCTTCATTCTGATAATGGTAGATGTATAGTTAATTAAATTAATAATTAAATTTATAAGTAATCATGGTGATTATTATTATTTTAATTTGTTTTAATATTTATCTAGTTGAAAGTGTAAAGTCTGATTAATCACTTTCATTCCCAAATAATCAGAATTCAAAATTGCCAATTTCTGACTTAATTTTTATATCTCATCTGTATACCTTAACTCTTATTCTTTAAGTTTTTATTCTAATATATCTACTGACTCAATTCTAATCTTAATATTCTTTAATTCTGTCTAAGTCTATAGTAATTCTTAACCTTACTATATTAATATCAATTCTTTTATTGCTAATTCTTCCTGAATTACTTTTAAGCTTTTTGAAGTCTCTACTAATTCTCTTCTTAATTCTTATATTTTCATTACTAATTTCTAATTCTCTTCTTGTTATAGGATTAATTCATCTACATTTTATGGGTTAAAATAATTAGATTAAACAAAACTTTTTATTTTTTAATTATTCCCTTTTTTCTTTGAACTTTTTTGAGAATCTTTTGGAGATGTCATAGTTTCAGTACTACTTACACTTGGATCTTTTAATTATAATTCATTTTTTAATTATTCTATTTCTTCATTCAATTCCTTTATTTTCTTCTCATTTACTTTACTTTCTGATTAAATAAAGTAGTAATCACTTACTAATTAATCATACTATTTTCTTAAAGTATTCAAATCTATTTATTATTGATTATATTGTTTTTATAATTGTTTTTAATTATCAATTGAAATTTAATACTCTTAAACCATCTTATCCATCTTATCCCTAAATTCCTCCCCTACTTGAACACTCTTATTTTCTAATTATACTGTTATTTAAGTTTCTCTATCAATATTTTCTTTACTGGATTGAAGTGTTTCCTTCAATCTCCTGTTCTCTAAATCATAGTCTTTTAGAATTAATTTATATTATTCAATTTCCTTATATATTTCATCTTAATTCAATATGCCAATTTCATGATAGAACTTACCATCTGTTTGAACTAATTTCGATATTTATTCCTTGATCTTGTTTGTTGGTGACCCCATTTATTTCATACCATAGATTATTCCTAAATCGAACTCAGTTTATTATGTTTACTAAACTTTATTGTTATTTAAATCAGTTTGTGTATTTTGAGAAACCTTTATCATCTAAGTTTTTTTGATTGAATCCTAGTACTCTAATTTTAAAAGCAATTCCTTTTTCTATTAATTAGACTAAAGGATCATATTCTTAAAACTGAGAATCTATTTCTCATATTGTTCTATCGATTTATCTTTCTATTTTATTATCTCATTTAATAATTCCCATCTCTTGTCTTCACATTGTATCTACTTATCAACAGAAACCTTAGCTTTATCCTTATTCTTCAATATTATTAATTCATTTGTTAATCTCTCCACTTATTCACGTAACTATTATTCTTCATTGCTATTTGGCTTACGATTTTGCATAGAATAAGATTCTAGTAAGTTTCTCTTAACTGTCTCACCACCTGATTCAAATAGCTTTGAATGTCTTGTATGCATATAAAAATAATTAATAAATTTGAGAACGATGTTGAACTTCCTTTTCTAATACAATTGCTATTAGAAAAATCTAAAAATTATATACTGTACAAAAATACTTATATCCTTCTTACATAAACTTATAGTTTCTTCAAAAATAACTAATGATTATTCAATCATTCTTATTCATCCCTTCTATTTTAAGGTTGCTATGATTGCAAATCTACTTCAAGGTCTCTTTTCTCTAAGAGTTTTACTCTTAAATCTATATTAAGCTAACATAATAAAATTTTTATGTTAGATAATATTAATTATAATAGATTTAATGATTTTTAGCTTATAACAAAACTTAATATCATAATCATGAGTAGAAATTTAACATTAAAATTATTCTAAATATATTTCATTAAAATATTAAATAAATTTCATATATATAAATTTATAAATAAATGAAAATAATAATAAAAAAGTTTTTGAATTTTTATAAGAATATATTTTATTTGAAATATCATTTGATCTTAATAGAGTCAAAAATAAATGTCAAATTTTTCAAAATTCAACTTTAAGCTTTTAATTACATCACATGAACTCCAATCTAATTAATCAATTGCTTTTTAATATCTTTTTATTTCACTTGTATAAACTGATTTGTTTATTAGTCTCATATAATTTTATTGTTTTAAACTAGTTGCATCGCATTATCTTTTCAATTAATTTACATAATTCTTTTCAACATCATAATCAAATTTAAGAAGTTTTTCTTACGAGAATTTTTCTTTCTTAAATTGATCCCCTACAAAGTATTTGACCTCATTTATTAAGTTTATACTTGTAATTTATTTGAAGTCCTCTACACTGAATATTGCAAACTCTTTTAAAATTAATATAAAGGTTATTTCTTAAAAGGAAATTAGAAAGCCTAAGATGCAAAGTAAAGGAATGTTATTAAGAGAATTAATTTAATTATGCTATTCAATAATTTAGCATAATGTGCATTATGTTAAGATTTCTTTGTTGTTTCTTTTGTCTCATTTCTTGCTGCACGTCTTTAAAATTATCTTTTTAAACTCTTGTTTCCATTAATATAATAAATATATTACTTATGCAAATAGTTCAAATTCTTCATCTGGTTAGAAATGTCTATAATATTTGTTTTAATGAGGATGAGCTTATGGTTTCTATTATTAATAAGTGTAACTCTCTCTTTTTTCAGGAGATGACAAAGTTGAATAAGCTTCTGAAATCTTTTTGAATACCTCTTGTGCATTTTCATCATTATTTTTATCTGGATGATATTTCAATGCTAATTTTCTATATGCTTTCTTAAGTTCATCATCACTTGCATTTTTCTAAACACCTAATATGTCATAATAATTCTATAATTTCAGAAGTTGATTTATATCCTCTTTCATTTTTTAGATGTAAATATAAAAATAATAAACAATTATAACATAAATTAATAATCATGAAAATGAAATTTAATGTTAAGTATGATTGTTTGACTACTCATTCTTTTAATTCTTAAATATAATTAAATAAATCTTATTACCTATGGACTAATCTGTCTATATTATTGAGATTTACTCATCTCTACAGGTAATCCATTTAACTGTTATCTAATTTTACCTATCATTCTATTTTAAGGTTAGAGATCTAATGGTAATTCATTTCTTTCGACTAAAGGAGGATTCTTAAACTCAATCTATCTATATATGAAATCTCCCCAAGTTTCTCTTGGGTCTATGACAGGATCTAACAATTATTATTTTTTAGGTTTTTCATAGATATTTGGAATAAGTTCATATTTTGTTCTCAAACGTAAATGTGTTATCATTATTTCATAATTTACATATCTGTAATCATTATCTTTGGCGAATTGATAATAAGAAGTGAACTCGAGAGTTTCTTGTATGAATTCAAAAAGAAATAGAGCAGGTCTATAATTTCCATGTAGAATAGCATAATCCAAAGCTGAGAATCCTTGATTTGAACGTATAGTGATATCAGAACCAGATTAAATTAATAGAGAAACTAATTTTTGATTATCTCTTTTGCAAGCCCACATGAGTGGAGTGATACTAGAAGAACCTCCATCATTTGGATTAGCTCCTATCTAATTTTATTATGAAATAAAATCTACATCTAAAAATAATTGAACTAGTGTCATATCATTTCTCCAAGCAGCTCTTGCTAAGGGAGTTTAAAGAATATCTTGAGCAATGTCTTCATTAATTAAATTTGGTGACTTTTCTAAGACAGATTGAATTTTTTCAATTTTCGTCTGGTCAATATATCTTAAGAGCCGCTCCTTCTAATTATGATTTCCCATTAAATAATAATTATTAAAATACTCATCTATTAATATGTTGTCCTAATAACCCTAATAATCATAGAGTAAAACTCTTAGATGCAAGAGGTGTAATATTGAGGTTCCCAACTCCAAATTATATGAACATTATGAAATTTGTTAAAAATAATTCTTAATAGACTAACCCAACTACAATTAAGTTCACAAAAATACCAAACCTATTCTTAATGATGATTAAAATACAATAAATCAATCTTCATCTCACATTATTAGTTAAGAGAATAATATATAAAACAATAACACTTTATCAAATTCATAATCAATTGGTTTTAAGATGGTGAAATAATGTGATTCTTGCTAATAGTATTTTCCAATAGATATTTATTATGAACATCAAGATCAATGTTAAAGAGAGAAATAATTATAAAAAAATAATGAAAATTAGATGGATATGAGCACATTGATTTTTTAAACTTCATAAGAAATATATGTAAATAAATAAAATACAGATTAAGTTTAAGATGAATTTGATTCAGAAATTGTACGAAGTGATTATACAACAGGAGGTACTTATAAAAGAACTGTCATCAAAAAAGATAAGAAAACTGGATTTACTAATTATAAGACTTCATATCAGAAGAAATAGAATAAATTTTTGGATGATAAATATGCAAATAAAACAAATTAGGAGATTATAAGTAATGATGAGAAAGATAATTAATCTTATTAGAATCAATAAGACTTTCTAGAAATAGACAATTTATCAACACTACAATCAGAAGATGGTATAAAATGTTCTATTTGCAATTAATAATATGAATAACTAGATTAAACCAAACGATTTGAAGCATGTAAACATTAATTTCACTTAAATTGTATCTAAAATAAGCCTTGTCCTATTTGTGCTGCACAGCCATTATAAAAATAATGAAACATGCTTTCTCAATTTTAATTATTATTATTATTTCTTTAGTCACTATCTTTTAAATTAGTTATTTCTATTTAAATATCATCTAAATGATCTGAATTTATAATTTCAATAATTGATTAAAATAAGTAGAATAATCATTTTTATTATATACTAAATAATTTATTTTACAAATCAGAATTTTAAATAACTTTTGATTTTCAAATCAATGGATAATATAAATAAAGATGTATATAATAGTATATTACTTTATTCAATTATAAGAATAAGGTTAAACTAAGATTTTATATTAAAGAAATAAAATAATCATTAATAATAATGATATTCAATAGAATTAGTGAATAACTAGTTAATATAATATATATTACTATTTAATTATGACAAATAGTTTATATTATACTGTTGCTTTTGGATTGAATAGATAAATATAGGAATTTTTAATATTAAGTTGAGAAGAATTAAGAAAAATTTGATTTAAAGAATTTCTTATTTGATAATTCATTATAATAATTAATATATATTTATATGTCAAAAGAAGAAGCAGTAACTGCGACTTTAAAATAGCGTTTATCTGCAATTTAGGATAAGGAAATATTCTTTGAAGATAGAGACTCTTTTAGTGAAGATGGGGTAATGATAAAATTAAGTTTAGAAATACGGAGAATATGTATAAAAGTAGAATAGAGAAATTTTGAAAAAGGTTCAGGAACTTTTGCATGATGGACAGTCTACTGTTAATTAACAGGAGGAATAAAGTTTTGCTGTAATGAATGAGAATCAGAAATAAGAAATTTTAGAAGACTTAGAAGAAGAATTTGGATAAACATATGCAGAAACAAAGGTGAAAGTCAATACTTATATAAAACTTATTCCTAAAAATGAATTACAATTGGCATAAATTTATAGTGACAAGTAATAGAAATGATTATTAATTAGATATCCCCTGTTAGCTATTCGAAAATAGATTTTAATATTTACAAAACTGATATCATCTTATGCCTAAATAATTACTACACATCCACTATTTGAATTTATGACATTGTTAATGATCATTTTCAACTCAGCAATGATTGCTATTGATGATCCAACTACAAATGATTAAACATCCTTCTAAGATTTAACAGATATCATTTTTTTAGCCTATTACACAGCTGAGGCAGTATTGAAAATAGTAGCATTGGTAAAATGTTATAATTATTCAGGGATTTATATTTCCTAAAAAAGCTTATTTGAAAGACACATGGAACATCTTAGATTTTTCTGTAATTGTAACTGCCTATATTCCTTATTTTTTGGCATCAAATTCAGTTAATCTGAATGCTTTGAGATCTTTTAGAGTTTTGAGACCTTTAAGAACTGTGTCTTCAATAAAAGCATTAAGAACAATTTTGTTAGCATTATTTGCATCAATAGCTTAATTGAGAGATGCTGTTGTGGTTCTGATATTCTTTTATTCAATATTTGCAATTGCAGGAGTCTCTTTATTTTCTGGATATTTAAAAAGAAGATGTATAGGTGAAATGAGTGGAATTACATGGATTTCTGAGGAAATCTTATTTTGTGCTGATGATAATAATTGTCCATTTCCAGAGGATACAATATATAATGAGAATTTCATTTGTGGAAAATAAATAGCTAATCCTTAAAATGATTTGGTTAATTTTGATACATTTGGATACTCCTTTTTATAGGTTTTCATTATAACCACATTAGAAGGATGGACATAAATATAAACTGCAGTTATGCTCACTTTTTCTTAAATAGTAGTTTTATATTTTATAATTGTTGTTATTGTTGGAGCATTCTTTTTGGTAAATCTTACATTAGCTATTATCAAATTAAATTTTAAACCTGAAAAAATTCAAGAAGAATTAGCATAAATTAAAGAAGAGATAGAAGAATATGATTATAGATAACTTAGATAATTAAAATTATATGATCCACAAAGACCAAAAGTAGATACTGAAGGTTATGGTATAACATGGGATAAACATCATGATTTTGATCAGAATGCAATTATGAATCGAAGAAAGAATTCAAGAGGAGGGGCATCTTAACTGAATATGATTAGATAAAACAATTTGAAAAAATTGAGAGGAAAAAATAAAGTAAGTTTTCAACCAATTAAATCTGCAGTCTATTATAGTAATCCAATTGTATTGAAAAATAAATAATTAAAAATTGAAGGAATATATGGAATGGGTAATTAGAGTAAATTGAATTAATAAAATATAGGAACTGGCTAAAATAATAATAACAATCGATCAAGTATGATAAGAAGAAGTAGTCAAAGTAGTAATAATGATGAAAGAACTTCTTCTAAAAAAGATGATAAGAATAATAGTAATAATAACAATAATGAAAATGAAAGTTTAAGTAGACCTACAAGACTTATCCCAAGAAAAAGTATGTAATTTGGAGATCAACCAATAAGTTCAGAATTTCTGAATTCTCCAATGATGGATTTATAAAATGAAAATATTCGACCATTAAATGGAGGCACCATGCTTGTTCATCATAGAGGATCTATGGATAGTAGTAAGAGTGGTGAATCAAGATAAGATAAAACTCCAATTAATAATCATTTAGAAATACCTAAATTAGGAGAGAGTATTTAAATTAAATAATATTTTAGTTAGACAATAGTCTTAGAATGTGAAATCTAATTAAAAGTTTAGTTTAGTAGCAGGTATGAAATATTAGAAACCTCCAAGAAACTCACCAAAACCTGATTCATAAAAGTCATTAGATTAGAATGAATTTGATAGTGTAAATTTGAGTGAGTTGAATACAATATCTGATGATGATCTTGATAGAAGATTAGAGGAAATGGATATATTTGTTTAGGATAAGAATGGAGATTCTGAAAGTGAAAATAAAAAGAAATAAAATTTAAAGGAATTGAATAGATAAAAAAGAATGGAAAATAGAAGATTAAGAGATTTAAATAAAAATGCTTAATAACATTTAGATGATGCATCTTTAAAATTGAAATCTAAATTATTCAATACTAAATTTTATCCAATTATAATAATTGATTAAGAATTTTGTAGTGTAAATGATGTTTTAGTTTCTAAAATGTTATTATAATTAGAAAAAGAAAAATTAGAATAAGAATAGAAAATTAAAGAAATGGATATTAAAATTACTTATTGCTTCAAAAATTCTAAATAATCATTAGAATTAAAAAAATCAAGTTCTGGTAAAATTAAAAGTATGACTAAATCTGGTTATATAAAATCTGGAATGAAATCTAAGAAAAATAATTTAAGTTTAAGAAGAGTATAACCAATAATGGATGAATTACATCCATTTGAAGATCTATAATTTCCAACAGATAAGAATTTTGAGAATTAAGATGATTAAAATTAAGAAAATGCCAATGAAAATTCTGATTCTGATGATGAACCTGAGGATGTAAATAATGAAAAGACTAATAATTTTAATGGAAGTGCAAGTTAAAAAATTAAAATAAAAAAGAAAAAAAAAGAATAAGAGTAGAATGATAAATTAGATTTTGAATAAATGGGTGAAAAATTTATGGAGAGTTCTGATTGCATAGTTGATTTAAATAGAATTCATTCAGTTGAAATTGAAAAATAATTTAATTAACAAGAATTAACACTAATTCCTGCATGGGAACTTGAATAGTAAAAGGGAGTTTTCTATTAAGAATATTAAGATATTAAATAAAAAGATATTGGAGAAAGCAAAGGAGCTATTACTGCATAAGCATCTATTGAAGATGTTTTATTAATTGCTGATTATACATTTTATGATTAAAAATTTGCAAAATAGATGAATTCAGTAATGAAAGCTTTAAATTATTCAAAAAGAGAAACTTTTATTTACCTATAAGGATTTGTTGGATTTTTAAGAGTATGTTAAAATCATTTATTATATTTTGTTTAATCTAGTTATTTTGAAGCTGCAATGAATTTAGCTGTTGCATTAAACACTGTTATTTTAGCTCTAGATGGTCTACTACCAGATAGTAGTTCGAATACTTTAACTTAGTTTAATTTAGGATTCACTATCTTATTTACAATAGAATTAGGATTAAAAGTAATAGGAATGGGACCAAAAAATTATATTTCTGATACTATGAATATTTTTGATGCTGTAATAGTAGCTTTGAGTTTAGTTGAACTATTTTTCCTTGGAGGAACAAGTGGGAAATCTTCATTGTCTGCCTTTAGATCGGTTAGAATATTTAGAGCTTTTAGAGTTTTGAGAGTAACTAAATTGATGAGAAGTTTACAATTTATGGGATTCTTAATAAAAGTATTGGGAAATGCATTTTAATCATTTATGTATATAATGATTTTGTTGTTGCTATTTATTTTTATTTTTACATTATTAGGAATGGCTTTTTTTGGAGGATAATTATCTAAAACTCCAAGTAGATAGAGCTATGATGATATTTAAAGTGCCTTTTTGGTAGTATTTTAAGTACTCACATTAGAGAATTGGAATAGTATTTTGTGGGATTTATTGATTTAAGATGTTTCTGCATTTATTACAGTACCATATCTAGTATTTTGGATTATGATTGGTAATTATGTCTTTTTAAATTTGTTTTTGGCTATTTTATTAGAAAATTTTGAAGAGGAATATAAGAATGATAAAGCAGGTCTAGACACTAATATTGAAATTGGACAAGATTCTATTATGGACAATACAACTTAAGCTGTAAATTCAACGAGTACTTTGAAATCTACAATGAAAACAAAAAAACATACTGTTGCTTAACAATTAGAGAATAATGGAGATCTAGAGTCTAAGAAAAATAAATAATTATAGTAAGTATTCTAATATTTTGTTGAACCTGGACTCTGTTAATTTTCATTGTACATTTTTACTCAAGACAATATTATTAGAAGAATATGTTATAGGATAGTTAAGGATGATAAATTTGAAACACTTATTTTCTTTATGATATTTCTCACATCAACTAAATTAGTGTTTGATACTTATATTTCAGATAGTGGATAATTAAAAGAAGTATCATTATAAATTGATATTTTTTTTGCTGTATTTTTTGGAGTTGAAATGTTAATGAAAATAATTGCTTTTGGATTTGTATAACAAGAGAGTTCATATTTAAGGGAATCATGGAATATATTAGATTTCTTTATTGTTATAGCATCATTTATTGATGTAAGTGTTTCAACAATCAATCTGAGTTTTGTGAAGATTTTAAGATTGCTTAGAACATTAAGACCATTAAGGTTTATTACTCATAATAGATCAATGAAAATTTTAGTATCAGCATTATTATAATCAATTAATGGTATATTTAATGTGTCCATTGTTGTAATTTTAGTTTGGATGATGTTTGCAATTTTAGGAATAAATTTATAGAAAAATAAAATGAATTATTGTGATATGGGAGATGATGAAGTTTATTATCATTATGGTCCAATTGAATGTGCATAAAATGGTGGTGTTTGGGAAAATAGAAAAGTTAATTTTGATAATATTTTGAATGGTATGTTGACATTATTCATATTATCAACATTGGAAGGTTGGCCAGATATAATGTATTGGTTTATTGATGCAGATGAATCAGGACCAATTAAGGGAGCTTAATTATAATTTTCTTGGTATTTTATTGTATTTATTTTGATTGGTTCAATATTATTGATGAATCTATTTATTGGTGTTATATTGGTTAATTATCATTTAGCAGAAGAAGCTTCAAGAGATAAAATTTTAACATAACCATAAGTAGATTGGATTGAATTATAAAAATTGATTGTTCATGCTAATCCAAATTTAGCTATGTTTTTTAGTCCTGAAAATCCTTTTAGAGCTAAAGTGTTCATTATTATTAAACATAGATATTTTGATCCAACAATTTTAATGATTATTGTATGTAATATAGTAACTATGGGATTATCATAAGATGATTCTCCAATTGAATATGATAATGTATTGTAATAACTAAATACTGCATTCACTTTTGTATTTATAACTGAAGCAATTTTAAAGATTATTGCATTAGGACCAGTAGGATATATGAGAAATTAATGGAATCAATTTGATTTTTTTGTAGTCTGTGCATCCATTTTAGATTTGATATTATAATTTACTGGAAATTCTTTTATTTCATTTTTGAGTGCTGGACCATAATTAGCAAGAGTATTCAGAGTACTTAGAGTAACAAGATTATTTAGATTAATTAAATCATTTGAAGGATTGTAGAAACTTATAGAAACAGCAATTTATTCATTACCTGCTATGTTAAATGTAACAGCTTTATTATTTCTCGTTTTTTTCATCTTCTCTATTCTAGGTGTATTTCTATTTGGTTCAATTAGAAGTGGATGGGCAATAGATGATGTGAATAACTTTTCTGATTTTCATCATTCATTTGAATTATTATTTAGATGTTCAACTGGAGAGGATTGGTATAAAGTCATGTTTGATACTATGTAAGATGGTTAAGGTTATTATTGTATATTCTTCATTATTTTTATTGTAATATAGTAATACATTATGTTGAATCTATTTATTTTGATCATTTTGGATTAATATGAAATCAATTATTTCAATAGTGATAATCCTCTTAATAAATTTTAAGAATATGAAAATATGTTTATTGAATCATGGTCTAAATTTGCTAAAGAAGATAAAGGAATGAAGATGAATTAATAATTATTAGTACCATTATTACTTGATATGGAAAAACCTATTGGTTATGATTTGAAATAGAGATTAAATGATGAAATTAGTGAATGGAGAAGAATCAATCCTTAATTGGATACAAAGGAGAATGTTTTAAAGCAAACTCAAATTCTCAAAGCTTAGGCTAAAAGAGCTGTTTCAACTTAAATTATGAAAATGAACATTTATTCTGATATCACAGGCTAAGTCAAATATCATTAAATATTATTTTCAGTTATGAAATCCTATATGTGGAAGAAAGTATAGATCAATTTAAGTCCAGAAGGAGCTGAGAAAATTCTATAAAAAGAAGATGAAACATAGAAAAGATTAAAAAAGAAATAGGTAGGTGTTCAATCAAAGGAAGTTACTTTGGTTAATCCTATTGTACAATTCTTATTTGTTCATATGGCTTTTAAAACTTTAAAACGTTATGGGGAGAAAAAGAAATAATAAAAAGAATTATAAGCTCAATTATTACTTGAATAAGAATAAGAACATTATAGTGATGGTTTTAGTTCTGATTCCTCTTTTGATAATAAAATAGAGATACTATCAAGAAATTCAAAGGATACTGAACATCCAAAAAGACCAGATTATGGTAGAACAAAATATCTAACACTTCCAAATACAGAAATATATAAGGAAGAAATTTATATAAATTAAGAAACACCAATAGTAAATGATTCAGAAAGAAGTTCAAAAGAGGAAGAGGAAGAACCAGATGAAGATGGTATATATTTTATATTATTCTTTTTAAGTCATGTAATAGTATACAAAGGATTTTAAAAAGCATCTCATTAATCCAAATGGATCTGTAGGAAATATTTAGGATGATAAAAGTGCTAGTAATTTAGGTGTAGGTGGAGGAGCTACAAGAAGCAGTTAGTCTCGAACTAGTCAAATGACAAAATAGCCTAAGAGACTGACTCTCAAACCTAGTGATATGATTTAAGGATTGGGAGCAAGTAAGAAATCTATTCAATCCAATCAACCAGTCATTAATTAAAATCCTAATGTTTCTTAAGACAATCCATCAATTATGAATCAAAGCAGTGGAAACAGTGCTAGTAATAAATGATTAATATATAAATTTGCCAACTTAAATATCCAATTATTTATTAAATTAAATATCTTGAACATGTTCAGAAGGGTATTAGGAATCTCTAATAGATGCACTCCTACTCGTTTACGATACTTGAGAGAGTATGTATGTTTAAGAGAGGCTACAAATCAATCAGCTTAATAAGCCTAAATAGCTTAATTCTAATAGGTGTCAAATAAATATGGATTGTCAGTTCCACAATTATCAACTTTATCTGGAATATATTAATTAAGTCAATTACTAAGACCATAAAATTTCCCAAATCCTAATGATTATAAAGTAACTCAATTTTTTGAATATTCATAGATACATGTTGAAAAATTAGAATTATTATTCAGATAAACTTAACAAAGTCATGAAACACTAGCTCAATTTGCACAATCCCTCGAATATAAAATTCCAGAAATAACAAAACTTACTAATGATGCAAGAAAATAAGCTGCCTAAGAATTGTTTAGCATTTATTTAGAAGGAATTCATTATGATAATTTAGTCTCACCGTAGAGATTATATAATATTTTAGAGGTTATGTTTAACAATTGGAAACAATTTACAGACAAAGAACAACAGCATCCATAAAAAAAATATAAGCAGAAGTTAAGGATCCATAATTAGCAGCCTAATTATCATAATCACTTGAATCAATCTTTGAAAATTATTAATTCAACTAAGGAAGGTTATATATATCTTCTAATTTAGATATGTTGGTTTGATTAAATCATTCATAGACTCTCTTTAAGGAACAGAAGTTGAAGTAGCACAAAAATTAGATTAACAAACTCAAGAAAAATAATTATTTATTCAAACTGTAGATAAAGCAACTAAATAATTCTCTGCTGAAGATTAAGAGTATGCTAGAAATGTTGATGGACATGATTACAAATTATTCTTATAAGAATTATATGAAAAAGAATATTAATCAGGATTTGCATAAAATAGATTTAATGAAAAAGGATAAAAATTAGTTTATGAATCATAGGCATAAGAACATCATGTTTTAAGATATTAAATATTAGCAGGAGTATTTGCTGGTTATTTCCTCTATTTATTCTATAGAGGTGATGCTTATTACTCAACAATTGTAACAGTTCCAGTAGTTGCAGCAGCATTTTTCTATTTAGCTAAATAGGGATAAGTAATAAATGTGTTTAATAAACTAAGGCAAAAAGAGCTATTCCATTTGTTAGATAAGTGCTCAAAAACACTGATAACACATATGAAGTTGTTTTTGAATAGAATCGTATTATTAGTAGAATAGAAAATGTTTAACCAGGTTAAATCAAGTAATTACTTATGATTATTTTTCTTTAAGACTTGCTCAAGATACTTAATTTACCAATACATTAGTTTTTGGAAATCCAACAGATTTTGGATATCATGTAAAGGTTGCTGATAATTCATTTATTGCACCATACTTATACAGTGGAAATGGTTTAGATTTTAGAGCATTCATTAATGTTTGATTCAATAATATAAATCACAATAAAAACAAAACTGTCATCCATTCTAAGACTCAACTTAATTATCAATTCCATATAAATCCATTTTGTCTTAGTTTTCTAATTCATCTCTATCTAAACAATTGAAAGCGAATCCAGTATGTTTTTGATTAGCAACTTATCCAGATGGTTTTTATGGTTATGGCTATACATTTGTTGATAGGTTTGGCAATCTTAAAGACATATTCTTGTTAACTTTAGATAAAACTCTATTTAATTTAATATTCAATGCAATATCAATGCTACTTATAGCTGCAATTACTAGAATATTTCCAAAATGAAAGTTTGGTGTTTAAAATAATCTAAATATAAAATTTATAATATACGATTCAAATACTACATATGCTTCTGCTGATGGTAAATTGTCTAATATTATCCATGATAGCAAATATGATATCATACTAAAAGCAATACTTCCCTAATAAATAAGTAATCAAAAATTACTAATAAGGCAGGAGTGTATGTATTAGAGAATATCAATATTTTAAGATTGCATACTACAACTACCATTCCAAATATCATAGTTCCTTAAGCCCATAGATGATGAGTAAAACCATTATCATCTACAAAGTTTTCTGATATAGAATAAGTTGGAAAGAAACATACAATAGCTGTTTACCAAAATCCACAAAATATCCAAAATAATACAATTTAAATATTAAATAAGAGACCTTTAGGACCTTATTGATAATAGTTTTGAAGTTTATTGTCAGTCAATTAATCAGCATCATATTCTTCATCAAATATTCCATAAATCATAATTGGTAATGCTCCATACAATATATTAAATAATTAATATATAAAAGTGTCATAAAGAGATTAAGCAGAATACATAGAGAGAATTCCATACCAAAATTGAGGTAAAACAACTAAAATATTTTTATAAAATGTATAACAAACCAAAACACTATTTCTACGATAACATTCTCTACCATGATAAAATAACAACCTTCTTAATTCTCTAAATTCCTATACACTATAATCAGCTGCTCTTGCTGCTTATTATCCTTCAACACCTCTAATACCAACACCAACATGAGCAGCTGTTATCATATTAACATCATTAGCACCATCTCCTATAGCTAAAGTTGAACAAGATTAATTTTAATTTCTAATTAATGTAACAACATCTTATTTCTATTTTGGACTAACACGACAACATAATACCACTTCACAACATTTTCCTATTTCAGAAACCTTTTTTTGAATATCTGGTTTTAATGCATGTAAAAGTGCATCTCCAGATATAATCAAAGCCTATCTTTAATTCAAATCTTAAGATCCAATCTTATTCAATATATCATCTAATCTTTCTTTTATCAAAGCTTCTTCTTTTTCATCAACAATATGCTACATTAATTAATTAGTTAATAAAGAACATGAATAACCAATATTAATTGCAGTCTCTATTTTATCTCCTGTCAAAACCCATACCTTTATACCTGCTGCTTTAATAGCAGCTATTGTATCAGCTACATCTTATTATAATTTATCTTCTATAGCAGTTGCTCCTAATATTTCATAGTTTTTTTCTAATTCATCTTATAAAACCTACATTTTCTCCTCTCTATTTTCTATAAGTTATGTTGCTTATTAATAACGTTTATGCCATTCTTAATACTCTTATTTCTCTAATTTTCTTTTTGATAACACCAATGTTCTTAAACCTATTTTACCATATTCTTCAAGTCTTTAAACTAACTAATGATATTCATTTTTATTCAATTCTTCATTTGATAATCTCACATAATCTAATAATACAGAGTCTGCTCCTTTAGAAAATAAATATATTTCTCCTGTCTTTATTACTTATACTAAAATTGATTATCTCTTTCTTTATGATGTAAATTCAAATATTTCTAATAATTAATATTCAATTATTTAATCTTAAAAACTTACTCTTTTTATATTATTTTCATCAGTTCCTAAAAATTCAAATCCAACAAATCTTGCAAAATTTAATAATGCTAATTCATCTGGAGATGTAGCATTATACATTAATTTTCCATCTCTTTATTCAGATATAACAGTATGACAAATTGCTATCATCATTAAACATTCCACTACTTTTTCATGCATCACATGATTTTTATCTTAAATAGCTTCAATAAGTGTTTTATCTCTAAAATCCACATTACTAACTAAAGGGAAATTCTATAATTCATCATCTGTTATATATTCTTCTGAACTTTTTAAAATGTCCCCATAATTTTAATTACCTCTATATTGAATTTATATTATATTACATTATAATTTATTTAAATTCCATTATATTACATGTTAAAGTTCCAGTTTTATCACTAAATATATGTTCTATCTATCCAAGTTCTTCATTTAAATTTGAAGTCTAAACTCTTGGTTAATTTAATTTCTCATCTAAACTCATTATTTTTCCTTATATGAATTTAACCATTTCTAAAGTAACTAACAAAGAAATAGGTACAAAATTATTAAAAATAAGCATCCAATTTCCAAATCTTACAAAAAAATTATATGGAATAGTATATTCTGAAGTATTAACATCTATATATAGATATGTTAATGTCATTCTATTATTATAATATTAAATTGAATAGACAAGAGATGCTATTACACACATTATAAATTGTATAATGAAAATCATCAGTATGAATTTTTACATCAATACTTCTAATTTACTTCTTTTTGTTCTTGCTTTAAATGAATTCATCATTATTTTTGTATCATGTCCAGTGTAAGCTACTAATCCAAAAATATATTTCACATTTCTTAAATTACATCCTCTTAATAAGAAATTGTTAAAATTTATTGATGACACTTATATATTAGATGTTGTTGTTTCTCCAATAAACTTATATAAATATGGAGTAGGTGCTTAGTATTTTAAGACTATTCTTTTATCTAATTAACCAAAACAATCATCAGATTTGAATATTTATAATAAATCGGCATGCACATTTTTCTATTTTAAATTTGTTTCCCCATCCAATGATTTAGTTTCAACATAACAAATTCCTTTCTTCTCACTTGATCTCAAAAGTAACATATCTGCTGGTATTATCTCATCTTAATGAACCTTCACTATATGACCTACTCTTAAATTAAATGAAGCTATTTTAACAAAACTAGTTCCATCAAATGCAGTCACTTGTTACTTGTTTTCTTCTATATCTGATTTTCTTCTCTTGTAATCTTCATAGAAATCCTTTGCTCCACTTACTAAAATAATAAAACCTAATGGTAAATATATTGTTGGAATTCCAGAACTGATTGAAACTTCTGGAACCATTTAAAGTGCTCCCATTAACTAATAGATAAAAATAATGACATACCACAAAATAAACATTAGCGAGCTTTGAGAATTACTCAAATAATTATTTTGGAAAAAAATTTAACAAAGTGTATTTAGATGTTTGAATGCTATTATCAGGTAGCATAAAATCTGGTCTATTGGAAGTTATTTTTCTATTTTTTGATTGATATTTCTAAGCATAATTACCTTTACTTTCAACATTATCATATTGATATTCTATTCTTATTTTAAAAAATATACCAAATAAATTTTGAGTTTCTCTATGATCTTAACTACTTAGAATATGAGGAGGTGTTTATAATTCTAATTAAATCATTTTATGATCTGTCATTTTGAGAAAATAAAATGTTTTAATATTATTAATCTAAATTATATCTATAGAACTCAATCTTGGTAAATAAAATTGAAAACCTTTTAATACATAATAAATATCATAATATCCATAATAAACATATATATTAATACTATCATGTAATTAATTAAATTTATTCAACCATTTCTTAATCATAACCATTATTCAACTAAATACTTTGATCAATTTTTAAACCAGTAAATTTTCTACTCTTTGCAAAGTATCTTAAGTAAAAAACTATAACAAATGACCAACATAATACAATATTCAAAACATTCTTTACTTAATTCTATACTAACTAATGTTAAAATTTAGATACATACATTTTATTTCTATATTGTAAATGAATGATAAATTTTACATAATGTTAACTATTTCTAAGTATTTGTTTCAATATGATCATTAATACATCTTGTAGAATTAATCTCAGCAAGAAATTAATTCTTAATTTACTTATTCATATTACATTTTATAATTGGAGTGTTCACTATAAAATTTATAATTTAAAATTCCTATCTTCCAATAACAGCTACACTTTATAAATTAGGATTATCTATTCTATTTTATTTAAATTTCTTTGTTTTAATTAATTAAGGTTCATAAAAGGATTTATGAGAAACTATCTTTTATTCAATGAAACCTAATATAATATTAAATTATACCTGAATAAATTGAATGATAAACAATTTTATGTTTATTATTTCCTATTAAAATAGCATATTACTCTAATACATTAACATCATTTATAATCATATCATCAAAATAGTGATTATTAATATAATATTAAGTATCTTATTTATTAACAAATATCTCCAAAACATAATCTTACTTTTTACTTGTTTTAGCAATAATGAAAAATGTATTGTTATTAAAATCAAAACTTTTAGAATCAGGAACATTAATTAAAAATTAATATTCATATTCAAATTCATTTCTTATTTAATAAAATTTTAAACCTTATTCTCTATCTAGAATAAATAAACCATCTTCACCATCACTTTTAATATCTACTATTTACCTGTAGTTTCGAAGTTAAGAATTTAAATTTTATTATAAAATTATAGATCCATTTATTATCTTATAAATATCTACTCCTTAATAACCTGCTGCTACAAAAACTAAATGATATTTATTGTTATAATGAACAGAATATATTTTATCTCTTTTTTATATCTAATCTTCGAAATTAAATTATATTTCTTTATGAGTATCAAGCTCTATATTAAAACTAACACCTTAATGTTGTGTAAAGATGAAGACTTTATTCGATTGATCATCAATAATTAAATAAGGAGTCTCATCTAAGTTTTACACTTTAATATTCAAAGTATTTTCAAAAGAATAATCAAATGTTCTTAAATAAATTCCATATGCAGATGAATTAAAATTTACTGAAAATAATTTGTAATCATTTCTAACTATAAAAGCTAAACTATATTTTTCAGATATTGCAATATCCATGATATATTTTCCTTCTTTTATACCTGTTTTGTCAAGCCAAAGTTTTAATTACATTCTTATATCAATATTTCTTTGAATTATTTGGCAATCTTCATTATTATAATGATCAATTTTCTCAAATTCAACTAAATTAATGTTGACGTCATTAATTTCTCCACTTATTCTTTTATGTAAATTTATAGAAAATATGTTTAGAATACTAAATTTTAGTTAGTTAAATTACTTTCCATATTGAATTTCAATTACTTCTTAAGATTCTGAAATGTAAGTACTTGGTGTAAGAGTCTCATTGAATATAGATACTTAAGGTCTCTTAATTTTTGTATTTAACACATTTTGTAATAAACAGAAGTAAAAAATAAAATTCATTATTATAAAATGTAAGATTACAAATATTTTAGTGATGATAATCCATACTGTGATCCTCCAGATGTATTTGAGCTATTTTAATTCTATAATCAATATTTCTTTGAAGGGATATTAGTTACTTGTACTGTAAAATGGAGTACTAGAATGACTCTATGTGCTGGTAAATATTTGTTTTTTATATAAAGGTACCTGTAAATATGAAGGATAGAAATCATGTACAATAACTCTTTCTGAACCACTTTTAAAATTTCGTTCAAATGATGAATTAAAATCTACACTTCTCCATGAAATGATTCATGCTTACTTATTTATTACTAAGCCATCTGAAGCATTTATAAATGAAGGTCATGGACCTGCATTCTTGGAAAAAATGAACTTTATTAATTAAGTTACTGGATTATAATTAAGTGTCTATCATCAATTTCATGATGAAGTTGACAGATGTAGAAATCATATATGGAGATGTAATGGTAGTTGTTAATAAAAACCTCCTTTTTTTGGTTATGTTAAAAGAGCTATTAATAGACCACCTGGTAAAACTGATTATTGGTTTTAAAAGCATTAAGAAGAATGTGGAGGGATTTTTGAAAAAATAAGTTAACCAGAAAAAAAACAACCATAAAAAAAAGTTTAGAAAAAGAAAAACTCTAATAATATAAAACAAGAAAAATTGATCAAATTATCCAATTTCTTTTAAAATGAACAAATTTATGCAAAATTTTAAATTAATTAAAAAGAAATAGCTATTGAATTTCTTATGGTTCTTAATTCATTATTAAATTTTGAACTTTTAAATCAAAAATTAGAATCTATTATTTAATGTTTAAAAGAGACATATTAATAAAATATTGAAAACTTCAATATTAAAAAACTAATTAATATCAAACAAAGTCTAGAAAAATGTAATAATATTACAATTCTTAAATGCTCTAAAGAAATTGGAGAGTAAATGAAAATACTTTCTATTACAGTTCGCATAAATGGATGTTCTCCTTAGATGAGTATATTAATGTAATTAAATAAATTATTGAAATGAAAAGCTTTATAATTTATATATGATTACCATTCTTAATAAGGCTGTGAATTTTTATACAAAAAATAAAAGAAGAATAGATCCTCATATTACAATTCTAGGACTCTACTTAACAACCAAATTCTTATTCAAAAAGACAAAACACATTCTATCAACTTTAATGCTTTCATAAGTTGATATTACTAATAAATATGGCAAAGGATCATATGCTTTAATCACAGGTGGAGCTGGTGGAATTGGAAAAGAATTTGCTATTGATTTAGCAAATAAGGGATTTAACTTAATTATAGTAGATTTCAATCAAGTCAATTTGGAATCTGTTTAATAAGAAATCCTAAAAATAAATAATAATCTTATGGTTAAGACAATACTATTGGACTTTAGTTAAGGCAATAATCCTGACTTTTTTAAGAAATTTCAATAAGAAGTATAATACTATTTTTATTTTAGATATCAAATTTAGATATCTCCATTTTAATTAATAATGTAGGAACAATCAAAGGAGCCACTGGTATTTTTGATAGATAACCTCTTTAAAATATTATAGAAGGGTTTAATATTAATTTTGTTACTGCAATTATGCTCACTCATGCAGTCATCAATTAAATGAATTTGAGAGATAAATATTAATCATTAATAATAAATCTAAGTTCTGCATCATCTAATTTTCCTTTACCTCATTATTTTGGATATGGATCATCAAAAGTAAATACTTTATAATTATTTTTTAGAATGGTATGGCTAACTTTTTTGATGCTTTAGCCTTAGAAAATAAAGATAATTAAAAAATTGATATATTAACAATAAAACCATACTTTGTGAGTACTGCATTGATTAATTATAGAAAAGGTTTATTTATTATATCTCCTCAATAATTAGTACAATAGACTTGGAAATATGTTGGTAGAACTACAGAAGTTATTCCAAACATAAGTCATCAATTATAATATTATTTTGATTCATCAATACCTATTTGGCTATTGAACAAAATTAATCAATTTTAAAGAAGACCATAAAAGAAATGATTGAGAAAATGAATTATCTAAAAGTAAAATATTAATAGTAACCATAATATATATTAAGTAGTCATATAAATATATCATAAATTAATAAATATTAAATAACATTTCAATATTTAAGATAAGTTATTATAATAGATAGTTCTATATTATAAGTATTCTTTCTATTTAATTTTGTTTATTTTATTGCAAATTTTGTTGATTAATTTAAATTTTATGAATAATATATGTATGATAATCTATCTAATATTTATTTATATATATTTAAATTAGAAATATATTTGACCATATTAATATACTATTAGTTTACTATATATGAACATCTTTTTATTTTCCTATAATAACTCAATAACTCAATTAAAGTTTTCTTTTTTTTTTGTTATTTTTCTAATTAATTTTTATGAACAAAAATGTATTTGATTTTTCTCTTTTTCAATTTTATTTTATTCTCTACTACTATTTTCTTATCATTTTTCTAGTTTTCATAATTTAAAGAAGAAGGTTTATTAAATTTATAAATTTATTATAATATTATTTTAAATAAGACATTTAATTAAGATTTGAATACTTACAAGCATCCCTGATTTTATTGAATTTCAAACAAAATTATTTTAGAAAAGAGTTGATGATTATTAAAAATGATTATTGACCATCATAATGGAATTTTAATGTTATTTATGATGTATTTTCGATTACCTAATAAAAATTAAAGTGCGTATTATATGCATTTCTAATAATAAATAAAATCTTAAATTTACATATGCAAGTCTAAAGAAAAAGATTCATAGGAGGAAATTGGAAGAGCAACAACACATTAGCCAAATCTCTTGAATTAGTTGACAGTGTTGTAAACAAATTAGAGTTTGATAATTTGGATGTTGTGGTTTCCCCAGTATCTTTACATATTGTTCCAGTCCAATAAGCAATTAAGAACAATGTTTAGGTAGCTCTTCAAAACATTGGACATAAAGGATTTGGTGCATTTACTGGTGAGCTCAGTTTTGAACACGTCAAAGATCTTAAAATTAATTGGGTCATCTTGGGACATAGTGAAAGAAGAAGAACCCCAGAAATTTAAGAGAGTGAAGAGTTTATTGCAACGAAAGCTGCTTTAGCTATAAACAATGGATTATCTGTAATATTCTGTATTGGTGAAACCATTTAAGAAATGGAAGGTAAAGAAACCTAAACTGTGTTGGAGAAACAATTGAATCCTTTAATTGCTTAAGTAAAAGATTGGAGCAAGGTTGTTGTTGCTTATGAACCAGTTTGGGCTATTGGAACAGGTAATATTATAAAATAAGAATTTTAGGTAAGACAGCAACTCCAGAATATGCTGAGGAAATCCATGCAAACATTAGAAAATTACTTCCAGATTAATCAATTAGAATTTTGTATGGTGGATCTGTCACAAAGGACAATGCAGCAGTTTTGATTGGCTAACCTAATATTGATGGCTTCTTAGTTGGAGGTGCTTCATTAAAGGAAGATTTCATCCATATTGTTAATGCTTGCAAATGAGTTCATATTAAAAAAATAAAAATTTAATAATATATGTTTTATTCAACTGAACCAGAACCCTTTCCAATAGCTGTAATTAGTTTAGAATTAGAGGATCAGACAGAAGAAATTAAAATATATGAAGGAGATGACATAGAAGAAATAGTGGAAAATTTTTGTTAATATAAAGGTCTAGAATAAAAGTATGTGAAATACTTGATTGATCAAATAAATCAATAATTAAAAAAAGAACCTTCTCCTAGATTCGGGGATAGTTTTGGATAAAATTTTAGAACTCAATAACCATTATAAACAAATCAAAGCTAATAAAGTGAAGTCTGCTACACTACTTAAGCAAGTAGTGTTGAAGAGAATTCTGCATAAAAAAGTTATGAAAAATGGTAATAACTTATGAATAAAAAGACAGATCTCAAATAATTATTGAACATGTCTTAAAATACAGTATAATGGACTGTTCCTAATACAGCAAGATGTAAATATTTCAAATTTATTATCATTTTAGCTTTCAACGAAAATAAAAAAATTACAGCAAATGAACGTCTTTATAGAGATGGATTAGATATTCAAAAAAATAAAAATGAGAAAGCTGAAATGATTAAGATTTAAAAATTATAATAAGAATCTAAATAAGCAACATTTAAACCTTTAATATCACCTAGATCTAAATTAATAGCATAATAGAAAAAAAAAGTAAGTAAACCAGAAAATAGTATTAATGAGGATGTATTTCATGCATAATAAAAGAGTTAAGAATAAAATAATAAGAAATTATAAAATAGAACATAAGTTCAAACATAAAAAAGAAAAGAGTCTCCTTTTTAACCTAATAAATAAATTAATACAAGTAGAAACCGTTCTCAAAATAGATCTGTTACACCTATATATGAAAAATTATTTAAATAAGCTTAAGAAGTTAAAAAAAAGAAAGAAGAATTTGCAAATTAAGAATTTCAAAAGATTTACACTTTTAAACCTTAAGTTAATCGTCCAACTACAAGTGTAGATCCTGAAAATTAAAGAATTCTTGTTTAAAAATTAGTATAAGAACATGATGATAAAAGATAAAGAATTGAAAAGAAAAGGTATAAACTTTAAATTTAATTTAGACATGAAATATAAATGTAAAATTAACCTACTTTCCATCCTAAAATTACTAAAGATTAAACATTTATTAAAGTTAGTAAGTAAAGAGATTATGAAGACTCTTAATTAGCAGTTGATTTATAAAAGATCCAATCTCGTTTAGGTAGTAAAAATTCTTTTAGTTCTTCTGAAACAAGAATTTAGTCATAATAAAGTGAACAAACCTTTTTTGATAATTAAATGATTAAAATTTTTAATTTTTTAGATGGAGATAAGGATGGATATATAAGCAAAGATAATATAGATTTACATAGAATAGATATTGATACTTTAGAAATAATTAAAGATGTACTATATTATATTGATGATAATAATATTATTGCCGATTAGAATTAATTTAAAAAAATATGTTACACTAATGGATTACATGCCAAATTCAATAAATCATGATAAATTTTTCATTTTTTCGAGATATTTATTATATATATCCCTCTAAATACTTTTATATTTATTTGTTAAAATTCTGGTTTTTAATTTTATGTATAAAATAATTTAACCATCATAAGAAGATAAAAAATATTTTGGTTAGAAATAAGTTCAATAAATTCAATAAGATTAAGATGGATCATTTTATGATGATATTTCATAAATACCAACTCAATTATAGAAAGAAGAATTAGAATAAATGCTTGATCTTATGCCTCATTTTGGTAATTCCAAGTTCTCTTAAAATTAAAAAAACTTAGATTTATGGAAATCTATTTAATAGATAGAAATGAGAATAAAAGAATAAGAGAGTAATTTTAAAAGAATCAATTTTGAACATCAAGAAGAAATTAAAAAATTAAAGAATGAGTTAAACTAACAGAAACATTTATATGAAACAAAGATAGATGAAATTAAATAATCAAGAATATAAAGCTCTAATTCTTAAATTCACTCTCCATATTCTACAGAAAATAATAGAGAATATAATTATCGTAGTAATAACAATTATACTGAGGTATCATAGGAAAAAAACTATTTATAATAATTAGTTCAGGATTTAAAATAACAAATTTAAGTCTTACAAACAAAATCTTTTTCTACTCCCTATTAAAATGATATTATATGGCAATAAAAATATAAATAAATAGAGCAATAGGATAAATCTAATATTGAGAGGATATCCCATCTTGAAACTTAAATAATAAATTAAAAGCTTTTCTATGAGAATGATACATCTAAATTGAAAAAATAATTAGATGAAAAAAATCAAGAAGAAATGATGCTAAGAAATTAGATCTAATAATTATTACAAGATTTAAATAATTACAAAAATAAAGTATTATATTTTTTTATTTTTAAGTTTAATTAAGTATCTTAAACACTTTAATAATAAAGTTAACAATATTAATCCTAAATTTATTAATTATAATTACAAACATAAAAAAACTATACTTTTGAAAACAAGAATCAGAATTAATAATTATTGGAATTGACAGAGTAATTATAAGCTTCGACAATATTACTTGAGAAGAAGATATAAGAATGCGAATTTTATAAACAAAAATTCTTACAATAATAAACCATTCAATAAAACCAATTCATTTATTCTCATCGTTAATCTCTAACACCAACAACTTAGAGAATATAAACTTAAAATCCAACTGTGTTTCCAATTCCAAATAAATAGCAACTATTTTAATAATTTTAATGAATAATCATAAAAATAATACTATTTAGATTATATACTAAAATACTCTTCTTTTTATACAATTTATAATTTTCTTGATCATTTGCTTAGTTCTTTTAATCTAATCTAATTTTAAAGTATAACAAATAATTGATATAACAAATTTCTTAAAGAATTAACAAATATAGAACAACAATTATGTTGAGGATATACAATGTAAATAAAATTTTATATTTGATGTACTTTAAATAAATACACTTCATTTGGCTTATTGCTATTATTATTATTATTATTATGTTTATTAGATTCTAATGTTGGCATTGTATACTCTGGCAATATTAACTTCAATTGTAGTGATTTAATCTTTTAAAAACACTATGTCTTCATCCTATATCAATAAATGGAAATACAAATTATCTAAGATTTGAACTGGCATTTTCTTTATTGGATGATAAAAGTGCTTTGGCTTCATTGAATTCAAATTCAACCATAACATTAGCACCTAACCAAAGAGCAACAGTCTTATTTTCTTTAGGTAAAACAGCTTTAGAATAAATAGTGTCTGTAATAAGAAAGTCAACAACTTCATCTTCTTTTTGATTTTCTAAATGTTCAACTATACTCAAAGCTCTTTCAATTTCTGGTAATTTATTTTGCATTGATTCTCTTTACTTGACTAATTGTGCCTCCATAAATTTATATTTGCTAAGCTCATATTAAATTAATTCTTACTTATATGCTTCTTATAAGCTTTCCATTAATCTTTAGACTGAATTTTTAGAGATTAATTCATCAATATTTTCAAAGAAAATAGCTTCTGGGATTTTTCTATTGTTTTATGCTTACTTTGTAACAAGGTCCATTTATATATTAATTATGATAATTATTTAATATATATATAATTGACATGTCTAATAATTAAACATTCAAAGATTTTCCAAATTAAAGCCATATTGAATTGAAATTTAATACAAAAGATCAACATGGACTGGAAAGAGAAGAAGCCTTATAAAAGTATCGAAGAAATGTAATCATCATAATTTTGATTATATAGATTAATTTACTTACAAAATTATTTGCATATGATGTAGACCAACCAGAATTGGAGAAATAAACTGATATCTTTTAATCAGAAAAATAAAATGGATAATATCAAATAAAGACACATCTTTTAGAAAGCATGAAATCATCTTTAATTCAATTATAAAATAGACACAAAGAAACAATTGAAATGTTTAAAAGAAAAAATGAATTATTTAAATAAAGAATAAATGAGGATAACAAGATTAATACTTAAGAAGAGTATTAATAGTTTATAAATGAATTGTAATCTGAAGATTTACTTTGTGATTCCCATCCATTTCTAGATAAAAAATCTTCATTTTATATGCAAACAAATCTATAATAACCTATTTAAGTACTAATGTGAATTATTCAATTATAGATAAGTTAAGAATAATGTTTAGAGTTGAAAGAATAATTAAAAGATGATCAATGCATTTTATTAAGTTGATTTATAAATAATTATTTACAAATTAATTTAATAAATTGTATTTTGCTTTTTATTAATTCCTTATTTAAGTCTTAAATAGATATCTAATAATATATAAATAATATTGTAATATTATAAACAAAAATACAATTATAATTCATAATATATATTTCTAATTTAATATAAATAATGTAATTAAATGAACCTAAAGCTATTTTGTTTAACAAATTGTATGAGAAAGATGTTTGCATTAGATGTATATTGAGATTGTTCAAAATTACAGAGAATAACTTATATAGAGAAACATAAGGATTCATTTAATTGTTAGTTGATATAGGAAAATTGATTGGAAATGAAAATGTAAATGATTATTTTAATAAAAAAAGAAATTAGTAGAAGAGTATGATTTCTTATACTATAAAAGAAAGTCAGAAATTATAGATTATGATATATTGCCTTAAACTTGTCATTCTACATTGAAGGATTAATTCATTAAAAATCCATTTCATACCTTTGATAAAATTAATAAATGTTTAATTTGTCATGGAATATTATAATGTTTGGATGATTAAAAATTCTTAGCAATATTAGTTAATGAGATATATCAAAGATAATATTAATATGAGGCATTTAAATTTTAAGTGAAAACACCTATTGGTTGCTAAATCAGATAAATAATGATTTTGAATTAATGTATAACAGAGATTGGTTTAAATGATCCATTTTATGAATAGATTATAACTCCTAATTTTGCAATAGACATTAAGAATTGTGTAAAATGGATAATGTGTAGTCTTTTAAGTGAATAATTAAAAGTACCTTGTGATATAAATGATGATAGATTTTAAATTTGTTTAAATTTTGAGAATATTGGAGATGATGTTAAATAATTTGAATAATTTAAATAAATAATTTAAGATATTGATGATAAAATGTGGGAGGAGAAAATTGCTAAGAAAGTACGATTATATTATAAAAAAGTTAAAAATGAATGATCCTTAATTAAAGGAAGAAATTAATAATAAATTATTATAAAAGAAAAATCTATAATCTTAACCTTTCTTACCTACTCAAAATAATTTAGAGAAAATATCTAAATTAAATTAAACTTAATTATCTTAATTTAAAATAATTAATGTTAATTATCCAGTTAAATTAGAAGTGACAACTAGTTATTAGAATATATTTATTAAAGGAAATTACATCAAATTAGGTAGATATATTAGCTAAACTCCATGGTTTATAAATGGAAATAGAATATATGCAGATTCTATTGAAGATTTAGTGAGTGCAGAGGCATGCAAGATCTTTAAACCTTCAAGTTTAAAGTTTCATTCTGGAGGAAGGGAAGATATAGATGTTAGAATGTTAGGGAATGGTAGACCGTTTGCAATTGAATTAGTTGATCCTCATTGTGGATTGTAGATTTAGACCTAAGAAATTCTTAATTAAATAGAATCTAATATAAATTCATAAAAAGTAGTAAAAGTAACTCCATTATAATATACTGATACAAATATATTTGAAGAATTAAAGAATTCTGAAATTAATAAAGTTAAAGCTTATTGTTGTATAGTTGAATGTAAAAATATAGTAAATGGAGATCTTATCTAATAAGCAAATTAAATAAAGGATTTAATCATTAAATAGAAAACACCAATTAGAGTACTTCATAGAAGAACTTAAATGGTGAGAGATAAGATTATCCATTCATTATTGATCAAATAAATTAATGAAAAATGGCTTTTGGTTTATGTACTTAGTAGTGCAGGTACTTACATTAAGGAATTTATTCATTCAGATTTAGATAGAACTGTTCCAAATTTATGTACATTATTATAAAATGAATGTGATATTTATTAATTAGATGTTATGAAATTGTATGAAAAGATTGATGAAGATGTTATTATTAATTTTAAAAATTTAGATACAGAATATGGAAGTAAAATTTGAGTTAAAAATAAAATATAATATTTTGAACCATTTAATCACTTATATATTTATTATTTTTTATTCAATATGATATAACAGGACCCTTAGGATAATTTAAGTCTAAAGATTCTTCTTTAATCATCAATCAAATTTAAAACTGAAACTTAAAGTAAATTTATTTAGAAGTTAATACCATTAAATGAAAATTAAATATTTCTTTATTTTGAAGGTAGCCTTTATGAATTATATGATATTGAATCATAATAAATTATAGGCAAAGGATAAATCGCTAATGATGTCAAATATTTCACTTAAATATATCCATAGTATATTATAACATTATAAATAGAACTTTATGTTTTCTTGACCCAGAAGATATGAAAGTTAAATTACTTGATCTTAAAACTCATCAAATCAATTAATCATTTGTTTTTGCTGCTAGTAATGTTGTTAAATAAAATAGTGATAAACAATTAAAAGATGCTTTATCTGATAGTAATTAAATAATTTATTCATAGAATTTCGTATTATGATATTAGATAGAGAATGTGATAATGTTCGATATCTTATTACTTAAGATTTAGAAAAATAATATTCAAATAATAATATATGTCACTTTATTATTAGAATCATCCCTCAAAAATACACACATGAAAGTGAATTTAATCTCAATCCTGTTTTTGAATATAACTATCCTAATTAAACAGGATAAACTGATTTAAATAACTGGTAAGTTGATCAAGAAACATTTGCTGTTTATGGATAAGATTTTGAAGTTGGTTTAGCAGAAATCTTATTGATTAAACCACATCTAATGGATAAAGCATTCTACATTATTCATATTAAAGATGATATTTCTTTCACATTAATAAATGTTACTAATTGGATACATCCTCATTTAATTGCTTTATGGTAAAATAATAACGATGGTAATGCTAAACCTACTATTTTTACAATTGATATAAGATCTTATTATAATGGCTAAAATTGGTTACCTGAACCAGATTATAATGCCACTAAAGTAAATTATTCAATTATCTAATATTTAAGGTAAGGGATGATTATGTTGGTGATTAACCTGTTACTTTTATAGATATCTATCAATTTTAATTATTATAAACATATGTTTTATAATTTAGATTAATTGGAAATGATCCAAAAATTTCATTAATTAATTATGCCAATATTGATAAACCTGATTTAATTAATGAATTAAAAATAGCTGACTTTTTCAATGAATTACCATCAAATAGATCATATTTGTTGTTATATAATGATGTAGAGTAAAATATATAAAATAATATTAGAGTAAAGAATGGAATTGTAGAGTTTAATATTGTGTTTCCAGTTGATGCAAGACATTAATTATTATAAATTATGGAAAAAGCAAAAATAATGGATAAATATGGAATAAATAATGTTGAAGAATTATTTGAATTTTATTAATGAAAATATCAAATTTCTTATGATTTTCATATATTTATTTAGAATAATAATAATAATTCATAAAAAATATTTTCTTTTTGCTACTGTTTGTTATGTTTGGATTTATTTAATATTTTTTATGTCACTATTTTTGAATATATCTGCATCAGAAGGTCTTATTGTACTCATTTTATTATGATCATTTATTAGTGATCCTTATGAATTCTAAAATTTATCTTATTAAGATCGATTGCTTGATAACTTAAAATATTTTTCAATTTATTCAATTGAACCATTTAACTATGAAATTACTACATCAACCTTAAATGATGGTTTTTCATTTGAGATTTTTTATGTTAGATGAAATAGCAATCTATCAAGTTTTTCAAAAATCTTATGTAATTCAACTAATCTTTTATCTTCAATAGCAATATTTGGGGAAGTATTTTATTATAATTCTAATTTTTCATTCATATCCTTTATGATTCTATTAAATTATGTAAAAATATTACTTTTCATAATATTCTATATCTGCTTAGAATTTAATTTCTAATGCATGATATTTACCACTTAATTCTTATCTTTCTTATAAGAGTAATGATAACTCATTATTATCAAATTTTAATTATTGTATAACTTTTTCTGATTCATATTTAACTTATTATAGAATATCAAGTTCTTCCAATATTTACTATCTTTCATTTTATAATTCATTATTTGTTTGTTTCAATTATTGAATTTCTTCTAAACATAATTCAAGTTATTATGAGGATTCCTAAAACTCTTTATTTTTCTAATGATATTCTTTCTATAATAATTCATATTTTTATTAAAATTATTAATGTTTTTCATTTAATGCACCAAATTATTAATGGACTTATACTAATTAATTAAATTCTTTTGACATTTCTTCATTTTATTTTAAAATATTTTCTAATTCTTATTATTATTTTTTAATTAACTATTCTTTTTCATTCATCATTCTATCAGCTTCACAAATTTATCTTCCTGTTTTTGTCATATTACTTTCAATTTCATAATTTAATTATTCTAGATTTTCAATTCTACTTTATTATTCTTCAGTTTATCTAATATTATATATATATATTAGATACTTTTTAAGTTGTGACATTTAATAAACACTTTAATTAAATTATCTACTTAATTCTCTATTTGCTTATTCACATTCTAATAATTTATTATTGGTTTCAGTCAATTATAATTAGAAACTCATGATTTCTTTTTATTTATCAGATATATTCTTTTATAATTACTAAAATAATATCATATATATTATACTTTTTTAGAATTCTCTGCTGAAACAACTTCATTCTTTTTTTATTATAATTCATCTTCTAATTAACTAAGTTTTTCTTATATTTATATCATTTTTTTAATTTATTCATTTGATGTTTCTGATTATTTCTTTCTTTCTTAATTCTCAAATTTCAACTTTTCTACTTATTATTACAATTAATCAATTTATTCTTTTTATTATTCAATATGATCAATTAAAGCATCTTTCTCCTATTCTTATTATTAAATAGTCTAATTTGCATGAGTTATATTCTTCATTGCTTCTTACATAGATTATTATAAGTCTTCATTTTATTATTATAATTCATTTTCATGTTTTTTCATTAATTCATTTATTTAATTAGATTATTTAAGTTAATTTTCTAAATGTTATATAATTTAATCTCTTTATTTAAATTCATTTTATATAGTCTACATCTATACTTTGTTGTGTTATAATTCTAAATATATATCTATAGCATTCTCATTTCTTTTTTTGTTCTTTGAATTTGTTATAAACACACCTTAATTATATAATTTTTTCTCTAATTCCATTTTTATAATATGATTATAAATTCTTAATTATTCTGAATTCAATCTTTCCTACATTAATTACTATTCTAACTCAGCTACTGTACTTTATGGTTATTATTAAGATTATTATTATTAACGTTATTGTTACTATGAAAGTTAAGACATCTAAGATTGTTGAGATTATTGTACAAATTAAGGTAATTTTGATTCTTAAATTGGTGTTTTAATTGGACTAGATGGTTATAACTATTATTTCTTTGAACTGTCTGGTCTTATTATTTGTATAACTTTTGGCATATTTTAATTACTAACTTACTATTTTGGTTAGAGAATTTGATTTTATTATTAATCCTGTTCGTTATTAACTAAGATTAATGGTCCTTTTTAGAAATTAGGAGAACTTACTGATTGAAATATACGATTTGTATCTTAAGATGCTAAATAAGATTTGAATTTATTATTACATGCACTATATACAAGAGATTCTTAAGTGAATCTTTATTATTACTATTGAATTTGTTATTGATTTGGTTTAGTTGGTGTTGGTTAATCTCTTTCTGAATGTTCAGATGGTTAATATTCATAACCTTCATTCTCAAAATTGATTTAAGACATTAAATTTATTTATTAATAATTTTTAAGGTTTCCCTTAACGATATTTTTATTTGTAAAAAATATATAGATTTTCATTCATCATAAATAATATGTATCTCACCTGAACCTCCACAATCTTATGATGCCACTACAAAAACCATATTAGTCCAACAATCAATTTATAGTTCAGCTTAAACAGGTTGATTATATGCTTTATTTTTTACTAATTGAATTAAACCAGTTGCAGGATTAACTGTTAGAGTTAATTAATCACCTCTATTAAAAAAGGGAAATTTAGAAGCCAAAAATAATTTATGTGGTTTACTATTATCAAATTCAACTGATCCAGTTTCACACACTCCTATTTAAAATGTTTATGATATCTATTGTTAAATGCTAAAAGTTATTGATTTTGGAGGTTTAAGAGGTCCTTCTTATAAACGAGGTCCTATCAAAGCTAATCTCGTTTTATTAGTTTTATTGCCTGTATTTGGAGGTACAAGTAATCTAGTTGGACTAATTAATTTGAATTAAGAATGCACTTATTTAAATGTAAATGGATTGAGAAATGTCTTTGACAATTGACTACTAAATGTAGATAAAAATAATTATCTTTAACTTGGACTAACATTAATTGCTGGAGATGCCAAAATTGATTAAGTTCCAATAAAAGGTTCAGCATTAGATAATTTACGAGAATTTGAATTATTCTGCATTGTTTAATTAAACTCTTCCATTTATTATTAGATTTATGAAGTTATATCTTAGAGTGTTTCATCTAAAATTAAAAGTCTTTTATCTAATTTTTAATTAAAAAATGCATGTTCTTTTTAATTACATGTTTATAATAATTCATCATTTTAGAGTAATAAAAGAAGAGAAGATTTGAGATTGTCAGATAATTAAATTTATCTATCCATTTGATTTACATCTTTTATTTTTGTTTCCAATTTAACATCACTTGTAAGATGTCTTATTAATCTCTCTATTTCATTCAATTTCTAGAAGTATGTCTTTTATAAATTTTATGTTTTTTAATCTTTTTCATTAATTTGTGTTTCCAACTATTCTAACAGATTATTGAACACATCTATAAATTATTGTAATTTATCTTTTATTAATTGAGTCTTTTGTTATGGTTATTTCCATTCATACATTATGAAATTAGATAATAAATCTGAAGCTCTCTTCATTGACATCATTTAAAGATGACTATCAATCTCTATACATTAAGTGCAAATAAATGAATCACGAAAGTTACATTTCAATTTGATCATTTTTGCCTTCTCTAATGGATGACGATGGCATCGTTATTATTCAATAAATTATAATACATATTCATTCAACGATTCCATTTTATTTTTATTATTTATATTTACTAACAAATACTTTTTTTATAAATTCTTATTAAATAAATACACAAACTATTGATTATATCAATAATTTAATTCTTACATATTTAAAATATTTTAATAATAAAAAAGGGTATAAACTAAGATATACATATATATAGAAATCTTTAATCTTTTTTTAAATAATAATACAGGTTTATATTAATTATTGATTTGATGTTTCTCATAAAAATATAGTAATCTAATAAAATCATATTTTAATTCAATTAAGAAATTAATTAATTAACTAATACAATTTTAGTACTAAATATTTTTCTAATATTTAATACTAATCATAAATACTATTAAATAACTATCAAAATTTACACATATTATATAGTTTATAAATTTAGTATAACACTAATTTTCAAACAGAATATTGATATTAAGTAATTAATGTGATTATATTATTTATAAATTGAACATGATAATTTCTCTTTCTCAGTTCTTTCATTCAAGTATTTAATTAATATTTTAATTCTCAACTCTTTTGATATTTATTATTATTCTAAAATTAATAAATGATCGTTAATAACTATAAAGAAATTACATAATAAATATTAATCTTTAACATACTATTAAGATGAAATGATATAAAGTATTACTAGCTCAATTAAATTTATTTAAAATAAAAGTTGAATTTTACCTAATCATAAATTAAGGGGTATAATTTATTTATCAATCATTATCTAGGTCTATTTCAGATTTAGAATTAGAATAAGAAGGCTGTTCTTTTAATAGCAATTCATATTTTAATAGATATATATTTAATACTCATGTTACATCCTTTTATTATAAAAAAAGGATAAGGGTTTAATCTTATCCCCTCTTTTAAAAAATACTAGTTTAGATGAAGAATTAATTGATTTAGATAATTCAAAAAAATATTTAGTTAAAGAGTTTTATGATGTTTTAATCATATAATAGAATTAATGAGTTATTTATATTGATTTCTAGTAGGTTTAATAATTTTGCAAAAGGAAAAAGCATTTATTATGATTTAGAGAAGAAAAAATTTTGGAAGAGAATTTGTTTGGATAAATGTTATTTTGCAATTTAAATTGGAGATTATAATTAAGTGAAAATTAAATTTTAAGTAATTTGAGAGATGATATTATTCCTGGGATCTAAATAAACATATAATATTAACAAGTGGAACATCAAATGTAATAGAAGATACATAGATTTCGGTAATTATTTTCCAAATTAAGTTCTTCAATGTGTTTAAATAAAAGTATTATTATAATATTTATACTATTATACTATTATTGAATTGGAATAATCAAACAAATTGATAAATTAATCATTTTATGCTTTATAAAATTTATTCATCACAGCTGAATTTTATTGTACAAAGTGATATAGATTTGATATATTTAAAGAATGATTTTTATCCTTGAGTTCCGTTAATGGACTTAAATATTTAGTGAATGATGAATAATGTGATGATGGAAATCCACATCCTTTTGATGGATGTTATAAATGTTAATATTGCATTTATGGTAAGTATTTATTAAATATGGATGGACAAAATTAAAATTGAATATCTTTTCAAACATAGAATAATTATTATAGATTGTCTATTAAAATGAAAATTTAAAGTGAGCATTAATAAGAATAATGTTTAATTGACCAAAATGAGATTATTTAACAATTTATGGAAAAGTTACATTTTTTAAATAACATCAAGAATTGTTATATGCTAATTAAATGTAGTGATAATATACAATCATATTCTAAATAGTTTGAACAATATCTGTATAAATTGTTTAAGCTTAAAATAATAAAGTTGTAATAATATATTAAGAATTATTTTTAAATGCTAATATGGATATATTGTTGTGATAGTTTTATCTTTATTGAACAAAATAAATTTCAATTTTTTAAGCTTTTGATTAGAAATTTTTGAAATGTATGAATAATATTAAAGAATTATTATGCCTATTGATAGCTATTAGTAAATAGTCTTTATAACCTATGTGATGATAAATATATAATGTGCAAAGATGTTAAAGTTTACGTACAATATGCTATAGAGATAATTTCTAAAAATATGACATAAAAATATTGTTTTATGAATAATGCGATGATGGTAATATAATGGTGGAGATGGTTATGATTCTAATTGTAATTCTAAACTTGTCTATGATTTTTATTCATTTGAATTCAATATCTTAGTGGATCAAATTCAAAAGACTTAAGCATAATTCATGATTCAAAAGATGAATTTGTTTGTTAGAACTTACAAGTAAATATTAAAATATTTGATATGTAAGAGTTCATCTATAATTCCACTAATAATAATAGAGGTTGTCAAATTAATTCAAATTTTTCGAAAATTTAGTCTATCATCACTAATTAAAACTTATTCAATTTTTTTTGTTTATTTGATAGTTTATAGGCTGTGCTTGAAATTTTGAGTTGGATTAATAACTTCTACTTTTTCAATGTTAATTTTCTTATTTAAAGTTTAACCATTATTTTTGGAATTCTATTCTATTCTTGAACTATTATTCAAATTTCTTGATTCGGCTATGCAGACATAAGTACCAAATGCATGGTCATTTTACTTTTTTTTTAAATAAATAGAAATTAAACTATTTAATAAAAATCAATCCAAATATTTGATTAAACCTAATTAATACATTACATTTTTAATGATATTATGAAAATATTAATACTTATGGATTCTAAATTAATTTTCTTGGATTTATTCGTAAAATAGCTCTATTCTAATCCATTTCAAAGAGAAGGGCAATTTTATATTTCTACTTTCTAATGATGTTTTATTAAATAAGTTAGAAGAATGAATTAGACTGGATAATTAATTCCAAAGATGTATCATATGTTCTATGTATAAAATATAAAAATTGATATTTGGATTTGCTGATTACTTTATAAAATCATAATTTAAATGATTAAAATAGGTATTATACAAATAAGGAAATTGAAATTAAAAGTTACATCTAATAATCAAAAAAACCAGAAATAACAATTATAAACAAACTATCCTTTATTAAACATAGTCAATTTCTCATATGATTTTGTGTTAATATTATAATTTAGTCTTTAATTATACACGTTTGAAATTTAATTTAAATTAAAGGACAATTTAATAATAAGATAAATATTGATAATTTCAGCTTAATCTAGAGAATAGTATTTTTAATTACATAAAAAAATAAGAATGAATATATATTTTAATGTAATTTTAGCAACTTATTTTAAGTGTTAAAATATATCTATATGCAATAATAAAAATATTTTATTTAATAATTAAATATAAATCTAGCTGATATGTATGGCTTTTTATAATGATCTTTATATTTGAAACACTAGAATTTATTCAAATATTTGCTATAATTAATCCTCATCCAAAACATCGTTCACATATTAAAATTTCTTTTATATTGTGAATATACTTAATAATGTTAAAAAATCTGTCTTAGATAAATTTAGTTTTAGATAACATACTGAAATTTTAGAATAATAACTAATTTAAGAATAAAATAATATTAACTGATTAAAAGAGGTCTTAGACAAATTTTAATGAAAGAGGAATACTTTGGAGATGGTTAATACTTATATTGCATTGATGAGATAGTTGAGTCAGAAAATAAATAAAGAAAATCTTAAAAATATGGAGAGGTGAAAAGCAAAAGGAATATTCAAATAAATTACCATTATTATTATTATATTTATTATTTATCAATATGGATAAGGATGTTTCTCATTAAATTTAACAACTCCTTCAATCTCTTTCATTACTCTAAGCACCATTTCCTCCTAATGAGGATATGAAATGACTTGAACATTAACAGGTAATCCTTCAGCATTTTACATATTTCGATTCATCAAAATATAAACTATATCAATAGTCTTTTCTTTTCCTTCAATTTTTAAATCGTTTCCACCTTAAACTCTTGTTATTGGCATGCTTCCAGCTGGAAGATCAGCTGTATTCCACATCCATGTATACAATCTATTAATATAAATACTAAAGACATACGCTGCCAAAGGTAATTCCTTGGATGCTCCATGCTTAACTGCTGGACAACCAAATCCAGGTACAATTACAGCATCAATTTGGTTTTATTTCAAATATTATAAAAATTAAAGATTCATTCTCTTTTGTTTTCCTGAATTTACTAAATATTAATAAACATCTAAGCCATGAGTTTATTTACTCATTACATATAAAGTTTTTTATCCTAATATCTTTAATAAAGGTGCTAAAATGTAAGTTTATAAAAATAATGGTATTTTTGTTCCTGCCTCCATTAATTCATATTCTTCAATGATTTTTTCACCTTTTAAATTTTCCCCAAAAGACTTAAATCCTCCCTCTGCTGCAACTAACCTTGGAAATGCAACAGCTAATTCATGTTCTAGTTCTTAGTCTAAATTTATTTAAACAATTTCATGTCCTTTGTTAATCAAAGCTTAACAAGCTTCTTAAACAGCTCTTTTCATACAATTAGGTGGTAATAGATCATTAAATTACTCAATATATCCAATTTTCAGTTTATCCTTTTTAGAAATTTAAGTGAAATTAAGATCTTGAGGTTTCCAATAAGGATCTTAAGTTGACAATGGTAATTCTGAATAATTCTTTGAATTAAATAAGACTCCTAACATAACTATTAGATCATCTACACTACGACCTAATGGACCCTTTGATGGTCTTATATTAACCATTCCATTAGCTGCTTTTTCAATAACACCTTCTCCAATTTCTGTTTATCTACTCATACCTGGCTTAAAACCATAAACTCCACAAAATGCAGCTGGTATTCTTATACTTCCACCAATATCAGAACCTATACCAATAACACTACATCTAGCAGCTTATAAGGCAGCTTCTCCTCCTGAAGATCCACCTACTGCTCTATCCTTATTCCAAGGATTAAGAGACCTACCAAATATTCTATTAGTAGATTCAAAAGTCATTGCCAATTGAGGTAAATTACTTCTTACAAAAATTATACCTCTAGCTTTTTTGATCATGGAAACTTAGATTCCATCATAAGTAGCTGGCTTATACAATCTTGAAGCTAATCCATATGTGTTATCAAATCCTTTATGAATGTAAGTGTCTTTAACTGATACAGGTATTCCGAAAAGATCATATTAATAGATAATTTGAGGATCTGAAAAGATTTCTTAATCTTGTTTCCTAGTTAAATCACTCTATAAAAATACTCAGCCTATTAAATTGCTTCTATGAAGTTGATATCTGTTATTAAATTCAAGTTTTCTGAAGTTGCTACAGACAATGTTCTATTAATAAATACTAACAAAACTTGTTTAACTGTGGCCTTTTTTTCAAACAGAATTTTTTTAATATCAGCAATAGTGTAATTTAGGATCTCCTTTTCTAATTGTGCACTTAAACCTGTAGATAAATCATAGGATTATTTAAATTCTTAAATAGACCTTTTGAGTTCATCTCTTCTTTTTTAACATAATTTATCATATTTTCTCTAAATTCTATATTAGGTAACAAAGTTAGTCAGACCATAAAGTGCTAATATTCCAAAAGCACTAAAAAGATATTTATTTTGTTTGTTTGAGAACAAATTTTGAAATGTGAATTTCATTAATATATATTTTTAATTTTCATAAGATATAATAAATGAACATTCTTTTATAAAAAAGTTCAGGTTTGCACTAAAATTGAAATACTTTAGAGCAGTTATAATTAATATTTAGAAATGATAGTTATTTCATACTGATTTCTGTGTAATTTAAATCGATAAAAGCAGATTGATTTTTTTAATAAATAAAATAATGGATTAGATTGAATATGTTAATCTTGAAAAAAAGACATAGACAAATAAAAATAATTAAAGAGGAAGATAAAATAATAGACCAAATAAAAATGATAGAAATAAAAGAAAATAAAGAGATAATCAACCATTTAAGATTTAAAGAAAACAATGGAGAAATAAGGATTAATAAAGATAAAAAGTATATTATTTATTTTAATCTTTAAGCGTCCATTTTAATCTGAGAATAGAATAGTGGCAACAGGTTAAAAGAGAAGACAATTATAATAAAGAAAATTTACTTAAAGACCTAAAGTCCCTAGAAATAGTTAACCAAATGTCATTATAAAAGGATTGGATCCAAAAATGACAGAAGCAGGTTTATAAGTATAAAAATCAATTATCTTTTTAGGAAGCTTGTAAAGATTTTGGCCCAATGAATATGTGCAAATTAGATAGAGATAACTTTGGATAAGTTAAGGTATTATGAATTATTAATTATTAAACAGCCAGAAGGAATTGGTTTAGTTAGGTTTAATAGAGTAGAAGATGCTAAGGCATGTGTCGAAAAGTTAGATGGTGTTACTGTGTAAATAATTGGAGAAAATAACAATGTAAATAATTAAAATATTTAAAAGGAAAAAGTAATATCGGCAACGTTTGTTGATGATTAAGAATAAGTAGGGAATAATAGAAATAGAGGTGTATTGAATATTACTAAGAGACCAATAACAAAAAGGTATTGATTCAATAAAATTAAAATAGAAATTGGAGAAGATGAATTTGAATAAACACAAATATGTTATTTTAAACAATTCAAAAATCAATCATTTAGATTTATTAAAAATAAGTCATAATTATGGATAAATCCTGAAAAAAATGTATAATTTAAGGAAATATATATATACTCCAAAAATTATCAGGGAGTTAAGACTTATTTCTATATATTCAAGGCCTATTCATAATCTAATCTCTCACATTGTCCTGGTTTCAAATACTTTTTCTTAAAAATCAATTATTAAATGGCCTGATTATTGAATGATTATTAGATTTTTTTAAAATATTTATTTCAATTCATTTTTTAAATCTAATCAATCTCTAACAATGTGAAAACTAATCTCTCAAACTTTTTAATCATGCTCAAAAATATTGATGTATTATTACCTATCTTTAATATTTTTAATAATATTGTAATCCTAGAAATCATAATTAGTTATTTATTTAAATTATTTTGCTTATTTAGATATTCTGAAGATCTCTTAACTTCTTTTGATTCTCTATTTAACATTTGAATTTTCAATATTAAATTGGTAATTTATCTCAAAAAGTTTAGAATACTTCCATGATTATAAAATAATTATATAAATTTGAGAATAATAATGCATTTAATAAGGAATAGATGTAATAAACATAAATAAAACTATATACAATTCATTTGTTTATAAGAGGATTGTGAATTCAATAAATTAGGATGTATTAGTTGTTTTCCAGATCATGATGGTCATACTAAATAAAATATGGAAATTTAACATTTCTTTGAATAAATTACATAAAAAGATAGAGATCTTGAATTAAAGTATCTATAACTAATTAATTCAAACTCAGCAAAGAAGAATAAAGAATAATTAATTAGATCTATTTAATAATAATGCAAAGCCATATAAAGTAGAGTATTTAGTTACATTGATCGACATTGTGAAGCATTAATAAATAGTGTTTAAAATAAGAATCTAAATGATTCAAGTTCATAATTAAAAGTTAAAGCTTATCATGATGAACTTGAAAGAATAAAAAATAAATCAACTTATACGTTAGAGAATAAAGTATTTTAATTTATTTTATAAATTAGGAGATTGAGTTCTTGATTAACTTTGTTTTGACAAATGATTATTAAGAAATGATTACAAATGCTATTCAAATAAAAGAAAAAAATACTTAAGAATTCACATATGATATAAATTAAGTAGTAGATTCAATAGATCACTAATTTTCTGAACTATATAATCAATTAGATTCATTACTTTTATCCCAATAATTTGCCTCCTCTCCTTCATTTGAATAAAAAAACAAAAGTGTTCAACATAATTATTCATTAACTCTTGGAATCTTACCTAAAAGTCCAAATAAAAATTTAACAAAAGGAAAATCAAAATCTCCTTTAAGATAAACATCTACAAATCAATCAAGAATGAAAACTCCTGAATCAAATAAAAAATTAACTTATTAAATTGGATCAACTAATAAAATATAGATTTCAAAGTTTCTTATGACTTCTCCATTAAAAGAGGAAGATGATTTTATTACTAAAAATAAAAATTTAGAATCATTAATTACAAATTTATTAATGATACATATGCCATTCAAATATTTAAATGATCACTTATTATTTTTAAAAAATAATTATGCTGAGTTTTAAGATTATAATAAAATTACTCATCAAGAAAAAGTCTAATTAATTGAAGAATCAAACTCATAATTATTATATGTATTATGGGATAATTTAATGATTGAATGGTTAAAACCTTCTTTAAATTTTAATATTATAAATATTAAAGTTTATGAAATTGAAAATAACTTTAATTCATTTCTAGAATTATTTGATAAACAATTAAAAATGCATGAATTTGTTGCTTATGTTATTAAATAGAAAATTATTAAACCTAAAGTTGATTATTAAACATGGTTTATTTTAGCAAATAAATCTACAAATTAATTTAAAATGTATAATATAAAGTCTTGTGGTAAAAAACTTAATAGAGAATTAACAGTTGAAGATTAGTCATTCTCTTGTATTGATCAATTGAAAGCAGCTAATGTATATGCATAATTTCCAAAAGTAATCTAAGACCATCTTAATGGTAGCTTTTCAATTGAAAAAGATCTTAAAATTATAATCAAAGGAATCATGGATCCAAACTTCTAAACTCAATTATTAGCAGAAAGATTATAAGTAAATATTTTTGTAATTTTAGATTTTATTAAATTTGGTTACTAATCCTTAAGTTGCTGCAAATCTAACATTTTAGAATATTGAGAAACACTTTGATCAAGTCTTAATCAATTTCAAGTATTTTATTAACTACTTAAATTTATCATTAAAAGATACATTATAAAACTGATATATATATATATATACAAACTTTAATATTAACTATGCTAATAACTATTAAAATGATATACATTCTAAATTTCTATTTTAAATTATATATTATTTTAATAATTTATAATTAAAAGATTCTTAAAAGTATATTTATAAATATTTGATGGATTAATAAAACAAGAATAATAATCAATCATTTTTAATTCCATTTTAGTTTATTAACAAAACTAATTTAGATTATTATCTTAGATCAATATGAAATTAAAAATATAATTTAGATTTTTCTATTTTAAACAATATATTGTATCAATATAAAAATTATAATTACATCTCATCAATTATAAAAATAGTTAAATATTGGAGAAAGTTTTAAATTTTAAAAATATCAATATTTTTATTTCAGATTTATATAAAGTCATTTCATAAATTTATAAGATTAATCATTTACAAATTATATTTTCCCTTCAGAAGCAATATTCAAATCTTATTTTTCATCTTGGAAATTACTTTTTTAACTTTAGAAACTTATTGTTCTTGGTTTAAATTAATGAGTTGTTATTAATTCATTACAACTCCAATCATATATGTAATCTTCAATAATGTTATAACTTTATAACATTTTCCTTAACTTATTAATTAATATGTTATGATCAGGTATATCATTATTCTGATTCTATAAAACAAATTAAAATATAGGATAGATTGGAAACTGATTAATTGATTTAGCATCTAAAAATTCTTATTTCATCTACATTATCCTAGATTCTCTACCACCTATATATTTTTACCATGGCAATTACCCTTTCTTTAACTATTACAGATTTACCTTTAAATAATTCAACCAAACAATAACCAGTCATTTCTATATCATCTATAAACCTATACTCTTAACGTCTGTGTACAATGCGAGGATCATATAAAATTGTGCCATCAACATATTTATCAGGTTAAGAATCATTTTGAAAGAGTGAAATCCCAAAGTCAATTAGATATATATTTGAATCTAAATTATAAATTGTGAATACCAGAATATTTAGTCATCAAATTTTATGGTTTTATATCTCTATGACGTATACCACTTTTATGAATTTCACTAAGTGCTTAAATTACTTTAATAGCAACAAATATGATTGTTTTTATTGAAAAATATTTCAATCTAGTTAAAATGGTTAACATATCTTCATTTAAGAACTCCATTATAATGTAATAAGTATTATTTAATTGACCGAAATAATAGGCTTAAGGAACTCCTTGACAATTCTGTAATTAATTCATTATTTTAAATTCCTTTTCCATATTTTCTTTTGAATACTTAATAGCCACTAACTTATTTGTTTTCATTTAGATGGCTTTATAAACACATCCAAATCCTCCGATAGACAATTCATTTAATAATTTATAGCCATCAACAGGATATATTACAGGTTAGTTTAAGGCATATGCTGCTTTTTTCTCTCTAGTTTCTAAAAATGTTGAAGATTATTATTAACTTAGTTTCATTTCATAAATAATATTTAATTTATAAGCTCGTTTTTAAAGAGGGTACTTAAATCTTTATTTAATTAAGAAATATTGTTTTATTACTATATAAATTTTCTAGAATATATGTATTATCTTTAATCTTATCTATTCAATAATTGATTAAACTAATAAAATTTGAATATTTATTATAATAATAATATATTTTATATAACAATAAACAATTATTATTAGTACTATTTAGATTATGATATCTATATACAAATATATTTTTTCTAATTTAAAGGATGTAAAATTTATAAAGGAGATATGTTTAAATAATGTTCATTCTATTTTTACTATGAAAATTGAATATTAATTACATAAATAAAATAATCATGTATGAACTTCTTTAGAATGTGGATAACTATATTTAATTAGGTTTTGCTAGCCTTTCAATCCTATTCTTTTATATAGTTTATTAGACAGATGTAATTGGGAATTATAATTCTTAGACATTCATGATACAAAATGAAGAGAATTGGGATTACTTGAGATAATAATATGCTCAACTATATGATCCTTAGGAATTAGATAAATTTCATTTTCCAAATGAGATGGCTAGTTTTTGTTATAAAATTTAAGAAAAAATAACATCAATATAATGGGAATACATTTATTTCATTTGCTTATCGGGATTAGTTCTAATGTTATATTCAGTATTAATTGTTGATATAATTAGTTTTTTTTTCTTGAGAGCGGATTCTTATATTTTGGAATGAACATCATATTTGGAGGTCTAACAATGTTTTACCTATGTTATTTTATAAATAACGTATATTTGGGAACTGTTGTAAAAGTTCCATTACGAGTAATTTGTATATCAATCAGACTGATCCTCTGCGCTGGGCCTATGGTAATGGATTCTTCTTGAGTTTATTTTGTCTGGGAATGCTAATAATTTCAATACTTTTAGTAAATCAAATAAATATGTTCGTTTTCCACAAACCTATAGGAATAGCCTATGTATTAGGAGGTACAAAATATATTGAATAGATAAGGCTCATTATCCTTATATTTTAGAAGAGAGTAGCAATCAATTCTAGGAAGAAGTATATCGATAGGAACTGATCTTCATGTAAAAGATAATCTAGGATCAGAAGGTGTAATGGATGTAATAGGATATTCTGAAAAGTTAGCATCAATAATGGGTCATATTTTAAGTGATAACCATTTATTAGATCTAATAATTGTATTGTTATTATATTTCACTTTGCCAAGAGTATAAATTAATTATTAATAGATTTTTTAAATTGGAGCTATGAATACTAATGTTTACTCAATAGTAATGTTAATAAATTACTTTGCATAATTTATTATTTCATTTTTCATTTCTTCATTTTAATCAGAAGATATAGCTAAGAATGTCTTATAAAATGTTAGAACTTAAATTATAGCTGCTAGTCTATTTAGTATAATTTCACTAATACTATTATATATCTATAATTCTACTTATATGAGTATAGCTAGTTTTGGTCTTATAACTAGTATGTTACTCATAATATATTTGGAATATGTTACAAATCATTCATTTCCATAAGTTAGAAACATTGCTTCAGCAGCTTTAAATGCCCCAATGCTTAATATTATGAATGGCATATTTTTGGGAGACATGGGTTAGTTATTTTTTGTAGGATTGACAGGATTATTTATTTTCATTTCTAAAGAGATTGGTGGAAATGAAGGTCTTTATGCTTTTTTAACAGGATTAATTATGAATGCTATAGTTATGACATCTATATAATTTAGTGGAAATTCTATAATGATTGGTTTAAAATTTGCATAGATTGCTTAAGTAGATTCATTACCTTTAGAAAAAGTAATTATAAAATTATATATAAAATTAGATTAATTTAGCAGCTTGTAATTATGCTTTATATTTAAAAACAATAACAATTATTTGTTTATTTTTGATAACAATAATATTTTTTCCTTTATAAGAAATCTAATGTTTTGCTGTTTTTATAGGAATCATTTTAGCCTACTTTTTCAAAGGGATTTTTTTAAAGTTTGTTGGAACTTAGATTCTTAGACAATTAAGAGGATTTTATGAGGGAACATTTCTGGATAATTAAGTTTACAATTTATGGGAATTAACAGGTTTAATTGGTCTAGTAATTTAATTAAATATTCTATTAGCAATTTATTATTTTGAATATTTTTAAATACTTCACTTCTAAGTTTGGAATGTATTCATATGTTTACAGTTACACATAGATTGTGTTGATTTTAAGTGCTAGAGCTATAATAACAGGGAGCAGTCTAAAGAATGTTAGAGTACTTGAAGGAACTTTAAAGGAGAATAAGATAATTTATTTATCTCATATGTATGCAGATATTCAAGGCATAGCTATGGAAGAATCTCCAGCATTACCTTAAATAGGATTTTTAGGTATATCGATAGTGTTAGGATTAACAATTTGAATAATTCCAGTTTAAAATTTAATCGAACTTTTATTAAATGGATATTTAATATTTATTATATTAATTCTTCTTTCTCCTAAGTTTTCACTTACCTCATCAGAAACGAATGTCATCTCAACTTACAAAAAAGCCATCTTTAAAACTATAATTAAACAAGAAGACATTGGATAATTTGGCAAAGGAGAAAACAATTATTCCTCCTAGTTCCAAATGCTCTTAAAAGACTGTCTCCTCTATTAATGTAAATATATAACTATAATAATTTATATAGACTACTAGCTGTACATCTTCATCTTCTAAATAAAACTATCCATGTAAAGAATCAAAGTCAAATCCCTCCAAAAATTCAGATTAACATTCATAATTAATTCAATATTTGCTCTAAGAAAATATAGAATTATAAAAATAGAACTAAGACAAGGATTAATTGATCAATTTCTTAAGTACAAAACAATCTCCTAAGAGAAGATCAATTTTAAATACAGAAAGAAGCACTGAAATCAAATCTTAAAAACTTCCATAAATTTCATAAGCTAAAAATTCACTAGAGATTGATAAGTAATTATTTCTTTAAATTCAATAATAGTTTAAATGATGGTATTTGTGCACCATTCTGTTTTACATTTTGTCAATAAGATACTTAAAGTTAATAAAGTGTAAGAAGTAAAAAATTGCCAAAAGAATTTTAAATTGTACCAAACAAAAAAAGATATTTTGTATGATTATAGAAAGTTCATTAATGATGATATTATATTTCAATTTATTTGTGTTTATATTCATAACAATCTATAAAATAATAATCCTTTTCTTTTCATATTACAACTTTTAATTACCTTTTATCCCATCGTTTTTACTCTTAATTCAAAATTAATAGAAATAAATGTTAATACAGATCTAATGAATAAAAGTTTATAACCAAATATCTTAAAATTATAATCTGTCTTATCAAAAACTATCTCTAAGAATATTTTATCAATTATCTAATCTAATTCAATGATATATTTTAAAGAACCAATAAAAAAAGTTTAAATTCCCTTTATTAAACTAATATAATATAATAAGTGTAACAATAGGTTGATAACATCAATAGAAAACATTTGATTATACTAAAGTTTTTAATAAATAAGAGAAGTATTTAACATGTAATAAACTTAAAAAATATAATTAAGTTGTTAATTCAAATATTATATAATTACTTATAAATCAGAATTTAATATTGTAATTATTTTCTTGATTATTTTTGTTCATTATATCTCATATTATTTCTAATTAATAATCATAAGATATTTATTATTATAATGAATAAGATAAGACATGAAAATAGATAAGAAAAATTTTTGGCTAAAATAAAAAACAATTGTATTATGATTTATTTAATAAAATAATAAGTTTAATTTTTTGTTAATTATTTTCAAGTTATTCTTATATCCATTTCTCTATCACGGATACATGTTCAAATTATAGCTTCTGGTGAGTCGATACCAGTGCTTCTTTGATCCCCAAAAGGTATTAACAAACTATTTTAAAGAGCCCCAGTAACGTTCTCTATCTATCTTTCATTTCGTTTCATTAATGTTCAACAACCAAATTCTCATTTTAATCTTATCTTATGACTTTATTAAATTTGGATTTAACATAGTCTTCATTCTTCAATATATAAAAAAAATCATGCAATATTAGCTTAATATAAAAAAACGATAATTTAAAATAATCTAAGATTTATTCATCAAAAATTTTTAATTCAACTTAATTTTCGAGATCAAATAACAAATAAATCAATTAAATTGTAAATATTGTTAAGTTATAATCAATCTAAATACAAAAATTTAGAAAATATAAGAATTTTCAATCTATAGTAAGTTAGTCATAAAAGGACTTAAAGATGGCCTTTTAATCATATCATATATTCTGCTAGAAGCAACGGTACTTAGAAATATTTAATTCATAAAAGTGTTAAGAAATTTCAACGTGTAAATTACTTATCATTTTTTAAATTTACAAATCAATTAATTAAAGTAAAAATATAAGAGAAGGAAAGGTAATATTTTATATATTTTATATAAATAACAATTCATATGTTTTATTATTTCCCTAAATATATTAAAATTTGTCTTATATTTGCAATAATTTGAATTTTATTGAAAAATTCAATTGAATAAAGATAGATATGAAATTTTAACTAAGATTGATAAGTTTATATAAATTATAAGTCAATTTAAGAGGATATAAACGTTTGGATTTGTTATTTATTCTTGTAATTTTGTATTAATTAATAAAATGAATTAAGAAATTTAATAATTTAGAGCAACTTTACCAATAAATGAATTCAAATAAGAAATTTTGAAATAGACTTTGGAAAATACTTTTATTATCATAACTGGTGATACAGGTTCAGGTAAATCAACATAATTACCACAATATTTATTGGATGATGAGAATTTTAGATTAAGCATTTGTTAATAAAGAAAATAGTTTTTGGAGGAATAAGTAGAAGAGAAAGATTAACCTAAAGTTTAAGGATTCTTATCCAAAAAGTTAAAGCCATTTGTTCCAGAGGATAGAAAGAATTCAACAGATTTAAAGATTGTAGTAACATAACCTAGAAGAATGGCTGCTATATCAATGGCAAAAAGAGTAGCATTTGAGAGAAATGTATAAATATTATTATATATCAATAAATAGTAAAATTTAGGTGTAGAAGTTGGTTATTCTATAAGATTTGATAATTCCACTACTAATACTACTTAATTAAGATATGTAACTGATGGTATATTGGTGAGAGAATGTTTATAAGATAAAGATTTAACAGGATATGATGTTGTAATCCTAGATGAAGCTCATGAAAGATCCCTTTATACAGATGTTCTATTTGCATTAGTGAAGGCAGCTGCAAAGAGAAGGAATGGAAGTTTAAAAGTGATCATAACATCTGCAACTTTAAATATTAATATTTTTAAGACTTATTTTGAAGGATGTCCATATGTAAAAGTTCATGGTAAGTCATTTCCTGTTGAAGTTAAATATGCTGAACATAATATAACCTAATAAAAAAGAAATCATGATGCTGTGAATGCTGCAATTAGAATGCATTTACATGAAGGTCCAGGTGATATCTTAGTATTTTTACCAGGAAGTGAGGATTGTGAAGTTTGTAGAAAATTTTGTTATGAGAAATTAGCAGAAGTATTAAATTCAGGAGTTGAAGTTCCTAGTGTATTATTATATACATTATATGGAAGTTAAACTTCTGAAGATTAGAGTCAAGTATTTTAAAGAGCAGATGAACATACTAGAAAAATTATATTTTGTACTAATATTGCAGAAACTTCTTTGACTATTGATAATATTGGGTTTGTAGTAGATACTGGTTATGTGAAATAAAAAGTATATAATTCTAGGACTGGAATGGACTCACTTATCATTTAACCTATATCTAAAACATAAGCAATTTAGAGGACTGGTAGAGCAGGCAGAACATAATCAGGAAAATGCTATAGATTATTTTCTAAATAGTTTTATGAATCCCTATAAGAACATACAACTGCTGAAATAATGAGAGTCAATTTAGCATCAGTTATGTTATTACTTAAATCTATGGGAATAGATGATGTGGTGAAATTTCAATTTATGGAATAACCAACTTAAGAAGCTATTTTATAATCTTTAAGATAATTATATCTAATATAAGCAATTGATGAGGATGGATATATTACTCCAATGGGTTATGAAATGTCTAGATATCCTTTAGAACCAAGTTATGCAAAAGCATTGATTACTTCAAAAATGATGGAATGTTCAAGTGAAATGAGTGCTATTGTGGCTATTTTATCAACAGAAAACATTTGGTAAAGAATTACTAGAGTAGATGTAGATGGATATTAAAAGTTATAAGAAATTCAATCATAACATGCTGATCCTGCAGGAGATCACTTAAGTTTATTGAAAATATTCTCAGAATGGAGATAAGCAACATTTAATGAATAATTTGCTAAAGATAATTTATTAAATTTAAGATCTTTAAGATAAGCAGATAATATTCGATAATAGTTATAATAATTAGTTGAAGGTACAAGTAAAAAGAAATGTTCACTATTTTATGATTAAGATTATCTTTATAAATTATTTAGAAAATAGAAGGATTCAAAAAAATGGAATATAAATGAAACTATTAAATTAGCATTATGTTCTGGATTCTATTTTAATACAGCTCGTAAGATGCATAATGGTGAAGATACTTATTTAATGATATATCCTGAAGGAACAGTTGTAGATACAGATCCATAGAGTGTATATACAGTAATTTAATAATATCCTGAGACTGTCATATTTACTGAATTGGGAGGCACATCTTAAGTGAGAGGAGTGATGAAATTAATTAGTGAAATTAATATAGAATGGGTTAAACCCTATTTCTCAAATATGATGAAGGTATCAAAAATGGTTATTGAATTTAGGTTGATCTATTTAAACTGGCTAGAATTTAATTTCAATAAAGAGGAAGAGATGCTGTTTAAGAAAGAAGATAAAAGAAAATCTAAGAATAAGAGAAATAGAAAGATTTGGAATAAAAGTAGAAATTAGAAAAACATTAATTATATAAGGCAAGATTTGAATAAAGAAAAAAAGTTAAAATGTGAATAGAATAATATTATTCTTATAATAAATCATTCTTTATAGATTGATAATCTCTTTTAAATTGATCTTTTATTTTCATGATTATCATCTAATACTGAACCAATTCTGACACTAATTTTACGACGTAATTTACTAGCAATTGTTTCATCTAATTTCTCTTCTTCAATCTCTTCTTCAGCAAAGATATTTATGCCATTAAACCATTTTGAAGGAAGAGTTCTTACAAATATTGCTACTATCATTCCACCCAAAGCAAATATCCAACAAAATATATGTTACCATGCAGTCAAATCACAAACAACTGCAAATTTATCTCCAAAAAGAATCAATAAATATTAGACTCCTACTTCAATTAAATTTATTAACCAAAATAATGAATTATTGAATAATCCACTAAAAGGATTTAGAGATACTTCATCTAATTTTCTGCAACTGATGGAATTGCAAATTTACATCAATACAAATGTTTAAAAGAACATTGTTAATCTTTATATTGGTCTACCTTCATATTCCACATCCAAAGATTCATCAAAATCAAATACTGAGTTTGAAATAAATAAGATTAAACACAAAATAAGAATTTAATAGATACTAGCTCCAATAACTGTTCTATACATAATTGAATTTACTATGCTTTCTCTTTTACCATAAGGTTTTCTATTTAAAAGTCTATCACTAGGAGGTTCAGTAGCTAAAGCTAAAGATGCAAAAGTATCCATAATTAGATTTACCCAAAGCATTTAAATACTTGTTAAAGGTGCTTCCTTTGTAACAGCTGCTCCTAATACACTCATAAATAATGCAACAACATTAACAGTTAATTAAAATTAGATAAATTTACGAATACAATTATAAATATTTCTTCCCCATTTACATGCTGTAATTATAGAACTAAAGTTATCATCTAATAAAATAATATCTGCAGCATCTTTACATACATCAGTACCTGTTATACCCATAGCAAATCCAACATCAGCTTTTCTTAATGCAGGTGCATCATTAGTTCCATCTCCAGTCACTGCAATTACATTATCTAATTATTTTAATCCTGTTGCTAATATAAATTTATCTTCAGGTGTTGCTCTTGCTAAAACTTTTAAATGTACTGCAATTTCTTAAAAATTTTAAAGATTCTTAACTTCTTATACTTCAACTCCATCCTTAATCACTTTATTTAAACCTCCTGTTAGTTATCTAAATTAAGATCCTTCCATTGCTTCATATTCATGTAATTCATTATCTGGTCCTAAAATCTTGCAATCTCTTGCAATAGCTTTAGCTGTATTTATGTTATCACCTGTTACCATTCTAACTATTATTCCTGATCTATAACATTATTAAATAGCACTTGGAACATCTGGTCTTACAGGATCTTTAATACCAGCTATATTTAATAAAGTTAAATCATTCAAAAGATATTCTTCTGGAATAGAATCAAAATCATATTCAAGATGATAATTTAATAGTTTATATGCATTTCCTAATGTTCTAAGTGCTTAACTAGCATAATCTTCAATTATTTATAACATGTTATTTATATCCTAAGATGTCAATTTAACTTCTTCTCCATTTGAGTTGATAAATTTAGAACATTTTTTTAAAACCATTTCAGGAGCACCTTTACTAAATAAATATATCTTATCATTATGATGAACAATAGAGATCATCATTTTTCTTTTTGAATTTAAAGGAATTACTCTCAAAATATTATCAGATGGTCTATAACTTGATAATTAATAACCTAACATATCACAAAATTCTATTAAAGCACATTCAGTTTTATTTCCTATTTATTCAAACTTTCCATTAATCCCTTTTTTTGGATATGCACTTGAATTATAGAGATTGCTGGCTGCCAAGAGATCCAAATAATCCTTTTATAAATTTTTGATTTATGGTAGTTGATAATCTTTATAATTAACACCTTAACAAAAAAATGTATTGACTTGCATCGTATTTAATGTTAGAGTACCAGTTTTATCACTACATATATTATTGACTCCTCCCATTATTTCACAAGATGCTAAAGTTTTAACTAAATTTTATTCATCTTTCATTTTATTCACAGAGAAGGCTAATGTTATAGTAACAGCCAAAGGTAATCCTTCTGGAACAGCAACAACAATAATAGTAACACCAATCATGAAAAATTTAAGTATTTTCTATAAACAATCTATATGCCAAAATTATTCCCAAAAAGTTAGATTATCATTTGTTCCATATTCAATGAATAGTCGAACTAATAGAATAATGAAAGTTAATATTGCCACAACAACACCAACTTTACCTATTGTTTCTGCAACTGCTTCTAATTTCACCTATAATGGAGTAGGTGTATTATCACTTTCACCTAATCTCTTCATTTCATTCTGTACTGTTTTATAACCCACTAAAAAATATATTTCATCTTATTACCTTACAAAACCAACATTATTCCTGTTCCTTCATTAACCTTTGTTCCTGACATTAAAAAAGGAGATTTGCCTTTCTAATCCTTCAAACATACTTCAACCGATGCCTTTTACATTTCATCAGACTCTCCTGTCATTGCTGATTCATCTATCTTAACTTCACTGCCATGCAAATATAATCCTAAAATTAAATCTAATACTCACCATCGACATTGAAAATATCTCCTAATTAAAATAATAAAACGTCACCAACGACAATATCCTTATTATTAATTGTAATTATGTTTCCTCCTCTCTTTACTTATACATGTCCCTCATCAAGTTTTGATTATAATTTTGCAAACTATCTCTCTTTGGCATAATTATTACCTGCTGTAATTCCTATAATCAAGAAAATTGCCAAAAATATTGTTAAACTAACTTATCTATTTACATATTTACCCTTCATACCATCCTCCTTCATTTTCAATAATTCCCAAAATTGTTGATACAATTGCTGCAACAATTAAGATTTGTAACATTGTATCACCTAAACACTCTACAATTAATTTCCATAAAGGTGTTAGCTCTTTTACAATTGGTAAATTAGCTCCATATCTATTTCTCAAAGTTATTACTTGTTCTTCATCTTCCACTCCTCTCTACACTTATAAAATAATTGATACTTTCAAATCAACTTAAAATATTTTTGCCAATCCTTGTTCTCCACCTAATTATTACACAAGTCCTAAAGAAACCCCATCTCGGATATTGTCAAGTATAAATAAATTTTTAAAGTCTCCATCCTCTCCCTATCGAACTAATTCAGAATCAGAGTTCTTCTCAATGAGATTAACTCTACTCATTTAATTATGTATTTTATTAGAATTAAATTACTTTCTATTAATATTTATTGATTCAAAACTTAAATATGGATCATCAAATAAAAAATTTTGTAAATTAATATTTCCTTATTCACCTCATGATAATTTAAGATCTGATTGAAATGTTTAATAAACCATAAGTACTTCTTAAATTATGATATTTCCAAAAATTTTAATGTTAATTTAAACCTAAAATATCATGTTATAGAATTCAAATCTTAACATTTAATTAATGAATTAAAAATTTTGTTAATGGATTTTTATTAATTTGTTTACTTAAAAACTAAGAGTGATAAATTTCTTGATCAAATTTCATTTTGCATCAATTTTAAATATTTATTAAATGTTAACGTAATTTAATGATCAAAATTAAGAACTATCAAAATAAACACTAATAAATATAAAGAAATTTTTTATAGATTAATTCATAGTTATAAATTGAACTTAGTTGAAAATTGAAATATAAATTTATCCAATTAGATTTTAATAATAATTTCAAATAATTAACTTTAGATTTTCTTATTTACACATCTATATCCTATAAAAAGCATTTTTTATTAGATTTAAACAAAATCTAAGACTTAATTAATCATTAAAATTAGAATAACTATTTTTAAATTATAAAGTAATACTATATCTAAAATAGAATTAACTATTTTAAAAAGATATAAATTAAAATAAATTAAAATAAATTAAAATTTTTTTTTCTTTTTAACCTTCAATATATCATTACAATATAGTTTAATTAATTTTAGTATTAAATTGTTATATACATTGTTTCATATATAATAATACAAGAACAATTAGATTGAATTAAAATTACTAATTATGTGAGTATTAAGGGTAGCCTTAATAGTGAACTGAAATATTTTTGTATTCTAAAAAAGTAATATGAAAGGGTAATTAATTCAATTCTCAAAGCTTGTTAAATGGGAACTGATGAATTAAATAAAAAATTACATAATTAAAAAATAAGTAAGTAAATTGAATTACAATAATAAAGTAATTATGAATATCAAAATTATTAAATAGCAACCCAATCCTAAAAAGATGAATTTTAATATGAGAAGAATCGACTATCTTTTGTTTGTTTAAAAATAGCCATTTTGGAAAAAGACAAGAATTCTTAAAAATAAAAGAATATGATTTAGTTTTAGAAATAATAACTATTTAAATAAATAGAGATATTGAATTTGAACAATTCTTTTTCTCTATAAAATTTTCATAAATTTATAAGTAAATTTTCATGCTAAGATCTAATTATTGAAAACAATTTCATTTTAATTGGAATTTTTATCTTCTGGTTCTTAGATCATCTATTATTCACTACTATTTAATTCGATTCTAAAAATAAATCCTACAACAAGTACATTGTATTTTTATTGTGCATATGAAAAATTACTTGAGTTTATATAATAGTTTTTGGTATTACTTCAGGATTTGGGCACGGATTATTAAATTATGGATTAATTTTTTTGATATTAGGATTCACAATAAATTCATAAGTAGTTATTCCTTTGATTATTAGATATATATGGAAAATAAATAATTAGAGGAGCAGTATAGAAAAAATAATAGAATCTATCAGCATTATTAATGAGAGTGTGTATTTGATATCTAAATCGTTTTCTTTATAAAAATGCTTAAACTAAAATGAAATTTGTTACAAACTTTTGAATTTCATTATCTATTTATAACTTTTGATTCTATGTATTATATAATATAATAATTCTGATATAAACAATCAGTGTGTATATAAATTGGAACATGGTTGAAGTTACCATTATCATAAAAATGTTATAATTAATTTTCCCAATGCAATTATTAACCCATTTACAATGATGATCAAAATCTTGACAACATCTAACATAATAAATATATACAACCTATTACAATGTTTACAATGCTTTGTATTTTCTTTCACATAGGCTTCACAAATATCACAATAAGATTCCAATTTATATTTTTCTAAACTTAATTGTTTACTACATAAAATACATTTTATTTTACCCTTAATTACGATATTCAAATTATAATAACAAAAATTAATCAGTTGGACAGCTAAGAGTAGTTTTACTACTAGAATACAATGATAATAAAGTTAAAATTCCTAGTATTATAAAATGTATAGCCTAAATACAAAGAACAAACTTACTGATTCATCAAGTAAAGATATTGATAGAAAACAGTTTAAGATATTTGGAAAGTAAAGCAAGTAAGTTAATAATTGATATACTGTTGGAAGTTAAGAGCAACCATGTCGAATTCCATTATATTATTTCATTATAAAATAAATATATAATTATATTAGATAAACAATATATATCATAAAATAAGTAATTGTTCAATGTATTACTAATAATAATCACAGAACATATAATTTTTAAATGAAACATAGATAAAATTGAAATAATCATTTTTAATACATTATATTTAATAATCTAAATTTAAAGATTGTCTACTTACTAAATATTAAAAACTTTAAATTTCTAATGTATTAATGTAATAATGATTATTTTTAATAAAAAGAATGATGTATTTTATTTTAATGCGTAATTTATTAATAATTCTAAATACTCCATATAGAAATTTTAGTAATATAAAATTAATACTATGAAAAGTGATGATAGTTCATTCTATAGCGTTGTCTATCAGGATATCTATGATCCATACCCATTATCTACAGATTTACCATCATCTGGAAATGAAGTCCCCTTTAAATAATTAAGGTTATCTTTTGATTAATTAATTAGTGGAGACGAAGCAATAGAGAAAAGTTATATGGAATCTAACTGTTAATCATCCATATGGGCAAAAAGAGGATCGAAAGCATCATTTTTATTGACAAGCATAACGATTATGAAGAGCATGGTTGGAGTTGGAATTTTAGGAATTGTACTATGAATTGTTATTTATAGCCAAATGTGATGAAAAATTTTGGAGTAATATTAACAATAGTTATAATGATTACTGTTTATTCCTTAGGTATGACAACATCAAGAGTTCTACTTAAATGTAAGAATTTAAGCAAGAAAAGTAATTATTCAACAATTGGATATTTTATATTTCGTCATAGTTGGATTATTTACACAGTTAATATAGTTATTACATTATCCAATATAACAACATGTCTTAGTGAATTAATGTATACCAAAATATAAATATATTAGTATTTTTGGAGATGCCTCTTAATTGTTAATTAAATTTTATAAGGGGTAGGATTATGAGGTTCCATTTTATTTATCAAGAACATTTTTACTATGTATTCTTGGATTAGTTCTTACACCTCTTTTGATTGTAAAATCTATAGAAAAATTAAGATTTGTTAGTTTGACAGCCATTCTCTCAATTAGTACTTTTACTGGATTAGCATTTTACAATTTCTTTACTAAAGAGGAAATACCTGAGGGTAATATGAATTGTTAATATAGGTTTTTCGATATTGATTCCATCAACATTTAATTTCAAGAATGCAATGTCTGCACTTCCAACATTGCTTTTAGCATACAATTGGCAATTTAATTTATTTCCTATCTTTAAAGGAATGGAGGGACCTACAGATAGAAAGATGACTTATGCAATGTTTACTGGATATTCGATGGCATCATTTTTATATTTATGTGTTGGTATATTAGGTTATGCTACATATGGAAATGATGTATATATAATTGATTAAATCATTAGATTTAAACTAATTATTTAAAGAGTATTAAATCTGAAGAAGTTGGATCAATATTGTATGTAATTTTGAATGTGACATTTGTTATTTCGACTACATTAACTTTGCCTGTATTATTTTTTGGTGGAAGGAATAATTTCATTTAAATTTATAAATAATTGACATCAGAGAAAAAAACAGTTTAAGAAGTTAAGAGTTATAAATAGTTTTTGGATGAGACTAATTCTAAAAAGTAAGAAAAATTAATTGAAATTAAATTAAAAAAGAAATCATAAAAGTTAAGATTTTATTTATTAACTTTTATACTTTTTTTATTATTAATGTGTGGTGCATTATTTTTAGATAATCTTGCATTAGTATTTAATATTAAAGGTGCTGTGTTTTGTAATACAATTTAATTTGTATTGCCAACTTTATTTTATATAAAATTAGTTGAAAAAGTAAAGAAATATCGATTTAAAAGTAAATTGAAATAATATTTTTATTATGGTATAAAAATATTATTCTGCATGAGTTGGGTATTTTTAGTTACTTGTGTTGTATGTGGAACCATGGCAGCAGGACATTGATTTATTTAATTGTAATTTAAAATTATTTGTATTATATTAAGTAAACCTTATTATAATTGTTATCTTAAAATGATAAGTGTAATATTTTAATATTGAAAAATTGAATTATTTTTAGTTTAATAATTAAAACATTACTGTTATTGATGAGTGATCACTCTTAATTATTTTATAATAAAGATGACAATACAGATGACTTATTGTTATCATAATTTTCATATGAATCATAATTCAGAAGCTAGGAATCATTACCTTAAAGAAAGAAAAGATAAAATTAATAAGCAAAATAAAATTAGGTGATTCAAGAAGAAAATTCGAATTCATATATAATTGAAGATTAATAACAATCCTATTTAAAATCTTAATAAGAATCTAAGGAGGTTCAGCTCTTAAAATTGGCTTCTCATTTGAGATAACTTTTATAAAAATAACAATAAGAATTTTATGAAAAGGAACTTGGTTTTCAATAAAAATTATTAACTGTATAATAACAACATGATAGTATGATTTCATTAATGAAAACTAAATATCAAATTATTATAGAAGAACTTTAATAAAAACTATCAATGTAACAAACAGAAAATGCAAATTTGAAATAATAAATATTCTAACTATAAGAGTAATAACAGAATTAAGTAACTTAAAGAATGAATAAGTAAAGTGGAACTGAAACAAATAAGGATACTAATTGTTTTTTTACACAAAGATAAACTCATTAGAATTCAAAATAAAATGATTACTATTAACCAGAACATGATGAAGATAAATTACTTTTATTATATAAATAAGAAATAGATAAAGTAAAATAATAGACAGCTGAATTTGAAAGAAAGTTTTAGAATGAAAAATAATCTATAAAACAAGAAATTAGTGCATTAAGAAATTAAAAACTTATGCTTTAGACATTAATTACAAATAAATAAGTAACAAATCAAAGTACAGATAAACCTTACTCTCAAGGTATGAATTCTGAACATAAAACTAATAAATCTAAAAGAGATAGTTAATCAAGAGCTTACAGTCATGTTTCTAAGAAGTCTTTTGATTTTTGATTACCTACTATGTAATTTTATATTATAAAGTAATTATTTATACTTTTTATAATAATGGATTAAAGTGTTAGTCATGGTTTTTCTTTAAGAAAGATTTGCAAATAAAGACTAAAAGGTGTATTTGTTTCTTTAATTTAAACAAATCCAAATGTTTAGAATTATTTTTTGATTGTTGATCAGAAGACAGTGAAAGTTGTCTCTGCATATATGAAATTGGCTGAGTATATTATTATATTTTGAATGTTTTAGATTAATGGAATTAGGAGTGAGTGCTGTTGAAAAATTGGAATTAGGTAGAAAACCTTTTCCAAAATTACATGCAATTTATTTTATTTCACCAACTTAAGATTCAATTCAAAGAGTATTAGATGATTTTAAAGATAAAAAAAATCCACAATATGGAGTTGTTCATTTATTTTTATCTAATGAAATAGATTAAGGATTAATGCAAAAAATTGCTTAATGTATGGAATGTATATATAAATTATAGGTAATTCATTAATAACAAAAATTGCCTCATTCAAAATTGTTAATTTAGATTTTGCATGTACATCTGATTAAGTATTCACAATTGAAACACCAGAAATATTGACTAAGGCATATACTTCATAAAGTAAATATATTATTTGATATATTTTTAGATATTTAATAATTGTTAAAAGAAGCATCATTTAAATTAGCTACATTACTTATATCCTTTAATAAATTTTATTCTTTTGAATTTTTATATAACTAATCAGAAAATAAATTATCAGAACAAGTCGCAAAATTAACATCAATAAGATTATAAGAATTATTAAATTCTTTTGTTAAACAAAAAAATGAATAGTATGATAATATTGAAAAAGAAGCAGGGAAAATAACTATTATGATAATAGATAGATCATATGATGTGGCTACTCCATTATTACATGATTTTTATTATCAATCTATGATCTATGATTTATTAGATATAACAAATGATATATATGAAAATGAAGTTGAATAAGGTGGTAAATAAATCAAATAGAAAGTTATATTTAATGAAAATGATGATTTATTTAATAGATATAAGTAAAAACATATTTAATTTATTAAAGATATCGTCACATTATATAAGTATTAGAAGGAATACCTCTTGAATTTAGAGAATTCATAAATAACAATACAACTGCTAAGGTTCATTAAGGATAAATGAATAATTTGGATTTGAATTAAATGTCAGAAATAGTAAAGACTTTACCTTAATATAATGAATTGTTAGGAAAATATACATTACATATGGTACAATATTTTAATTGAATTAAGAAACTTATAGAAAAGAGTTGGTCAATATTTGAAAATAAGGGTCTAAAAGAAATAGGAGAAATTGAGTAAAGTTTAATCACTGGTATTGATGGAGCAGGCAAAAGTATTTCAACTACAAAAATTTAAAGTGCTGTTGCCACTAAATTGATGAGTGAAACTCTAGATGACTATGATAAATTAAGATTAATATTGTTAAGTACATAATTAATTAATTTTAGCTTCTATTGGTTTGGAAATGTCAGAAAAAGATAGAAAAATATTAACTGATAAAATTAAAGTTGAACATCAATAAGCTATCTTAAATTTAGTTTATTTAGGTATTAATCCTTAAAAAGGTGGCTAGAAAAAAGTATTATATTTAATAAAATCATTATTTAGTCTAAATCTTCTAATAGAATAAATGATGATTTAAAAAAATAAGCTAAGCATAAATTGGCTAGTGCATGTACAGAATTATCAAGAAATACTCCTTTAATTGAAACTTTAGTAGAAGGTTATGTTGAGTCTAATTATAAAAAACCTTAGAAATTTGATTCTTTTATCATAAATGAAGATGGTGTAGGAGGAAAAGGTAATGGAAAATCAATTAGAAAAGGAGGATAATTAGCTAGAATGATGCAAAATGATGATAGTGAGGAAACTATTAATTACACTCCTAAATTAGTATAAATTTTTATTATAAAATAGATTATTTTTGTTGTTGGAGGCATTAGTTACTCTGAAATAAGAAGTATATTAAGTAATTAAAAAATAACCAATTCATAAATTACTGTAAATATATTCATAATTATGTTAGTTGGTTGGTTCAACTAACATAGTTAAACCAAAGGACTATTGTTAAGGACTATTAGAAATGAAGACTGTTTGAATAATATATTTATAAAATATATATATGCATATTTATCTTATTCATTTGTATATTGGGGATCCTCTTGGTTTAACTTGCTAAAAAGTAGTTAATATAAATTATACATTATTATTATTAGGACTTTAATCTTTATCTTTTTCAAACCAATCATGAGCCCATTTAGAATGATATGGATAATTTCTTTAATCTTATAGTCTTGTTAAATAATTTACTTCTTTCATCTCCTTTTTGATCTCTATCTTTATTATTTCTATCTTTATCATTAAATCTATTTCTATATTTATCTCTATTAAAACTATTGTTTTTCTCATTCCTATCATATCTATCATTTCTGTCATTTCTATCATTTCTATCATTTTTATCATTCTTATCATTTCTTTCATTCTTATCATTTCTTTCATTTTTATCATTCTTATCATTTTTATCATTTCTTTCATTCTTATCATTTCTTTCACTTCTATCATTTCTTTCACTCCTATCATTTCTTTAACTTCTTTCATAATCACGTTCATCTCTTCTATCATATCTTCTATATGAAGAATTATTAAATCTACGATAGTTTCCTTGATTATAATTTCTTCTTTCAACCTTATTAAATCTAAGAACTAATAATCATACTTATTAATCATCCATTTTTTTTTCTAAATTAACATTCACATTATTATTTGTTTATCCTTAATCTTAAGGTTTATTTATTTGAGGTGGTTTATTTTTTCTTTTAATTGTTTAATCAATTCTAAAATTAATAAGAGATTGAATGAGTACTTTTTCAAATAAGAATTAGCTTGACTAAAATCTTCATTTTTCCAACCACTTATTAAAATCAACAATAAACTTACAAAAGGTAGCTATTCATATGACCTCTTCCTTTTTTTATTATGTTTGGATCATCCTTTGGTTTTGATTTTGAATGAGACTTTGATTTTGATTTTGATTTTGATCTTTAAGTTCTATATTATAACTATTATATACAACTTTTATGATGCTACAATATCTAAATTCACAAAGTTTGAATTACTTTATGCAATCTTTTCCTTCTTATCTTTTTTCTCTTTTTTCTACTTCTTTTTCCTATCTCCTAATATATAAACCCAGAAAAATACTTCTGGAACTACTAGATGAACTTGAATTCTTTCTATGATCTCTTTTGGCTTTTTTCCTAATGAATTAAAATAATTTTTACTTGGAGGATCTATCTGATGAACTTGAGTCGGACCTTGTATTGGTACATATACACAATATACCTTTTCATAAATAAGCAATTAACAAATGAATAAAATATTAATTTATTTGTATAATTATATTTGAAAATCTTTCAATAGAAACTCAATACATTAATTTTTTAAAGAAAATTAATTAAAAAATAATGAATATTCTAAAATTTATCAAAATAGTTTATTAATATAAGAAATACTCATGTATGTAAATCAGAATATTTATATGTTATCATAATTTCTATTTAATATCTCTTATTATTGGCCAAACAACTTTTAAGTAATTGAAATAGAATATGAATTATTTATACAAAAAATATTATTCTTAATTACAATATAGCTATGAGAAATACATGAAATATGATTTTTAATTGATTATTATATGTATTTTAATTAGGATGAAGTTTAATTAGTTTTGGATTTAGTGGATTTTATTCAATTAGCTTAAAGAAATGCGTTTTAAATTAAGAATTTATAGTATGAAACATTATCTAATATTAATTTGGTTTCAGTATTAGTTAATTTAGAATTACAAGAATTATAGACATATTAGTTTTAAATCTCATCTTGTTCTTTAATGTTAATATTTTGTATTCTAAAAAAAAAATAATTCAAAAAGATTTAAATCAGAAGGTTGAGTATTTCTTTTAATAATAATAATAAATAATTTAATTTAATCATTTAATTGACATCAAATTTAGTTATTTGTTCAAGCTTTATTTCTCTTTTTATTTAATTATTAATTGATTTATCTGTTTCATTTTGAATGCCATTTTTATACTAATAAAAATAATTTAATTTTAGATTTAATTTACAGTTTATAATGAAAGAAGATCGAAAATTAAATAAAAACAATCAAGGATTATACTAATGGATTGTTCTTACAAGTTTTTGCTTGAATTCGTATATAAGAATATATATTTTAGAATATCAAATATATTTATGTTTACAGGATTATCACCAATTTGGTCTTAAGTGGCCATTTATTATGGTACTACTGACTATGATTTAAATTGGTTTCCAAACATGTATTACATTACATTAATGTCATTTTCTTTCCTTTTCAATCCTATAATAATTAAATTTTTTGGAATCTCATAATTATTAAGTTGTTGCTTAACTTCATTAGGACTATGGCTATTATTTTATGTAAAATAAAATTTTTAGTTGGGACTTTTAAGTTTTGGATTAATAGGTTTAGGAGAAGCCTTCTATTTTTAAGTTCCATTACGTAATTACAATCATTTAATATAGATTTATCAAAGCTTTGGTTCACACATGATCAAAGAATTATATCAACTTTTATTGCATAATATTCAAATAATATAGGAATGTTATTAGGATATACAATTTCATCATTATATTTTAATGAAATAGTACTTATATTATAATAAGAAAAGGTTGATGAAAATGAATTTAACAAGCGATTTGAAAATTTGATATTTTTTAATGCAATATTAGCAACAATAGCTTTGGGATTTAATTTTACAACATTAAAATCTCCTTTATTGCAATATGATATTATGGAATTTAGATTAACTATTTGGGAATCATTATAAAAAATTGTAATGGCTGAAGAAGCTATTTTTGATTTTTTATCTATTTCTTCATGTAAATATGATAATATTTTTAGTTATAGGATTAAGTTGGTGTTATACAATGTTATTCGGTACTCAATAATATTATTTGGGTTAAACTTATATTTAAGTGACTTAAACTAATATCTACTTCTAAGTTGGTTAAATTGTGGCTGCTTCTTACTGTACATGGAAATTATAAAAGTAATCCAAAGCTGGAATTCAATAAAATTATGATAACTACATTAAAACTGTAATTAGTTTAGGATTTTGGATGCTTGTTTTCGAAATTATTTTATTTGAACATACTCCCTTTATTATATTAGTTTTCATTAATTTCTTTATTGGAGCAGGTTTAGGAGGATTATATTCAGTATTATTAGAATCTTTAATGGAAAAGCATTTTCCTGTCTAAGAGTTAGCAATTGGATCTATATTTGCAGCAGTTGCTTGTGTAATTAATATAAATTATATAGACTGTGTCTATTACAATAACAATGACATTAGTTATACCTAAGTTTCTTTAGTATGGATTTCAAATTTCTTGTTATTTAATGATTATACCATTTTGTTATATAGCTATCTTCTATAAAACTCAATTTAAACGTTTTGAAGCAGAAGCATGATTTAATCATTTTGTACTTATTATTAAAATTATCATAAATGATTTTATATTATTTAATTATTATTAAATAAAAACAAAGTCGCTTTATTCAACAGTCTCAAAATGATTAATACTATAAATTAACATTTTTATATTATAAATACTGATCATTTAATTTTATTAACATATGAATTTTTATTGAAGTCCATTTGCATTCTTTCAAAGTTGAGATAATCTATTGAAATATAGTAAATTATTAACCTAATTAAATAATATCTCAGTGACCTTATTATTTTTATAATGAGATTATTTTATAAAATAATTTTGATTAAAAATATCAATAAATATTAACACATAATTCCTTTTCTAATAATGTGTATATATAAAAAAATAAATGAATCAACAATAATATTAATATGGTTAATATATGATTTATTATAGAGAACTCATTTTTCTTATTATAAGTAAGTCATTCTTTGAGCAGCACGACATGCTTCGAGTTCAGCTTATGCGAAACATAATTATTCTTGAGCTTTATGGTACTTTTCATTTAAATCTTAGAAATTTCTTCTCCAATCTAAGTTTTCATTATGATATGAGTCTTATAATTCTTAATTTTTGATCATAATAATTCTATTTAATCTTTCAATTTCTTTGTAAGCTTATTCTAGAGCTTATTTTTAATTTCGATTTTCTTCATTTAATTATCTATTAAATTAAGTTATCAATTATAATTCATTATATATATTTTCAACTTGTTTACTTTATTATTATAATGAATTATCTTTGTCTCTAAAAATAAGAATAATAATACTCTAATATTTATGTGAGAACATTAATTTAGCTTACTAATTAATCTATATTTTTTTCTTATTCTCTAAGTTTACTAGTAGAACCAATATTATCTCTTTATGTTTATTAAGTCATCTATAATTATTCTTATAAATAATAAATATTTTTTTATTTTGTTATTAATTCATTTCGCAAATCTTCAACCAATTTCTATATTGCTATTAGTTCTTAAGCTAATTATTATTAATCATTCTATCTTAAAATCTATTCATTATCGTTGCATCTATTTAATTAATAATTATGAAGTCTTTCAATTTCCATACTCATTGTAACAACTTTATCATTTGACTCTTTTAAAAGATTCTAATAATAAATGCTATTTTCTCTAAATTTAATTTCAAGTTCTTATATTCTCAATTTATAATCTTCATTTTGTTACCTTAAAATGTTGATATCATTAGTAAATAGTTATTCATTTTGAACTATTAATCTATTATTATTATAGGTTACCTCTTTAATTGATTTCGCATTACAACTACATTTCTAATTAAGAAGATCTTTATCTTTCTTATTAGATTTCATAACGCAAATATTAAACTTCTGCTTTTTCTTAACAAGGTTATAGAACTTGATTTTCTAAAGAATCAGTTTTAAAAGTAAGATTTGGTGAGAATGGTCTGATTTAACTATTGAGTGCAGGTGTGTTTCCTTTTCTCATTGATCTACTCATTTTAACAGTTAAATATAAATTAATATTAAATAATGTATATAAGTTTCAATATTAGGGGAGGGTAGAATTTATACACTATATTAATATTAGATTGTTTATCATATATAAATTATATTGATTTTCATTATTTAGATTTGTTTACATATTGAAAAAAAACTGAATTGATTATAAGTAAATAATAAAAAAAAAAAATAATATTAAAACAATGAGTAATGGATCTGTGAAAGACATTTTGAAAGATAAAAAGAAAGTTAGATTTGTTGCAGAGAGTGCTTTTAAATAAGTTGATAAAGATGGTAAATTAAAAGAATTTATTAAAAACAGGTAGTGGATATCTTGAAAGACCAGAGCTAGAAGAAGTTATGAATAATGTAGCAGCAGATTTGGGTGTTGAAGTAAATACAATAAAATATTAATTTTTAGCCTCCTACAAGTGAGGAAATAGATGAAGTATTAAAAGAATTAGATGAGAATGGAGATGGAAAATTATCAATTGATGAATTTTAGGTTTTAATAGAATAGGTTTTAGAGATGATGGCAAAGGTGGAAGGTTGATTTAAATTAAGATGCACATTTCTTATTAATTTTAATATTCATTGTATGTGTCTCGAAAATACTCTAATGTCTTAGATAGGGAGTATTTTTATAAATGTATATATTTTAATATAATGTTATTAAAGATTAAAAAATAATTTCTAAAATTTATTATTTTATATTAAATTTTATTTCTATATGATACAATTAATTTTTGGTTTATAAATGTAAATCTTTGACAGCTATTTTGATAAAATAATTAAGTAATTTGAACGATGTCTTTTTATCCAGGCTATAGATATCCATATGCAGCACCCCTCACAAACTCAATTCCTGCTCCAATAACATATGCTCCACAAATGTCCTATGCTCCCCAAGTGAATTATGCTCCACAAATTTCATATGCTGCTCCTGTTTAATATGCTCCATAAATGTCATATGCTGCTCCAGTTTAGTATGCAAGACCTATCACTCAATCTGTCGTTTAACCAGTTGTCACACAACCTGTGGCTGTTCAATAAGTTATACAATAACCTGTAATTGCATAACCAGTTGTTGCCCAACCTGTCTAAGCACCAATAAAAGGAGAATCAAGAGTTGAATACAGAGAATATTAAAGACAAGTTGTTGAAATGGAAACTGAGACTGTTTAAGTACAAGTGCCAAAAACGAAATATGTAACAGACTACTACCCTATTGAATACTAAACTGAATATATTCCTAGAACTGTCTACGAATAATAAACAGAATATGTCCCCGTAACCAAAACAGTTCCAAGAGTTGAATATGAGGCTTATGAAAGAGAGGTTTAAAGAGTATAAAATTAGTTTTATAACGCTAGCCTCAACAAGTGATGGTTTAACAACCTGTAGTATAATAAGTCGTTCAATAACCGGTTGTTCAATCTGTTATGTAATAACCAATTGTTTAACAGCCATTGTCATATTCATTAGTAAGACAAGCACCAACATATGCAGCTCCTATGGCATATTAAAGTGTAGCTCCAATGGGTTCATATCCAGGCTTTTATGGAGGATATAGACCTTTTTGAGGTTATTAAAGATTCAGCATTATAAATAATCAAAAATTCATATTTATCCATCAACTTCCTAGATTCTGCGTGTTTTTATTAAAAAACCTGCCTCTTAAATTCAATAAAATAATATAACAGACTAATCATCATATCAACAAAATTTACTTATAATCATTTTATAATTGATTCAAATGATTAATTTATATGTTTTTCAGATATAATTGTCATCCATTTATTAATGTCTGAAAATTATTTCATGTTTTCATGAATTAGGCTAAAGTAATCTAGGTAAATACTATACATACAATCTTGCATGATGTTGATTTTGATTTTGCATAGACTTAAGACAATAAAATAACAAATGAAACATTTAAAATACTAAAAATAGCAGAAAAATGTCATCATAAAATAATTGCATTTTCACACTTCTAATTATATAAAAATGTTAAGTTGTTGTTATAATGCAAGACATCAAGTCCTTTCTTGCATAAATTATTAAAAATATAAGTTGACTGAGTATAAGAAACTTTATTCCACAAAATGGTCAGAGTTGGATAGATATCCAAAAAAGATTATCTAAAATATTTGGTTTTCTTGTTAGACTCTACCTACTATAACAAAAGGTAGAACGATTTGATATTTTTAAAGGAATGATTGCAAATTATTTATTAACTAAAATATTATGTAGACATATTTTAAAATATCAAAGCATTCACTATACTTATTTATTTCTAATATTCTCATTAATCAGATATTATTTCTTTTCCACTTTTCAATTCTTTTAAATAAAAGAATATTTTCAATTCTATTACATTAAAAAAGAATCTATATATTTAAGAAATATTTTTTAAAACATTTTGAGGCAAAACTTATTAAATAGCATTAAATTATTTGTAATTATTATGATTTAATTAAATAAAACACATAATAAGAAGGATGAGTTTAAATATGAGATTATAATTAATATTTATATTTAAAGCTTGTTTTTTATCAGAGCCCTAAAGATAATCAATTAATCTCAAAATTGATTAATTGATATTTTGAAAATAATTTATATACTCTAGATTTTAATATATAAATTTTAATGTCGCCTTTTTTATGTCATGTTTTTTTCTATCAAATCATAAATTTATTTTTAAATCAGCTTTTATCTAATTAAATTTATTGCATAACATTTTTAATAACATTATAGTTATTTTTCAAACTAAGATTATAGTCTATATCCTTTAAAAATTAATAAAGTAATTATTAATTATTAATTTTAGGATATTTTCATACTTTCTTATTTGATTTATATGATTATGATTGACATATCTAAACCAATTGATAGTAAGATAGTCCCCTACTTTATTTAATGATAATTCAAAAAAAGGATTCCTAATTTTTTTTTATAGCTTATATTCATGCAATACTAATAGGATTTAGAAGAAAAAAGAAATAATTAGTTGAATTATTATGAGAGCCACTCATAATTAAGTATTCACATTTTTATTTCACTATTAAATAGCTTACTAAATTTCTTTTCTATTAATATTTATCAATTAAAGTCTGATGTCAATCAAATAATAATGGAAGGAACATCAGATTAAGAAAAATGTTCATTATTCTGTCTACAAAATAGATATAATTTAGTATTTTTTAATTAGTTTAAAAATCTTTTGGTTTATAAAGTCTTAAAAATTTACTTAAAAAGTATAAATTCAGAAAAAGTAGAAAATAATGTAAATCCTAAAACAATAAAATTGAAATTAAATTAAATTATAAATTTCATAGGGGATAATATATATTTATTTTGAAATCATTATTGTTTGAATACAAATTCCCATTTCTTCAATTATTATTTATCTTATAGAGGCTTCTCTGCGAATTTAGCACTGTTTGTAGATTCCACTAAAGAAACATCATTAATAGAAATTCTAGACAAAATACTAATTGTTTCATCAGGTAAAGGTTATTGTTATTAGAAATGTAATGTTTAGCTTCGATTTATGATTTTTAAATTATCCTTCTTACCACTATTATTTATACTATTTGTTTTATGATGAGATAAATTTAATTATTATTATTTGGTTACTATTGATTGCAAGCATTATTATTATTATTCGGATGAAATTAAATTAGAATTTAATTATGGCAAGTCTTTCAGAAAAGAATCATCTATATTAAATTGACCATTTAATTTTTAAAGTTGTTATTTAATCCAAAGTATACTTTTACCACTTTGTTGGGGGAATCGAATTGTATCAGGATTAAAAAAGTCAGAACCATTGTTCAATGATTAAAAAAAATGATTCAAAATAGAGATTAATGTACTTAGTGTATCTTGTAAAGAACATACTTCATCAATTAAACCTTTTCTTGTAGAAATCCATGTGTCAAAACCATTTTATTATGATATCTAGGTTTTCAATGGGATTGTATCATATTTATTAGCATAATTTATTCTATCTTTACTTCTTAACTATATTTTATTTAATTATATAAACCTAATCTTTCATTTTCAAAAATTCTAATTCTTTCTTTTTGAATTCACTTTGCATCAATTAAACTTTGTTTTGAATTTTAATAACTTTTTAATTTAATTCTTCCTGTCTATTAAGTTAATTAATACCTTTTCTGATAGAAGTTTATCGTTTACAACTTTATTGGATTTATTCAATAAAGTAATTTGGTTTTCAAGTTACCCAATTTGTTTTATTCTATTCAAATATATGAAATAGAATTCTACTTTTATTCTATTTCTTCTTAAAATCGTTTAGCTTTAATCTTTAATGATTCATTGTCACTTCTGATTTTGAAAAATTCATCTTCATGATTATTAAGGCTTTTCATTGTGGCTGATTTAAATATGAAAACAGCATGTATTATTTCATAAACTTTTGATAAGTATAAGGGTATGTTATAATTATCTTCTGGAAAAATAGGCATTTCTATTATAAGAAATATTTAAAAAAAGTACATTGCTAATTTAAAATTCCATTAAATTATTAAAGCATCTACATCCATTCTAAAATATATATTTAGATTATACTTTTAGTTTCACATACAATGCAAGATTCTGATATTTTACAATCACATCTATAATCCTCTATTTCATCAACCATTTTTTCAAGGAAGCTTGACATTTGAACTTTGTCTGAAAAGATGATCTTAATTAAATTTCAAATTCTATACACTTTGCTCATATGTGTTTGAAAACATTATTAATTAAATTATGAATTATATGTTTAATCAATAAATATTATTTCAAAAAATTTTAATTATAGATGTAGATAAGAAATCTATAATGTATTTTAAATTTATAGAAAAATAACTACATCTATTTTTAAGTGAATTTTACCTCCTTATAATATTTAAAAAAAAATAAAACCGCAAATTAATCAATGTTAAATTTTAAATGATGAACAACATAATTTTAGAATATTCATCAAAATTAGTATTCATTATTTAAATAATAAATTTATTCAGATTGAATAAATGAAGAAAAATCTAAGAATGAAATCAAGATTAATCATCTTCCTCAAATCCCATTTCTTATTCAGTGATATCTGTTTTGCATATAGGACATGTACTTTATTATTTGAACCATTCTGAAATACAAGACTTATGAAATCTATGTATGCATGGAAGTAGGATTAATTCTTCACCATCATCATAATTAGTAAGACATATAGAGCATTATTTATATTCTTATGAAAGACCTTCATATGGTATATATTTTATAACTGCTAAATTTTCTAATTACTAATGAACTTAAGGAATAAAAAAAGAATTCCTAAAATAATAATAGAAATTACGTCATTGGCATAAAAATATTTCTTCTTCCCCTTGATTAATTCAAAAATAGATTAGGATTAAAAATTTAATCAAAATAATTACCAAAATTGCTACTTTGAATTTAATCTTAAAATGGTCTACTAAATAGTTGTTGCTAAAATATTTATTATTATTATTATTATTATTATTATTATTATTATTATTATTATTATTATTATTATTATTATTATTATTATTATTATTATTATTATTTTTATTATTATTATTATTATTATTATTATTATTATTATTATTATTATTATTATTATTATTATTATTATTATTATTATTATTATTATTATTATTATTATTATTATTATTATTATTATTATTATTATTATTATTATTATTATTATTATTATTATTATTATTATTATTATTATTATTATTATTATTATTATTATTATTATTATTATTATTATTATTATTATTATTATTATTATTATTATTATTATTATTATTATTATTATTATTATTATTATTATTATTATTATTATTATTATTATTATTATTATTATTATTATTATTATTATTATTATTATTATTATTATTATTATTATTATTATTATTATTATTATTATTATTATTATTATTATTATTATTATTATTATTATTATTATTATTATTATTATTATTATTATTATTATTATTATTATTATTATTATTATTATTATTATTATTATTATTATTATTATTATTATTATTATTATTATTATTATTATTATTATTAATTTCTTGATATTATTTCTATTCGTTCTGTAGTTTATCCTGTAATTTAATTTTTAGTAGTTGTTGTTTTTTTAATTTTTCCATCAGGTAATAATACTTCTTAAATTCTTGTAACAATAGAAGAATTTTGATTTTATGATAAATAAGGATTAGAATTGTTAATATCATCATTATATTATTGTTAATAATGATAATTCTAATTCATATGACTATCTTATTGATATTAGTCTTAATAATGATTGTTTTCATCTTAATCATCAGCTAAAGATAACTTTTCAATTAATATTTTAGTTTCACATAAAGGATAATGTTATTCTAGCATTTAAATTGGATATTCTTAATCACAGTATTAACATTTCTTCTATGCTTAATTCAATAATGACTCAGTATATATATTACTACTCTATTAATTCAACTGTTATATTTCTTAAGTGTTGTTTTATTAAGGATAGTTAGAATTTCCATCATTATTTATAGATTATTAGTATTATTTAAAGTTGCTCTCTTTTTATTAAGGATATATATTTGATTCTACAAATTGAACATCTTATTTGGATGAGTTTTATTGAAAATTTGTTTCTTAATTTGGAACTCTAGATTTTTATAAATGAGATTGATTTTGTTTTACAACTGAATTGATTTCAGATATGTAATTAGAATGATTAGATTAATTACATTCTAGCTTATGGGCATACATCTGAGGAATAGGTATTCTTTCTTTACAAAACTTACATTTCACATAATCTTGATTTTGTGATTACATAGTATTTATACACAATAATTAATTACTATGAAATAACTTGAATTTAGTTTTTACATCTTAAATGTTTTCATAATAGAATTAATTTGTAATGAGAATGCATTCTGTTTTATGGAATAGATTACTAAAATTATATTGAAGATCTTTTATATTTTAATTGTTAAAGAAAGCGTATTACTTAATTTATTTATAAATTATTCAGAATTCATCAATTAAATTAACAGAGATGGTTGAAAAATCTACAATGAGATGGTTATGCGCTGTTTGTACTTGCTGTTTTTGGCTCAATTATTATGGCTTTTTAAATAATTGTGTAAGAGGATGCTAAATTTGTATAGATGGTAAATTAATCTAATATTTGAAGTTTTTGATGCAACAGTTTCAGCTGTTTGGAAAGGGATATTTTGTGTATTCATGTGTTGTTGTTTTGGGTTTGAATGTATGGCATGTGTTTTATGTATCTACTCATGCATTGAATTATTTAATGATCCATGTTAAAGATATTAAGCTGAAGATTCATGGATCAATGCTTTTTGGCAGTTGGTATATCTAAAGGATCTAGAAATAGAAGGAACAGTTAGAGAGAAACTTAAAGAAATATTTGCTAAATGATAAAATGAATAACATATATAATGGATTGCATGTTCATTCATATTTTAAGTTAATTTTATTTAATATACTTCTAGATATTGTTAAAAGATATCGAATTTATTTATTAAAATAATTCAATCAACTCATAGTATGAATATCACTTCTAATTCTAATTCATATTCCTAACAGATCATTATTCATAATATTTCTTATCTCTTCAAAATAATTCAAACGAAGATCATATTTCATTTGAATCATTTTAAACTCAAATATAATCTATTCCCTCTTAAAAGCCATAATTATCATATTCATAATATACACTATTTCATTACTATAACTCTAAGTTAGAATAAATTAGTAGAGTTAGTTAAAGAAATCTTATTTACTTTAAGTTTATTATTTAATATCTAATACCTCACATTTATAATGACATTATTCAATCCTAAATTAGGCATGATAATCATGAATTCATTGTTATTTAAGAAGGATCTACATTTAAATATTTAATTGTATTTTATCAACATATTTATATATAATGAGTCAAATATGTCTAAGACTTCATTTTTATTATTAAATAATCTATAAAGATAGAAGAATAATTTATTCTAATATGAAAGAGAATTAATAAGTGGGATCGATTAAAAATATTTTATTTGATGAATAAAATTATTTTGTTTCAATTAATTTTTATATAAATTTATTAAGTACTATAAAATCGATGTTATGCTGATTTAAGATATATAATTAATTAGCATCCTTTAAGTTATATAAATTTAGATAATAAACAATTCCATTTTTCAATTTGTCGAATTAATTTCAATCAAGCTGTATTAATGATTAATAATATTTATTTATTAGTTAAATAGTGAATAATGAATACAAACAAAAAATAAATCTCAATTATTCTAATTGTATCATTAAGAATTTTTAAGAATATTTAAAAGTGTATGATAGATTACCAACCGTTTTTTAATTATTGAGGTATATTTAAATTTATTTAATCTTATAGATAAAGCCCATTCATTTTATCCTTGATGTTGTTCATATAATATTATATTTATAAGTATGTTAATACTTTTATGAAAGGTAGTACATATAAAGATAATAAAGTAAATACTAATTAATCCTCTATATTTTTTTAATAATCAAAATAATTTCTTATTATTAAAATAACTTACTAGATGATCAATCTATAGGAGACATAGACTTTTTGTTGTTGTTGTAACATTTAAATACTATAAATCCACAAGTTATAAGAAATAATAAAAGCAAACCTAGGATAGTTTTAATTGTTATTTACAATTCAAAAAATATTCCACAGCTTAAAAAAATTGAAACTTTATGATTAATAATTCTTGTTCTTTATTTATCAAATTACATTCCTTATATCATAAATGAGAAGTAATGATATATTAGATTGCAATAAGAATGAAGATTAATAATATTAGATTTGAAGTTAATTTGATTAAAATGAAAAAAGAAAGTAATCCTGTTACTTAAAATTAATCACTTGATTTTAATAATTTCATAAAAATTGCTTTCTTAATGATATCCTTATACAGTCTTATGTATATGTTATTTATTGGCATATTATAAAATGGAAAATATTTTTATTAGATTTTTTGGTCTAAGATCCTTGTTACTTTGCTTTAACATGCTCATTTACTAATTCAAACAAAATTACATAAGTATTAAAATCAGATAGCTGAACAATGGAATTATATTGATTGTTAAAATTCATTATAATAATATATCCCAAATCCACCAATCAAATGAGAGTTTCGATGTTTTTTGTGTGCCAATTTTTGAGTAACATTTTTTAATAATAAAAATGGCAAGAACTAAGTAAACTGCAAGAAAGAGCACTGCTGGTAACAAAAAACCAACTAAGCATTTGGCAACAAAAGCAGCCAGAAAAACTGCTCCAGCTGTAGGAGCTGCTGGTGGTTTAAAAAAGCCACACAAATTTAGACCTGGAACAGTTGCTTTAAGAGAAATTCGTAAATACCAAAAATCAACTGAATTGTTGATCAGAAAATTGCCATTCTAAAGATTAGTTAGAGAAATTGCTCATGAATTCTAAAAGGAACTTAGATTCTAAAGCTCTGCTGTCTTAGCTCTTTAAGAAGCTGCTGAAGCCTACCTTGTTGGATTATTTGAAGACACAAACTTATGTGCAATTCATGCTAGAAGAGTTACAATCATGTCAAGAGATATTCAATTAGCTAGAAGAATTAGAGGAGAAAGATTCTGATATTTTAATACAGAAAATTATTATATAAGATTTCATAAATCTTTAAATTTAAATTACCATAATATGAATATACAATTGATTCCTCAGCAATAATATAAGTTATTAGCTGATTCTCATTTGAATTCTTGATTCCCTCCTGTTTTTATTAAATACTTTAAGTTAAAAAATAATAAATATTTGATTTACAACTATAAAAGTTCGTAAATATATTACAGATTAAAAAATGTAAAAATAAAGATGATATAATTTGTATAATAAATTAATAAGTAATATATCAGAATATGTATTTTGAATGTCCATGCTCGTATAAAAAGGAATTAGAATAAGAAGAACAAATAATATAACACATAGATCATTGTGAACAATTTAATAATGACAGTCCTTTATGTAATATGTACAAAAGGGGAAATGTTGATGAAGTGCCTATAGAACAATTAGTTACGTTTTTATGTGATTTAAAACTACAAGTAGAAAGAATAGAAAATGTTTTAAGAAGACGTATAATAATATAATTATTTCTTAGGTGGCTATTAAAAAAAGATAACATCATTTATATCAGAATTAAATTTTGATCATTATGCTAAATATACTTCCACATCAAAAATTAAATCAAACAATGGTGGAGTGAAATAAAATGGAATTACAGTTAAAATTCTTTCAAATAACATTTCAAATGAGAAATAAAAAAGTTCAATTGAATAAGAAAATTAAAATCAAAATAATAAGCTTCCTCCTACTCCACCTCTTTCACCTAATCGATTTGAAGAGGAGAGAAACTAAGATATATTTACAGCTCATTAACCAACAATGCTAATAGAAGAATAACCAAAAACTAATACTTAATAATAATAATAAGATTAAAAGGTTGCTTGTGAAGGTTGTAGAAAAGCCTTTTATTTTAATTAAGATTTTGAAAAATTATGGTTTTTAGAACATTGTGGACATGTAATGTGTAAATTATGTATACATCGATTGGCATAAGAAAAATTTGTTGAAAATGATGGAAGAGTAATGTGTCAAGAAATTGGATGTATATCTAAAATAACATATTTTGAATTAAAATAAATACTTGGACTTGATAAATTTAATGAATTAGATAAAAAATTAGCACTTAAAAATTAAAATATAGTTGAATGTATTAAATGTTAATCTTAATTCTCTTTTGAAAAAGGTAATCCAAATGAATAAGTAAAAGATTAATAAGGTAAAAGTATAAGTGGTGAAGCATTAATTAATTATGCTAATAATAGATTTATTTGTAAATAATGTAAAACAGAATAATGTAAATAATGTAATGCAGTACCATTTCATATTGGAATGACTTGTTAATAATATAAGACTAATTAATAAGCAAATAAATGTATTCTTTGTGATTTCCCTTGTGAAGGAAAAGTATGTAATTAAGAAGATTGTTAAAAAAGAATATAAAAATTATGTCAAAAAACATTAGATTGTGGTCATAATTGTAATGGAGTAAAAGGTGAAGAATGTTTATGTTTACGTTGCTCAAAATAAGAACCAGATGATTATTGTAATATGTGTTTTACTGAAGCATTAAAGAGTGCTCCTTGTATTAAAACTGAATGTGGACATATTTTTCATGAAGAATGTATTATGAAGAAATTAGATGCCAAATGGAATGGACCTAGAATTGTATTTTAATATTGTACATGTCCTTTATGTAAAAAATGGTTGGATGTTAAACATAAGGAAATTTAAACAAAATTAAATGCAGCTTTATAATTACAATTATAAATATAGGATTTATGTATAGAAAGATTAGATATTGAAGGAATGAAATAAGCAAAAGAAATTACAGATCCTAAAAGTTAGTATTATTAAAAACCTAAAGAATTTGCAATGGATAAATTTTGTTTTTATTAATGCTTTAAATGTGAAAAGCCTTATTTTGGAGGAATCAAAAATTGTTAAGCTGCTGCAGAAAATAATGATAGAACCTAATTTAATAAGGAAGATTTAATATGTTCCAGTTGTTGTCCTATCTCTTTTGAAGCTAAATGTATTAAACATGGAGTTAAATATATTGAATTTAAATGTCGATTCTGTTGTTCTGTTGCTGTATGGTTTTGTGGGTAAATATAAATTTATATTTCATTTTTAGAGGAACTACTCATTATTGTGAACCATGTCATAGTGGTAGAAATCCAAACATGAATAAACCTTGTCCAGGACCAGAAAAATGTCCATTGGGTGTTAATCATAAACCAACTGGTTAGGAAAATGCATTAGGATGTGCACTTTGTAGGTCTAAAAGAGTTGATGATATACTTAAAAAAAACTGATGTTTATATATGTAATAATAATTCTATAATTGTATTAAATATTCCATATAATATTATATTTCATATCTTTTTTATAATTAAAACATTCTAAAGTAATTAGATTTAATGATAGAAAATTTATTGTTTTATTATAAATTCTTTTTGTTGAATTATCATATTACCCTTATATTGAAAATAAAAATAGAATATACAAATGCATTCACAATAATTTATGATTAATTCTAAAGTTTTATTAATTAAATATGCGTTCTAATTAAGCAAAAGGTATAGAAAATGGGTCTGCAACTAAGCCATCATAATATTTTGAAGGTAATAGAAAAGGAGAAGTAAATGAGTTAAAAATGTATCAATTTATTCATTGTATATAGATTGGTTAAGAATACTATTAATGAAAAGGATGATAAAAAGAAAAGAGAAGTAGTTAAGAAAGTGATTGCTTATATGACATTGGGTAGTATTAGATACTAAATTAGGAATCGATGTTTCTAAATTATTCCCAGAAATGTGTATGGCATCTTATACTAATGATTTGGTATAAAAAAAGATGATTTATTTATATCTGACAACTTATGCAGAATAAAACAAAGATATGGCATTTATGGCTATAAGTACATTTTAAAAGGATTGCAAACATAATGATCCTAAAATTCGTGGATTTGCATTAAGAAATTTATGCTCTCTTAGATTTAGTGGTGCAATAGAATTTCTAATGCCAGCTATAAAAGAGGCATTATCAGATATTGATGCATATGTTAGAAAAACAGCAATTATGGGATGTGTAAAAGTATTTTACATGCAACCAGAGTAATTAAATAATATAGAAGACTAATTATATAAAATGATAAGTGATAATGATCCTCTAGTTATTATAAATGCTATTCATGCATTAAATGAAATTTTAGCATAAGAAGGTGGTATGGCATTATCAAAAAAGATGGTTGATTATTTATTAGGAAGATTGAAAGAATTTAATGAATGGGGATAGGCAACTATTTTAGATGAGCTTTCTAAATACTCTCCTAAAGATGATAAGGAAATGTTCAATATTATGAATACATTAGAAGAGAGATTGAAACATTCCTGTTCTGCAATTGTTTTAGGAGTTATTAAGGTTTTTATGAATTTTACAAAAAATAAACCTTAAATATATGAATAAGTTATTTCAAGAGTCAAATTACCATTAGTCACTTTAGCCTCGATTAGTGAAGGTAATTTTGAAATAATGTATACTATTTTATGCCATATCAAATATATTGCATCTAAAGGTTATAATTCTGTATTTGCATCTGATTATAAATCCTTTTATTGTAGAGTAGATGAACCAACTTATATAAAATTACTTAAGCTTGAAATTCTATCATTAATTGCATGTGATTTTAATTTAGGAGATATGCTTAATGAATTAGGAGAATATGTTACAGATGTTGATTAAGAAATATCTAAAAAATCAATCTAAGCTTTAGGAGCTATTGCAATAAGACTACCTGACTTAGCAACTGCAATTGTTAAATAATTATCTTCCTTTGTTACTCTTTAAGATTATATTACAAATGAAGTTATATTAGCCTTTAAAGACATTTTAAGAAAAGATCCTAAACATATCAAAGACTGTTTAGAAATTATTCAATCAGATAATATTACAGATTCAAATTCAAAAATAGCATTGATTTATATTCTGGGTCAATTTGGAAGTCAAATTCCTTTAGCTCCTTATATTCTAGAAACATATATAGGTGCTTAAGAATCTGTGGAATTAAAGCATATTCTTCTTACATCTTGTTTGAAAGTGTTTTTTGTTAGAGCACCAGAAATGCATTAAGTTTTGGGTAAGTTATTCTATGTAATTATTAATAATGAGAATGAAGATATTGATTTAAGAGATAGAGCTGCATATTATTATAGAGCAATACAGGCAAATATTAATGAAGTAAAGTAGTTTTGGTAATATAATATTAAAGTTGATAAATTTCTTGAAGAAACAATAATAAATAAAGAAGCTCTATTATTTGAATTTAATTCTTTGTCTGTCATTTACTAAAAAAATGTTAACAAATTCATCAAACCAATTGAATATTTTAATAATCTTAGAAGCAAAGAGTTATAAGATCTTAATTAAGAATAATAACAAACACAAACAAGTACAACTTAAGAGTAGACTTCTGATGTTATAGAAAATCCATAAACATAATCTTATGGTTAAACTAATGATCTTCTTGAAATTTCCGATTAACCATAATAATGTATATCTCTTAATGTAGATAATTTCATTGAGAACTTTTCAATCGATGCTGATCATTTTGAAAATATGTGGACTAACTTAAATGATGGGTAATTAATATATCTTATTTATTAGTGCTACTTTTACAAGAATGTTAGTACGTAATGATATTGCTAATGAAACTTCAATTGAATAATTATTTAAGTAATATAGGCTGTATAATATTGCAGCAGGAGAAGAAGAGAATGTTTTGAAAATGTATTTTTATGGATCACATTAATGCTAAGTCTTTTTTGAATTTGAGATTAACAAGAATCTTAGTACAGTTATATTAAATACAAGATCAGAAATAGAGGATCAGGCTTATTTAGTCTCAAAATATGTTGAAGATTTTCTTAAATAAGTTCATTTAATTGAATGATATTAATACATTAAATATATATATATTAGTTTCAATCAATCACTTGTCTTAATCACAAATAAATTTTAATATGAATATCTGATTAAATCCATGAATAAATATTCAAATTGAAATGTATATATTCAATCTTAAATATAAACAATATATAATAAAAATTAAAACTATGTACATTTATATTGGATTAGGGGTTTCACTAATTTTATTATACACTTTAGTGATTAAACCATTTATCTCTCTTTTGTTAATCAAAATCAAATTTGGTAAATAAGCCAAATTGATTTTCTTTCCTATCTTTGGAGATATTGTTGAAATTTAAGGCTCACTTAAAAAATATAATGATCATTATGAATCAATTAGAAGATACTTTAGAGAAAACAAAGATTTAAAATTCATTCTTCTAAATGTATTCAAAACTCCATTCATTTTAATTGGTGATCCTGAGATTAATAAATTAATCCATATTAATCATGAAAACTATAAAAAAATAGATTTTCTCAATAATAAGTACTAATTATCTATATAAATAGTTCTCGTCTTATGGGATAGGGTTTGCTATATTAATATGGTTTAAAGTGGAAAAATTAAAGATAATTACTAGGAAAACCATTTGATTATGATAGACTAAAATCAAGGATTCCAATGATGAATTAAGTAGTCAAACTAAAATTGAAAAATACTTATTAAACTCCTTTAGATTTAACAAGATCTATTGCAGGGGAAGTTGTAATATAAACATTTTTTGGAAAAGAAGCAGAAAATGCAGAACTTAATAAAAGAGAAGCTTAATCTGAAATTGTTGAATTATTTAATGATGTGGCAGAAGCAATTTATGGAACATTGTATGGTTTTATGAAATGGATGATTCTGGGAGAAAAATAATGGAAGATATTTCCAAATAAAATGGAAAAGGATATTAATAGAAGAATTGAAGAACTTACTGAATTTGCTAGAAAGGTTATTGATAATAGGATTACAAAGATAAAATAGGAGGGATTTAAAAAAAATGAAGAGGATTTTGATTTTTTAGATATTCATTTAAAAGAATTTTTAGGAGAGAAGAATTCAAGTGGAATTACTAAAGATGAAATAATCTCTTAATTTATAACTTTATTTTTTGCTGGTACTGATACTACATCAAGTGTTGCAGCTATGAGTTTATTTTATTTAGCATAATATCCAAATGTTTATGAAGCATTGGTTAAAGAAATAGAAAATGTAATTGGTGATGGTGATGTTCTTGATTCACATCTTTCAAAATTATAAGAATTAAATTCATTCATTTGGGAAGTATTAAGAGTTAGAAATCCAGCTAGTGGACCATTAGTTAGAATGGCTATAAAGGATGTAACATTAAAAGATTTACATATAAAAAAAGGATGGATTGTAATGCCAGCTAATTTTGTTTAATAATAAACAGATAAATATTTTTAGAATTTTGAAGATTTTGATCATAAAAGATTTATGAAATCATAAGCAATTAAAGAAGATAATGGTTTTGTTAATATTCCATTTTCTGCAGGACCTAGAAATTGTATTGGACAAGTAAATTAATATTATTAATATTTAGCATATGGCAATTATGGAAATAAAAATCATATTATGTCATATTTTAAGAGAATTCAAAATTAATACAGTACCAGATAAGATGAAAAATTTATAATGGAAAGCAAAATTTTTATATTTTCATGAACCTTTAGATTGCATATAATTAGTCAAAAAATGATTTATATTTAATCAATAAATTCAAGTTATATAGATTTCAATTTTATTAGTATTTAAAATATTATTTAATAAAAATATATGGAGTATTTATAATAATATTGGATTCCTTTTTTTAGTAACAGTTTATGAGTTTTTCTTTTAAAAGGTAATAAATAGTTATGGAGTATATTTATTTTAATTTAATATTTATAAAAATTATGTCACTTTAAAGAGAGACTACATTAATTAAAGAAAATAGGTTAAAAAGAATTCAAAAACTATTTGTTGCACGTAGTTTAGCTATGAATGAACCATAAACCTAAAGTGATAGAAATATATTCTAAGAAATCAATGATGAGTTCAATATTGATAAAGGTCCAAAGTATAATTAAAAGGGTGAAATCATTAAACATTCAATTATTGGAAAACCTGATTGGTTCAATAAAACAAAGTATGGTAAAAAATAGGCTTAATTCGATGAATTTAATCTTAGATAACTTCCACAAAAATCATAAACTCGAATTGATTAAGATTAAAGATCAATGCCTAAAAGTGATATAAAAAGTTTATAAAAAGGTGGAGGCTCTGGAAAATTCAAAAAAGACAAGAGAGATTAGTTAACTACTAAAACTCAGTTACTTGAAGAATTGGATAAGATTAAAGATAGAATTGAAATGAATAAAGAATTAGAACAAAGAAAACTCAAGTAATTATTAAATATTTAATTATAGAGAACTATAACTAGTTGTAAGATGTAATGCTACAAAGTAGGAAAGAGTAATGGATAAACATGCTAAGATGGAATAATACTGGAATGATTTCACATATACATAAGCAAATAAATTAAGTAGATTTCCTTCTGATTGTCAATTAATATAAGCTGAAAATTATAGAACAAGATTAGAGGCTGCTGCAGCATTTGATGCTCTTAAAACAGATTATGAAAGATTTGGACCAAGAGTTTGGTAAATGACACTAAGAAAACCTGATTAATCTAATGAAACATTGATTAAATTAAAGGATACATAAATGATTGTAGAAAATGAAATAAAATATGATTTTATAGTGGTAATTAATATTAAAGATATTCAGGGATCTGATTTACCTAATGCTTTTACAGAATCATCTGTTTGTGGACATAAAGGTGGGATTGAATATTATAGAAAACCTAATTTTCTACCTGATAGCAATCAATTAACTTTTTCTAGTCGATTTAGAAAATCTACAGATTCTGAAATGAATTAAAGTTCTCTTCCTTTTAAGAGTTTTAGAAGTGAAGAATATTTAATGAAAAAAATTGAAAAATAAAAAAGTTAATTCAATTAATCTCATATGTTATCAATTGATAAGACTGATGGATATGATTAATTAATTATATTAGGAAAGAATTAATATGAAATAGAAAAATAAATGTTATTAAATGATGGAACAGATAATACAGGAGTTTATCGTAAGAATATTGAAAAAATACCAGAAGAATTAACTAAAGAATAAATTTATGAATAGAATTTCACTGGAACATAGAGATTAATTTTACCATAGATTTATAAGACATAAATGTCAAGAATTAAAAGATAAGGATCTGCCACCAGTAAAAGTTAGGATTCAAGGAGTAGTTAGGATTTTCAAACAGAAAATCAAACAGTTATATAATGAATAAAAAGATTTTGATTTTGTATTTCAAATTATTAATATACTTATTTTATATTAAGCTTTTTCATTTTTTCTTATTTCCTCCTTTAGCTTAAGCAGCTGATTTTCCTCCAGCATTATTCTTTCTCAAAGCTTTAAGTTAGGTACTAAGGAGTGCACTTCTCTATTTTTATAATTGATAATAGCATTACTCTCTTTCTGAGAATCATAACTCTAAATCTATCAAAATCTGTTAATTTAGCTCTTAAAGCTTTCTTTGCAACTTTCTTGGCAGCAATAGTATTTTGATATTATGTAAATGGGTCATTCTTTTTAATTGCCTTGGTAATCACACCAGTTCTAGCACCTCTTGTGGCACCTTTAAGATTGAATTTGGTAAGTGTCAATCTTCTAATTGGGATGACCTATCTTTAAACACCTGTAGTTGGTCCATCAATAAGGACTCTCTTGTCGTTGAGGATTTCAACAATAGTGGCCAATTTACCTTCTTAAGGACCATAATTGATCTTGATAACTCTTCCAACTTCAACAAACTTTCCAAGTCCCTAGAAAAATTAATGGATGTTCTTACCATCTCTAATAAAACAAATTTTTTTATTATTTAAAAATCCTTTTAATCTTTTTAAAAAGAGGTGTTAAACAAATATAATATATAATATAAATTATATTCACATAACATCTAAGTCTTTCTCTTATATATAATTTAATCTAAATAAGAGAACTACCTAGAGAACTCACACTTGTTTAAATAAATTATATAATTATATAAACATTTCATTTTTTCAATAAAAATTTTATTATATCTCATCATAATGTTAAATACTTTTCATTTATGCCAATTTTTAGTATTATTTATTTAAATCCAAATATAAATTTAATAAAATATATTCATTTTTCATGATGATTTAATATAAAATGATTCTTTAAAGTCATATATAATTATATATATATATATAATATGCTTAAATCTTTCAACAACTGATATTAAGAATAAAATTAAAAAAATAATTTTGAAACTTTGATATTTGATAAAAATAGGATTAAAAGTGTGATAGTAATCATTATAATTTATGAAGATCTAAAGTTTATTTAGAGTTAGAATATTGAATAAAATATACAGCCTATTTAAGAAAAGGATGATATAAAATAATATGAAAATCTAATATTTATTATATAAGAAAAAGTATATTAAAGATTACTAAATTTAGTTTTACTTAAGAAAGTTTAATTATTTATATTAAATAGAGGCACTAATTTTTTTAATCACTAATTAGAATTAATATTAAAATAAAATATAGTCATTCTTAATTAGAAATTAGAATAAATTGATAGAGAAACATCATAGAATTTATTTATATGTATCAAAAATTCATATAACAAAATAGAATTTATTTATATCACAATTCTATACATGATGAATATATGTGTTTATTAATTCTAATTCAAATTAATAATTAAACAATTAATCCAATTTTTTTGAATTACAAATGTTTTCATCATACATCTCTTTCTTTCTCTATTCTTCTTTGAAATTTAATCAGAAACTATACTTTTAAAANGATTTCAACAATAGTGGCCAATTTACCTTCTTAAGGACCATAATTGATCTTGATAACTCTTCCAACTTCAACAAACTTTCCAAGTCCCTAGAAAAATTAATGGATGTTCTTACCATCTCTAATAAAACAAATTTTTTTATTATTTAAAAATCCTTTTAATCTTTTTAAAAAGAGGTGTTAAACAAATATAATATATAATATAAATTATATTCACATAACATCTAAGTCTTTCTCTTATATATAATTTAATCTAAATAAGAGAACTACCTAGAGAACTCACACTTGTTTAAATAAATTATATAATTATATAAACATTTCATTTTTTCAATAAAAATTTTATTATATCTCATCATAATGTTAAATACTTTTCATTTATGCCAATTTTTAGTATTATTTATTTAAATCCAAATATAAATTTAATAAAATATATTCATTTTTCATGATGATTTAATATAAAATGATTCTTTAAAGTCATATATAATTATATATATATATATAATATGCTTAAATCTTTCAACAACTGATATTAAGAATAAAATTAAAAAAATAATTTTGAAACTTTGATATTTGATAAAAATAGGATTAAAAGTGTGATAGTAATCATTATAATTTATGAAGATCTAAAGTTTATTTAGAGTTAGAATATTGAATAAAATATACAGCCTATTTAAGAAAAGGATGATATAAAATAATATGAAAATCTAATATTTATTATATAAGAAAAAGTATATTAAAGATTACTAAATTTAGTTTTACTTAAGAAAGTTTAATTATTTATATTAAATAGAGGCACTAATTTTTTTAATCACTAATTAGAATTAATATTAAAATAAAATATAGTCATTCTTAATTAGAAATTAGAATAAATTGATAGAGAAACATCATAGAATTTATTTATATGTATCAAAAATTCATATAACAAAATAGAATTTATTTATATCACAATTCTATACATGATGAATATATGTGTTTATTAATTCTAATTCAAATTAATAATTAAACAATTAATCCAATTTTTTTGAATTACAAATGTTTTCATCATACATCTCTTTCTTTCTCTATTCTTCTTTGAAATTTAATCAGAAACTATACTTTTAAAATTACTATCAACTTGAATGTCTTTCTTATTTTATTAAATTACAATCCCCTATAAATCTTTCTCTTAATTATTTATTCTTTGATACAAATACTTAAGTTCTTTCTCTTAGAAATTTTGTTGTATATTATTAAGAGATATGTAAAGTTATTATTATTTATTGTAAAATTATAATGGCAAATACTAAACAAAATATGAGACCATTAAGGCCTAACTTTAATATAAAAAATACTTCTTAAGTTTCAGAATAGGAGCCTCCATAACCAACTCTTGAAAATAAAGAGTAGAAAGCTCCTGAACCAAAAATTAATTTAAGACCTTTCGTACGTCCGCCTAGTTCAAAAAAAGATGATGTTCAACAATCGTAATAGTTTTAAGAATCAATAATGGATTAGAAAGTGGATGAGTAAAAAAACACATAACAAAGTAACAGATTCCACTTACATTTAAAGGAAGAACACCAGTAAATGGATTTAGAAAATTTAATCTACAAAGTGCTGCACCTATCTAATAAAATGAAGAGATTTTAAATGCGGCTTAGTAATATTAAGGACCAGCCATTAATCTATTTGCTAATAAAGAAAAAATTTAATAAGAAGTTAGTCAAATCAAATAAAAAGAATTAAGACAAATGGTACAAGTGCAAATGAAACAAAGACCTTTAAATGCACCTGAAATGAATTTATTTTCTGGAAAAGAATCTGTTGATGGTTCAGATACATTTAAGAAGATGAAACCTATAAAACCAACAAATAAATAAGAGCCAATCACAAAAGACACTATAAAAGTAGCAGAGTTATTGGAAAACAAGATTCAATTTTAGGCTCCTTAAGAAGAGCAATAAATTGAAACTAAAAAGATTCCTAGAACAAGAGTTAAGTAAGCAGTTTAGGAATAGATTGATATAGAATAGTTGAATAATAATTAGTAATAAAATACAAAACAATAAGGTGAAGAAACTAAGATGGATAAGACTTAGAAAGAGATGAATAAAACTATAAGTAAGAAAACTGGAAAGTCTAATTAGATTTCATAGTAATCATAATAATTAAATGAATAACCTGAGGAAACTAATAAATAATTAGTATAAACAAAAGAAGTAATGTAGAATCCATAATAAACAGTTACTACAATAGATGATTACAAAGAGAGAGTAAAATAATATATTAATTATTAAATAGACAATTTAATTTAATACTAGTACTACAAAAAATGTATTTTAAGGTAAGACAGAGGAATAAAAGAAAAGAGTAAAGGAATTATAATAATTAATTACTTTAGAAGTTGATGATTATAGCAATTAATTAGTGATTTAACCTAGAAGTAAGAAAATTAAAATTATTCTTAATAGCTGAATATGAAACATATCTCAATCATATTAAAGCTAATATAATTAGAAATTCATGTGATTAGGCATTTGATGATAGATTAACAGTGGATACTTAAACAGATGAATTTTAAACAAATGATTTTGGTGGATAATGTCCAGAAGATTATAATAGAACATTTCTTGCTCATAAACAATAATATCAAAAAGATAATCGTTTATGTGAATTTATTGAATAGGCTTGTGATATATTTGAAGAAATTCTTAATGTAGATAATAATAGAAATTAGATTAAATTTGATTAAGAATAGTTAAATCATAAATTTCCTAATAAAATAAATAATGTTTTTAAAACTAAATGTTTAAATATTGTAGCTCATTAAATAAATAATAATTAATTAGAATTATTTGAAACTTATTATATTGAAAATGATAAATTTAAATGGCTTAATGGTTCATTAATAATTTAATATCCTTAAAATGTATTATATTATACACCTTCAAAAGTAACATGTTTGATTTGTGAATAAAATTTATTGATTTGTGGAAATGCAGATGGATAATTATGTGGATGGAGTATAAATGATATTGGTTATAACAATAAATATATTGATAAAATAAAAGAATTATTGTAAAATGAATTTAAAGTTAAAAGTATAAATTTTGCTTCAGAATGGAATTTATCTATTTTAGATTAATTTAGTGATGCAAATATGAACTAATTATCATAAATACAATAAATAACCCATAATTCATTAATCAAATTGATTTTTGAAATAGTTGTAATGGATGTATTTGGAAATATATAAGTTTGGGAGATTTAAGATTTAAAATATAATGAATAAGAAAAATTATATGTAGATTTAGGAATTAAGTCAAAAAAGAAATTAGTATTATTAAATACAATAAATAAAAATTTGACTAAAATTTATAGTTGTATGAGTATGGATATAGATACGTAATATGAATAATTTAATTTATAGTATTCTCATTTGTGGACCTTCAAAAGTTATTAATATTTCTCAACAAAGATCATATTATGATGATTCAGATATGCAACCTTGTATTATTAGTAATATCTATTATGATTATTTTTGTGTTGGTTATAGTGATGGTCATATACAGTAATATATATATATATATATTATAGATTATTTCATAAAGACTTTACAAAATCAATTTGGTAATTGAGAATTGGATTAAAGAAAATAATATGGATTAGAATACTTTGTGATGGTTTGATTGGCATTATAGATAGTGAATAGAATATATATGTATATTGTGTTTAAGATAATACCCAAATGATTGGTAAATAATTAAATGATAAAGATCATTGGAGATACAATTATGCTTAGTATGTATTTGTTATTACTTTAAGCTAAAATGGTTAAGAATTGACAATAGTTGGAAAAGATAAAAATAATGATTTGCAATTGATTAAAGAAAGATTAGAATTAAAGGGAACCAAAAGTGAGATATTCGATAACATTTATTTGGATTATTATGGATAATGAAAAATATATAAATAAAATTATTAAATAGATATGTCAAGAACAAACAAATAGGTTGAATAATAGCCAGCACCAAATAAGAAAGTCTAAGCACCTTCTAAGCCTTAAAAACCAAAGGAGAATTATTTGACTCCAGAGGAAATCAATGATTTGAGAGTAAGAGTGTTGTTAAAAATAAAAAAAGGAAACCTTTGATTTGTTTGATGATGATAAGAGCGGCACAATAGATGCACATGAAATTAAAAAAGTACTTGAAGATTTAGGAGTTGATGCTAGAAATAAGTTTGTATATCAAATGGTTTAAGATTTAGAAAAGTATTAATATACATCTTAATATTAGTTTTGGAGGCTCAATTGATTTTGATACTTTTGTGAATATTATATCAGATAGATTGGGAAATAATAAAACAAAGGAAGGTGCATTCAAATTGTTCCAAATTTATGATCCTGAAGATACTGGGTTTATATTTGAAGATATTTTAGATTCATTGATTTCGTAAATCTTAAACGTGTGGCAAAGGAATTGGGTGAAACTCTTAATGATGATGAATTGCATGAAATGATCCATCATATTCACATTCTTAGAAAAACAGAGAGCCCAGAACAAATCTCATTTGATGAGTTTTATGAAATCATTACCGCTCCAAGAAGATATTGAGAAAATAAAATCATATATATTAAATTATCATCATCTGACATATATATATATATATTTATATTTAAATATAATTCAAAATTTTATCATTAAGAATAAGATTATAATTATTACTCTAAATTAGTATGTATTTTTAGAAAATTCATAATCAAAAATAATTATTATTATTATATTCAAACCCATTTAATATCTTTACATATAGCTTATGCATCACTTAAAGAACAAAGTACTTTTCCAAAATCATCTTTCAACTTTTAAATCTATCCATTTATTGCAATAGATGGAACATAACTCAAATTTGGAGTTCTCAATCTATTTGCATATAAAAGTTCAATTCCTTATGGACCATTAGCACATGCCTTAACCTGCAACTTTTATTAAGTATTCTCTAAACATTTCTCTATTTATTCTTGAAAATTTTATTTATAAGCTTCTTTAAAGAAACATCTCACAAATTTAGTACTAGAAACCTAATCTTATTGAATTTATAGACCACATGCTAAAATCATGTTTCCATAACATTCTTCTTCACTATGTTAACAATTAGTGATATAGGTATTAGCTTCATAAGTATTTGAATTCAACTTTCCAGAAGGTATAAATTCAACATTGGCTAATGAATCCAATGAGTCAATTGTTGAATTAGATATACTTCTCATCATTGCTGCAGTATCAGGACAACGAGATTCTATGTATATTTTTACATTTGGTAAATCCTATGCTTTGCCAATCAACGTTAGTGTAATGAAAATAATGGTAAAATTAATCATTAGAATATTATATCAATTTTATGATTGTATAATGTAATCCGATTATAAACATAAATTTCTATTTGTTAAATTCTCTGAAAATCCTTCAAATTAAACTATATGTGGTGAATATTCTATTTTTGGAGACCCATCAAATTCTAACTTAAACTTAGTTCTAAAAGGAGGGAATGATAATTGAAGAAAGGTAAATCTTTATTAATTGATGATGGTGTATCATTTTTATTTTATACCTTCCTACATTTATGATTATTGATTTATTTTGTTTTTAAGTACTTTTGATTCATAAAATTCCTTCTCAAGTAAACCTAGTCTACAAATTGGACAATTAGCTTATTTTGTTGTCCTTTAATAGAATATTAGAAACAATATCAATCTATTAAACATAGTTTGTGGAAATCAGGTTTACAAGGAGTTTGAAAATATTTATCTTTTAATTCAAATAAAACGAAGTAAACTGAACAAGTATCTGTAATTATTTTTGAATCTATAATTTATGAAGGCATATGTTTCTTTATTACTTTTCTATCCAAAGGTGGTTAAATTTAAGTAAATTTTTTATATTATCTTCTAAAATGAAATATTATGATTAAAAAAGGATTATACCAAATATTATGATAGATATCAAAAGCATTGTATCCAATAAAGGTAACTCTACACTCTTAAATCCAGTTCTAATTTTTATTAAGTCTATACGTAAGGGTGATTGTGAATACTTGAATTTAAGTTGAATTAAAATTTTATAAACCAAAAGTATAGATATTATCTTAATCATTTTCAGTTTTAGATAAGAAGATTTCATTATCGTCATAATTATTAGAATCCAAAACTATAAAATTATATAAAATGATCGAAGCGTAATAACAGTAAAATTATTAACTAAAATATGGACACCCAAAATATCATGGATAACAAATAAGTATTGGATCTATTTAAATTAGTATGTTGAATTTCCATTTAATCAGTAACATATTATGTATTTATAAAAGCTAGATAAAGCAACTTTGATAAATAATAAAAATATCATTAAATTTAATTTAAAGAAATTTATTGAAATTACTCTACGCTCCTATCAAAATTGGATATATACATAATCATACTAGAACAAATAAAAAATGATCCAAATGTATTTCTGATAGGAAGAACATTAAAATCAATATTTCTAGGTGAAGAGGTAGGGTTATATTAAGGGGCCTATAAAGTTTCAAAAAGACTTTTTTAAAATATGTTGGTGATAATATAATTGATACACAAATAATAAAGTTGGATTCACAGGAATCTTTGGAGGAGCTCATTATGGATTAAAGGTAAAAGTTGAATTTATGACATGGAATTTTGCAATCCATACTTTTTTTACAAAAAAAAAAAAGATACATTTGGAAAAAAGTTAAAATTTTCTTGTCTTATTTGGACTATATTCCTAAGATTCATTAAAGGTTGGAAAACAATGCAAATTAAGCTAAAAATCCATTAAGGTTGATGAATTTTCAATATCTAATGTTTTGCTTAATTGGGCCTTATTATTTTTAAATGTCGAAGTATCTAGTAATTATTCAAGAATTTAGCTTGAAAAAACACGAAATATAATATTATTATGTGAAACAAATCCTTTCAAAGTAGAAATTTTAGATTTTTATATCTTTCTTACTTTATCTGAATGGATAATTTTAAGGCCCTTCCATCTATTTGATTTAGCAACAAAGTAAATCTTTAATTTTAAATGTGGCCTTAAAGACTAAACTTTCTTGTGACTCTGTTTTGATTCTTATTTCTCTTTGATATTAATGATTGCAAATAACCCAATCGACGACTCATTACTTTAAGTATAAAAATATATTTACTTTTTAAAGATGCTATAAATTAATAAAACTTTTGAACTTATCTTGATTTTACAGATTTTAGGGCAACCTTGTTAACTCTATAATTTTTCATAAATAAATATCATAAAATAAGTATAAAATCTTTGATTAAGCGATAGCAATTAATCATAAATTTTTAAATTATTATAAATATTATTTATTCATTATATATTAATAATTAATTAATATATTAAGGGTATAAAATAACAGCAAATTCACATTAATAATTATTCAAGACTAAGGGGTTACAAGATCTTCTTTACTATTTGAAAGAGAAGATTATCTTCAATTAAATAATTACAATTATTAGTATCTAGTATCAGTAAACTAAACATTTATATTTCATAAGATTCTTTCTATGTAAATATAGCATTGAATTATGAATATAAATATAATTTGATTTGAAATTATTATTATTAATATTTTATAGTTTTATTTAATAATCTCATACATCTAAAAATTCTACAAATAATATAGTTTCTTATGTGATAATTTTATTAGTTAATTTTTATACAATAGTTATACCATTACTTGTTGTAGTTAAGGTTAATTCTTTATAATTTGATTATGCTTTGAATTTAGCATAGATATTAATTGTATTAATTGATCCATGACAATAATGGTTTAAGTTATAAATCTTATTAGATCCACTACAACTATTACATTTATTCAGTTTACTATGGACTTTTTTATTATTTGATGGACATTTGTAATAAACATGAATATTCAGTAATGTAATTGATTCATTAAGTAAAATATATTCTGATCCTATTGTATTAACTATTTTATTGATCTCAAAAATTTCCAACTGAAAAGCTGGTTTCTAATCTGAATTCATTTCAAATAATTTGCTAATTCTAACAGTAAAACATTCCATTGCTAAAAAGGGATTATCAACAGTGTATTTTAACCAATATGATGAGATTGTATTACGAGCATAAATTCCAGAGCCCCCTATTTCAATAAATTTATATCTTACATCTTGAAATAGCATAGTCAACAACAGAGGCACCTTAATTAATTGTTGCTTTTAATGTAATGACACCATTATTTTACCCTTATTATAATTAGCTAAAACCTAATATAAAATAACTATTAGATTTAACAGGATATTGTGGACTTGTATATACACTTGTGGATTAAATTTGATCAATATAAGTGATAATTTCATCAGTTCCCAAAATTAATTAATACCCAAGGAAAAGAAAATTGGCATTCAAACTATAATAATTTACAGTTACTGATGTAGAAGTTAAATCAGCTATCTATTATTATATTATGATATATCATACAGATAGACCCATATCAAATGATGCTTTATATCCAATCCCTAAAATTGAAAGAATTGCTTTTTTTATATTTGGATTTTGAAAAGTAAATGATTTAGCACCTATAGGATTTAAATTAAACTCATTAATGACGATTAAGCGTTGATCATCAATTGCATACCACCTGAGAGTATAAGTATTTATTCTTTAATAGGGACATGTTAATTTGATTTGAAAATCTACGTTAAATATTATCTTTACCTGTTAATGTTACACTTACAATGTCAATTTTAGCAGTAGGTTAAGATGAGGAAACAGAAGCAAAATCAAAAAGACTGGGATAAAAGATTAATTTTGGTATGTTTGAAAAAGAGTCTGGAAAATTAATTGTAGATGTGTATCCATTTTAGCAATTAAATCCTGATACTTAATTTGAAAACTAAGTAACCTCTCCTGAGCATTCAGTGATGATTCCTTGTGCAAATTAGATTAGTAAAAATGAAAATATCATAATATTAATATATGTTATTTTTAGAAGTGTAGTTAATTTAAAACAAAGAAAACGCTATTTATTAATTTTTTTTTTTTTTGGTATAAAAATATTAATATTATAAATTATCTTTTAAAAGCTAAAAAATCAAGGCATATAAAATAAATTTTTTTTTCCTCAAATGCTTATACATATATATTTTTTCTAAATTAAAAGAAAAAAAGTGCAATTAAATTTCTTTTTTATTTTCAATTATTTAATAAAATGATGACATTATATATAAGTTTCAGGAAATATTATAAATGTAGGATATTTTTTAAAATAATTAAATTGAAATTCCATTTAATAAACTGAAATTCAATAGATATTTTATTGAATACCAAGGATCTTTAAATAAATAAATATTAAATTAATAACACGAATAAAAACTTTCTCAAAAAGCAGACTAACTATAAAAAAATCTTCTTTATTTTTTAATTAATTATTATTCATAGTATAGTAAGATTATTAAAGTTATAATAAAATGAGAAAATAAAGTAATATAATCATCTTAATTCTGTCAAATCTTCAAAACTATTTCCAGTATATTTTTTTTAAGATTGATTCATATAATCATTTCATTTTCTTCATTTTTCCTTTTTCCATATTTATTTATATTTTTAATTCCAACTAAAGATTTTCTTCTTCATTTTTAAAAAGTTAATAAAAAAAGATTTTTTTTTTCATTATTTTGGATCTCTCCAAATTATGATAAATACCAAACTTTAATTCTTTTATCCTTTGATGTAGTTAGTAATGTTTTCTCTAAATAAAGCCATTTTAATTCTGTAATCTCTGGATCATGAACTTTGAAATAAATTATAATTAATTTATATATTACAAATTAATTAGAATTTCGAGCATATCAAATAGTAACAGTTCCATCAACATTTCCTACATAAATTTCATCTTTTTTTGAAGACTCATATACTTCTAATCTTTATTTTTTCATTTAAATTTGTTTTTTATTTAGCAAATTACTTCTAACCAGGATTTTATATATCCATTATTATAAAAAATCCATTTTTCTGACTAGTAGAAAATAAATAATTTCTTATATGATCTATGAATTATCCTTCTAAAAAAAATTGGTTAATTGAATAATTAAATTAGCCATGTCTAACAAAAATAAAGACTTTTCTACTTTCGTCACTTACTAATAAACTGATCAATTTATTCTGGTCTGGCATAAAATCTATTTTAGATCAATTACATACATGCTACCAACTCTTTCATACATAAATTTAACTCTTTATATTTATAATCCTTCAAAATTGAATTCATATAATTATTTCTTCCATTAAATATGAAATACCTCAACTAAAAGTAATTCTAATAATCAATGAATAAGAAAGATCAATTAGAAACATATTTATCTTACATAGAATGAACGAAGATAAGATGAAATTATAAGAAAGATTTTTGTACTTTTTGATGAATAATGACTTAGTAACTATTTGTTTGTGAGATCTATTAAATAAAATAGAGAAGCTCTTGAAGTTTTGAGAATACTTAAACAAAATTTTGTTTATTTTATCAGAAATGTTGATTCATTTGAATTAGTCTAAGAAAAAGTTTTAAGTGTTGCTAAAAACAGAAACAATCTTTTAAAAAAAATGACATTAAAACATTTGAGCTTGGCTTTAACCTAATAAATAGAAAGTGTAAGTAGAGGAGATTCAATAGATGAAATTCTTGAATCACTTGAAGCAAATCTCTCAGTTTCCCTTGAAGTAAATGAAATTAATTCTTTTTGGGTTTTGGCTGGATAAGTTTCATTAAGTAATCTTAAAGTCACATAGTTAAAGGTTGAATATGAAAAAAGAAAATTATGATGAAAATTGGTAATTATAATAATTAGATTTAATTGATTAATAAATTTATAAAGCCATTTTATGGGTTCCAGTGATTAAAAGGCTTCAATAGTTTTTAGAGGAATTAATGGGTAATTAATGAATAATATGATTTAGCGCAACTGCATATGTCGCAGCATAACATTCTTAATTTTTTGCTTCTTGGTATAGTAATGTTTCAGGATTGATAAGGTTAGCCCCTTATGATTGTGATGATGCAAAATAATTATTGAAAGCAACAGTTTTTAATCCTAACCCTGTTGTATTTTTGAATGTGAGATTCTATACAGTGAATCATTGGAATTATCTGCTGAAGACAGAGATCCAAATTATATTACTCTAATTAGAAAGGCTAAGATTATGAGAAAAGATGAAAATGTTAAAATTAAAGCATTTTCTAAAATGGTTGAATATTACCTTATAACTGATGAATAATTATTTCGTGAGGGCATTATTTATGAAGTTTTTAATTTAAGAAGTTAAAGGCCATTAAATAGAGAAAATATTATTGAGAGTGTAAAGAAAACAGGTAGAGTTGTTTTTTTGAAGAAGGATGGACTTAATCTGGTATTGGAGTTGAAATTGCTCTTTAATTATGGAATGAGAAGCATTTAAATATTTGGATGCTCCTATTTAAAGAGTAACAGGTATTGAAATACCAACACCATATGATTTCAATTTAGAAGCCATAGCATTTCCAAAAACAGAATAAATTGTTGATGGTGTCATAAACTTATTAAAAGGGACTCATTGATTTATAATTAAATTATAATATGGATTAATTTAAAATTCTTGGTTAAGGTGCCGAGAACATTGTCTATCAATATATTGGGGAAGATCCCAATTTTAAGGACAAAGTAATTAGAATTCGTAAACCAAGAGATATATGTGAGTTATCTACAAATTTAATTATACCTTTAAATGATACAGATTGGACTCCTCTTAAAAAGTATTTCTTAAAAAAACAGCCATACTAAATTGGAGATTAATAATGTTAAATTATGGATAATCTTTTTTATAATGTTGTTTTTGCTGTTGAAATAAAACCTAAAACATTTTTACCAATTTTATCAAAAAAATAAGAAAATAAAGATTTAAGTGATCCTAAGAATCAAAGATTTTTTATGGTTTCACTATTAAAAGCTTAAAAGAAATTATAAAAAACTGATAAGAATATTTATAAATGTACAAAGAAAGAAATAGATCCAATAATCTCAAAATATGATCCTAGAAAATTTTATAATTGCAAGATTGAAAATCTATTTGATTCGATTATTGATTTATCAGAAGTTCCTGACAGCAATTTGAAACTCTTTAATAATCAATAATAAAGGGTTCAAAGCATTCCAGAATTTAATATTGAAGATGTATATAAATTTTATAATTTTAGATAGCATCTATCATAAGTGAGACTTTGCTATTAGAAAATATCATTTAATAACTCAAAGGTTTTTTCCATATGATATAATAAATGAATTTTACAATTGAAGAAGCATTTGAAGCATATGAACAATTAAAATAAAGAAATCTAACTAATAATTAATATTAAGAAATTGTTGAAGGCAAATTTTAAGATCCTGAAATATCAAAACTAGTCTTTAAATTATTAACATTTTCTTCCATATAAGCTTTAAGTGATTTATCAATTATAGGAAGTTTCAGGAAAGAAGGATAAGGCAAATTTGTTGAGATTGGTAATTAAAAATTGTTTTATTAATATTCAATAATTGATTGCGATTTAAAGCCATTGAATAAAATTTATGATTACATGTCAACGATAGATGAATTAATCAAATTGAGAGATTATTACAATTCTCTTTAATGAATTATTTTATATAAAAATGAATAAATTGATACCTGCCATAGTATCTGATATTGATGGAGTATTGATAAGGGGAAAATCAATAATTCCAAATTCAGAGATCGTTGTTAAGGAATTATTGAATAATCATTACACAAATGGAGAAAAGCATAATATTCGTATTCCCTTTTACTTATTAACTAATGGAGGAGGATGTACAGAATTAGAGAAAGCTAATTCATTAAATAGGATTATGGGTTCAAATTTTAAAAGACATCATATATTTCTAAATTACACTCCTCTAAGACCAATAATGAATGAATACTAGAATAAATTAATTTTGATATGTGGAGCAGGTAATCTAACAGAAATAGCTAAGGATTGTGATTTAAAATATTTTTACACAATTGATGAATATTCTGCATTATTTGATTAAGTTACATTTAAATAATATGATGCTGATATTATTAGATAATATGAGATTGATATTAAATAAAGACACATGGAATAGATGAAAAATAAATAAATAGAAGCAGTGTTTATTGTATTTGATCCTATAAAGTGGGAAGAGAGTATTTAAACAATATCTAAGTTGGTTAAAGAGAATAAAGATATACCTATTTATGTAGTAAATAATGATGTGACTTATGCAGATTATTTTAAATTACCAAGATTGGCATTTGGTACATTCACTAATGCACTCATTTCTATTTTAAAGAAAGAATATAATATAAATCCAAATATCATATATTATGGTAAACCATCTCTTAATACATACAAATATGTAAAAACATATATACATGAAAAACATGAAAATATTGGTAATATATATATGATTGGTGATAATCCTGCAAGTGATATAAGAGGAGCAAATCAAATAGGATGGCCATCTATTTTAGTGAGAAGTGGTGTATTCAGAGGAAGTGAGAATGATCCATAAGATCCTGGTAAATATGTTGTCAAAGATTTAATGGATGCTTACAATAAGATATTGTAATTAGAAGGATTAAAAGTTGTTTAATGATGTTTTAACTATAAAAATTTAAAAATGGGTGCTAATTCTTCTTAGAGTGAGAAATTTGTACAAGAGTTCTAAAGATAATGTGTGAAAGTGAGAGAGTTGAAAGACTTACGCTTTGGGGATGTTTAGATTTATCGAACATAGTAGAATTCTTACATTATGGTCAAGAGTATATGGTGCAATAATTCATAAGAATATGATGCATCAATTAGTAATATAAAATTAATTGATATAGGTAATTGTGAAAAGAGATCTAAATTACACCATTAAAATCTAGTTAAACTCTTAGGATATCATTCAAATTCATAAAATTAATGGTGTGGAGATTTTTCAAAAATTACTGTATATTTGGAATTCTTTGATTACACTTTAGAAAAGTCAATTGATACAAGAAGACAAACCAATCAATACTTTACAGAAGCTGAGCTATGGAAAATGTTATTCACTATTGCTAAATTGGGAATCTATCTTGAAGAATAAAATAAAGTTCTTGGAGATATAAGACCTTGCAATATATAATTATCAGATGATTTGAAAATGGCTGTAAGAAATATACTTAACTCTTTATAGGAACTAGGTATATTGAAACCAGATTAAACAGGTTATTAAAGATAAATAAATAATCAAGAAGTTGCATATTTAAGTCCAGAACAATTATATTCACTCAACAATCCTTCAATTACTGCTAAATCAGATGTCTATTCATTGGGAGTGACTATGTTAGAATGTTCAACTTTAATGAGTGGAAAGAATCTTTATAAATCTAATAGAATTGATGGCCATCTTCTATAACAATTATTAGAAACTGTCAAATAACTTGGATATTCAAATCCATGGTACAGAATGGTTAGGGAATTATTAAAAGAATAGCCTGATGAAAGACCTTCATATTAAGATATTTATGTAATATCAATTATTATAATCAGGATGCCCTCAAATAATTCGAAGTTTAGATCCTTAATTTATAGCCTTTTTCACTTATATATCAATAACCTTCTATACCTTAATAATCTATATCACCATATAGACCATAATATTAATAATATTCATAATCTTTACCACCTTAACATCAATAATAATAAACTTAAAATTAAGTACCAGTTTAATTTTAATAATAATTCCAATAATAATAATAAGTAGTTTAATAACCATAGCAAATACACACTTTACCATAATAACCATCTTATTAGTATCAACAATAAGTACTTCCACAATAATAACCAATTTTAGCATCCTAATTACCTTAATAATAAACTTAATAATAACCTACTATTACATAACCATTATAACCTCCATAATAATCCTATATGTATTAATATTAATAACAACCTTATTTAAATGAATTAGCAAATGCTTAATCTAATTATTTTGTATAATAACAAGTTCATCATTTACCTTAATAAATAGAATAGTCTCCATACCATACACTATAGTCTCCATAAAACATGACATCAACAATGTATTATTAAGAGGAAGAGTAGGATGATGGATTAAATGAGATTGATAAAAAGATTTAATAAGCATTAAAAATGACTAGGGATACTGAAATGAGAAATAAATAAACACCGAATTACTATTGACATAATAATTACAATATGATAAATCCTTAGTTATATAAATATGTTTTACTCTCTCATATTTCTTATTTCCAAAATTTATTTTATAATCATAAAAATATTTTAATAAATTCAATATTTATATTTAAAGAAATGCAGGTTAAATATTAGTTCGTTTAAATATTATGAAATTATATGAAATTGCAATTGAAAATAAGAGATAATTAAGTCTTATGATGTTTTTAATGCTAACTGTTATAATTACATTATGTGAAGATAGATAAATGTAGATTGTAATGATATAGTGATCATATAAAATATTATTAGATCTTAAAAGATATTGAAAACATTTGTTATCATTGATCACATTTAAGTTTTAGATATTAATGTTAGTTATATATTTAAATAAAATGATTGTTTTCAAACATATTCAATAAATTTATTTATAAATATTTCTATTATTGAGTATTTGACAACTCTCATGGTTTCTTTTGATGTGAATCAATCATATTTAAGATTTGAAGAATGGCTGAAAATATTATTTTTATAAATTTTATTGATCTAATGAACGCTTGCGTCATAATGAAAGATAATACCTCATTCTTAATCACATACATTTGACTCTAAGGTTCAGAAAAATAAATATATAATGAGCTATTCTACCACAGATGAGAGATTGATGGATTCACCTAAAAGAACAGAAAGCACAGATATCTAATCTGACAGTTAAATGTTTAAGAAGGGATTCAATCCATAATTTCTGGGAATTTAATAAACATCCAAAGTCACTGTACTTAATTTAGCTATTTTTAGGTGTCTAGGAGATATCTTGATACTAAAACACATGGAGTTTAATTATATTATTAAGAATTTACTCCTTAAAATGTAGATGCTCAAGTAATAATAGTCCATGGATTTGGTGAGCATTCAGGAAATTATCAATAAGTAAATTCAAATTTTATTCATACTAGTTGACAGATTGTTTTTTGTTCAATAATTTTAAAGTTTACCTCTATGACTAAAGAGGATTTGGTTATTCTGGAGGCATAAGAGGGTAAGCAACTGTTGAATAAATGCATATGGATTTAGACACTATTTTACAATTAGTAGATAGATCAGTTCCTTTATTTATATTTTGTCATGCTCTTGGTGCTTCTATGGTCATTAGTTTTTGTTTAATGAATCCTTCATTTCAATTTTAAGGACTTATATGTAGTAATGCATAATTAAGAGTGCCAGCTAAATATGGAAAATTTAAGATGCTCACTCTTAAGCTTATGACAAAACTATGTCCTGATCTCTAAGTTAATACATACCAAAATTTATCATATGCTTCAAAAAATAATCATCATATCAAAAAACTTGCAACTGATCACCTTATGCATCCTTATATGAGTATCTAATTTGCATACAATGTACTTTTGTTTTAACAATTTATCTTACCTAATGCAACTAAATTCAGAATACCTATCTTATTATTGCATGGTAAAGAGGACAAGATTGCATCACATTTAGATTCCCTTGATTTCTATAGAATTATATAATCTAAAGAGAAAACACTCAAAATATTTGAATAGGGATTTCATGAATTACATAATGATTCTGAATGGCCTAAAATGAAAATACTAATCACATAATGGTGTACAAAAATGTTAAGCAAAGATGTCAAAATTTCCTTTATGAGGGAACACCATTATGGAGTTGTTGTTAAACATTACAGAAGCAAAATTAGAATTATTTTAACAATTCTTCTAATTTTATTTAGAAAGTAATTGATTTTATAAATTCTATTAGAAAATACATATGTTTAAAAACAAGTACTAAAATTAGTATCATAATATTTATAGAGTTACTTCTAAGAGTGTTCATATCTAATTGAATATTTGTAAATTGTTTTATATATATACTAATTAATATATATAATGAAAAATAACAGATAAAATTTTATTGATTTGATTATCCATCTTCTTGATCTAGAGGAATAAATAGAAAACACAAAGATTCATATGACTTCAAATGAATACTTCACTCTTTATAGAGCATTTCAAATAATTGATGAGTAAAATACAAATTAAATAACACCAGAAGCAATTTCAAAATTAACTTCTAAACCTACATAATAATGCATCTTATTAATTGAATATTACTCTGAATTTAAAGATAATAAGTTGTCTTTTGCTAATTTTATGAATTTATGTTTACCAAGAAGTAAACCTTAATTAAGAGCATAATTAACATAAAAACTATAAAAAACTATAGGTTCACCTGAAGAATAAGAATTAATAAAAGAACATTTATCTATTCTAATAGCTAATGAAATTTATTTCTTATAATAAATTAAACAATACCCAATAGAAATAGAAGGATTGTTGGAGTACCCATTCAAATAAAAAGATTTAAATTAATTAATAAGTGATTTTGGCTATAAAATAAATACAGAAGCTATTTGGAAGAGATTGGATTTTGATTAGAATGGTATTGTTACTTATGAGGATATGAAGAAATTATTTAGAGAGTAAGAATAATAAATAGATGTAAATGAATAGGATAAGGATTAATTAAGAAATAAGGATATAAAGTTGGGATGGATAAATAATAAATCATGTCCATATCATTCATATACAAAATAATTTAGAATGAGCATTCAAAATTTTTAAGAATTTGAAAAATAAAAAAGTATATTAAGGTAAGAAATATTAATAAGTATAGATAAAATGAATGGAAATAAATAAGAAGTTTTTTGTATTTGATAAAAGAACATAGTTAGATTTATTAATAGATAGATTAATTATTAGAGAAATTAAATAAATATGATACTTTGAAATTGTTTGAATTATTAAGTATTAATGATAGATTAGAATTCCAACATTTACAAAATAAGATATAAGAAATTGTGGGATAAGAATTTTTGTTAGATTATTCAGATGTAGAATAATTGATGAATTTTTTTGGTGGATAAAGTTATGAAGAATTTAAATGTTCATTAGAATGTAGTAAGATATTTGAGAGAAAGCAACCTATCAATATGAATGTTTTGAAAATGCTATTCATAAAATTGATATTGTTATTGTAATTAAGTAGATATTTGAAATAATAATACAAAAAGAAGGCTTTAATATAGAATAAGGACTTGTTGAATGAGTTTGGAGAGTTCTCTTAGTCAAATGTTTTGTTGATGGCAAGGAAGGCCAAGGTAGAATTAAGTTTGGATGAAGTTAATGGATTTTTTAAAGGTGAAGAGGTTCTGGAAGTTAGGAATGTTATGAGTTTTTTGAAATGATTTATAATATATAAAATTATGGAAGAAATTGTGACTGGAGAAGATGATGTTGAGCCGTAATTTACATTTATTGCACACACCCGAACAATATAATACCGCATTTCAGTGATGAAGAAACAAATTGATATAGCTTCTATTAATAGCCTAGATTAAATTTAAGTTCCTTTAAGCATAGATTAAACTATCTATTGGTTATATGAAGAAGGTTAAGAAATAGCTTTTGGATTAAGATAGGGTGATCTTATTAATTATTACTATGGAGATAAGAGTGAGTTGTCTCATTTTCGTATATTGATTGGCTGTAAAATTTCATTTGGAACATTTAAATAAGATTATTTGGTTGGTGACTTATTAGGAAAAGGCACATTTTCAGAAGTATTAGTTCTTCTATGACCAGGTGATAAAGGTGACCTGTTTGAGAGATGGCAAGGACTATGCTTTAAAGAAAATCAAATTACGTAATGAGGCGCATTTAATCAATATTGAAATTGAAGTTGCTATTTTACATAAGTTAAATCATCATGGAATTATCAAATTACATGATGTCTACCAATTAAATGAAGATACTTATGGGTTAATTACTGAATTAGTTATTGGATAATCACTAGATTCAATTATTAATAAACAAAAGGTAAGAATTTAAATTATGTTTTAGTAAAAAAAGAGTAAATTGGAAGAAAGAGATATTTAAATGATTCTTAAATAAACTCTTGAAATTATAGATTACTTACATTAAAATAATATAATCCATAGAGATATTAAACCATAACATATGATTTTATGTTAAAATAAAACGATTAAGATATTAGATTTTGGTTTAAGTTCATATGAAAGTCAATTGTCTTACAAATGTGGCACTCCTGGTTATTTACCACCTGAATCATTTCGAGAACAATCATTATATACTTCTAAAGGAGATATATTTAGTTTGGGAGTTGTTTTTTATAAGTTATTGAATAAAGGAGTTAGTTGTTTTGATGCAAACACACTTGAATCAGTAATGAGTAAAAATAGACGTTGCACCATTGAATACCAAATCAATGGATACTCATCTTAGGCTCTGGTACATTTTTGAAATGAATTCTAAGCATTTGCTCAAATAAATGCTTCAAAAAGATCCAGTCTTGAGAATCAATTCACATGATGCATTGAATCATACTTATTTCACTGTCCCCCGAGAATCCCATAATCTAAAGGAAGACAAAGGGAATATTTATGTTTACTAAGCTCATCCTAGGCCATCCCATTTATCTAGAACAAATAGTGGTGATTTAGAGAAAACTTCAAAATGATTGTAAATTTTTATTAAATAAATGTTCATAATGTTTCAATTCTTCAAATTCTTTATGTTTATTTATTTTTTATATTTTAGATATTAGATTACATAGTAATTATATATATATATTGAATTTGATTGAATTTAAAAATGATAGGAATTTACATATTAGATTATTAGTTTGTAAAATAATCTGTTTATTATGTATTATATATAAGATAAGATTAAATAAGAAAAAAATTAATAAAATATTATAGTAGTAATTATATTAGTCAAGTATTTATCAATAGATAATCATAATTATTTTTATAATGTTAACATACACAGTCATAATAGACGATTATCAAACTATTGATGATAAAGTTTATTATTAGATCAACATTAATTGTTTAGAAGGACATAAGAAGATTTCCAAACGATATTCTGATTTGAAAGCTTTGAATGATAAAATAATAGAAAAAAATTCTAACTTTAAACTTCATTTAAATTTGCCTTAATTTCCAGGCAGAAAGATTTTTGGAAGAACCAAAAATTCTGTAGCAGGAATTAAATAAAGAGTATTTTATAAATTCTATATAGGGAAAAGAATTATAGAAATATTTGGAAGAGGTTTTAAACATTAAATAATTGTAATCATTTTTATCTGTTAAAGAATTGTTACCTCATTAACAATTATATTAAGAAACACTTCAATTACCTCATAGTGATGAATATGATAAAGAAGTTTGTTGGTTATAAATGGATGAATTAAAGCGATCTTTTTTAGAAAGACAAGAAATTAAAACACCAAAGAACAATAAGTCTAAAAGCAAGTCTAGCTTAAATACTACTGGATATGTTTAGAGATATCATTTTAGTATTGATGATTATGAAATTCAGTAAGATGTAGTTTTATATACAATAACATTAACAGATGCTAAAAAGACTACAAATTATTAATTTACATCAAGATATAGTGATTTAAGAGAATATCATAAATTGCTTAAAAAAGAAAACTTAAAAGTAGTATTACCTGTTTATCCAAAAAGAAAGATTATTTCTTAAACAAATGAGAATCCTCTATTCATTTAAGAAAGATTAGAATAACTTTAAAAATATCTTAATGACATATTTGCAATAAAAGAATTAGTTTAAAGTGAACCATTATAATATTTTATAACAAGAATTAAATTGGAAGGTAAACCAATTAGAATAGGCCCAGTTCAATAAAAATAGTAAATATGTACTAGTTCAGTTTTATATGAGAGTCAAGAGAATTTACCTGAAAGAAAAAGCTCTTTTTGAATTTGACTTAATATAAAATGTTTATTGCTTTTTCTTTTAATTTAATTTTATAGATAATATATTTTATATACATTACAAATTATGGGTTGTACAAGTTAAAAGTAGACTAGATAATAAGAGATTAAATAGTATGATCCAAAACTATAGCAAATTGTAACAGTTCCAGTCTTATATGATGCTAAGACTAATCCTATTGTAAAAAGAAGATTATAATAAGATTGTCAATCATAATCAGAATAGAATAGAACACCAACAAGATATTGAATTAAATATGATGTACTAAAAAAATAATTATTTCAAACTCTTAATTTTTATTTTACTAAATCCCATAATCTTGGATAATCCTTTTTTCCTTTCTTAACTTCAAAATCTATAACCACTCCCATAGCTCTATATCTATCCAACAAAGGATGGGTTTTCTCTTCATATTCCTTCATTCTTTATTCAATAACCTAGAGTTTAATTTCATTTTTATACTTCTTTCTTATCATCATCTCTAACCACTAATTTACCACCACAAGCATCACAGACACCTTCCTTCTTTGGATTTAACGGTTCCATAACATATCCATCTCTATTGATATCACAAATATTGAAAGCAGTTCCACAACCAACACATGTACGACGACTTACATATTTTTATTAAATAATACGCAGCTAATTTTTCAAGCAAAATATCAGCTCTTAAAGTCACATTAACAACAACATTTGTTGGTAAAATCTTTTCATATAAGTCTAATTATCTTAATGTTCTTGGGAATCCATCTAAAATTACACCTTTTGCAGATTCTGGCTCTTTTAACTTTTCCTACAAAATATTCATCACAATTTCATCTGACACAAGACCACCTTTTGCTACAATGTCTTTAATTGTAACAATTAATTTTGGATCAAATGATTAGGATGTATTGCCTTTCAAAATCTTACGAATTTCATCTCCTGTTGAAATGTGGTTAAATTTAGTATCCTTAATCAATAACTTTGCAAATGTTCCTTTACCAACCTAATTTCATATTAATTAACTTTATTACTCCAGGGGCACCAAACAAAACAAGGAATTATTATCCTGGTTTAGCAACACTAGCTGCATATCTTATTATGAGATTTTTCATATCCAATATATATTTATTTAATGTAATAATCACTCTTATATTACCATATGAAGTATATAAAAAGAAATTTGAAACCAATAAATCATTTCTCTTTTCCCCTTAAAATACTAGGTTGATATTCTACTTTTTATGTGGTCTAAGTTAAAAAAAAAATATTAAATTGATGATGATCTAAAATTTTATTCAAATTGCTTTACTCATATATATTAAATACAGATCATCCCTAATTGATAGAATCTAATATATAATATCTAAGAAACTTAGAAATTGAAAAATTTTATACTCTCATATTAGTATATATTAGATCTTATAAGAATAAAGAATACTATTATTAAATTTAATCCAAATAAAAATCATAATTTAATAATTTGAAGAATTGTAAAAGAAATTTCATATCTTCATAATTTATGTTCCTCATTTCCTATTATTTTACTACCTACTAGTTTCTTAATAAATTTAATAATTACCAATCGTTATTATTATAAATATAGTTGCAAATATACAGAATATTAATACTGAATATAATTAAATTTATGAAATAATTCCTTTTCAATCTGACTTTACGATATTATTTAATTTAAAATGTTTAGATCTTCTTAGATAGATTTTAATTTTTGATTGAAGATATTTGTAAAAAATAATTTATTTAATTATATTAGGAAAAATTATAGATGGAAATAATTGATAGTTTTAAAAAGCAAATTGTTTTACTTAATAAAGATTAAGTTTATTTTTTATATTTCTATAAACGATGCTATTAATCAGAAATTTATTAAAATCTCTTAAATTCTTTACAAACAAAGAATTAGAAATTAATCGATAATATTTAACATATAAATGATAATGAGATTTATTATTTATTACTTATTACTTAAATAAATATATAATTTTTTTTCAATAAATGCTGATTTCATTATAAAATAATTAATTTGCTATATATCTATTTTCTTTATTTATAAAATTCAAAAATATCTTAATTATTTAATCTTTCAAAAATTTGTCCAAAACTTGATTAATTATTTATTTTTGGCTTTGGGGATTTTTTAAAATACTAATGATATCAATTTAGTTTGTGGACAAATAATTATCTAAAATATTTAGCCCTTACTAATAAAACGTATATATTTATATCTTAGGGAATATGATAGGATGAGAATTCTTATAAAAACTTGTTATAATTAATTAACATTAATCAATTATCTCGTTTATTATATCTCTATAAGATGTAATTAAATTTTAAACTTGTATATTATTGCAAAACTTTGATATTTTAGGAAATAAAGAGTAATATAGATGGTTTTCGTATGATTGTATAGATTAAATTAAATTTTGAAAATTAATCTTTCTTGCTAAACTAGAACTATTTTAAATGTATTTTATATCATTTAATGCTTCTTCAACCTAAAAAGTATAAAAAATGTAATCTTCTAAATAAGTGTTTTATTTCAACTCCTAGAATAATATTAAAAACCATCCATCAATATTTAGTTCATTAGCTAAGTCTTTTATTGAAAGTTGTGTACAATTTTAGGAATTTATAAATAATTTCTGATGCTTTATTGCCCAATTTAATAGGATATTTCTATAGAATTATCCATTTTACTATCCAAATTATTTTTTAAATTCTTCATCATTAAGTTTTTTGTTTTACAAAAAATTTTCAATTGTTTTATAGTCATATAATCCATTTTTTTATTATTCTTCTGTATATTAATTTTTATAGTCACTTAATGTTTAAATAATTTATTTAGCATTTTATTAAAGATTGAATTCTAATTTATATAGTTAATTATCTTATGAAAATATCTCTTTAATGATTTTTTTAACACATTCAAAATCAATTTTGTCTAAAAGTCCTATATTTTTTGAAACTTTATTCCACCTTGAAAAATAAGCCTTAAATTCTATTTAATTATTATATTTAGATGAAAGAGGTTTAGAAACCCAAATCCATATATTTTCAGTTTTGATTTCGTTATGAGATATATCAAATTCTTATAATTTTTTAAGTGATTCCAAAATTTGAATTGATATAAGGATTAGCTAGCCTTAACTTATTGCCAAAATACTATTATCCTAAATTAAATTACTATTATTACTTTAAAAAATAGTAAATCCTTCAAGTTTATATATTCATTTGAAGGAAATTAATATATCATTATATTTTACACATAATTTATGTAAACGACTTCATCATTCAATTCTTGAATTAGTTTTAGATACTCTTCATTAATATCTTTTGTACTGTGAAAATGATATTAAATGAGTGCAAGTGATTCCATAGCAAAAATTATTGAAATTATTCATATTAGCAAGTGCGTATTTCTATTAATTTAGATAATTAAAATTAATAGTTGAATAAAATGAGAAATTATTAAAAAAATAATGAAAAATTGCATAATATTGAATTAAAGTCATGAAAAGCAGTCAAGGAATATATCACTTTCATCATTCGGTTCCTAATATTTATTATAATTATATATTTACTTCTTAAAATACATAAATATTTCTTTCACTTATATATTGATAGTTTTTGCTTATAATTTCATGAACAAAATATTACTCATCCTAATATAATGAATTGATATTACATCATCATTTCCTACCCAATCTTATCCTCTCCATACATAAACTTATAAAACTTATTTATTAATTTCTTTTATTAAAATGAACAATTGAGATTAATCTAGATCCTCTAAGTCGAACATCAATAGAGAATCCTCTGAATTTGGATATATATAAAATGCCTTTTTTTCAACATGAACTTCATCAACTCTGTCTGAACTATATAATTAAATATTTGATTCTTTTTCTTTATTAAATTCATTCTCATCAACTTCTTCATACCATTAATCCCATTCTCTTATTTTTTAACAAATAATCCCAGGTTTACCAACTATTCCCCATAAACCCCAAAAAATTTCTGATTCATTTTCAGCTTCCATCAATATAGGTTATATATTAGGGGCTTTCTCAAATTATTTCAAAAATTTAGTATAATCAAGTGCATATTGAATGAATCTATTTATATATAATGAAATACTTACTTCTCTGTTTTATTGCATTCAGGACCAATCCATAAATAAAAATCATGTTCTGTCAATACTAAAAAGACTCCTCTACTATCAAATGTTCTCAACACTTTACCAGAATATAATTAATCCATTAACATTCTACATACAATACTTTAAGGTCCACTCACTCCTCTTCCAACTGCAAATACTCTAGGAGCAATAGGTATACTATCATATGAGGCTTATAATCTCTTTTAAAATAATAACAATTAGACTGTAAATCCCATATTAGGAGATGCTACTCCTCTATTTTTCTTAATAATATCGAATGCTTATGAATAAGTAATTTATTAAGATATTATTAAATAAGCTATACATAATGAGACAGATCTTGATACTCCTTAAACACAATGAATCAACACTTTTCCATTACTCTTTTTTGCCTTTTCAATGATACCAATAACTTCATAAAATATACATTCAATATTTTCTGTCTTTGAATCTTTTAAATAATATGTCTAATAAAAGAAATCATCAGGATATTTATTTTTACATACATCTCCTGCACAATTTACTACATGAGTAACTCCAATTTATTTTAAGACCTCTTTATTGTAAGCTATTTATTCACCTCCAACATAAAGAAAATTAGGAATAACAGATGAACATTATTCTGCAAAATGTTAAATTTTTAATTTTTTCCTATCTGTATCTCTTATATCAAAATTAAATCCATTAGAGTCCTCTTATTCAATATCTTAATAAGTAGTATCATCTCTTTATAATTTAAGACTTGCTAATGGTAATTTCATAGGTTTAACTTTTTCATTTTCATTATACTCAACACCTTCAACTAATGGAACACCTATACTGACTTCTTGAGAATGAGTTTTGCAATTTAAATCTAATTTAGGAATATTTATTGCAGGAACTTTGCTTTTAATTTATGCAGGTAAATTAAATTAAAATGCATTATTATTATTAATAATTGGTTATTGTTATGGACTAGTATCTTCATATCTATAATTTTCTCTTGAACGACTTGAAATTGGTTTTGAACTTTCTTTTGAAATAGATCCTTCATTAGAGATTTCATGTATATTATTTTTAATTTCATTTGAATTTCTTCTAGGAAATGCTAATTCTTTAAAAACATCTCTTGGTTATGCATCTCTACTAGTTAATGATTCTCTTAGATTTAATTTAGGTTTTTGAATAATTTTATTAGTATTTGAATTTTAAAGTTGTTCATCATTCAAATCAATATGAATAAATTATTAAGCATATGCCTATGTATTTTATTTTTTTGCTAGAAAATCTGCTAATTTAGAGAATTCCTTTTTCTTTTCAGGAATTGGAAATAGAAAATTAAACAAATATACTGTTTCTCTAACTTAATTTTCAGTTTCTCTATTAGTAGTTGATGATGTTTAAGCACTACTTTATAATGTCAATATTGATCCTTTAGACAATTTTTTATTTTTAATTATGCCACCACTAAAGAGTATTTCCAGTAAAGGATCCCTTCCTCTATTTAATAAATTTTCTAATTCAAAAGCATTCGATAAAGCTGATGCTTTAATTAAGGGATTAGCTGTTTTGCCATTCCAAACAAAAATCATGTATTCGTAAATATTTGACGTTGAAGGATTTTATTATCTTTAAGGTAATAAAAATGATTCTAGATGACTTTCTGATGCTGCTACTGGTTCCTCTAATCCTCTTGGAGTTAGGTTAGAATAAGATTCAACAACACCCCACATTTAATGTGGAAAATTTGTAAATTGATTGTACTCTATATTAATTAAACAATATTATACCTTCTTATGCCTTTTTATATACCAACAATACAAGATAGCATTCAGATGAAAGAAAATTAAAACCGCTAGTTTAGATGGCACTTAAATTGATAGGTTCAGATCTAACTTTCTTTAAAGGGTGTTTGTCCTCTTAAAATTTCCAAATCTGATAATTTTGAAATATATATACTTTTAAGTGTTAAGTTATGCTTTCAGGAATGTTACTATCGAATTTAATCTTCTCTAATAATTTCGTATTGAGTTCTAAAATATCTTCTAAATTTGAAACATGCTTATCTATACTCAATTTAGATCCCATAATTTATATATATATAATAATAATTATTATTTAGAATAATATTTTCAAATATCATCCACATATAATCTCACAGTAGATTCCCACTATAAATATATATTCAATTATTTTATTTAACTAAATAAATTTTAATTTTTTTTATGGATTAACAAATTTATACAATTGTAGGTGTGATGTCAGGAACTTCACTTGATGGAATAGATTTAGCATTAATTCAATTTGAAAACAATAAATAAAAATGGTAATATAAAATATTGAATGCTCAAACTTATTTATATGAACAAACTTGGATTGATTTACTTAAAAATGCTCATACCTTATAATAATGTGAAATAGAAAGTTTTAATCTAAATTATACTCATTATTTAGCATAATAAATTAATAAATTCATATGTTAATATTAAGATATCAAAATTGATGCTATTTGTTCTCATGGACATACAATAATACATAAACCAAAAGATGGAATTACAATATAAATAGGAAACTTACCAATTTTATCTCAACTTATTAAAAAAACAGTTGTTTGTGATTTTAGAGTTTAAGATGTTAAATTAGGTGGAAATGGAGCACCATTAGTACCAATTGGAGATAGAATTCTATTTCATAATTATCATTATCGTATCAATTTAGGTGGATTCTCAAATATCTCATTTGAAAGAGATAATATTACTCTTGCATATGATATATGCCCTGTAAATACAGTTCTAAATAGACTTGCTTTTCCTAAAAACTTTGATGAAAATGGAGATTTATCAAAAAGTGGAAATGTCAATATAAATTTATTAGATTAATTAAATAATTTGGAATATTATAAACTTTCACATCCAAAAAGTTTAGGAGTAGAATGGGTTTATGATTGTATTTTACCTTTAATTGATTCATTTAATCTATCTTAATAAGATAAACTTTGTACATTTTGTGAACATATTGCATATTAGATTGGAAAATCTATAGAGAAGAAAGATAAACAAGTTCTATTTACAGGAGGTGGTGTATAAAATAAATATTTAATGGAAAGAATTAATCATTATGTTAATAATGTTTAAATCTTAGATCAATAATCATCAGATTTTAAAGAAGCTTTAATTTTTGGATTACTTGGAGTATTAAGATTAAGAAATGAAATTAATGTATTGAGTAGTGTAACAGGAGCAATTCATGATCATTCTAGTGGATATATTTATAAATATTAAGATAATTGAATATAGAATTAAATTTATTATAATATATTTTAATAGTCATAAAGATTTACTTTTAAAAGGATTTTTTAAATTTGGAAAACATAATTATTTTACTTAATTTTCTATTGGATGAGATATTTCAAAACTATTCCTGAAAAATTAATGTTTAAGACAAATAGAAGCTGAAGGTCGATGCTTCTTATGTCCAATCATCAAAAGTAGAAGTTATCTTTATTCTATATCCATTATCTTTGAAGATACTTTGACTTTGTTTAATTTATTCAAGAAAAGTAAATGATTCTTATCCTAATATTCTGGATACAGTTTTTATCCAGATAATAAAGAATGATATATGCTTCCTAAACTATAAATATCAACTGATTCATCATAATCCTCTTGATTTAAAATCTCAGGAGCCATATATCCAGGTGTACCACATCTTACTTAAGTTTAGTAACCAAATTCTACTGCAAACCCAAAATCAATTATTTTTAAAGATTTTATATCATTTTCATTTTCAAAAACGATATTATCTAATTTCAGATCTCTATGAATAATTCCTAATTGATGTAAATGTTTCACTCCTTTTAATAGCCTCTTCATGATATATTTGATCTCTTCTTAATCTAAGACATTGTTTCTTTAAAGTAGATAATTATAGAGAGTTCCACCTCGACAGTACTTCATAACAAATATTATTTCATTTAAATCCTTATAAACTTCATCAATTTCGAGAATATTTTTATGTTTTTATTGATTTAATTCAAAAACTATATTTAACTCCTGCTAAAGTTTTTGCTGAAATAATTATCAAAGTATACTTATTAATTAATTTTCGTTATTTTAACTAATTTTAGTTCTCCTGTTTCAATTTGAATATATTTGGAAATCTAATCAGCCTTATTATAATATCATTACTTCAACATCCTCCTTTTATATAAAAGAACTTTAAAATTAATAATGTTTATTAAAGTCTGTGTACAAAACTATCCCATTTAGTAATTTCTTTAATTATTTCAACTTCTCTGCATCACCTAAATATGTCAGCGACTTTTAAGTCTTAGAAAAATTACAGCAATAAGAAACTTTAAACCCTTAAATCAGATTCTCACTATGTTTTATATTATGTATTATACTTATATATCCAACTTATTGAAGTTGATTAAGATGTAAGTTCTATAGATCTTTCACTTTATTCATTTCCAACTTCAGGATTAGACTAATCTTAGTTTGTATTGTTTATCACTAAATTTCTTTTGTACAAGAATAAATTTCTTGGCAAATTGTTTTTTGCATTTCTTACATCACAAGCAAATATGAGATCTCTATTCATTCTTATTAAAAAATATAAATTATAAGAATCAAGAAAGCAATAATCTAATATATAAATCCAAATTAAATCTTTAAGAATGTGAAATAATGACTAAAGAGGATTTACTTTAATAAAAATCAAAATAAAATAATATACACATATTCTGTCTTAAACTGTTCCTAACAACCATCAAATTTTACATTAATATAATTGTACTAGACAAGCTGATTCTTTTGATATAAGGATTGAAGCATTGAAAAAGTGATATAATTTTAATATTTTGATAAAATATAAAACGTTTTAAATATTAACTATTTTTAACTAATTCATTATAATTGTAATTGAATAAAAATGAAGGTTGTCTAGAACAAAGCTTTTAAATTCTAGCAGCATTCATTTAATCCATAAACCAAAGACAAATAATTGAAAACAAAATTTAAATTTTTACATAAATAATAAATATATAAAGATTAATTATAATTTGCAAATTAATTTAATAAAGTTCGGTTTAAAATTAAATTTATTATAGTTATTTAGAATTCTCTCTTATTGATTGAAGTATTGTATAAAGCTTCTATAGATTATTATTCTTTACTCATTTATCAACTTATTAAAGATTAAATAACAAATTTAAAATTTCACAAATTAATTTGTCTCAAAAGTCTTGTACTTTGCCATTTAAATTTATATATCTTTTTTATGAGTGATTAAGAAATTAAATAATATATAATTTATTAAAAAAATATTTTATTTATAATTCTTACAATAAAAGAAAAAATAATCACTATTTTTATAAAATATAGGGTAATTTCAATGATTTTAACTCGTATCACCTAAAAATGTTATAAATTCGATCAGTTTTAATTATAATAAAAAATATAATTTAATTGAATTAATTAGAAATATCAAAGATTGCATTCTATTATAGTGCTATATTATATTAATCATTCATAAAAGTTATTTTGACTTTTTATTCAATTGTGATTTATTTTTTTATTTTTTAATAGCAATTTCTATATTGATATTAGTTAAATTTTATATGAGTAATTAGATTTCTTCCTATTTTAATTACTAAGTTTTCTAATTATTTGTTTAATTTTCTAACACGCACATCAAGAAATATAAAATATTTAATATTAAATAATATATTTTAAGTAAAATTTATATAAATTATCAATAAGATTAAGCAAAATGATTAATAAGTAATTGGCATATAAAAATCACTGTTTTAAGCTCTAAACTATATTTAGAAATATTTAGAAAGTCCAGATATATATGAAATAAAAAAAACAATATTTAAGTTATTAATGATTCATCTCTAATCTACTTTTTTAGTTATGGTAAAGATTTCTTGTCTTATAGATTTATTATAAATTTTAGGATATCTAGTATTAGTAGTAAAATCAGAAGGGTTTGAATTTTAGTGAAATAATTTATTGTAAACACTATCTTAAATGTACTTTCTTATTGATATAGATGGGATAGGTTCACGTGTAGATTTAATTGTGCATTTAAAATGTTTGGGATTGAGTTCATCTTTTTGAAATTTTCTAGAGAAATCTCCTAATACTTCAAAACCTTCAATATAAACATCTTTATAATTTTGAGGTTCTGCAGGTTTTGGATAAACAGTAGTGAGAAATCCTCTTTCAGTCTTCCATTTGTCTTTAGAATGTGTTTTCCATTATGGAAAATAGACCATAGTCATATCTTTAGCGGTATCGTCTATTATACTTTTATTATATTAATTTGCTTAGTCAACTTGATCTTTTCTTAACTTGGGCCTGTTTTCATAAGACCATTAAGGTCCTTCTAATAATTGAACTCTTTCTCTTAATTTAATTTTAGGACCTTCAGTGTATTATTCTCTAGGCAAATGGGATTGTGAGAAATCATCAACAATATATTAGATTCTTTGGTTGTTGGTGAGAAATCTATTTAGTATAAGGAGTAAAACTTAGAAAGAGTAATGGGTTTGGTATTATCTTTTGGTAATTTGGAGATTGGATAAAGTCCATTAAGTAAGCCTTATATAAAGATAGGTAAGATTACAATTAGCAAAGACAGGATCAAGTGATTGAATAAAGTGTTGTTGACGATCATTAAAAGAGTTGTTAAGTATGGCATTATGTTTTTTTATTGTTTTTGGATTTGAGAGAGAGACAGTTCTTTTCTTTTGTTGGAAGTAATTATTCATGAAAATAAAATAAAAATGGCATACGAAAATTGTGTAGTTTGTGGGAAAAGATAAGATGGTTTATAGAAGTTGTTGCCTGATTTTAGATCAAGATATCCTAACAAATACATTCATAAGATGTGTCTACTTTTATTTCGTTCTGATTGGAATCATCGAGTTGCTGTGAATGAAGGATTATATTATAGTGATTACCGAAGACATTGTTCAATATGTAATAAACGAAGTAAGTAATAAGTGGTGAGATGTGCACATAGGTATAAACTTTAATTATGTAATCCAGTTCATGTAGAAATAAATTTCATTTAGAGTGCTTAAATAATCCTGTAATATAAGTAAACAAAAATTCAAGGAATCATTATCCAAAATTAGATGTTTATTGTCATGAGCATTCTCTTAATTTAACTAAAACAAATAATTTGGATGAGTATGTTGAATCTATTTTTAATGAACATCTATTAAATTAGGAATAAGAACCTGGCTAAATTTAGAAGAGCAAACATAAAAAAAAGCATAAGAAGAAACATTCTCGATCAAGGTCGAGATCTTATAAGAAAACAAAAAGACGATCCAGTAGTTAATGTAGATTTAGTGATAGTCAAAGTTCAAAATCATCAAAATCATAACATAAAAATCATTCTCTTCCTGAAAAAGGCAGTTTATTAATTATACCAGAAAGCAAGATTACTGATTGTATGATAAGAGAAGTCAAAATTTTAACATAAGGTCCTATATTAGAAAAAGAGGAATCATATATTGAATATTTACCAATTCCTTAACCTATTCCTTAACCAATTATTTAATAGAAGGAGGTTGAAAAATAAAAAATTTATCCTTAAACATAAAGACCATTTATTGAAGATCCAGAATTTCCATATACAGAAAGAGAAAATAAGCGAGATTAATCTATTTTTAAATGGTGGGAAAAAATTGAAGAAATCTACTTTAAAGGAGAAGAGAAATTATTAAATACAAAAGTTGAAGAATTCTAGAATCCTTTTGAATGGTCTAATTAAGGTATAGATGAAGATTTACTTAATTATGCTGATTAAATGAATATTGGTATTGATACTTATACTTATTATTATTATTAGAGCCAATTATATAGTTGAGATTTCAATGTAGAGGAAGCATAAATGTTTTAATAAGATGTTCAAAAGCTCAGTATTAGTACACTAATTGTAAAAATCTTTTAGTTTCATTCGATATAGTTTTACTGAGCATGTAGGCAAAGCAACACCAAAAGGACTATTGAGGACTAACATACAATTGTATAGATATTTATAAGAAACAGTTGATATTCCTACATATTCTGATAAAGAAATAGTTGGCAAAGATCTAATTTATTTAGAAGGTTGTGAATTAACTAAATAAGAATATTAGGATTGTTTTGAATTAGAATAAAAAATTAAAGAAGTTAATTCTAAATTGGAATCTCAATTAGATATTGAAAGTGATACAATCTAATAATTCGATATTGTTTATCATATCTTGAATAAAGAACTAATCTCTATTGTTTAATAAAACAATCAATTTAGAGACTAAATCAATTCTTAGATTAACGATTACAATTTTAAAATACTAAATACTTAATAGCAATTACTTATAGATTTATTGAAGTGGTCTTAAATAGTCAAAGCCTTTATAAATGGATATAAAGATAAAAATCAAGATGTTTTAAATTCTTTTTTTCCTTGCTAATTAACATTAACATCCCAATCATCTTAAAAAGCTTAATAAAAGAAAAAGAAAATACATTCTAAAGAAAATACTTAACCTTTAGATACTGATTGCAAAATCTGTTTTGATTATCATTATACAGATTTCAATCCAGTTATCTATTGTGGAAAATGTTCAACTTCCTTTCATAAGAATTGTTATGGTTTGACTGGATCTCTAGATGAAGATGATGTTATTTGTGATGCATGTTCTTATGAATCTTCAAAAGTGTATTAATTCAGAAGAGGTATATCTATTATAATTATAAGGTGCTGCAAAATGTAGAATATGCAAAAAATTAGGATTACCATAAAAGTATATTAGAAACTATTTTTATCATGTTTCTTGTTTACTTTTAACTAATTAAGTTATATTATCAGATGGTGCTTATGATGTTAGAAATAGAAAAAATGATATTAAATAATTTTGCAAAGATAATGAATCAAGTACTCCATAATGTGCTGTTTGCGGAGATTCTAAAGGTTTAAAATATCATTTCAATTTCAGGATTTCGGTTTTTATGTTCTGGTGGTGAAACTATACCATGTAAACATGCCTTTCATCCCATCTGTGCTTATTTACATGGTTTAACAATTGACATCGAAAGTGAGGATCTTGAACAATGTTGCAAAGAATTAAGGTTTGCTTAATTAAATGTGCATATCAAATGTGTCTTACATTGTAATAAAACATTGTAAGATCTCATCTAGTAGACTTACTACAGGTATTATTTATAAGTATTATTTTATTAGAAGATTTGCATTGAATTATGAGTAAACTGCCAAATGTGGAGGGGAAGAAGTATTCAAAGAGGAATTCAAAAAAACTAAAGGTTATAGGTAAGGTATTTAAGAAAACACTTAAGATATCTCTCGCTCAAGTTACCCATATCAAGAAATGACAATTTATAATAATTTATTAATTAAAATGGTACACCAACCCAACAGATGTGAGTAGTATTTTCATTTTAAAATATTAAATATTGGATGAAGAAAGCTATAAACTATTCTTTTAAAACATAATCTAATAAGTATTCTTTACCAATATTTAATATTTAAATTAATTGTATTATTTCATAAATAACATTTTATATTTAGTATCTACACCTGTCAATATAATAGAATTTTAAAATCCTATAAAAACCATTAATAATTATATTTACATAATAATAATTATATTTAAATTATTAATATATTGATAAAATGGGAGGACTCGCTTAAAAAGTTAAAAATTTATTTGTAAAACAAGAAGAACTACTACCAATATAAGATGATAACAATTGCCATTCTTAAATCTAAAATTAATAATATGAATTTGATAAAAATAGTTCTGGGAACTTTAATTAAATGGAATCGTAAAATCAAAATTTAAATGATGGAAATTTATAATCGATATAGAACATGTTAAAAGTATTAGATAAACATAGAAGTTGCCCTGTAAGAATGCTTACAATGATGCAAGGGAGATAATATGATACTTAATTATATCAAAATGAATAAAATAAGATTGGAGAAATAATCACAAAACTCAATTGATTTACAAACAAATTTAATAAAATTTTCTTAAAGTTTATAAAGTAAATAAAATTTAATGAAATAATATAAAAATTATTATTAAAATAATCACTTAATTAATTTATTATTGACCCATCTTCCTTCTACAATCTTTTAATTCTTTGTATGAAATATACCAAATCCATTTATATAATCATTAAAAAATTGTCCACAAAACTTTTCACCATTTGACAAATAAAGAGTACCTTGTCCTTCTTTGTTATCTTCATTAAACTCTCCTTCATATTTTGTCCAAAAGCTACATTAAAGTATAGAATTACTCTTCAATATGATCAAAATCTTGATAATTAAATGGCTCATTTAATTAGGATGCCATTTCATTATACAATACTCCATAACCTTAAAATTTGTCTTAATTCCATGATCCTTTATAAGCAGGATTACCATTTGAATAATAAAGAGTACCTATGATTTATAATAAATAATATAAATACCATATCCATGCATATGATTGAACTACCAATTTCCATCATAATATCCTCCATCTTTGTAATAAAAGATACCCTATCCATGTCTCATCCCATTGAATTTATATCCATTATATTTAGAACCATCTTAGTATTATTCATTTACAAAAATTTCTCCTTAAGAAGAAAATCCAGAAATATGTGGTTATGGTTATTATTAAGGTAGATCAAAAGGGATTGAAAATTATTATTGAGATTCTTTGACATTAATATTACTAAGCTTTAATTAAAAATTTTTATTAACATGCTAATCAGTATGATCTTGTAATGGCAAATTTTAGGATCTATTAGTAAAATTTTCATCATTTTCATTATTATCTATATTTTCATCAATTTTTGAAGGTTTTGAAATAAATTAAGAGTAAACAATTTATTAAACAAAATCAGAATTATCAGGTAGATTAGGTTGAACTATATCTTCCTTCATTCTACTAGCCATAGTAGAATTTGTATTTGATTATTCTGTAATAATATCTCTTAGAGATGGTTTCTTAACATTAGATTTAGAACTTTTGATTTATTTCATAATGGGAAGAGTTTGTTATTAATATTGAACATTAGATTAATGTTAAGAATTTTATTATATATTACTTTATTATTGATCTTATGAATTAAATGATCTAAGTTAATATTTAAAATTAGTAATAGATGTAGATTCTTAATATTTTTAATCTAATAATTTTGATAAGATAATAAAATCAGGTCTTTAGATTTCTTAGATTGATAACATAGATTGAATTACTTCAAATAATTATGGTTATACAAGAGTATTTAATTGATGTAATTTTGTTAAAAGTACTTCTTCTACTAAATATAATTGTTTATAACAATCATTCATAGGTGTTCTTAAGATACTTTATAACATACACATACCAAGTATAAATACATCACTCTTATATGGATTATGTAGAGGTTGAAATTCTTTTTATCTTAAAGCCATAGTTTATTAAGGTGATAGATATATATCATTAATTTTATTATTTTGAAAGAGCTATTAAAAATTTGTGGATTATTCATAAAGTGAAGGATCACATATTTTAGGAGGTAAGTATAAGGTTTTTGATGATATATGTTCATGTTAAATAGATTTATTTTATAAGTCTTCTAATGCTCTAACATATGCAAACAAAACCGCCCAATAATCTTATGAAGCCAATTATGTTGCAGATAATTAAGAAGTAGGATGTTCTATCAATAAGTATATTTTAAAAAATTGACTACACACTTATTAATCTTAAGTAGTATAGATGTCAAGAATTTTAAGAATATATTAATTTTGAGTTAATTATTGTTTATTTTCGAATTACTTTTTACTTTTCTTAAAAAGGGTTTCATCAGTGTATGTGTATTCTTTTAAAATAAGTTTGATTTTAGAATTTGATTTATTAACTAGGACTGTACAATCACCAAATTCTAAATTGATTGATTAAAATACATTCATCTCTTGTTTTGGTTGGTTGATATTCGGAATACAACTAGGCTAACTTAGTGGATTCTTAGCTATTATTATTTCCCATTCAAAATTAACGAATATTTAATAATAATGATTACAATTCTAAAGAATACTTTAATAATATATTTAGGACTTTTGGGTCTTAGTACAATAGGATCTCTATTCATATGTTTAGATCAAGATTATCATTAACAATGTCCATCACATGTAATAACAATTTTATCAGATTTGTCTGTCATACCAATTATTAATGAAGCAAGAATGATGTTGATTCCAATAATTAAAGAATTACCTCCATAATGGATAACTGTATTAATTTGGAGTTCATTAATGATGACAACTGCATTAATAATATCAGTGATGTATTTAGCAGCGTAAAGAATTTAAATTAATAAATAGAAAGTTCACTTATAATATGTTAATGAATTTAGTTAAATTTTTGGTAATAATGATTTTGATATCATTAATATTTGCATGGTTGATGAATGTTTAAGAGATACCTTCTACATTGTAATATTATTTGAAGTACTTATAATTATTCTAATAATGATAATATAATTATTTTATAAATTAATGAGATCACTTTCTTAAGTTTGTATCACTGAAAATTCAGAAAATATTGAAAAGTTCATCTTCAAACAGAAGAAAGTAATCACATTGAAATCAGACTCACCTATTTTAACCAAAAGACTTAGTCAATAACCAATTGTTATTTTATCAGATTCACCTCCTAAAAAACATAAAACTTGTAGTAGTGAAATTCCTTTAAGTAATGGAAAAATGTTCTTGAAGGATGGTAAGATCTTGTTCTTAAAGTAAAAACTACCAAAATTAGAGTTACCATAAGCAAAATGTAAATTTGATCCAAAAGCTGAAATCCTTAAATGGATTCAAACAAATAAAAATATATCTCCAACAAAAAAGAGAGTTACCTTTAGGGCTATTAAAGAATCTAATGGCTAAAATAGAAAATCATTAATCTTTTGATTATAATTATCAATTAATTAACTACATATTTAGAATATAAAACAGTTCCCTTTAAATATTATAATATTGGAATTAAAAATAATTATTAACATAAAATAAATATATATATATATATTATCTCATTAAAAATAATAAATTGTTTTAATAATTATTAATAAACAACAACCCACTTAATATTTCTCTATAATAGATATATATATAGTATAATTATTTCATATTTAAAATATTAAATAATTTATTAACATATTTAATCAATTATTTTTATTATTAAAATGGATTATTACAAGATTTTAGAAATTAATCGTGATGCATCAGCCTCAGAAGTTGCCAAAGCTTACAATAAACTTTCTTTAAAATGGCATCCAAAGTTAAGTAAGTTAGATCATAATACAACTTATCATCATTTTTGTTTAATTTCAGAAGCCTATGAAGTATTATCTGATCGTAATAATATTTTTAACAAATTTAGCTATTAAAAGGACATTCTATGATAAGTATGGTGAAGAGAAGTTGAAGGAAGGTTTCTTTGCTAATGGAAGTAAATAATTAATTGATTAACTTAGACCTTAAGGGCGGTTACAGTTTTGCAGGTAATCCTGAAGAAATATTTGAAAAGTTTTTTGGTACATCTAATCCATTTGCTTAACTTATAGGTATTTATTAATATTCAATCATTTAGATACAAATGGATCAGAAAATCATGGCACTCTTTTTAGTCATGCATTTGGAGGATAGAATTTCCCAGGAATTCCAGGACCTTAAGATCTTGAAATCTAAGTTGAGTGTACTTTACATGAATTATATAATGGTTGTGCAAAAACAGTATCATATTAAAGATAAGTACTTAATAAAGATGGAATCACAACTCGTTAAATTACAGAAACTAAGTATTTATTTCTAATTTGATATCTCTTAGAGAAATTAAAATTGATCGTGGTATTGAAACTGGATAAAAGATAGTATATAAAGAATTAGGTAATGAAGCTGCAGGATTTAAATCTTCTGATTTAATTTTCTTAATCAAAGAAAATCCACATCCTACTTTTAAAAGAAAAGGAAATGATCTATTGTATATAGCAAAAGTTAATTTGGCTAATGCAATTGCTGCAGATCCTATATAGATTGTAACATTAGACAATAGAAAATTATAAGTACCAGTTGATTAAATAATAAGGTATGTTTATTAATAATAATCATAGTCCTAAATATGTAAAAATGATTGAAAATGAAGGAATGCCTGTTTTTTAATAGGATGAAGTGAAAGTATAAAATTTAATTAATTTAAGGATTTTGGTAAACCATATACATTTGGAAATTTGTACATTAGATTTGATATTCAATTCCCAGAAGATCTAACAGAAAGTTAAAAAAATAGAATCAAAGATATTTTATTAGAAGGTTAATAATGATTAATATTAATATTAATTATAATCATTATATAATTACTCTTTATAATGTTAATCATATATATTTCAACAATATATATATATATGATTCTATAAATTTATATATATGAATATTTTATTATTATATATATTCTAAGAAATAATTAATCTAATATTAGTATTAAGATATGATCAAATATATGAAATATTTAAAAGAATTTGTACAAAATTTATAAATTTTTCATCTATAGAATAATAATTAAAAATAATATTTTAGCTTTAAGATTTTGAATATCAAAATCATAAAGCATAATCTAACATAAATAACATCTCAATATTCATCTATTGTATCTTTTGTGTCCAGTTAAACCATATATCTAACCTTAACCTTTGTTTCATCATAAACAATATATTCATTATGCTCAAGATGATAACGAACTACATTTCTATTCTTATCCTTCATTCTTGGTAATGGATATTCAATGCATTCTCCAACAGGTACTTTACATCCATTTGATAAAATAACTGATTAATTATAATCAGGTCCTCTTCTTCCACATCCTTTTACTGATTAATATTGTTCTAAAAAATATTTATATTTAAAATTACTATCTAATTTAGAAATGTATTCAGGATTATACAGATTCATTGATTTACCAACAGCAACTTCACATAATAACATGTATCTATATCTTTGAATTTCATCTTATTCATCCTTCTTAGTATTTTTTTGTTATCTATTATAATAATCATCTTATTAGAAAAGTCCATTATACTGGTTGTAATAGAGAGACCAATCTTCAGTATAACCATATGACTTTTCAAATGTATCAGCAAAATAAATACCTTTCCCAAACATAGCCCCAGAATTAAAAGCCCAAGGAGGTGCCACTAAATATATTAAATATAATATATACCTCTAAGTCCTTATGCTAGAATACCCATAAAATTTGAAATTTTAGATCCATGCCATAAAAGCATTCTATTATGTTATTTATTATGTTCAAATCTTTCAGCTTCTCCTCTTCTTTCAACTGCAAATATATTTGAAATCTTTCCTTCATGAGATGAATTTATATATTGAACTATCAATTTATACTCAGGATGTTCTTTTGGTAAAGTAACTACTCTAACATTTAATGCATTAAAACAATAAGTCAATGGATTAATAGTTTATTTCATAAGATGAGCACCTAATAAAATTTTAGATGTGATTTCAAAATTAAGTAAAGTTTCTATTAAAAGCAACTTTTAATTTATTGCCTCTACTGAATCCAAAGGAGGAATAGGTTCTGTTCTTAATTCTGTTACTGGAACTAATTCATAAAATCTACTTGATTTATCACAAATTTCAGTAAAAATGTTTTAAATCTTTTTAATATCAAGATCTCCCTATTTTCTTAGTTTTTATAAATCTTCTACACAATCTGTTAATTCATTTAAAATAGCTTTAGCTGCTTCCAATTATTTTCTATCTAATCTTTCAATAGGCATAGTATCCAAATCAATATGGAATTATTATAAATCTTTATTGTACAATTTAACTTATACAAATTATAACATAAATCTTTTGATTGCTTTATCTAAATTACATTATTAATAAGGACTTTTCTTACTAAAATCAAATGGAACAAGTAAAGTCTTATAATTTTTAACATTTTTGAAATGTATTAATTAATATTTTCCTGGTTTTTTTACAAAAGTATCTTCTCCAGTTTATACTCTTCTCCAATCATTTCCTCCTGTTTTATTATGAAATATCTTATTAAATTCTTTAATTGCTTCTTCTGCATTTTCAAATGGTGTTAATTAATGTTATCCATGTGTACCAATCCTTCCCCATTTAGTAAAGAGTATAAAAACATTTCTATTAATTTCATGTAAGATTTGCATCTTATAAAATACATTTTCTGAATAAATACCATTTCCAATATCAACTTTAGTCATTAATAATGAATATGGACCAGATTCTTTATCTATCCAAACTTCAACCTTTCCAGACTCTTATGCTTCTAAATCTACTACTTTTCTAATGTCTTATTTTGATTCATCTAATTATTCTCCATTTTCATCTAAGAATTTCTATGCATCATTTTCAACATCAATCTCTTCTTCAACCCATTAAGCTTGAGAAATAACACTTGTAGGAAGTCTAGGTTACTTTTATTTCTTGCCTTCTTTAGCATTCAATTTCTTAAGAGCTTCTGCCATTGTTCCTGAATCTTGATCATTAGCATAATCTAAAGGTGTTTTACCAAAATTATCAGGTTAATTAATATCAAATTATTTTGACAATAATTCTAACATCTCAATATTTTCATATGATCCAAATTCAAGAGGCTATACTACATAATGAATAGGTGTTCTATTCTATGAATCTTAAGAATGAAGAGCTTTATTAAACTTAGGATGATTCAATATAAAATTGACCAATTTCATTGAATTTATTCTAATAGCTAACATTAAAGATGTTTCTCCTGATTCAGTCTTTTCATTAATATCACATCCAGCTTCAGTAAATTTATTTAATATTATCTCATCTTCTAAATGATATTCTTAAATCAAGAACAAAATTGGTGTTATTAATTAATTTTTGTCTTTAATCTTAAATTTTACATTTAAATTAGTATTTTTCTCTTTCCATAATTATAATTCTATAGCAGAAACCAAAGCTTTGTATTTTTCTTATAATCTAATTGAAAAAGGAGTATTCTAATTATTATTGTAATTATTTGGATCACTATTAGATTACAATAAATATTAAATCATTCCTAAAAAGTCATTTTGTGCAGCATAATGTAATGGAGTATTATTCTAATCATCTTTTGCATTTTTATCAACTTGTCTATCTGCTAATTCTTCAGCAATCATTAATGCAATATCATCTGTACATTTTCTACCCTTTATTGAAAAAATATGGAAAAGATTTTATTTATTTTAATTTTATTTCTATACAACTTCATCATCTTTAACTTTCATCAATAAAGTACGAACTAATTTAAATTGCTCTTCCATTATAGCATCTTCAATAGCTCTTTGTAAATCATAACCATCTGATATTAATAAATATGCTACTCCTTACCAACCCTATTTTATAGCTAATTTAAAATAAGAATATGTTCCTGCTGGGAATTTAGTTGATTGCAATAAATAAATTTTACCTCTTTTTCTTTATTTATTTTATTAATTTCCTAAATATGAACTTGTACTGGCTAATGCTTTTCTTGGTGCCTTTCCTCCATAACACATTCTTGCAGTCTATTTGGTTCTAGCACCTCCATAAAGTCCATTATCTACATCCTCATTTTCTGAATCTGCCTCTTCATCAGTCTCAAATTCCTCTTCCTATTCTATTGCCTCTCCTCTTTCAATTCTCTCCATTCTATTTTTCCTTTCCTCCTATCTAATCTTTTAATAATCAACGACAGTTGCATATCTATTTACATCTGCTTTATTATCTATAAGCATTGTACAGAAATTAGAGTGACCACATAAGAATGCCAAAGCCAGTGGAGTATTGCCATATTTATCAGGTACATCAATAGGAGCTTTCATTTTAATCATGTATCTTCCTGATATTACACTTCCTCTCATGGCAGCATAATGAAGTGGAGA